AGAGGGGGAGAACAACCTTTGAAGGGAATTCTGTTTACTCATGGGATGGCAACCTTGGAAGGACCCCAGATCAACGCACTTCCAGGCAGGAGCAATCGCTTAGAAGAAGCCAATGGGAGCCCTGGAGATCAGGAAAGAGCAACCGCAGCTGAATTAGAGACTTGGATATATTGGGGAAATTATACTCTCCAGGGCTACATCCATGGATCATATCCTACCCACTGGCAGTATCCTATATCAAAAATCTCCATCCGGATACTTGGACATCAAATCAAATGAAATATCATTGGCCCACATTCATTCGCTATCTGGAATCCAATCCCAACATGGATCTATCAAAGGAAAAAAGAACGCATATTCTGTTCATACAATATCTTCGTCGTCATCCGCACCAAGCTGTTCCCCGTTCTCGTCCGCGGGTGTCTCATCATCGACAACCATCGCTCCATCACCCATCGCCTTCACCTTGGCTTGCGTCATCTCGAACACGTACTGACCCAGATGTTCGACGCTTTCCATGGGGGTGCCCTCAGTCTCGGCGTCCAGCGCTCGCGTGGTGGGGAACATCTCGCCAGGTGCAAGCATCAGCTTGTCTGGGCGCTGCAAGAGACGATCGAAGGCCGGCTTGAGCTCGTAGCAGGATTCGAAGACCTCGCGGCGACCGAGGATGTACAGGCCCAATCTAGCGCGGGACAGTGCGACGGTGAGACGGCGGACGTCGCGTAGGTATCCCACAGTGCGTGTGCGGGTCAAGGAAAGAATCACGTCTGCGATGAAGAGGTTAGTAAGAGGGATTTTGGAAGTATTTATAGAAGTCTACATGACTCCGGAGTACCTCGAATAGGGCGGGGATGTAAATCTTACAATCATTCTGTTCTCCTTGATACCTGTCCACGGTAGTCACGATCTTCGGCATGCCGAACATGGAATTCTTTGCGCAGCGGTGGCTCAACACATCCCGAATCAGCGCCGTCTGTCCAGCGTAGGTAGCGAGAATCGAGATCTTCGACGCCGGGTAACCCAGCAGGCGCATGTACTGGTACAAAGCCACGGCGTACTCGGCCTCACCAAGGTTCTGGATGAAGTGGGGTGTTGGCTCCCGCTCACCATTACCCTGATAGTCGGGGACATTGATGAACTGGTAGTCGAACTTGAATCCCGGGTTTGCCAGCTTGAACTCCTCGGCCTCGACGGCAGGGAGGTCTCCAAGCTCGGGGTATCTCCAGCGGAAGAGCTCGGCGATACTTGATCGGGCACGTCCTTGCTTGTCCAGTGTGATTAGGGGCACACCAAGGCGCGCCAGGCGTAAGAAGAGAGACTGTTCGAAGTGTGCATACTGGCGGAATGCCATATTCTGAATGACGGGGGAATTTTGGAAGTGGTCTCCACACAGGACGACTCGCTTGAGGGGAGGCTCGCCGTTCTCGTTCTTCAAGTTCTGTAGAGCGGATGGGATGAAACTTTCAATCTCTGTGATCTGCGCGGCCTCTTCCATCACCACATTGTCGTAATGGAAGCCCAGGTCGGCGATCTCTTGGCGACGCATAGCTGCGTGTGTGGAGGTCATGGCGATAACTCGGGCCTCCTTGATGAGGAGGTATTTGGCCTTGTCGCGAGGTTGACGCAAAATCTCAAACGGCCGGATATCCTCAAGCTCGGAGAAGATCCGTTCAATGTGTCGTTGGCAGCCGGAGGCAATATCCAAGAGGGCATCCTTGGGAGCACCAGCATCGAACAAAGGTTGAGGAGCATCTGCGAAATATTCATGGAATGGGAAAGCAGTTATTATATTCTCGTTCGAGACATCAGCCTTGGTTTGGTCCCAGAACTTGGCCCATGCAGGCTGGACATAAACTGTGTTGAAGTAGCCTGCCGTCTCGCAAGAGTTTCCGTGTGCGCCTTCGGCGCGGAGGGAAGCTGCTAGTCGCATCACTTCAGAAAGATAATGATCTCGATTATCGAGGAATGACTCGACCCGTCCAAACTTGCTGTAATTGGAATCTGTGTCCAGTTCCTCCTCGCCGTGACCCAATCGCAACAGATGACGTTTATCGATGTCAAGGGCAGTGATCTTTTGGAAGAGTTGATTGAGGGCCTGGTTGCTGTGTGCAATGAGAAGCGTTCGCTCGTTAGGGAAATTATGATAGAGGTTGTTGATTATTTGAGTGGCGACGTCGGTCTTGCCGGTTCCAGGGGGACCAACGATGACAGTGAGTCCCGGCTGTGTACCAGAAACAATCGCTTCCACCTGAGCTGGGGTGAACCGCACAGTGTTAAGTTTGGGCGCATCAACGGGGTAAGGCCCAGGGTTGGGCGGCTTGTAGGATGAGACACGTATGGTGCTGGAAGCCTCAGTCGGCTCGGCTTGTTCTTTCCGGCGTTTCTTTGGAGGAGCTTCAGCCGGCGTTGGTTCACTTTCAACGGTTTCAAGAACGTAAGGAGGTCCAAAGCTCGAGGACTCGGTCTCGGAAGGCTCGATAGACTTGCCGGGGAAACTTTCGACAAGATGAGCCCAGTCGAGGAATGTATCCCGGAAATCAACGGACTGGAGTCTGTTTGGAAGTTTTGAGTACTGGGCGCCAGAGGGATCGCCGTACCCAAGAAAGATGTCTTGAAGCCAAGACGGGAGTGCAACATCAGAGACAATGAGCTTCTGCATAGTTTCCAGAATAGATTTGAAGTTGTTCTCCCGACCCTTTCTCCGAGCAACCACATTAATCAAGGGATAGACATCTGGCTTTCCTTGTGCTTGACGGTCCTTGTCCGCTTTGAATGCGGACGCTTCCAAATTGACTAGCAGTCGACGCACCCGCGGACGGGAGTTGTGACCATTTGACTGACCAGAAGCTGGCTGACGAAGTTGACGGCCTTGCTCATCAAGAACCTGAACAATCTCTGCCGTTCGAAGATAGGTCATGTGAGGACCCTCAGCATTCTCGTCATTTGCGTGTCGGGGAGGTGAAGATGACTGAACTGCCAGAAGATAGATGACATCGTCCGGGCGAAGGCCTTCCCACTCTTTGCGGATGTGATCTGCTAGTCTGCCCACTTCGATGGCAATCTCGGCACGAATGAAGGCCGGGTTGGGAGAGCCGACCTTCGCGGGGGCAACTTCAACAATAGCAGGCTTTTCAATAGGGATGGCCATTCGTGAGAATCCTTCGAACTTCAAGCTTCCATCGCGGTTTGCGCGGGGCTGCATGCGCTTCACGACTGATTCCATGTCCTTACGGATTTGGAAAAAGGCCTCAGATCGGTAAAGAAGGAATGAGCGCCAAAGGAAATCACCAATACTCAAGTATTGCAAGTTCAGCTTCGGGATGGCAAGGGGTCTTGAGCCGTCATAGGACTCGTTCCTCAGCAGCGCTGGGTCATATAGATCGGCTTCGGTGGGCACAATGCTCAGCTTTGAGGTGGCCTCCTGGAACGAAGGCTTACGCTCGTAGAAAGAAGCAAGCACCTCTGTGTAGAACCTTGTATTCGGGATGATACCGCAAGACTTGGGATAGGTAGTTCGGAATCCAAGAAGGGAGCAAAGACTCTCAAGCTCCGCTTCACCCAATGAAGAAAGTTGTCCCTCCAGCTCGGACCGCTGTTCGATAGAACCAAGATTGGATAAAGCGAGGATCATCAACTTGTCCTTGAAATGCTTCATGGAGGTTCTCTGGAGCCGAGCCAGCTGTTGGCAATGGCGATCATAGACTGCTTGCGGGACAAGGGCCTCCCCAGAATAATCATCAATGGCGAAGTTGACAAAATGTCCTAGGAGGTTATAGAAATCACGAAGAAGGGCGTTCTCGGGTCCTTGATACTGCTGTGAAAGACGGATGGCGGGCAAAATGTTGAGGTCCTTAAGCAGCGTATTCACGTAGCGGCGAGTTGGAAGCTGGCTTAAAAGATCGACCAGCAGCTCCAAGAATCGCTCACAGTACTGCAGATTTTCCGATTGCTCCTTTTCTGAGCCATTCATCCTCCGCAGGAAATCCAGCAGCATGGTATACAGCCAAGATCGCTCGAATCGCATCTTCGCTTTGGTTGGCTCATCTCCGGCATCATATCGCTTGCCTGCGGCCCTCCAGGCTTTCTTGAGCGCTGGGGATTGCGCAATGATATTCTCTCGGGCGTCCTCGCTGGCTAAGTTGTGCCAAATCGAAATGGAAACGAGTGGGGCGCATTCTTTCCGGATCAGGACGTTCTCGAGGGATTGAAAGGCGCCGATAACGAATGAGATGATTGAGAGGCGTGACTGAGTCGGCAGTGAAGGATCGATGCTCATTGACAGGATTCGATGGAATAGAGTCGAGAAATCGTCGTCGCGGTCCGAGAAAATGTCTGCTTTCACCATTAGCCTTTGCTCCATCCCACACGCGGTCATATCCACTCACCCCATATCGGCAGGTGCTCGCGGTATTTCACGCTCACAATAAGCGCAATCAGGAGAACATGGTGGTTGGAAGCATCCTCCGTGTACGTTGGCCAAAGGAACCTGCGATCGCGTTAGCCCTGCGGGGACAAAGTATCAACTGTCAAGCGCGGGCAACATACTTCTCCAGGACATTCAGATTCTCCAGGATCAACAGTGATTGATGAGTGAAGCCCTCAGCCTCCAATGGATCCCACAATTGCTTCTTGATCACGTCTGGCTTGACCTTGCGAACCTTGACGTTCAACCAATGTGTCTTAGCTAGCTTCAACCATGGGCTATCCTCACGGAAATCCACCACTGTTGGTCTCGATTCGAGACTCTGCGCCATCGCCGCACTCAATTTTCCCTTGTTCTGATGAACGAGGGCTGGTCAAGGGCGTGAGGGGAAATCTGCGACGGGATTGAAGTTGCGGCGCGAAGCTGGGGGAGCTTTTTCGGCCGGTCTTGGCGTTCTTCTCCGCCGAGCCGCAACCGCGACTCTTCCTGTCTTTGGGTTAACTACCGTTTCTCTCTTTGTCTCTCACTCCCCTCCCTCGCAAACACACTTTGCACCCCCGGCTTTCTTCTCGGGAAGATGGCCCCCATCGAAACGGATGCCGTTCGTGTGTACAAGGGGCTGGTCGACAGTCTCTTGGACCGCGCTGTGCAGGTCAAGCCTGACGGTCAGATTGAGCCCCCGTTGACCGAAACACTTCTAGGCAAGGCAATCTGGGAAGCCCCAGAGGTAAAGGAACAGGAGGCCGTGCAGCAATTGAATCAGCAGACGCGACTTGCTGCGGTGGAAATTGCTTTTCGAGAGAAGTTCTATCGCATTCTGGTAAGAAGGGATCTTTGACGCGACAGATGGTCTGGGACATCAAGCTAATCGGAGCTTTCCTACGACAGGCTTCTACCTCGATCGATGACCCTAATTTCATTCATATCTGGAATTTACTCGACATTGTCTCGATCTTTTCCGACAATGGTCAGCCCCTCGCCCCCGGTCTACCAATCGTACCTCCTCGACACTGCTAACGCCATATACAGAACAATGCGAACCTGGCCTGATCTTCTGGCTCATCGAGGAACTGCTGGACAGTCAAACTATCGATGGATGTCGTACGGTTTTTGATTATCTCGAGTCGCGCCGAGAAAGGAACATCAAGGTATGTCTCCCTGGTGATCCAACGTCTCATGTCGTACGAGTCTGAGCTGACTTGCCTGGAGAAACACTTTAAACAGAAAAGCTTGGTCATTCTCAGATCCTGCAACGAATTGCTTCGCCGATTGTCACGCGCAGAGGATACTGTGTTCTGTGGACGAGTCTTCATCTTTCTCTTCCAGAGCTTCCCGCTTGGCGATAAGAGCTCAGTCAACCTACGCGGCGAGTTTCACACCGAAAATGTCACCACATACGACGAGATTCCGAATCCTGCGACTGGACACGAGGACGATGATACCACAATGACCGAAGGCAACGAAGATTCCCCAACAGAGGGCCAAGGAGAGGGGGTTTCTCCTGCTGGGAATCGCGAAATTGGAGCGTCATCATCGCAGATCCCAAAGGTCGTTGTTTCCGGGGGCAAAGAAAGAAAGCCGAAGGAGCCTGTTGACCTGGATGCTCTGTACCCCATATTTTGGAGTCTGCAAGCCTATTTCTCCTCGCCGACCAAGACGTTTGACTCGGAGCGATTTGCGAAATTCAAGACTGGACTGGAAGCTACGCTGTCCGCCTTTAAGAATATCAACACTGATCTCGAGAATCAAAAATCACAACGCTCTTCCGAGGAAGCTCGCAATTCGAACAAGCGCAAACGCGTTACAGACGATACCGAGGTCGGCACCAGTTTTAATCCCAAATATCTTACCAGCCGGGACCTCTTCGACCTCGAAATCAGCGATATGGCGTTCAGGCGGCACATACTTGTTCAGGCTCTCATTCTTCTCGACTTCATGTTGTCCCTCACGCCCAAGGCCAAATCTCGATCAGCCGATCTAACAAATAAATCCGTTTTATATGGGTTTGTGTTGAGCGAGGAGGAGGCGAAATGGGCTGCTAGCATGAGGACGGCCATTGAAGGATATCTCCGTCAAGGCAATGGTGGGAACTTTTACTATCGCATGGTCGACACTGTTCTATCTCGGGACAAAAACTGGGCGCGGTGGAAGGCTGAAGGCTGCCCGCCAATCGAAAAGCCGGCCGTTACGATACCGGAATATCTGTCTGCCCGTGACCAAGCAACTAAAGCATATGCCGATAAGCGGATTCGTCCCTCGCCAATGGGATCGTTGGACTTCAAGTTTCTCTCCGACGGCGAGGCCCTGGCTAATATTGAGCGGCTCAAAGAATCGGATCGAATCTCAGTACCCGCCGCAGATGCTTTGATGATGAGCATGTTGGACGACGACATGGATCTTGATATGGCACAGTCTCAAGACGACAAGGACGTTGCCTTGAGATCCAAATATAGCAAGACCTGGCGCATCCTTCGCTTGTCTGCAAAGACCAAGCTGGCGGCTTTCGATCGGATTGAAGATGGCAAGAACCTCAAAGCTCTCTTTGAAAACGCCACAGCGCCTACCGAAACCCCACAGCCCGCGGAAGCCGCCGAAGATTCCCCCGAGCTCTCCAAGGAAATCTCGCACGGTGGCGACGGTGCTCAAGATACGCCACCCCCGGATGCATCGGAGGTTCCTGATGAGGGAATCAGCGTTCTCGCCACCGAGGAGGCACAGGAGGAAGATCAAACGGAAACGGTCGCCCCTGATGAAAGCATGGGCATCGAAGCCGAACCCGTCGCGTCTAGTGCGGCTTCCGGAGATAATCCCAAAGAGGAGCCGGAAAGCTGACGGCAAACCGGCTTTGGCGCATGCGAAAGTTTTGGCAGGATGCATACATATTGCCTTTTCCCCTTTCCCATTCTTCCTAGTGCGGAGCATTACCCGCAACGGGTATCGCTTAGCGGACAGGACACATCACATCCACCAGGTCCAAAGACCCGGGTCCCTGCGGGGAGTTTTCTATTGTATTGAGGATCACGGATCTGCAGCTGCGATGCGTCAACTTCAATATCGAGACACGAGCGGTGGTAATTAACCGATAACCGATTCGCCTTGCGTGTGCAGAACACCTGCTTTGAAAGGAAGGTTTTGCGATATTTATTACTTTTCCTTGATTGCTGGCTAGCCATGCATTGCACAGCAAGCGCCGACTGCTGGACGGGATCGTACTCGTATGCGGTGGACCATTAGGTGAATTAGGTGAACCATAGCAGTTGCAAATGTCCCCGCTCAACAGGCTGCAAGGATTTCGTCTGTCGATCAACGGTGCACATCGGACCATGTCTAGCGATATGGTTGCATTTTGAGATGTTGATGTCTCTGATCTCTGGGGCTTAGCGAGGCAGTGAAGTAAGTCAGTAGGTGGGCTCAACGGCGATCAACAGAAACTAGTTACCACCGATAAAAATTTTATTTCCAACTTGAACCTTCAAACCCGAATCGGGCCCGGTAGAACTAGTACCGAAATTGTCCAGTGGCAGAAGAAATGTAGAATTAGCTACCGACGTGGGGACTAGGGATTTCATTACTGGTTGATCGACAACTCTATTGAAGGTGAAAAGAGGTTCCTGCATGAATTCGACGTATTTTTGTTAGCATTTTCCCTGTCCGGACTCGGATATCACGCGCTGTCCTCCGTACCTTTTTCTCTCGAAAATACACCCTTTTGGATAGCAAAAAATTAAAAATCAAGCCCCTCCCTAAATCCTATTGTAGTAATAACCTCGGGCCCAAAAAATCCTTTGCCCCTGAGACTAGGACGAAAAGCAAAACTAAAAAACCCAGTGGAAAGGCCGGAGCGTCACAGCCACGTTTCAGTTTCACACGCCCCCATCCCGACTAACAGGACAATGGGACGAGTTCGGCGTCTGAGGTTCTCACATCACAAGGGCAAAAACGAGATTAGGGGAGCAAGTGGACTCCAAACTCCTGTTTTGGCCCCCGAACCTACTGCACCACGCCTTTCTGGTTCATTGAAATGTGAATCAGGGCATGTGAATGTTTGCAGAGAGGGAACACCCTGACGGAGTAGGGAGCTCCGATATACCAACCGTGTTTACAATTTGCAGTGATGTCTTGCTACTCCTTTCAAGTTGTAGATACCGGCCCTCGGTGTGAGTGGAGGTTCCGGGCAGGTCCCAAGTTCGTACGATTCTTCTCGAAAGAAAGAAAAATCGCGACGCACTGTTCGCATGGAGGTGCCTCGCAGGAAATCCACAAGCAACGGTCCACTCGGTGGTGTCGGAGTCTCGCAAGACTCCACTAGTGGAGCAGTTTTCCGCTATCGTCTAAGATCATGAGAGACTTTGTCTGTGCTGTGCAAGTTCCTCTGATCTAAATGCACTGGCCACTTCCGTCTTGAGCATAGTACTACTTTACGGAGTATGTAAAGTACAGTTCAATAGTCAATGGCAAAGGTACTCCATCCCGGAGGCTGTGTTTTGCCAAGGGCGCCCTGAGAACTATAGCTTGCATGTGTGTCGCCAAAATCCAGAAATCAATAGTCTCGGAGGGAATGCTTGTTTAACCGTTAGCACCGCATTGTCTTATCTTTTTGCTTGCCCCCAGGGGAATGTGCCTGTGCCTCTTCGATCCATGGAAACGCGGCGACGCCGACCTGTCAACCCGAATTTCGAGACTGGGCCCGGTTTCGAAACAATGGGAGGCGGCTGGAATATTCCAAGGCATAAGCTTGGTTCCATTTATCTAGCCCTTCGTGTACCGCGGTACCGGAAGTCTCGGTAGTATCAAAAGCTATACTCTACAGTATGCCTTGTCCGGGGTCTGCTCAGAACCTCATCTCTTTTTTTCGATCTGCAGGGCACAACATCTCATCGGCCAATTTTGCCGCCAAGCGGAGCCTATAAGCACCAACAGCAACTAAGCCGTACGGATTATTCCGTGGTGAGTGGCCTAGCACCATGCAGCGATCGGCTTGCGTCACCCTCCGGTGGTTTCGTTTCGGCGCGATGACGACGTGCATGCACGCGATACGAAATGAAGGAGTGGTCCCATCTTGGCGGCGAAGCACCCGAGATTAAAGTTGCGCTGCGATCGATGCTGCGATCGGATTCCCCGCAGTTGTTCTGGAACAGTGTATGTACCTACTCTGTACATGACCTAGTCTCCTCCCCTCCTCCGTTGGTGAGCTCGGGGACAGTGTGGCTGGTCTGACAGCGAGGGACCCCCCCACCAACGCCGCTCTGACCATGGAATGCCGTGAGGAGCTGTGCTAAGCTTGTTATCTTTTTTTCAATTTTTATTGCGCCTATGCGGTAAGCACCGCGTCATGGTGGCCTGAAGTGGAAAATGTCAGAGAAGCGCTCGCAAGGTTGTGTCTGCGATCGACGGTGGTTTCGGCCGTAGAGGGGCTCGCTGTGCGCTGTGATTCGGGATAGGGGCCAACGGTTCCGAGTTTTCTCCTCCGAAACCCGTGCGAGGCGAGGCGAGGCGAGTGGGGGTCGTTTAGCACATCCACCGTGGGTTCGGAGTGATCGTGTGGAGCAGCGTCTGTACGTAAAGGGAGGATGCTAGGTCCCCACCGGCTATTGAACCGACCAAACTTTGTTGTGCATTGTAAAGAGAAAATGCAGAGCTCCATTGTACACATACTTTCGGCCCGGAAGTGGCACTGTTGTGACCTCATCTTGGACAAGAAGAGGAAAGATGTGCAAGGCGTCGACTACAAGTGATGATTGTGGTGGTGGTGGATGTAGTGGTAAGTGGTTAGTGGTTCCTTGTCTTTTAGGGCAGGGAGGGTCACGCACGTACGAGATCAACTAAGAGGGGAGGGCCGGGGGCCAGTATCAAAGTACTCCGGTACCCCCAAATGCATATGACAAGGCTATAGAATAATCTGGAAGTTAAAATGGCCCACTGCAGATTCTTCAACATTTTTGCCAGATCGCGATCGATCTGAAATTCCAGGAGCCCTTCATTTCAGCTGTGACCTGAATTGTTTCATGCTTTGGGATGTGGAGATTCAAGGAGTGCTTTGCGTGGTGGAGTCGAGGCCTTCCCGAGCCACGGTTGGCCCCGAAGATGCTAGTGCACCCCAGTGACAAGAGTATCTAAAGTACTCCGTACGGAGTACGGAGTATATGTACCTTTGATGGTTTGAAAGCGGATATAGTTCAGGGGTAAAAAACTATATAAAATAATAATGATAATAATCTGCGGCTCTACGGAATTAATACCATCCATAATTCTCCCGTCAATACGGTCTCTTCCCTTCTTAGCGATGCCCCATTCGGTTTCAGGGCTCGCCGCTAAGACCAATGAGCTTTTTGATATTATCTTGGACATAACCATGGATGATCGCGGGGTCTCCCATTCGGACCATCCTTTTTTTAATCATTTATTTGTTTATTTCTTTTCCTCTATCCTGGATTGCTTCCTCCTTGACCACCCCGCTGGGACGCCTCCACCTCTATCCAATGTCCTCGCACCCCAGCGGCGGGCAGCTCTCTGACTGGCCCATCCATAGTTTGCCGCTTATGGACCAGCCTTCCACATGGCTGGCCGGTGAGAAAAAAGCAAATTCCTAAAAAAAGAGGAACTAAACAAAAGAGGTGGCCAGGGTCAGGCATGCCACCTACGCTAACTAAGACCAATTGGCCAGTGGCCCATGCAGCAATATCAGGCTTTGGCCACCCTTCCTAGTCATATCCACTAAGATCCACGTCGGAAAATTTTCTATCGCTCACGGCGCTAGCAGCCCATTGCTGTTGTTTTGAGATGTACAAACGGGCGAACGCTTGTGTCTCGGTACGAAAGGAGCCCGCCTCGTGGGCTCCTGGTGGGACCCGGGACCCATCGACCCTCTCCCACGGGCAGATAATTATCATTTATCAGGTCAGCGGGATATGGTCCTTCTAGCTTGTCTGGGTCCAGGCTTCAGCCTTGAATCCCCCGTTTCCACCGGGGGCAGAGGGGTATCTCTTTTTCAGCTCGGGCAGGACCGCCATTCGCCACAGGACCCAGTGCTGGCCGTGGTCATAAGTCACGACTTTGGGAGGGAAAAGAGTTTCCCTGTGCTCTGTGCACGTTGAATACTGCTAGATGGTGATTCAAGGGCTGTACCCCGTACTTTGATCAATCTTTCCGGTATATTTCCCTTAAATTAGCTGTTTCCAGCCTTAAAGCCAGGTACAATTGAGACAAAAAGAGGGTAGCAATACGCGTAAAATGGGATTAACTAGTGAACTGTATCGGAATGATCCTTCGCAAGATCGGGTTTAGGTCTGATACTCCCGTAACCTGGCCGTTTTGGAACCCGGGGTTACATCTCTGGGACTATTCCACAAGGAGGATCATTCGCCTCCATAGATCGCTGATCTCTCCCGAGTTGACGTGCGCGCAACCAAGTTCTGACCAGACCGGCCATGTGTGCACACTCCTTTCCCTGGCCCACCCTTCTTCCTTTTCAAAACAGTGTCTTTAGAGCACTTGCTTGTCTTTCATCTTCTTGGCTTCTTTTCTCATTTAGCTTCATCCTCCTCGACGCTACTGTTTTACCTTCATTTATTCCCAACCCATTTGACTTTTTTATTCTAACGGTCTTTTGTGCATAAACTTTGACCGTTTTTGGCCGTTGCAAAGATCGTCATTCCACGAACCCATATCTTTTCCTTGCAGGTGTGCCACCACATTGGGCCTCTCTCGGTATCCAACTCTGATTGCTCAGTGGACCCTGGCGGTATTGCGGGCGTCCGTTTAATATCTCAACCCGACTGGTATTTCCACTCCCTTTCGCTTGGCCCGCTGCCCTCTTTCTCGTTTGTTGTTGCCATTAGATCTTTGGCCCCGGTGACTCCATTGCTCTTTCGTTTTTCCTTGGCTATTAGTCGTTGGAGAGTTTAGCAGTGGACTCTACTCTCGTGGTCTGGTCTACTACCTATCTACGTAAAGATCTTCATTGAGGGAAGTCGAAGGTTGTGATCTGAGATCCAGCAAGGACTTAGGACACAAAGTGGCCTGTTGTCCCGCTTTACTTGACGTCGTTTACTCAACTGATTTCTGCACCTTACAACTATCGGCGCCTAAGAAGTCCACGCTTCATCTCTTGCCATCCCCCCTCTTTTGACCAGATCTGATATACATCCAAGGTCACGCCCAAACGCTCCGGGCGTCACCCTTTACTCCGTTAAATTGCAGAACCCTGAGTCTGTTGCGCAAGCGCCCCGGCATTTCCATTAGACCCACCTTCGTCTCATCTCGGGGAGACGACGCATTAGTTTCGCTTTTGTCCCTTTTTACCTTTTTTCTCCTCTGTTTCGTTGTGGTGTGGTTTGGTTTGTTTTGAAATCTCGTTGGTTCCATATCTTGAGTGGAAGTTGACGTCGGTCTTGATCTTCTTCTTGTCTCGCTGATCTAGTCAAGAAAGAAGGGCTCGGTCGATCTGTTGAACATGTCAATCGGCGGCCCTTGTCTCTGGGTGCCTTCTTTATCCTCACCGGTTCCCTCGCCCCTGTCGGCTGTCACTTCCCATTTTTCGGCGATTCATCGTCACGGAGAGCGGGCTTCTTCGCTTCCACGAACTTCCTCGCCACAGTCGACGTTTCCAAGGGAACTAGCACTGGACATTTCTTCCTTAAGACGGTCTGCTGAGATGCAACGAGCTGGTGCAAAGGCTGAGAATGCCTCCACCACACCAGTACCTTCCACTACAGCCTCTTCAGCCAAGTACGGGGGGGGAATCCCATCGCACAGTTCATTCAACCCAGCAGCCGGATCAGGAAGAGATGGCTCTCTTCCACGAGTGAAGCTGGAGATTCCTGGGAGAAGTCATACCGACTTCTCGATGTCCTCTTCTCAAGGCGGGTCAAGTCATTTGGGAGATATGTCGGATGCGTCTCATCTAGGTCTTGATTCGAAAGATGAGCACGAGCATGACAGAGATTCTACGATCAGCCCTTCCGATGAGAGGGGCGATACTTTAGATGGTGATGATAGCAAGTCCCTATCGCTGGAAAAGAAAAAGATGAAACGATTTAGGTAAGACAAAGGTGGAAGCAGAGGCTGAAGTTTTAAGGTTATCGGTGACAGAAACGTTGACCATCAACAGATTAACGCACAATCAAACTCGGTTTCTTATGAGTGAGTTTACTCGTCAGGCTCACCCGGACGCTGCCCACCGAGAACGTCTGTCGAGGGAAATTCCTGGCTTGACGCCACGTCAGGTCCAAGTTTGGTTCCAAAACAGGTAGTGTTTCACCATTCAGCAATATTTGGGCTTTCCTAACAATACATCACATCATAGACGAGCAAAGTTGAAGCGCCTCACTACGAATGATCGTGAGAGGATGCTCAAGTCGCGAGCACTGCCAGATGACTTCGACACAACGAAGGTTTTACGCACCCCCTTTGAGAGCAAGTCGACCGGTCAAACGCCCGTAGCATCACCCCATGACTACGGAGTCCCGAATCCAGATTTTGCAGCACTGCGGACTCTACGGACAGACTGCTTCCAACGCCCGAATGAGGAGGACTACCTTGTCTCGCCGCTTAGCTCGGCCTCCACTGCAGGTACCTACATGTCCTCTGCTGGGCAGGGACGTACGGACGGCTTACCCCAGCCCTCCATGATGTATGGACGTCCCATGGCATCTTCATCCATGTCCGATCTACATAGAACGATCCGAAGTGATTACTCGATCACCCGATCCAGCAGCGTGTCCGATGCGTCTTCTCAGCCCCCGTCGTTTCACCCGGGAATGCAACTGCACAATAGGTTCCCTCCAACCTCGAACCAGTCCGGTATGCCTTATGGTCGCCAACCAATGGAATATGGCGTCCCACGACACCCAGGTACAATGATGACAGGCTATGACCAGTCACAATCATTTGAAGGTTCGGTTTCGCCCACCGATTCTCAGGGTAACCAAATGCCCTATGAACTGGGCAGTATTGGTTTGTTCATCTTTACCCAGCGAACTGCGTGCCAGAAGTCTAACTCGTGATTTACCAGGTACACAACCCCCGAACTACCAGTCTCACCTGGCAATGTCTGGAATGACTTCGCAAATGCCACATGGAAGACCAATGCCCTCCCTGCAATCTCTACCTGTATCCGCACCACAGGAATACCGACCTTACCCCTACGCTAATCCCTCGGGGCCTATGGGCACAGTTCCCTATACACAATCCAACGCCTCAACGCTGAGCCTCCCCACCTCCTTCGCTCCATCCGAACCCGGAGCCGCTGCCCAAGACCACATGCAGCAGAACCAGCCACATCTAGACTCCTTCCGATCCAAATTCAGCAACCAACCCTTCAACTACTCGAGCTACATCCAACAATAATGAGATGAATTTATATAGGCGGGCAGGACCACACCTACCCACCAATTGGTATACTCTGCGAGTTTCCTCCCCATCCAGCCTGGTCTGGATAAGGTTCCCGGCAACCAATTCTTTCTCCAGTTTGTTTATTTTTTCAACCTCTTCTCTCTTTTCTGTTTGCTCCAGTCGGCCACTAGGCATTTGATCCACATGAGCGCGTTTAATCTTAATGTTTCTTAGCCTTGTTTCATATTGTTGGTGTTGACTGTGTCGCTTCAACTCATTTGTTTCGTTTTTTTTTTCTGTCGTTTCTCTGCATCGCTTGGTTTTGGCAAAATTGTCGTTCATGGGTCCGGTGGTATAGCGTGTCAATTCTTATTTTCTGTTCTGTTTTGTGGCTCTCATCGCTATCCAGGTTCCAGGTAGTTTTGGGCACTAGCATTTGGTTTCATTCGTTGATGGATGGAATTTGGTTTTAATGTTAATCGCTTTCTATCCGGGTTATAAATACATGGTTAGGCTTAGCAATGGAAGCGTGATTGAAACTTTTCAAAAAAATATTTCCAAATTTACCTGTGTCTATGGCCCATAGTCGTTCAGGGTAGTGACTCTCAAGAATATATATTTCAACCCCTCCGAGTCCCCCAGGCGAGGTTCTCCACTCCAGGGCTGGCAGCCACTTATACTCTGCCCAGTAGAATCCCCTGCACTCTGACACATCTATCGGATCTGTACGAAAAAGAGCAGTAACTTGAGATCATAGTAGATCGCTTCCTTTCCATAACAAATCCCAATGCGCAAGGGCGGCCAATGAACCACGTGACCGCCAACCTCCGCCCTCAGTCGCCGCCAAAATCGGCTATTTTTATTTGAGCTACAAAACACCAGGAAAATTCATAAAATTCTTTAGAAAGAAATATCAGTAAACCAAGACCAGCTAAATTAAGTTAGAGAGTCAAACGTCATAGATAGCCTAGATTTATCAAGACATTATCTTGGTTTGCTAAGTCTTTGATTTCTTGCCGGGACCCATAATCTCCATCTCTTGAAGAACAGTCAATCTGACTCTTATGTATCCTAAAGTCAAGGCAGTATTCATAACGCGGCGATGATAGCTCAGTTGGGAGAGCGCACGACTGAAGAACAACTTCAATCAGCTGTTAAAGCAAATCGTGAGGTCGCTGGTTCGATCCCGGCTCGTCGCATTTTTTTGGCCTTTTTGGCCTTTTTGTATCACTTTTTACTTAGGGAATCAGTCAATTAATAATCCATTCTGGATTTGGATCTCGATACCTGCTTGTTCTTGCTCCCTTTCCTCTCCATTTTTATCTCCGATCATACCACCAGGGAACGTCATATTGACCTGTTAGGTCTTGTTCTATCTATGATTGAGGCTTAATTTCCAATGTAGAATTGAATCTTGATTAAATGAAAATGATATTCATTCCAGTGTTGGTTGTTCACTTGGGTGCCAGAATAGCACTTCTCCCACTCTGAATAATATCTCTTAAAATCTCCAGACGATCTTGACCCCACAGTGGTTCGTTCTGATAGAAATAGAAAGGTGCACCGAAGACCTTTCGCGTCTCTGCCTCTTCGGTTAGGGCGGACTCGATCCTGCAAGCTTGCTTTCGTTCCTCGCTCTGTCCACAAGACGAATTCCTTCGAGTCCAGCTTCATCGGCAAGCTGGATAACGGTTTCTGGATTCGCAATATCGAGTTCTCTTGCCCAAACAGCTTCTAATCCTCCGTGCACGTATTTCTGCACTGATGGGCTATCATGCCCCAGCTCCTCGGTCGCCGCGATAAGAACGCGATGTGCAAGTGACGGGTCTGCGGGGTAATATTTCGGATTTAGAACGAGTTCAATGTCACGAATACGCTTCCAGCGTTCCATCTCAACCAGGTGATAGGCCTGTCTTTGCTCTGCACGCTGTTTTACAGGAAGACTTCCGGAATTGTAAAAGTATGCAGCAAATCGATCGGTTTATAAATGACTTTAGATTCGGTTTGCTGCGCAACTGGTGAAATCGGCGACTCCCGATATATGACCATAGTAAGACAAATGAGAAGTATAATTCCACTGTACGGTGACTAGTCATGTTGCTTCGGACTCCAAAGAGAGGTTTCTGTTGTGTTTATGAAGTGTGTTACTGGGGATTCGCGGCATCTTTATGGGTGAATGGGAGAGATCTGCTTGACTCCGAACCGGCAAGGTTGTGTTAGGCAATCACGTTATTGGTCGTACTATTTCTCAAACCCTATTTCTCTCGGCATTTGGTTTTGAATTCTATTGCGAATTTGATGTGCCTTTTTGGTGCAATTATATTGGTGTTGAAATATCATGTCATCGTTGCTGGGAATGGCGAATATAACGCCATCAGAACTCTCAAATATCATCTGATAAGCATGAACTGATTTGATCGTATAATCAAAGTCGCATAGCCCCCCGGCCTGTATTTGAAAGCGATGTCAATAGATTATCCAAAATCTTACTAGAAACAAAGTATTCTTTTCTTAATCAAAAAGTAATTCGCTATGGAAGATTATTTCAACGTCATGAATCAACTATCATCTATTTTCCGAAAACTTTGAAACGGTTCTCGATAGGTTCGAATGCCTTCTCTCCTGGCTCAGAGGTAGGTGTACCGAAAACAAGCTGGGCATCTAATTTCCACGAAGCAGGCAGATCCCAAGTCTTAGCAACCTGCTCATCAATTAGGGGGCTGTAATGTTGGAGGTTGGCTCCGAAGCCCTCAGATTCTAGTGCAAGCCAGACTAAAAAATTAGAACTTGATTAGCATTGTTATAATGACCACTCATGATAACAAGCACTCACCAAAATATTGGGACATGGCATTGGACTCCAGTGCAAAGGGGTCGAACTTGTCTGCGTAAATGGCAAACTTCTCCTTGATGGGGGCAAGCGACTCGTAGTCCACAAAGAAAAGAACCTGGTTCGAGTTAGCAATCTAGAAATTGATTGTCCCTGCCATCGAATATACATACAGTTCCATAGGCCGCGCGGAAGGACTCAAGCTTGGGCTTGGTAGAGCTCTCAAAGGACTCCTTGGGAATGTGGCCAGCAGCGACCAATCCTTCAATTGCCTTGATCGCAATGTCCCACACCTTTTTGTGCTCCTCCTTCAAGAGCAGAACGACCCGAGAAGTCTGGGTGTTAAAGGAGCTGGGAACATGGAGGACAGAATCCTGAACAATTCGCTCAATGGCATCATCAGAGATAGGGCTTTCACCCTTCAGGCCATAGTAGGTGCGACGACCCTTGACCAACTCCAACAGAGTAGAAGTGGCAGAGTTCTTGAATTCAATAGCAGTGGAGCCCATTTTTGAAGGTAGTGAAAACGGTTTTATGTGTATTCTAAGTGTTAAAAAGCACAAAACCGCTAGCTGGCAATCACAGAATTTATATCAATTATGAATTTGGTGCTCCTATCTTTGTACGCATCTCGCAACACTCCCCTTTCCCCCACTATGCGATTGTTCCGTGGGCTTCAGAATGGGACCGTCAGCATAAAACCAATAAAATTTGTGGTTCCTTCGCAATAATCCCCGCCGCATGAAAAATCCAATGGCACTTGACCAATCGCGTATGCGCATTGTGGCGGGTTCTCGGAGTTTCCAATCTCCGACATTTTGTAAGCGGTATCTGGTATCCGTAGCCTAAATTCCGCACTGATTATGAATCACTCAGAATAATTATGCAAGCCTGACCAAGCAAAAAAGGCATAATGGATAGAGCACAGCAAGGGAAAATTGTGTTTGTTTCTAAGCATTCAATAAATCATTTTCTATCTAGTACAATATCTTTCTCATAGTCGTGGATTGTATCATTTAGCAATCTTGCTCAGCTTCGATTTCGGCTGATAGGGACTACAGAGGATAAGAACACATAAATAGCCATTGGACGAATTGATACCCAAAAGAGAAGAAATGACCCAAGAAATCACTGCGCTTCTAATAAGAAAAAAAGGTAGCTGGTAGATACCTAGTTCATGTGAATAGAAACCAAGATCTAGCGTCACGTCGCAAGATAGAATAATAGAAAATAATATTCACTCTCCATCAATCTGATCAACCTGAATTAATTTTTTTTTAATTCGGAAGGAAAGAGGAGATTGAAGGGAGAATCAGATCCTGCTCTTCTATCTGTTCCTGCTGTCGTCGTTGGAGATCTTCAAGACAGGCCTGGCCCCTTTTCGACTGTTGCTGGTGGGCTTTCAGAGTCTCTGATCGGGCAAATGCTTTATCACATCCCCCGCAAACCCACTTCTTTTCCCCAGTATGTGATTTCATATGACGATTGAGATCACTCTTTCGAATGAAGGATTTTTGGCAATATTCGCAGGGAAACCTCAGATTATTCTGATGCACTAAGAGATGAGACTTGAGATTATAGAGTCTTGTGAATTCTTTTTGGCAGTATTGGCATTTGAGGTCGTCCTTGCTGTGTCTTTTAGGGGTTGGGCGAGGTCGAATCTCGGGCTCGGAAGCAGAGGATTCATCTCCATCTCCATCAGATACGACTGTTGCATTCCCGTGAGGCGCCGCATTATCCCTAGTGGTCGTGTCGGTGGTTTGTTTTGCGACTTGTGCCTGAGACTCCGTATTCTTAGAACGAATGCTTAATTGTATTTCTTTGTCTGTGGGAAACTCGTGGTCTTGTTGAGAGAGATCCGGATGATAGTCCTTCATATGTCTCTTGTATTGAGCCAGAGACGCAAAGCCAATATCAAAGCCCTTTTCGCACTTTTCATCGTTGCACCTATGTGGTCTCTCGTGTCTTGCGACATGGATCTCTCGCTCATCTGGTGTCGGAAATCCAAGAGTGAAGGAGCGACAGCTGAAGCGAGCGCATCGAAAAGGGCCTTGACCATATCTGTCCACCATATCCTTGGGGGGGGCCTGAACCCTGAGACATCGAGAACGAATCTTCAATCACTGCGCGGACCTGTTTGATAACTTCCATTATATCTGTTGAAAGATCTTCCTTTTTGATGGGTCCAAAAGAATGCAACTGCTTTCGGGTCGATACGAAGATTTGCTGTAACTCTTCGTGGAAGGACAGGGGCTCGAATACTTGGAGATTTCTTTTGTTTCGGTCAGAAACTGCGAGATAGGATTTTGGCGATGTCCAGTGATGCTCAATGAAGACGCCGAGTGATTCGGCAAGTGATGACATCATGCGCGAATATTGATCTTCTTGTAAAGTTGGATAGGCAAGAGGAGCTTCGCTGTCATCACTGTCTTCGGGTTGCTGGATTTCTTGAAGTTTTGTCTTCGCAATTCTTCGTTTCGCTTCCGCAATTGCCCCTTCCAGATGCCGAATCCAATAGAGAGCAGCGTACTCCATGAAACCATAGTCTCCCCGAAGGGCGGCGTCACTAGATATTGAGCTAACAAATATGGGGAGATTCAGATAGTCAATGCAAAGTGACGCCATTCGGATGTCCCCAGGCAGTGGATCCACAATTCCCTCGTCCACGAGGAAGCTGTTTGCTATGGTCAGTGACCATTGAGTCATGCTTGTATAGAATGGGATATCGTACTGTTTTGCTGTTAAATGTATCAACTCGACGGTTCCATCTTCCGAAACATTGACCAAAGGTCCACAAAGGTCCTTTGCATCAACATGGAACCTCTGTCTTTCAAAGTCGATTGATTGCTCTCGACGGTCAATTGACTTGAGTACTTGAATTTCTCGCCATTCAAGCGGTCTTCTCGCCAGCGTGAGCCACTGGAGCACCATTTTGACATCCCTAGGTATGTCTTTTGCTCTGTTGCTGTCGCGAACTCTCATTTGAGACAGTATACGCCGATACCTATCGTTTGATTAGAATGCTTGAATTAGGAATATCGCGATACACTTACGCATCGTCAAGCCTTTTCGGGTATACACTTGGCTCCAGTTCTCTTTCCATGCCGGCAATCGTGGTCTGTTGAGATAAATTGTTCCACACCAATTTCGGTAACAGAAACATGCCTAATATCCTTGTCAGCGTGCTAGAATCACTATGGGCTCAAGTTGTCTATAATCACTAACCTGCCGCCCTCTGAGAAACTGCCGAAGCTATGTCATCTGCTCTGTCGCTTGTAAGCTGAAACTTGATTCTTAAGAGGTCCGCTTGTCGCTGGCAGAATGTTTCTAAGTCTTTCGCAATGTCGCTAGAACTAACTGTGACCGTCTCGATGTCTTCAAAATCCTTTCTCCCATGACCGTCATCCCGACTACTAAAGAGACATCGTAATTTACGAGGTTCATTATGAGGAGGATTCTCGACACGTTCTCGAAACCACATCGATATCTCTTTTCGGTCTTCTCGTTTGCATTCGTCGAGGCCATCAAGCACAATATAAGCACTTTTGCAATGTGTGAGAGCGATATCCAGTAGTTTTTGGATTTTCTCTGGGGTTTGGAGAATTGGTTCCTTGCTCGTGCAGCATTCCTGGTCGAAGTAAGGGAGTAGATGTCTCTCTTGCTCCAACAACTGAGCCAAAAGACCTCTCGCAATTGCAGGGAAAGTGCTGAATTCAGGATTGTCGTGTTTGCAATAGAAAAAAAGAACAGTGGGTTTTCGGTTGAGCTTACGGATCTCCTCTACCACCAGGGAAGCAAGCACTGTTTTGCCTTTTTTCTCCGAATTAGCTCTTTCTGAAATTAAAGGTTTTGGAGGGTAATCCGTACCAGATCCAGGAATTCCCTTAAGCCAAAGGAGAGGGGGAATCGTCGCATAGTCTGGATGAATCCAATCTTTGAAAGATTTGTGTTCAAGCAGCCACGCCCCAGTGTTAGGGTATTCATTTCGTATCTTGAGCAAACTACCATGCTCGATATCAGTGTTAGGAGCTCGGAGCCACTCAAATACTCTTCGGCATTGTTTCTGCTCTTCAAATTGCATTTGTCTCTCTTGTTCGCTCTCTGCAATCTGGCGAGCTTCCTCAAAGGCGTCCAGTTGTGCAGCGTGGTGATCATCCGCAGTCCTTCGCGCATCGTCGAAGGCCCGTAAATGTGCATTATGATGATCGACCTCTACCTGTCGTGAATCTCCAAAAGCTTGCTCATGAAGAAGTCTCGCTTCGCTCTCGATCAAACCTCGGTTTCTCACAATACTTGCAATGATATGCTTGAAATTGGTCTGCTGGCCCTTCCACGTAGACTTAAAGAACTGCTTAAATACTGAATATCTTCATGAGTCCGATTCTCTGTTTTAAGAGGATGAAAATTAAACTCACGCCCTTGATTGTAATATTTTATCGCTATGCGGTGGAACTTCAGAATATCCTCATATATGACGGATAGAATTCGGACCATGAAAGGTTCGTTATTGAAGAGTTCCTGGTACTGCTGAAGAAGGGGAAGATTTTGACCAATCTCCTTATAGACATCTAGTAGCCCGTTGAATACATCTTCAAATTTTTCAAATGACTTGGCTGTGTTAGCTTTGCTCCAAAGTGCTCTGAGTGATCTGGAGTGTAATACCAGCAAAACAAACTTGATCGGGCCCTAAGAAAAAATGAGATTCGTAATATTTGACAATCAATTCCGTGGCTACTTACCCACACAAAGGCCACAAATTCACTGCTGTTACAAAACACCTCTACGACCTGACCCCATTGCTTTATCGCTTCCAGAAACGGCCTTAATCTTTCGAGGTTTCGTGCCTGGCGTTTGATAGTTTTTCTTTCCTGTAAATCCCCGATACTTTTCTCGAGTTCATCAAAGCTGGTGAGATTGGTGAAATAGTCCTTCTCCTTTTTGCTTAACTCCTTTTTGAACCTATCAAGGACTTCCTGGAATATAGGGTTGTGAAGGGACTTTTGTGTCATTTTATTTTTCGCAGGTCGTGTCGGTTGCTTTGGCGGGGGGCTGCTTCAGATAGGGAGCGAGTGACTTCGTCGACTATAAGCAACTCAAAAGCGGCTGGGCCTGGGCTTGAGCTTGTAATGTATTCCAATCGGCTCTCAAACTGGGCGGTTGTGGTGAGACGCAGTGAGGCTCTGCAAGACGCACAGCCTCCTTCACCCCCTCTCGCCGGCCGCTGCCTGATCGGAGCCTCACTTTGTCGTGGCCCAATGAATATGCAATAAAGTGCAATTTCGCCCACGATATTAACTGCGACTGAGCTGTTGAACTATAGGAATGCCCAGGCGAAGTTGCTTGTTTTTTGATTGGGTTGAAAATCTGGTCAACCTCGAACGTAATCGGCTGGCTGAGTCCGTGTCAGACGAGGAGGCAACCAGTGCGCCTCGCCTTGGCTCTAATCCCTGTCTATTTTCTCAAATACGACGCAACACAGATGCAATCTAGTTCTTCAATCTTTTGGCCTCATCGAGTCTTCTTTATCTAACCGGAATAACTACCATGGATGAAATTCGCAAGCGAAAGTTGCCCTTCATCGGGGATGATGGTCAACAGCGCTATCCATCTTCAACCCCACTACCAGAAGAGGTTGACGAGGGCGATGAGATGTGTTTTGGATCTGTAAGTGAGCGCTGGGATTAATTTATTTATCTCCAGGATCTAGATGTCCTAAAAATTGTGCAGATAATCGACGTTAAAACTCAGTTATGTGGTTCAGGGGGTTTGACTGATTTTCCCATGGTCCCGGAATTTGAAGAACAGCCATTTGATCTTCTACGTGAAGGAGACTTCTTTTCACTCACAAATGGCCAATCAAAGATTTCTCTCCTGGATAAGAAGAAAAGTAGTGATCTTTCTGCACTCACAGAAGCTTTTGAAGTTCGGCTTCAGGCCTTCACTTCAGCCAGCCATATCCTTGACACTATTCATTCTTCGGAAGAAGGCGCTTGGGACAGTCCCGCAAAGTCATTATCACTGGCAGTTGAGATCAATATCTATGGCTCCGAGAAAGACGCGAAAGAAGTGGGAATTCTTCTCGGCAAGACCCAGAATTTTCTACAGCCTCCTCGCTATGGACTTGAGAAGATGACATACAAGAACCCTCAAATTCTTTCAATACCTGGCTTTTCCGAGGAAACTCGTATCCCGCCTATTTCCATTTACGAGAATGACGGGGACAACTCATCCCACGAAGATGAACAGGCTGTGTCGCAGGATGACGAGGTTGATAATGTTGATGACTTTTTGGACACCGGTTTAAGGCACGAGTCAAGAGCTGACATATCAGTCGATCGCCGTATCCAGACTGAACTTCGCGAGTAGGTCAAGATTCGATATCATCAACAAATTCCCGTGTCTAAAACTCTATTTAAGGCACCAAAAAGAAGCAGTTGACTTTATTTCTCGTCGAGAGCGGGGAGAAATGCCCGAAGAGCAGAGTCTATGGAAATATAATGATGAGGATGAGGATGAGCCATTGTAAGTTTTTTTTTCTCTCGCTATAATTCTTCGGTATATTGATTGAATACTTTTTAGCTATCAACATGCCTTGAATGGAGAAAGGAAAAGCCAGCCCAGCCATGCTCGAGGCGGGATCCTTGCCGACGAGATGGGTCTGGGTAAGACATTGGTAATATTGTCAGTCATAGCCGGGACGCTTGATCGGGCAAAGGAATTCGAAGAACTCGACATAGACGAATCCCAGCCGCAGATCCAGCCGCAACCAAAACTGAATTCGCAAGCGACCCTCATTTTGGTTCCGTCCACTCGTACGCTGCTCTCGCCCATTCCTACAACAGTTTATCTAACAATATAATGCAGTTATCATAGATAATTGGGTTAAGGAAATTCGAAAGTGAGAGCGACAATCTTGCCGGATATGACTAAAGCTAACGGCTACTAGGCATGCCTTTCCGTCAAGCTTAGTCTTTCATAAGCATATTGGGCAGGACAGATATTTAGAGAAGGAATTCCTTCGCAAAAGGGCTATCGTATTCACAACATACGCGACTCTTGCAACTGAGGTCCGTCGTGAGGCCAGCTTTTTGTCAAACATCAATTGGTTTCGAATTGTTCTTGATGAAGGTACAATTGCCGCTGATGAAATCGAGACCTTTTCACAATGCTAATAATATTGGAAAAACCAAGCCCACTATATCAGAAACCGGGCAACAAAACAGTTTCTTGCTGTTACAAAGTTATCTGCCCAGAACCGATGGTGTCTCACAGGAACGCCTATCCAGAATGATATCGAAGATTTGGGAGCACTCATCGCTTTTCTCAAAGTTCCAGTACTAGAAAGACCGTCTACATTCCGCAAGCTGATTTCACACCCAATTTCTTCCAATGCAAGGTATCGTTTCAAGAATATGCAAACCCTTCTTCATGCAGTCTGTATTAGACGAACCAGAGGCCTTTTGGAAATCCCAGAGCCTCTTATCCAAGTGAAACAATTGCCAATGTCGCAGCTGGAAAGATCTCAGTACCGCGAGCTCCTTCATGATTGCAAAATGAAAATTGACATGGCCGTCAGTGGTATTAGTCGCCAACAAAAGGGGGAGACCTAACTCGACTGTTCTGGAATCCCTTCTTGCGCTTCGACTCTTTTGCAACAACGGCAAAGCAGTAACCAACATGCCCGTGGATTTGGACGAAGCCTTCTCTCTTCTCCAGCAAGCAGGAGATGATATATGTGCTTACTGTGACCGAAGAGTCCATGGTCTGAGCGGCTCTCCCGAAGCTACTGGGCTTGATGAGGCTGTCATTATTCCCAACTGCGGACATCTAGTTTGTCAAGCTTGTTTGCCGGATTACTTGGAGAAGAAGGACAAATGTCCTGCTTGTGTACTTCACTCAACTTCTTCCAATACCCAGAGTAAGACACTGCGTCAGGCAGCGCAACAGGAGACTCCAACTAGACAAAATTCTGGTACCTTTTCCGAAAGATATCCTACAAAGTTGCGCGCTCTTCTGGATGACATTATTCAAAATCGTTCTCAAAGATGGTATATACCTACTACAGCCAGGATTCCAACTTCCTTGACATTTATTCTGACACTTTGTTACTTAGTATTGTTTTTTCAAGCTGGAGGAAATCACTTGCCATTATCTCGGAACTACTTTCAAGCCACCACATAGCTTTCAGCATGATAGATGGATCGCTTCCACTACCAAAACGACAACAGGCTCTAGCAACTTACGAGGGCACAAATGATACAAATGTTCTTCTGATGACCCTTGGGACCGGTGCCGTAGGTCTTGATCTCGTGTCCTCATCTTGTATATATCTGCTTGAACCACAATGGAATCCCTCCATCGAAGAGCAGGCAATTGGCAGGGCGTTACGACTTGGTCAGGTCTCACAAGTCAGAATCGTGCGATACATCATGGAAGGCACCGTTGAAGAGGTTTGAGATTCCTTTTACTAACAAAAGATTGAATTACGAGTTCTAATTACAGCAGAGCAATGTCCTATCCCGTCAGCGCAAAAAGCGTCAGCTCGCAGGTGGTGGATTTAAAAAGCGAAATCAGGAAGATCTGGAATTATTAAAGGTAATGTCTTCTGCTGTGAAATCAAAGGCCAGATTCTAACTTCTACAGGAACATGTCAATAAGGAGACCGAGTTGGACTATCACAACGCTGACTATGACATGATCATCGACGGGTAAGGCAAGTCTAATTGATTGTGTGGAATAATCATAGGAACGATCCATGTGACGGTACAATCTTGCAAAATACATTTCGAAAACATTTGAAACCCAAGACCCCCATGTTAATTTTCCCTGGTATCCAACTCCGTTCCGCCCCAGCCTGTCAAGTAGCCTAACAAAATCAAAATCGAGGTGCCAACTGAGACACTTCGTGCTTATAAGGGAGACGTCTGTAGAGTATTGAATACACCATTGAACCAGGCATCAAAGTCGATTTCTTCTTGGTTCCACGCCAAGGCCATTTCATCCGCATCAAATCCAGCAGACCCGGAGCCTTCAGGCGTGTTTCCGAGTAACTTGGTAATAGACATATCATCAGCATCAGCATTCGGATTCATCTTGCTAAGGGTCGAGAAATTGGCGAAAATCCGATTAAAATCGATCGGCATGCCCGGCTTTAGCTCTATAGTGCCAAGACTTGAACCCGAACCTTCGGAGATGAAAATCGCGTCGACAAGGGCAACGCCCCGTTGGGCAAGAACATCCGAATGTCGTTGAGCGAGACGATCACGCGCGGTCAAAACGGCGTCTCTGTACAGCTCTCTCTTTGCGTTATCTGCGTCCTCCGTAATCGAGTTCACCTCGAAGCATAGAATCACGGCCGCCGTGATGGCAAAAGCACTGTGTGTCCAGATAGAAAGATCGTCTTCTTCGACGATTGTCTCGTGTTCGCGTAATATTGTCATCGCTGCAGCAACACATGTGCGCCTTGTGTGCTTGTATCTTGAATCGTTGAATGAGTGGAACAGGAAAGGTCGATGAACCATGATGATCTTTTCCGCTGCGGTGATCGCAAGACTTCGTCGGGCAATTCTTAACCAAGGAATTTGGGCCTCTTTGGGCTTGTCCGGTCGCAGTAAGAAGGAGGGTATGTTTTGAACGATTGTTCGCATTTGCTGATCAACTTGGAGGATGCGCTCGTATTGTTCTCGTGTGGTCTTTCTCTTATTCATTGGACCAAGTCCATCGCATAGATCTGGCATCAGTGCGGCAAGATTGACAAGGACACGGACATATGTACTGATTGTTGGGGTAGTGGCCGGCATTTCTACCAAATTGTAGTCATCCGCGTTCATAGGGCGATTCGTCGAATAATGCATGGGCGATATGCTATACGTGTCAGTGAAGGGAATGGCGAAATGATCTTGAATAATCATTTGGCACCAGACTCTCCTGCCGACTTCTCGTTCAATCCGCTCTTCCCATTGATCTCTGTGGTCTCTATTTTGAGAACCTACTGTCGGGTGGTCCTTGATTTTGTGAAGCCCCAAGCACTCGGCGATTCGCACTGCCGCATTGAATAAGGTCGCGTTGAGTTGACTCAGGCCTAGGTTATGTGCAACCTCCGTTGAGATGACCACGGCTTGAACGGAGTAGATCGAAATATTGTTCAAAAAGTGTGAGCTATACATGGTCTGCACCATGGCGGAGAACAGCTGCTGGGTGGATTGCATCGCATCTAGATTTACGTCGACCTGCGACCGTAACTTATGGCTATTCTGGATGGAATTGATGGTGCAGCTCAGGACTGCAAAGTAAAGAGCCACCCAGAGAGGATGATCGCATCTTCCACTCGTCCAAAAGACCTCGCATTGTTGGAGAAATGTTGGGCCATGGAAACAATTGTGATGCCATGCAAGGTGATAGACATGGAACTTGATAAGCTTTTGGGCCTCGGTGGTTCTTGGGAAATCAACCATTGACTCCAGAGCCGAGCCGAAGATTTGAAATGACGCGCTGTTCGTTGATAAAAACTCCGGGCTATCTCTGCGATATTGGCAGGCGCATCTCCGGTGGGGATAACATCCAGCGGAGTTTCTGCCCCAGGCGAGATGCTCAATTGCTGTGACGAGCGGTGGGTCTGTATTGTCCGAAGGAGCTTCTGCAAATCGATGCCGCATTTGTTTCCCATCGGCGGATTCTGACAATTGCAACGAGTCGGATGCCGGAGCCAGATCGACTTGGTCGAACAGCTCAGTCTGGTTTCTTGGTACTGCACTGTCGCCTGTCTGGAGAAGCGTGACCCTATTTCTCAGTTTTTGGGTGATTTCCGGCAGTGTCTCCGTTGAAAAGGAATCCAAATCCCCCAATATCGTTTCCAGAAATTGGATTTCAGAGGCATGCTGTACGACATCACGTCGCAGGCGAACGGTTTCGACTGAACAGTTCAAATTCAAACGCCGGCACCGCGAACAAGGGGACTGCTTATCGCATTTTCGCTTCCGCCTGGTACATTCTGGGACTTATCAGTATCTGCCCGGTCGCACCATGGCTCATGGAGCGCGGGGGAGAAGATGAAACATACCTTGACATGCCAACGGCCGACGCTGAGAAAGCCGCGGGGCCGATGAAGATTCGCCAGCCCTGGGCATTGTGAGAGTCGCGAGATCGCGAGGCAATGATGTGAGGGAGAGGAGGGCGGAGGAGATCGGAAGACTCGCCCGCGGAAGTAGAAAAAGGTCCGATGACCAAATCATCCACCATGATTGGTCGCCGGTTGAAGAGAGATAGTCTAGACCATCAAGGCAGGTACAATATAATCCGGTAGGTCCTTCAACATGTATTGATAAGGGTTACCCTGCCCTGTGCGTGAGTCTGGGGTATTCAACACGTGCCGAAGGGGTCGGGGTCAGGTGACACGCGTCATTCCAGCTGCTGCCATAAGAAGTCATAGTGATATAGTAAATAGTAGATGATAGCTAATAGCTAGGTAAGCTAGAAAAGTGAAAACGGAAAAGTGGATGACTAGGTCTATCGAGATACCAACAATTATTTTACGCGGGTGCCAGGAGCTATGCCTTGCTATGTTTTGAGCCAGTCTATATGGCCTTCTTTTGATCTCTAGCTCTGCCCTTCTTCGGTGTATGGATGCTTGGATATGACGAAGATCAAGATACGTGAATGCTAGGCAAAGCGTAGTAGTGGTTAGACGAAAGTAATAAGCTTGGGGAGAGAAGAAGAGGAAGAAGAGATGAAAGTAATGCCAAGGCACCAAGGCAACAAGGCAATACAGGTAACCATCAGGTGTTCACACCATAACCATCAGGGTGCGTTACGTTTAGTATTTAGGGCAATTTCAAGAAAAAAAAACCCCCCCTCAGATAAGCCAGGTAATCTTTAGTTTCCGCCGGATATTGTGCATATACTTTGTAACAGCTTAAGTAGTGGTTGATATAGTACGTTCCTCAGCTCAATAGACTAACCAAAGAGTCCATTTGTGTCCTCCAAAGTCCGACCTGCAGTCTCCGGTAGCAAAATCCACGCCCATAATAGACCGAAAAATGTCATTGTGGAAAAGAACCAAAAGCTCCCTTCAGGCTGTAAGGAATTTTGTAATAGCATGGACGGAACAGCCTAGCTGGGTCAGTAATCGCAAGAAAATGATTCAAGATAGTAACATACCTTGGACAGTCCGTAGCGATTGACATAATGGAAACACATCAAAAGACTTGAGCCAGTCGCGCGAACTTGTAAAGGAAATATCTCGGCGTTCAGCAAGTACTGAATCGTATTCCAACCCATCGCCCACCCGATACCTACAAAGTAGATAAAGACAATGGCACCGAGGGCCGCTCGTTTGCTTGAAGGGGATTCATCGCCAGACCAGGATGCGTTAACAGTAAGATAGATTGCAATGTACAACATGGCCACTTGTTGTACTATAATTCCCGAGATCAAAGACCGTTTCCGGCCGATGTGGTCGATGAGTAAAATAGCGCAGAGAAGAGATGCCACAAATTTGACGGCACCGAAGATCGCTGTTGTGAATAGCTTTTCGGATTGGCCATCGATTCCAAACAAGGAGAATATCTCGGGCGCATATGCTTCGATCTTATTAGCATCTATATTTATCGGGGTTGGTTGAGGATGTGTATACTTGTGAGAGAATTGGCCCCAGACCATTGACTAAGAATCTGGGAAGATATCACGAACAATAATCTCCTAAGATTAGACCGTGAAAGAAACAGTTCCTTCAAAGATCCAACACATGATCTGTATAAAGAGCACTCTTGTTCATGCTCTAATTGTCCCTTGATCCCTTCCAGTTCGGCTGAAATTTCATTATGATCATCTGGCAGGCCCCATATCTTCCCCAAAGCCTTGCGTGCCTCATCCCATTTGCCGACTCGACATAAATGCCGAGGACTCTCTTCACAAAGAAAAGAGCCCATAATCAGAAGACCCGCTACAATTATTTGTATCGACTGCGGGATAATCCACTGCCGAGAAGAATTGCTCGACATATGCACAACTGCCCCCCCATGCGGCGAAATACTAAAACAAACCCCGTCAGGTTAGCCGATTCACTATCTATCATGACGGTCGCAAGATACTCACTCCAACCATAATTCCAATATATTCCGACATGCCAAACACAGACACCAGCATACCGCGTGCGCTACGGGGCGCAATTTCTGCAAGATACGTCGGCGCCACAACCCCAGCTTGTCCAATTCCAAGCCCCATTATAAAACGGCCAGCGTATATTTGACCCAGTTTCCCACTAGCAGTGATGACGACAATATCGCCCACCATCCACAGCGTACAGAGCTGACGCATGGACCAAAGCATTCCCATACGCTCGCAAAGAAGGAAAGCGATCAGCGCGCCAGGAATGCTGCCAATGTGAACCATTGAGGTGATATTCGAGAGGCGATTCGCTTGCTGGGATGCATCGAGGTATTTGGCTTGCAGACCAAACTCGTTGACGAAGGAATCTTGAACAACGGTTGTGGAAATGAGGCCCTCGTCGAGGCCTGTTGGTTAATTCAGCCATTTGAACACGCGCTTTCGGGTGATTAACGTACCTCTTGACATCCCTGACAATCCGAAGAAAAGAGCAGCACATGTTAGCCTGAGCGTGAAATGCCTGAATATTGAGTAAAAAGGTGCCGTAGTCTTCATTGTGTTGGATAAAGGCGAAGAGAAGGGTTGCAAACAGCTTCTCAGTCTGGCCACGGCCTAGGAGGGCTCGAGATGAGTACCGTAGGTGTCATTGATGAGAGCGTTAGTAATAATCTGCTCAGTTCATTCATTTTCATCATTCTGGGGCTTGATAGGGGGCAGACAAGTGTAATATGCTAGGTCCTATTGGCACAGAAGAGCAGCCACCCCACTCAGCCTTACAGGGCTGAAGGAAATAAGCCTTCAATCGGACCAATCGAAGGCATAATGTATGGTGGGAAATTAAAATGCTGTAAAAATGGGGACCACAAGTGAATTACACCATACAGAGTACTCCGTGTACCTTGGGAGAAATGGCAGAATTGTGTTGCCTATGTATGGACAGGTGACGATGCTGGAATCGGATCCACACTGATGCCGATTTCTTCATCCCAAGACTGGCTAAGATATTTTTCACAATCTGCTTCTTAATCAGATATTCGGCTATCTGGGGCTTGCGGAATTAACTCATGCAGAGCTCCTTTTTACCGGTAGTCTTCAAAGTCTGTATGCATTATTCGCCTGCATGATTCTCTGGTGTCGAGAAAAAAATAGTTCGATACGTCCTGCTATTCAGTATACGATAATCACAATTCAAGATGAAATGCGAGCACGATTAATATTGGACGATTTTTGTACAATTCAGAGTCTGGAGAAATGTTCTTTGGAATTCATATATCCATTTTACTTTGGGTCCGAGTCGCCTCCTTTCGACCCTCAGACGGTTGGATCGGGACTTTTTCGACCACCGGTCGATTATACCCTTGGAAGGGCCTGGGGGTAGCGTTATCCGTCCCATGCCGGTGTATGAACCTTTCTTTTCTGTGGGGTTAAATACTAGTATCTCAGAATGCAATTTTATGTTACAAAAGCTTTCTAAAATTTATCATGTAACACTCACTGGGCAGTCGCTATTTAGTTACCCATTGGTATCACTGGTTGATAGTTCTACATTCTCGGTCAATGCCTTTGACCGCCACCCTTAAGTACTAGTAGTAACCGCTAGCGGTTCCAGGAAAAGCCTAGTACGTAATGCTTATCTATCAGGCACTGAAAACTAGAACGCAAAGACTAATTTATCTTCAATGGTTGTGAACGTTCTTAAGATAATAGGATGGTATTGTGGCTAGGGTTCCTGGACAGGGTGTGCACTTGGCTCCAATGTATGTACAACGGTAAACCAGGGAACTGAAATCCATGACGACATCCAGGACACCAACGAGTTCCAAAATTAGTATCACTGGGGAAAGCTCCCACAAAGTAACGAGTGCGGGCGCCGAGTCCAATCAAGGGAACTCTAGGAAACTCGTCGGCGATTTCTTCAGATCTTACCCCAAGATGAAGCTCAGACACAAGTTTGAATGATCGGGCGAGCCCCAACCTTGTCTCCTGTCACTGCCCAATTTTGACAACAGGGAGAGAAACCCCACTCCGTAATAGCCCGTAGGCTGCGGTTAAAACTCCGCCCTAGCCAAACCCCATAAACCAAGGGGAGGGGAGGGATAGGGGGAAGTATCGGGGGAACGCGGGGCATCTTACAGCATCATTCCTCTAGGGGAAATCCCACGCGTGGTTCAGGAGCAAGGTAATTGACTTCACACATAGCGAGACACACCGATCTTCTAGAAGGTCGCGTTCCTGAAAAAGATGGACGATCATACCGGCTCGCCGAGCCAATCAAAATACAGGCTGCATCACCGGCAGCCGGGCCGGTCATGACCTGATTGGTTGAAAATGCCGACGAGGGGAAGTGTGCGATCTATAGAGGCCGAATGGGTTTTGTTCACCAACTCAACCACCTGAATCCATTGTTGGGCGATAAGAATACACGGTGGGCTTCTTATTACCTGATTTCCCCATAACAACACATTATATCTTTCCACCTGTCGGGCCCTGCTCCTTTTTCCCCTCTTCCCACTCCTTCGTTTAACCCTCCTTCAAAGTTTTCCCCCATCCTTCACCGGAAGTTGGCCTGGTCGATCCACAGTAAGTTGTCTCATGAGATAATATTATTGCACTGCCCCGCGTTACATATGTTTTATCTAATCGAATTCGCCTCCAGGTTTCTCTCCGTTAAACATCTAGCACTGTGGACTTGAGACCATTCCAATTTCCATCCGTTCTGTCTTTCTCTACTTCGCATATCCACCCTCGCCTCACGATTTCTACGCCCGCATTACTGCGACAAGTTTCACTTCCAGACGGCCCGTTCAATTGATGATCGTGGCTGGGCTGTTCTGAATAAATCAATTTACACACATATACACGCATATATACTATACACGCATCATGAACCAAAACCTTCAAGAGAAGCACACTGGCATGTCGCTGGGTATCCAGCGCAACGGCAGCCGGCTCGCGGAGCTCATGGTGGCGGATACCCTCGTTGCTGCAGGCTCAGCAACGTTGATTACACCAGCGGTGATGATCTTTGACAGGTGAGTAAATTCACAGCCTTGCGACCTTGGGCAAGGTTTCTAGAGCACTCGTTGACTCTCCATAGACTCGTCGTCGAAAAGTCCTTCTACAATCAACCACTCTTTCCCGCATTCCGCAGACATCTCTGGTTCTCCATCACCCAACCAGCCACATTCTTAGTTTCGCGCCCTAGCCTGCTCGTCTGGGGCCTTTATACTGCAACATTTGCAACCGCCAACATGTCCGAAACCCTCCTCAATAAAGTCTATCCCAAGATCGACCATGCCATTGCCGGTATGACCACATTCGCATCCACCTTCGTGGTCAACTCCTCCGTCGGCATCTGGAAAGATGTCAAATTCGCCCAATTATTTGGCAGCCCAAAGCCAACAAAGACACCATCCCCAACACCACAACCTGATGCCAAACCACCTCCTCCCCAAAAGATGGTTCGCTCCATCGGCCGCACCAGAATCCCCCCTAGCCACATACTCAGCTTTCCTTGTCCGAGATGGCCTCACCATCTTTGGATCCTTCAGTCTCCCCGCAATGGTCTCGGCTACTATCCCGGACTCCATTGCTTCGCAGGAATATCTCAAAATCCTCATCGCGCAACTCGCCATCCCGGCCTCCATCCAGCTTATCAGTACCCCGATCCACCTCTTCGGCCTGGACGTATACAACCGGCCGCAAGTGATGCCTACAAAAGAGCGTGTCGCACGAATTAGCCGCGACTGGATCGGCGCCTCGCTACTTCGAATGTGTCGCATTATCCCCGCATTTGGAATCGGGGGCTTCGTGAATACCGAAGGCAGACTCTATCTACATGACCAGCTTGATGAGCGTCGCACCCCTTCATGAGTCCACGCATCTTTCAACCAATACAAAAAACCCCCCCCCACCAAAGAAATAGAATATCATATAGAACAATATACCCTCATTTTGCAATTTTTTTTTCATTTTCTCATTTCATTTTCTAACCTCATCACGTCATCTACCTTAAAAGTATCTTGAATTTCGCGTTGTGTGCTTATCGGCTATCAACCCCACCACCCACGCCGACCGGCCCGGTTTTCTGCGCTTGGCCTCGGCGTGGACCCCGGCTTCACCGGGCCTGCTCTGCCCTGTGAGGGGCTTTTGTAGAGAATTTTGCCGTCTGATTTTGCTGTCTGATTTTGGATTTCTAGGCCCGCTTCGCGGGGTTGGGCATGCTTTCTCCCACCGACTTTTATATGCCGCCCGGAAGAAGATCCCGACCATGTCCCGGTGGGGATGTTCGAAATTAACTATATGGTCATGACTCAGACTATAAAATACCTCCTTATACAAATCCTGCGCTTATGGAGCGCCGTAAATAATGCCAATCATAAGAATCATCCACTCTTACTGGATACTGTATGTTTTAGCGCATAATTATCTCTTCGACATATGCTTTGTTGCTGGATCTTGCATTCGAGGTGTATTTACCAAAACAAAGCTGATGAGACGGAAATGAGTATTACTATACCTATCTCCCATTTAGCCCAACAAAATACTAGTACTACTAATGCGCAGTAAAGAACTAGCAATATAATACTTTCCATCCCAGATAGTAACTTGAACATACAATAAAATATAAATCACCAGCTTGGTTCAATCCATGGATATTATAGTCTCTCCAGGCACCCTTATCCGCATCCCCAAATTTATCAACGGCTCCCTCCACGCCATATTCACCCACCGTCCATACATCACTTTCAACCAGCTCTGTCCACCGTTCAAACAGCCTCTCCAATCTCTGCGATCGATGCTCGCCGCCGAACGGATGGAACCGACTATGCTGAAAGAGTTGCGTGAATGAACCTCCTAGTCCCCTCTTCATCTCTCCAAAAGTCAGGACGAAATGCAAATGGGAGCACGAGACGAAAACATGCCTTCTCCATGTCATAATTTCCCCGGCGCACAGGCTCACTATAGAGCCCAGCAGGAACAGGTTCCCTATTACTCATACACGTACCCTTATATGCGATGGAGAATAGCCTACAGATCTCAGTGTTGAAATCCACTAGCTGGTTTAAAGCTGCAAATAATAGGACTCCGAGCACACTATCCTCTTCACGATAAATGCTGGTAAACCCCTGGTTTCTAGCAAATGCCTCTTTGTCATACGGAACTTCGAGTCCAGATGCAATGAATTTAAAACACGGAGTCTTAACTTGTAATAAGAGTAGGCGAATGAAGCAGTCTTGTAGTACCGCGGCTGCATCCAGCTCTACACTGGTAAATAGTGGTGCAGATATAGGCAGAAGTGAGCCCGGAGGCATTCGACATTCTACTGTAGCTAAGTAGCGCTCTATCGCAGCAATAGTGCTATTAATCTGAGTATCGCCGTAAGGAAGCCACGACCACAGATCGAATTGCGATCTACTCATCAGAGGATCACAGGAAGGTAGTTCGTTGTAAGGAAGCCCAGGAACAACCTTGCCGATCTGAAACATATAGATCCAGTAAGTAAAGATAGTCTCTAGGGGGGACCACATTTCGTCGTGCTCTTTAACAGGCTCTACATTATCCATATTGTCTATAGTCATTGGGAATAAGGCCCGATTGAGTTGCTGGTCATAAACAACACCGAGACAATACGAGCCCAGCTCCGAAATAAGGTCGTATATCACAACAAATCGCTCTTTATCCTCCATCTCATTATAAACGTCAAAGAATTCGTCGATGAGCATCATTTCAAGACCGTTAACCCAGTAGAAAAAAAATGGATGGGGATCATAGACCAAATCCAGAAACTTGTTTAGCGGCGCATCAAGACGATCCCGAATAGCGTCGACCTCATCGTTTGTTTCATGGAAGAATCGCTTTTCGGCAGCTAACGCATCAAGATCAAGTTCGGGCGCCTCTTTCCCGTTGCGGGCCATCCAGCCATATGCAGCCAGGTAATTGTGTAGTCTGGCGCAGCGCTCATATTCTAAAGTGCCATTATCCCGGGGAGGGTTTTCATCAGACACCAGAGCGTCTTCAATATCGAGAATATGTTGTGCGGTGGTGTTCATGGTCACGTGATATTAAAAAGTGGATTTAGTAGCGGAAGAAAATGCCCCGGGCCTGGTTAAAGTGACAAAAGGCGGTGAGTTGCCAAGGCAGCAAGAAGGGCGTTGGGACAAATGTAGTGTCAACACCATCCATCAACCCAGTACTAGTAGTACATCATAATTTAGGTTCATTTTAATTTTGCTATACCAAGGATGATGGAGAAAGATCGCCTAACATAAATATAACTTGGTGAGACCCAGAGAGTTGTAATTAAATAAATCAAGTTTGTTAAAGACTTCCTCAATTGCCAATGCCCAACTTGTCAAAGCCGAGACTGTTAATCAGGTTATCGATTCCAAGGCCACCAAGAAGACCATCAACAAGTCCACCAAGGCCAAGTCCGCCCAAAAGCTTATTGACAAGACCGAGAATACCACTTAGAAGCAAACCAACAGCCGTAATGATTTGGAAAAGTGGTTCGGATAGCAACGTCCATAGCGGATTGAGTTTTTTCTTCGCATGGGGCATATCTGCAATTCTCTTGCGGCCATTTTCAATGGTAGTCATCACAGTCTCAGTCATTTGTTTCAAAAGATCTGCTAGCTGATATTCCTCTGGTGTCGCCTCGTGGGAAGCACTGTGGGCTTTTGCAGATGCAGCGATGGATCCATCGGGATCGAGCGCCCTGATAGTGCCTTTACATTCCTGTAGAATGTTTCCGGCATCTTCAATCAAAGGTTTCACGCTCTGGACTAATTTTTCTTCATCCAACTCCTCACGTGGCGTACGATCGGCTCTTTCAAGATGCTATATCAATTTAGTTATCTGAAGTGAGATAACCCAAGAGAGCCTTACCTCTGTGATCTGTTTGCAGAGCGGCTCCACCGATTCAAGTGATTGCTGTATAACGGTCGAAATTTTCTTCGCTAAATCTCTGTCATGTTGCTCTTTGGCCTGCTGCTCAGCTTCCTCGGGAGATATTTCGGGCTCGGACTCGGGCTCGGCGTCTGGCAGGTTTTCCTCCAGCGTGCATTCGCCGATTTGATTTCCATCATTGTCAACGATATAGCCACTATCATCCACCACCTTGCCTATTAAAGCTTTAGGGTTACCCATGGTGAGTCTGCCTATCAGGTTACCATCGATATCGCGGACCTCGCCATCTCGGTTCACCTTTCGGCCACTCATTGGGTTGATATCGCGTTGCTTTTCCTCGGGGGTCCATCGCTCTGCACGACCGATGATATTGCCCAACTTGTCCACAATTTCACCATCTTCATCCACGGCACGACCAACAAGTCTTTTCGGTTCCCCGTCAGTTAGCCTACCGACCACTTCCTTGTCTGAAGTGATCACACATCCATCTTTTGTTACAGTCAAGTCATCGAGCCCATAGAACAGACCCTCAGGTTGCTCTCGCTCAGCAGCAGGAATCAGTTCAGCGTTGCCCAGCACTTTGCCATCATCACTCCAGATCTGACCTTCTCCGTCCACCTTCTTGCCATTTAGCTTCTTAGGATTTCCTGAAACAAGCCGCCCAAAGACAGCGCCAGCTTCGTCGACGATGTTTCCAAATTTGTTGACTGTCATCCCTTCAAGTTCGGAGAGGTCTTCCTCTGGTTCTTCGGAGTGTTCGGATGGTGTGAATGGCTCAACGCGTCCTATCACGTTGCCACGCTTATCCAAGATATCTCCATCTTCATCCACAGCTTTACCTTGTAATTTTTTAGGATCTCCCTCAATAATCCTACCAACAACATCGCCTTCCTCGGTTTCAACAAGCCCATCTTCTCTGACCATCAGATCACCCATGTCGCTAAAAGGTGCTGGCACCTCGCGCTCCTCTTCCGGGACCAGCTCAACCCGTCCAATAACCTGGCCATCATCGCCCCACAGCTGACCTTCGTGATCGATCGCCCTACCAACAACCTTTTTCAGGTTTCCCTCCGTTACACGGCCTACCAATGCGCCGTCTGGCCCAAAAACAAAGCCTAGCTTGTTAGGCGAGAGACCCTCCAAGGAAGACAAGTCGACCTCTTCTGCCTCTGACTCCGGTTCTTCCCAGGGTTCAGCGTGTCCAATGAGATTGCCTCGTTTATCTAGAACATCCCCATCGTCATCGACAGCCCGACCAATAAGTCTCTTGATTTCACCATCAACAATCTGGCCTACCCGGGTCCCAGTTGCGTCTTCGACCCAGCCATCTGTGACCACGACAAGATCTTCAAACCCTGCGAATGGGCGCTGATCCTCCTCTTCAATTGGTATTGTTTGCGCTACGCCCAAGATGTTTCCTCTGTTGTCCCAGAATTGACCACGATCATCAAGCTCGAATCCTCCCTTGGATATCTCTTTGGCGTTGCCCTCAATAAGTTCACCAACTGGCACACCATCCTCGCCAACAATGTTTCCGAACTTGTTGCACTTCAGGCCTTCCAGCGTGGAGATGTCAGGTAATTCCTTGGACTCTTCAGGTGACTTGTTGGCATCTGTATCTTCTTCTTTTTTGTCTTCGAGTTCTTGCATCGCAATTCTTGCAGCCTCACCTGGCACTGGCTCAACTCTTCCAATCACCTCTCCGTTGATGTCCAGCACTTGGCCCATTTCGTCTGGGATCTTTCCAGACACATGTTTCAAATCTTGATATTCGACAACTTGGCCTAACTCCTCGCCTTCATCATTCAGAATTTTGCCATTTTCGTTGATTTTTCTGCCCTGAAGAATGGCAACCCCTGGCGAGAGTACTCCATTTGTGGGTTCGGCTTCACCGTCCTGCTCTTCGACTTGATTTGGGGCGATAGGCTCGACTCGCCCGATCAAGTCTTCATCTTCATCAAAAATGTCGCCATTCTCATCAACAGTTCGACCCACCAAATCATCGGGGTCACCTTCAACAAGTCGTCCTAATACTCGTCCGTTTTCGTCTTTGACTAAGCCGTCCTCTGCGACTGGCAAGTTTGCGAGGTCGTGCAGGCTGGGGACATTATCTGTGTCAACCACTTCTTCGACTTCATCGGCCTTCTTTACAGTCTCGTCGCTGACCAGCTCAACCCGGCCAATTAGATCACCATCTTCATCTACAATCTCACCACCTTCCCCAACCACCTCGCCGTAGAGGTCACTGGGGTCGCCCTCGACTAGTGTTCCAACTGCATTGCCATCATCGTCAAGGATCTGTCCCTCCTCGCTGACCTTAAGCCCCACCAATTGAGATAAATCTGTGGGGAGACTGGGAGCCTTCTCCGTGAGATTGTTGGCAACGCCCTCTTCGTCAGGCTCAACCTCTTTAGTGACACCTCGAATACTATCATCGATGTTGTCAGGAGCTAACCGGGATTTTGCAGCTGTGGCCCGATCACTGAAATCTCTGACGGTGCCCGTAAAGTCTGAAACACGCGAGGCTACATTTTTCCCTCGCTGGAAGAATGAGCCACCGCCCGACCCAGAGGCGGAATCTTCTTTCTTAGGTTCGGATGGTCTCTGCTCTGGAGAGGGGATGTCTGCCACTTGTAGCGTGTCTTCTGGGTCGTCAGTCGTCTCTTGATGCTCTTCGATGGTCTCTCTTATCGGCAGTGGCTCCTCATATTCCAAGTCGACTGCATTACTTTCTTCCCCAGCCCTAATTTTGTCGGCATTTGGAGTCTTGCTTTGCGATAAAGTTTTCTCTTGGGGCGTGGGAGGCAATTCTTTGGTTCCTGACTTTTTTGGCAATTTTGGAATTTTCTTCTTCGGTGTGATAGGTGTCGAGGGCTTGTTGATTGGCTTCACTTGGCTCGCAGGCTTAATCTCTGATGCTTCCTGACCAGCTACCGGGCTCTGGGAAGCTGCATCTCTTCCCATGGGCATCTTAGGCGGCACCGAAGGCTTTTTCGCTGGTGGAACTCGCTTTGTCGCCGGTGATGCCATTTTGTTCTTGTGCTTTCGCAGCTTTCCGCAACCGGTTTTCTTGAACTATTATATCGTTTTGCAGGTATATTTGATAACTAATACGATTTTATTTATTGAAAGACGTGAGATATTCGAGCAAGTAATTTATATACATTTTACGAGCAAGATTTCATACTATCCTTCATGATGTCACCACTTCATGTTTATGTAGAAATAAAATGACCACTGAGAATCAGATGTACGTGAGATTCTAAGCTTTACCATGGAACACGGACCTGATTCAAGCAAGACTATGTCGATACATGAGGATTGCAAGAGGGTCTCAATGACAAAAGCAGAAATATACCGCGGTACCACAAAGCCTCGTGGTCATTACAGAAGGATCCCGGCCCACGGCAAGCTAGCGTGTTGCCACTAAGTTTGCTTTACGACACTCTATGGCACCGACATCTCATAACTTCTAGATCTCTGTTCAATCTTTGCATCGAAAGGAAGGGAATCATGTCTGGTTCTTCTGGGAGTCAGTACCAAGCATCTCCAAATACCACAGATCAACATACTTAGACGACAAATCAAAAAGACAGATGAAGCAAACAGCTAACCGCGTCCTAGAGCCAGTAGGTAGGTACTTATCAACTTACTTATCAATCAGGTCCTGTATATTATGAGCTTCATGCTTCCCAAAGTATGGTAATGATGATGAAGGACTAACAGAAGACTTAACGTCAGATCTCCGCGTATCTTGGCTTTTAACTCGATCTCAATGTCAAGGTTTAGATCAAGTCTCAAGCTCAACGCACTTTTAGCATCTTTGGCTATCGCTTGCCCCGGTTCGTTGCGCTCACTTATTGGTTGCATAGGAGCTATTCCTCTCATTGCCGGAAATTCTGTAATCGATTCTCTTCGAATCACTTCTGTGGTTGTATCGCTATCATCTTGGGCTGAGGCTACTCTTTCGATAGACTTGGTTTCAGATGCCATGATAGAATTGGGATTTGATTCCTCCAGGTGATTTTCTTCATTTGCAAACTCGTTTTGCAGAGGATATTCCTGTTTGGTGTAGAAATCAGGCCCATTCACTTCGCCCGGATGATCTGTGTCTTTAGGAAGTGTTGGACTTTTCTGTGTGCTGACGGTATCCATATTCAATTGTCATGTATAAATGAGAAACAAGTATTGTATGTACATAAATCGGGAAATAGAAATCGGTCACATAATCAAGTCATGAACTCAAATCCACGGGTCCCACATTTTCATGACGTTGAAGATCCTTGGTTTGAGCAATTTCATTGGCTCTCAAACGGAAGCTCTGAGCATTGTAACTTGAAGCGAACTCATCCGTTAGCTCGAAACAAGTTTTGACATCGCCCCTGTGTCTGTGGTTGAACTTAAAAAGAGCTTTGTCAATATCCGGGGGAGTCCAGACTCGGCAAGATTCCTGCTGTCCTTTATGTCCCGATCGGGCCGATCATGACGTGAGCGGAGAGAACTGATTGAATTGCAAGAACTAGAGCAAAAAGAATTCTATTTCCTAAGAACTCACACCTCCATCTTTAACACAGCACTTGACTGTGTTTTTTGCCATCAGCCAATGAAGAATAATCATGATATTCCAAACACGAATGGCGATGCGACGGCATCCGCGTCGAAAAGGAAGGCCCCCAAACTCCGACCTCCCAAATTGCGAAATGGCCCAACTTCAGATCCGGAAACGAGCGACTTCAATGAGCAAAGAATGAATGGTGTTACCAACTCTACCAAATCAAACTCTCCGCCTGGGAACTCAAGTAGCATCTCCACAGATCCAAGACAGAATGACCTACTACATCCTTCACCTCAGGCTGCACCTCAGGTTGATGAAAACCAAAATCAGCGTACTCGACACCGCCGCGGACCCCGTCGATCTTCGACACAGTCACAAGATCCCTATCAGGATCAAAGCATTGAGCCCGAGGACAGGGATAACAGAAGTTCGGAACAACGGACGCTGAAGGAAAGGCGCGTGAGCCACATGCTTCACCCTCCGGAAGCCAGCGGCCAGATACAGGGGAACGGCGAACTTGTTTCAAGGCCAGCAGCTGGAGGTGTGGAGCAAGTGTCAGAGGTTACAGAAGTAAATCCTCAGTCGAAAAAGAACGATCAATTAAAGCTGAGGTTGGACTTGAACCTGGATATAGAAATTGAATTAAAAGCCAAGATCAGAGGAGACGTAACACTGCAATTACTGTATGCTTTCTTTCGTCGACTGGCTTTAATACCTGACCTACTAACTTGTGTGACAGACAATAATAATTCATTCGACTCTACGAGAACGGTGCTTTTTGGGGACATCCAGGACTCCGAAAGGAATAAATAAATGCGAATACTACACAGCTTATTGATATTCGCTTTCATAGAACCACGTACCAGTTCTTCGGACCAATGTCACTTTCTTCCTCACGTGAGGACGTGTCTCCTGCCTCACGTCCTCGCGTGTCTGGCTTGAGGGGAGGCTATATAGGTAGAGAATTTTGCTATCTTGCTCGTGAGAGCCCATGGGATTGCAAGAATTCTATATCATCTATAGGTCTAGAAAGTTGGAGGTCAATCTAACACGTCCATGGATATGTTTAACTTGAATCTTGCTTCTTAGATGCAACAAAGAGTAGCTCAATAAAATCGCTTCAGCATAGTATGAACTAGCATTTTATATCACTGTGGTACCAGAGCCACCGACAGGTCCTCGATGAAATCCATAGATCTGTCAGTAGCTGTGTCTGTCGGTGTGGATAATAATCTTCTGAGAGGGCCATGATCTAATCGCTCTGCAATTCCTAACGGGCTGAGCCCGTCCGCGTCGCAAGCTTCAAGATTGATATCCGGGATTCGCAGCAATGTTTCAACGACTTGAACCTGTCTCAATCGCACAGCAGTGATCAAAGGAGTCTCGTTCCATCTATTGCGCTGATTTACTCTAAAATGAGGATGCTTTGCTAGCTCTTCGATTTCACTGGCATTCCCAGACTTCACGAAAATGTCAAATGCCGTCTCACCCAGCGAGGTATGCAGATAAATTAAACTCATGAGGAAGTCAGCCGCGCAAAGTGCGGGGGGTGTTTGCTCTGTGTTTGAACAGTTTTTGTGAGGAAACGGACGCACTAGTTACCGACCGTTGCTGATGGAAGTGCCACTGTATCTTTTGAGATAAGACACAATATAATCAGTAAGTGGTATGGGCTCTGGATTCCAGGCTCGCCTGTCAGTACGAGACCAAAGGTAACTAACATAGCAGGGGTAGATAGGTAAGTCTTGTTGGGATTAATGACAGGTTTAGCCAAGTGGGCTACATTAGTTATAGGGGTACATATTCAGCTGTTGGGCAGAGGGGCGTTAATGTCGAGGTAAAAATACCACCGTACAGAGCCCAAACTGTGTGTGCGCACTTTTTCGTCGAATGACACATTTTGACCCATTGTTCTGTCGGGACAGCTAAAGGGGCAGTAGGGCGGCAAGGACAAACCCCAACGAATCAAAAAAGCAAAAGCAAAAAACACCAAAAAAGAAACATACAACAGCAGGGATTCGCATGTGGTCACCCACCATACTACTAACCTGCCGGCGTGTGGCTTAAGTACGGCTGAGCGGACGGGAAGCCCTGTTCTCCACACCCTATGGTCGTATGTGTTATACATTGCTTGGAATAGATCCATGTGGCACATGGAAAATGGTAAGCGCCGCTTTATCGTCTCAGTTCTAGTTGAGATTGGGCTCTTTATCTAGTGTTATCTACTTTTATACCGGTGTCAGCAGGCTTGAGAGAATGAAGAATTAATGGATTCTTATTATACATGTAAGGTGAGATGCTTGCCCAGTTGGAAGTCATACTGCTATTAACACTGCGAATCTATCTTGAGAAAAAATATAGATTTCCCTTTCTTTTCGCCTGCTAGTTCTCATTTGGGTCTCTGGATAGCCGTACGACACCTAGAGATAAAACCAAGCTCGCAAAAGGCAACCAAGCTTTCCTAATTGCATGGTGGGAACTGGTCACAGATTGCGATTTTGTCTACTCTGGAGCTCATGCTGTCATTACAGCGACTCCGTCACCGACAGTACTACTTTGACTGCGTCTATGTAAAGAAAATAATGAAGACTAGACCAGAGTGGTGGTTGCCACAACGTAACTATTCTCCTCTAGTGCAATAAAGTCAGTGCATCAAGGCCCATTCTAACCCACAATAGCTTTAACTATATTTAGTTGCCTTTTAACCTCAATATTTGACTATTTAAGTGGCTCTTAACCATCTATATCCTCAGAACACTCAGAATTTCCGCACAAGAATCAATCTCCTTGGTAAATGAGTCACTACATGATTTCTGTTTAGGAAAGGGCTCAGGCGCCTCCTGTGCAAGATTCACTGTCAATGCCGAACTATGAAACATCTTGTTAGCTTGCACATCCCGTACCTCAACACGAATGCCCAGTCATACCAATAATCGAACGCACTAAAATGAGCATCATTTGATTCAGTCCAACAAATATATTCATCATGCCCAATCCTCATATCACCGTGTTCAGGCACTCCCTGCCCCTACACCGAAGTGGATGCGCTCCTATTCTGCATCTCTAGGGCGGTATAATCTGTCTGAGTCTTTGCTCTGGAGCGGACATGCCACATTGCATCACGCCACTGGCCCTTCCAAACCAAACCGGGATGCAGAACTGTCAACAAAATAACAGATAGACAGATCATTGCACCTTCTAGAATCATGAACGTGATTTGATCATTCGCCAACTTTCCACTAAACCCCTCAGACATCTCTGCGCAGCGAAAGACAGATCTCACGAAGATAGCCAAAGTTGCACACCCGAGTGCGATGTGGTAGAGCTTGAAAGAGCGTGTGCTTCGGAGGACAGTAAACATCATGCTCCGCTTAGATGTGGAGGTGCGACGCACGCGGAAAGCAAACTCAGCACATAACACGCCAAATAGCGCGAGGCTAAAGACTTGCCACGAGACACCTGCGATCATGATGTTGATTCCTAGTTCCTGGTCACCATTATTATCTGCTGAGGAAGCGATTCCGCCGCCCGCCGACTGTAACATAAGAGCCACGAAGTCACACGAGATGAAGAGGATGGTGTAAGTACGTGGTCGTAGGTAGGAGATTTCCTCGCCGTAAGTAACAACAATGCGCGACAAGCAAAGATAAATTGCTGCGGCAAAGAATGCAGGGGCAATTGTTAGACAGGTCAAATACCTGCAGGGGTATCCAAATATCAGTGACCCTGTATCCTATGATATGATGATATACAGCGGGACTGGATGAAACACTTACATCAAAAACGGATCGGAGAGGAAAGGGTTATCATGCATTTGGACACGGCCAACGTAGCCAACAACTTCCATAATGAGCCCAAACAGCATAGAGACCATATATGTCCATGTCTTATACTTGATGCCCAACCACAGCTGGGCAACAGCGACTAGACAGAGAATAATGATGTATAGCATATTACCGGCTAAAGAGGGCACATATTGAACCTGTGCCAGGTCCAAAGGACATGTTGCCAGCGTGCATAGCTCCGGATTTTCAAGCAGTGTGGTGTTGGTGATGGTACGGTTCATTGTGGAATAGAATAGGTCGTATAGATTACCTCCAAGTTCCTGCTTAACAAAACACAAAAAACACAAAAAATGACACTGATAGTCCGCATATTTATATCTGCGAACAAATTGAGAAAACTAGATGACCATACGTATGAGCGTTTGTCGCTTTTTCCCTTTTAGGGTTGAGCGAGAAATAATTCGCTTTACCCGTTTTTAGGTTTAGCGGGTGGACCTTCGGTTTATCTATTTTGGATATTAGCGAATCATATCCGCCAGCAGGCAAGAAGGAAGCGCAAGTCGAACAGCAACACGAAGGGCCGTAGCTTGAACTCAGTAGCATGTTGGTAGAAGACTTGTCTTTACTAACACATTTTCTGCACCCCATCAAAAATAAATACACAAATCCCCGACAGAAACGTAACCACCACCGATCATAAATTTCCAAAGTTAGATTATCATTCCGCCAAGTGCAGACAAGAATTTCCACTTCGAGATTCTCCGCAATCTCTCCTTGTTCTCGTATCAAGGCATGGACGTTGGGGAAAATTTGACTACTGCCACCTAAATCAACCCCGCTGGTTTTTAGATTTGGTATAAAGGGGTTTAACACCTTGGCAACCAAACGTCTCACCCTGTGTCTACCCGCAACACTCGTCGTCTTACGATAGATCAGCCAAGTTCTTCTTGCATGGCAACTGGGACGATTTACATATCGTATCGCTATGGCAGAAACAGAAACTTGCATTCGATGCTGCCATATGAACAACGTAAATTATGGTAAGACTCTTATGGACCAAATTGTTATCAAGTGCAATTCTGCCCTTCAAAATGGAAGTCAAGACCGTGGCCACTTTGCAGACAGATTCATTCTATTTATACCCGCATTTTAGCTGATTAGTTTCGACGATACGTAAGGGCCATTGCAACTTAATTCTCCATGGCGTATCTTGCAGTTCACTGGCAATCGCCAGCACCTCACGTTTACCAGACTCGCCTATCCACCAAACATGGGAATATAGGGAGATTAGAGCAAAGTAATGCGCCAGGATTACTAGAGCGCGAGGGCGTCCATCATAAGCAAGATCCACGAATGCAACATCTGCATAAACGGGGAAGAGTATCATCATTCGCAAGTTTTGGCTTGGCGGTTCTTCTCCCTCTTGCATCCTGAGGGCCTTGTCCAAGTAGCGCAGAGTGGCAACATAAGTATCTCGAAGCACAGTAGCAGTTTCCGTGCTGACACAGCCTGAGTTATTCCATTCATCGTCCTCGGCCTCGATGTCGTCTAGTAGGTGTTCTAGTATAGGACTCAGCCTGCTTTGCATGTCCCGTTGTGGACTGTCAAGTTGTCGTTGAATGGAACGACCGTGCGCTACGAGGTGCGCAGTCACGATGCTTTCCTCATTGAAGTTCCCTTGCCGACTAGTCCTTATTCTCTCCTCATAGACCGACGCTGTGCTCCTGCTAGTGCGTAGCCATTCTGCAGGGGCCTGGTAGGGAGAGTCCAGACTGCGCCGTTGTAGTGACGCAAAGACATAATTACGCAGAATCATCGACGTAACAACCATTGCATCCAAGTCGTGTGAGTTCATATGCAGAGTGTCATTGAGCTGCTCGCGCAGGCTCATGAGAAAATAGCGATGGTATATGTTCCCAATTGTGAAGCCAAGTCGGGTAATCAAGTTCCTCATGCCCTCAGCCCCAGCGGTGTGCAGGTGAAGAGCAGACATGGCAAGAACCATGTATAAAAGACCATCAGATACTAGCGCCAGCCTACACGCTTCGTTGCGGAATATATGGACAGATGTGTCATCCAGTGACATTGAGACGGCGGCAGTTTCGCGCCAATGATGCATCAGAGCCATCTCGAGCTTACGCCGCTGCGCGGTCTCTGGCAGATTCACCACATCTTTATTGAGTCCTTCAAGGTTAACTTCCATTGATGTGATTATGGAGGCGACTTGCTGAGTGGGACTTGGATTCCCTCGGGGCCCTGTGCCTTGATTATGTCCAACAAGACGGTCATAAACACAGCTTAGACCGCGCCGTGAACAAGCTCCACACATCGGCTTCGCCTCATTACACTAAGTAAACATTAAAAATGCTCCCCCATATTAAATACCAGCAAATGTGCTTTGTTCAGGTGGGTGGGATTCACAGACATCCTTGGGGTTTACTACTAACCTTAACCTTCCGTGCCCGACAGCGCTGGCAGCCGACCCGTGACTTTTTGTGATTTGACAAGGTCCCAGGTGGAACTGATGAGAGGTCACCAGAGAAGTATTGACCAAACATAGTATGGTAAGTATTCGTCTTGTCTGGGTAAGACTGTATCATCACCAGTGGGTGGCGATGCTAACGAATTTTGTCGGTCGTAGGCAACAGTTTCGGCACGGAATAACTAACTAGTTATAGACGCGGACATACGTAATATTAGCCTACGAAGGATACGTTGTTCCCGGTGCGGAACACCCTTCCAAAATCGCGTATACCCACCTGCCGCTTACCACCTTGCACGCGCGTACCGAAGGCCAAATCTCACGCGTTGATGAGCATCTGGTCATCAATTAACCTCTTCAAAAGAGGATTCGCTTACTGATTGGCTCTTCCCTATAAATTCGCGTGGAGCAGTACCTAGACCTGCTACTGTAGGAGAAATGGCTAATATCCTTTTCCTGCGCGGTGAACCAATCCTAAGGCTACTGTTGGCAAGAATTGGCTATCAGCCTTCATTAATCGAGATAAAGGATTTTGCTCATGTTTCTCGAATAGTTATGACGACCAGTGCGCACTAATAAAATATCGAAAATTGCCATGGCAGTGGTTTTCTACAGTACAAAAGTTGTCACAGAGAAGGGTATTTAGCCAGAGGATATCCAAAATTTTAATAAAATAGGATTCGCAATAGGTTTTATCTCAGCGCAAAATATGGTTAGGCGAGCAGAATACTACGGTCGGCGATCTATCTTACAGTCAGGCAAGCTCTGATTCACTGGAAGACCTCATCAAGCGCAGATTTGGTCCCAGACTATACTTACTATGTAGTCTGCTTTTGTATTTCCAAGGTCGCCTCTAGTATTCAATAATGAAGTAATATATCTATAGAGCACAATTTCTTGCCAGTACTCGTAAATTCGTGATTGTAGGGCTTCGTAGTATCGCGCATCTCGATATATTTCAAGCTGCAGCCTCGAGGTGGTCAGAGTTGTCGCCATCGTCCCGAGCCGACAATGATGAGCTTGAATTAAGCAAAAACTTCAGAAAGCAATATAGAAATCAAAGAACTTCCAATAGACTGGCAGCGTTGATCGTTCTGTAAGGTGATGATTTAGGAGAATTGTAGACGAAAAAGGAAACAGATTTCTTTTATTGTAAAGATGGGGTGACCCAGAGAACTTCACCTTCAACAAGCTCGGTGTCTTTACTCAAGATACGTAGCGATAGACAATTTTGGGATGAAGAAAACAAATTTAGAGCAAAAGTGTCTTGATTAATGCGTAATTATGAATTAAGAGGGCGGTTAGAAATATATAAAAGCCAAGAAAATAAGAGAGCAAACGGTAAGAGCTCCCCAGTGTAATGAACGGGGTGAGCTAATAGAGCTATTATTATAGCCTATATTTACAGAGTTGTTTCTAAAGCCGACAGTTCAAAGTTAAGTGGGCGTTGAGCTGCTGTTAACCAAAGTATCGGAGTGGTAAGAGTCGATAACCCCGAAGAAGGATATCTTAATCTTCCCCTATACCTTATCCGGGCTTAGTGACTATAAGGGATCGGATCTATCAATTAAATAGGGGAACCTAGCGGTATATTTATTTAACGTGAAGTTAGCCGTTTGGCTATTAAATTAAAAGTTAACCGTAGGATATTTTTAGGTCTGACTAGTATTATTAGACTAATTATAATTAATAAGTATTATATAATTCTGTCTGGTCTTAGTAGAAGTATTATAGGACTTAAGATCTATATTAAAACTATTTAGTATTAAATCTGTATCCTTGATAATTTCTGTTAGTTTGTATAGAGGTTCTGTAGTATCTGGCAATAGTGTTAAATTAAGGATATCTTTTACAGAAGCATTAGTACCTGTATTACTTTTAGTTAAGCTATGATTTATATAGTATACCTAGCTTTAAGAATTAGAATTCGTTAGAAAGGCTTTACTTACTTTAATTTAGGGCAGTAGGTTCTGACTTACAGAGCTGACTCAATATACTATTCTAGGGATGAGGAGGTCTATAGTAACCCTGAGGAGAGCGAGGTAAGGTTTATATCTGAGTTCTAGAGGATTAATAGGGTATTAACTAGGTTTAATCCTAGATTATAAGGGTCTCTCTTAGTAATAGTAAGTAAAGACTTATATTCTGTATTAAATGTTTAGCTCTAGAAATTTTTGTATACAGATTTGTTGATTGTTAATCTGATCTCGGGCGTAAACTCTATCTTTGTTGTAGTATTATAATACCTATACCCGAAAGCTAGTAATAGTAATATAGGTAAGTCAAAAAGGGCTAAATCCAACGAACGGAAAAAAAGACAAAAAAAAACATACAACAGCAGGGATTCGCATGTGGTCACCCACCATACTACTAACCTGCCGGCGTGTGGCTTAAGTACGGCTGAGCGGACGGGAAGCCCTGTTCTCCACACCCTATGGTCGTATGTACTAGAAAAAGCTGGAGAAGAGGATATATAGTACATTTGACTAAGAATAGGCGGTAAAGTGAGGCATCCCCTTGGTCGTCAAGAAGTCACCCACCCCCGGAGATAATCAATCTCTCACTGAGAATCTGTACATTTTTATTCAAGATAGATTTCGAAAACAAATATAACTTTGAGATCTATTATTATAATATACAGAAATTCCCACGCTCCCCCCATTTACGTGGGTTCCCCACGCAGGCAGCAACCAGCAGAGTCTCAAATCGCCGAAATAACTCAGCCCTGCCCCTGTCGGTGGCTGAGCCTCGGCGGACGAAAATGAAAAATAAATAAGTTCACCCCTGCAACTCGCTCCCCAGTTCGAGGATTCTCACGGGAGTCATTCTTTCTTCAGAGATAAAGATATGGGCTCAGATAAAAGATTTCCAGGGTAAATGCTGCGCAGAGACAAGTTACTAGTCATACCTTCAGTCAGGTACACCAAGAAACGGCATCGTATTAATCAGAAAGATTCCAACGAAAGTAAGTACAAAAATATTCTCAGCATCCAAAAATAGACCCACTGCATATATCAATCTTCAAGTCCATCATCACCAATCCATGCACTTCCCAGCCCTACTCGTAGTACTGATTGGCCTCAATCGGAATATCGCAGCCAGCAGGCTCACGTTCTTTCACGTATTCCTCGATCCATGGACCCGAGTTTTTGTGATCCCACCAACTAGAGTCCCCGGGAGGTCCACAGTGATAGTCGACAATTCTGTCATCGTCTCCATGGCATTGCTGAATATCATCATCGGCCACAGAAATTCCCCTCGAAGCAATGCTGCCCGTTTGCCCTTCGTTTGGTGCATAGACAATAGTCTCTCCAAGATCTTTTTCTGATCCATCTATCACACCGCAACCGCAGTCTTTGTATTCTGTCACCTGTACGCGAAATGCTGTCATGGCGTGGTAGAAGAGGAGGCAAATGTCACCACGCTTGTCTGCGACACTATCGCAGGTCTTTGTTGCCGTAAATGCGTAAGTCTCAGACTTCGAAACACTAAATCCTGCTGATACGAAGGGAAGTTTATCGAAGCTCCCATCTATACTCCAGCCGACGGTACTCGAGAAGGTACTCCCTATGAGAACATCAAGTAAGTATCTGTGTAGTTCTCCTTGCTCAGACTATCAGAGAATGGCTTCATTACCTATGCTATCACCTTCGGAAGTGCAATGCACTTGTGAACCAGCCCTTTGGATGATAACAAAATTCTGGTGCGGGTCGCCATCGCCGATTTTTTCATACTTCTGCGAGGCATCACACATGTTCGTTCCCGACTTCATATCGCACCACTTTTCCTCGAACCAGTCACCGAGACCCCTTCGGCTGTTACTTGGAGTCACATGGTGCTCGCTCATTTGCGCGAATTCTTCCGAGGTGATGTTCAAAACCGTGGGTCGGGAGAAGCCGATCTCTGAGAGTGCCAGTAGCAGACAAAGGACGACAAAAACATTTCCGATAGACCACATATTGATCTAATAGTATAGCCTAGCGTGTAATGGTAGACTGATAAATCGGCTGGATAAAACCCCTATAGAACGACGGTCAATGTCTAAATCTATGCATAATAAAAAAGTCTTCAGTCATAGTCAGAGTGGATCGGAAGGAGGGTAGCTCACCGTTGCCCAGGAATAAAGAAAGAAGAATGGGCTTTTTGGTAGTATACAAAATACTAGTATATGTAAAAGAATGAAGGGAAAAGTCGCTGATTCAGGTGAAGAAAGCAGAAAGAGGGTGCTTTATATACATTTCCAAGACCCCTGACGAGTAGACACAGACACTGATGCATCTAGGCTATGGTTAGCTGGCTCTATCATGACCAGCTCATTGAAATAATATTAAATGAGCCCTAAGGATAACGCGCGTATGCACTGTCAACAATGATGCTGTTTCATCCTTTTTGCCAAGATGCCTTAACATGCAGATTCCCAGCCCCATATCTGAGCGCTTTGGATATCTTGAGCCGCAAACCGACCCTCCAGCCCTGTAATCTTGTTCTGTGATGACTTCGATTCACCGAAATACCTCCTACTAGTAAGCAGGTACTAGGGCCCGAGTATTCCTCCTCTTCACGTGATAAGACAAGTAAGCGCCCTGAACCACGACCACGTTTCATACATTTCGCCAAGCAACATATATACAGATGAGAATTTATTCTTCTACTATTGGACATATACCTAGTACTAGTCATAGACTGGGCTGTGAAGGCTGTGTGTGCTGTCAGAAGGATTCGACTCGAGTCTGTCTTGGCGAGGCCAGCGGTTCGTCCTCCAGTTGAAAAAGAGACGAAGAACGATAGGGGTTCAGACTACCGGAAAAGGGGCCTAAATAGAATGTGGCGCCGCCTGTCCTTGCGTTAGAGGCTTATTGAAGCTAAAAGCGGTCTTTCCGCTACTTCTAGATGCTATAGTCATTCGATGGTTTCTGTGGAGTGTTCATTCAACAAGGCATATTTTAGTCTCTAAGCGCCGACCCCTATGTTCCTGCATCTCTAGTATTCTTGGACCCTGACAACGCATAATACGTAGGGACTCTTTGGGGAAATTTCATGCCACGTTTTATTCAGCCCTAGCCAGGGCCAGTCAGTCCGACGTTGTATTTATAGTTGCGCTGAAGAGGGAAATAGACCTTCATACTCAGATCGCGTACTAGGTAGGTCCCGGCCGCTCTTATTTCTGGAATAATCACAGTCCAATAACCAGCGTTATCACCAGATCCCGTTACAGATATTGCGACGGTTTTCGTACGCTGTTCAGCTAGACGAAATGCATACACGGAACAGTGTGCGTAGAATCCAACATGTTGCAGTGTTCCGTTCTCTGCTCAATACTAGTGATTAGTCCATCTTTTACACGCTATGATTAGCTAGATCACCATTATACGTTCGCCCCAATTGCAATCAGTAATTCTCGCAAACGTAACCTCATCAAAAAAATTGAGGTAAGACCTTCAAGTTGTCAAGACTGTTGGTGCAACCTCGGAACGCGACAACTCATTCTTGACCTCACCACTGATAGATATTATAGAGAACTGACTCGCGCGATACACAAATTAAGAACTCCCACGTCTGCGAGTAGTTATTTCCCGATGTTTGCCGCTTGACCTGTTATGTTTTCAAAAAGAGAGGAAAATCCAGGTGGATAGCATACCTTTTATCCAGCTCCATATCCTGAGTTCCTTGTCTTTCGGGTCTCGGCATGTCGGTAATCGAAAGGGATTCTTCATTACCAACATTCATTGGAAATCTCCCAGCAGATTGTCAAGTGATGAAAGCGCGACCGCTACTGGAGTCCCTATATTTTACCGATTCGCCAAGAAGCCGCCCCACCCCCGCAGATAATAAATCCATCGCCAAGAATGAGCCCTGTATATTTCCATTAAAGCATGTTTCCAAGGAAAATAGGACTTCAGGATCTGACTCTTTCGCATCCAAGAATCTTCACGCACCACTCATTTTTGCAAGTTTGTTCCGTCCCCCACGCAGGCAGCAACCAGCAGAGCCTCAACCCATCGAAATGACTCAGCCCTGCCCCTCTCGGTGGCTGAGCCTCGTCAGACGAAAATAAAAAATAAAAAAAATTCACTACTGAAACTCGCTCCCTAGTTCAAGTCACCCGATTCAAGGAAAACCTCACAATGGCGCCAATCAATATACGGGATGAATTCCTTCGAGGGCCCTCAGAAGATGCGACAGTTCACCAGATTGACTTCACGAAAACATCCCCGCCCATCACCGCATTCAAAGACAACTTCGCGGCCGTAATCGACAATTTCCTGACCGAGGCCGAGTGCAAAGAGCTCCTCCAAATTGCAGAGGAATCCATCGCTTCTGCAAGAACCAGCACACATGCAGACTCCTCCGAGTCCCAATCACCAACTCCGGTCTGGGAACGCGCGATGATCAATGTAGGCGGCGGGAAACAAGTCATGTCAGTTGACAGCCGCAAAAGCGGACGCATTATTCTCGACTCCGTTGATATTTCGCAGCGGATCATGGACCGCTTGCTTCCATTTCTGCGCGATTTCGGTATCGCGCGAGTGCAGAATCAGCCATTGGTTACTGGACTTGGTCCCGCCCGAAGAGGCGACGTATATCTACAGCCACGACTTAATGAGCGCTTACGATTTCTGCGCTACGAGGGAGGTGATTATTTCCGACCTCATTGGGATGGATGCTATGTTACGCCCGACGAGTCGGAGAGGTCATTGTTTACGGTCCAACTATATTTGAGTGGAGAAGGTGAGCAGGACATGGAAGTGTTGCAGCCATATTTGGAACTTGCCGAGAAGGAAAATGCTCTTATTATAGGTGTTGATCCAGACGAAGAGCAGTTGAGGAAAGTACCAGCTCAAAAGGAGAGACTTTCTCGTGAGGCGGCGGGTGGTGGACCAGAGACTCTCCTAGGTGGTGCCACTTCTTTTATGAATGGTTTCAAAGTGAAGGATTCTGTGCGTGTGTTTCCTAAGACGGGGCGTATGCTCATCTTTCAGCAGAGGAATCTGATGCACGGTGGGGACGATGTCTTCCGTGGCGTCAAGTACACGATTCGGTCGGATGTGATGTACTCAAAGTTGGAGAAATAAATAGTATTTACGATGTAAATAACATGAATAATATTTCCGTGCCTACCTTTAACTGGTGTATGGTACTAGCTGACTGGTTGAAAGCTTTATGCACGCAGCGCACAGTACTAGAAGATACTATGCAGCCATCTTTTTCGGCAACTTCATCTGATCTAGCTTATGACTGAGAAGAATAGAAAATCAAAATATTCACATGTGTTGTTCAATGTCAGCCCCCTCATCTCACCTGCATTTACAAGAAGTTGAGAATGTTGAATGCCAATGGTAACCTTTCGGCCCCGCAAAATGCCCGAGCTTATCAACCGTTTTCGACCTTACGTCATGCCGCATCCAGCACGGCGCGAGGGCCGAATTCAACATAAAACACACCGCGTCGCCTCGAATTGTATTTTCCAGACTCATATCTACTCACTGTGACAACCAATTCCTTGTATATCACACAATTTCCAACATCTCCATTTTCCACACAATGTCGTCCACCAACAATGTGGCTTTCACGGCGCCCATCAACCCACCCGGAATCACCCCACTCTCGCTCTCACAAATCTGGGCCGGATTACTCTTGAAGATTCGATCTGCCGAAACCTTCGTCGCCGCAGCAATCGAGTCCACCGATGTGATCAGCGAATCGACAGATTCGCAAGGCAACTCGGTCACCACCCGCGAAGTCCTGTTCCGCGAGACACAGAAAAAGGTCAAGGAGGTCGTGACCGCGTTCGAAACGTGTCGCGTGGAGTTTCAGCAGCCCGACGGAAGCCGGGTATCCAATGTTATCAGCGAAGGTGCTGGTGGGGAACTATTCATGACCTATATCTTTGAGTGGAGACACCCCGACGCCTCGAAGGAGGAATTGGCCGCTCTGCTCGAGAAGGAGAAGAGGATGAGCAAAATGGCGGTTGAAGGGACTATCAAAGTCATGCACCAGTTGGCTGAGGAGAAGAAGATTTAAAAAAAAATCCTAGTGAATAAGAATAATAATCGTCATATTTCTTGATCTTCAATGCTACCAATCATCACTGTCGTAGTCCACCCCGGGATAGATATCTCCTCCGTATATTTCATGCAGCTTGGTTTCCGCATAATGGCGTTTGAGGACCTTGGCCTTCATGTTCCGAGGATTGGTCATGCTCTCGATCATCAGCTCGGTAGTGAGTGTATGAACTGGCTGTCTGCCACCAATCGACAGCCATATCTTCGAGTCGGTGTTGATACGTTTGTCATCAATCTCGTCTGCTCCCGGACGCCGCGAGAAAACCACCGACCGTCTGACATGGATTAATCGAATGAGAAGAGCCCATTCTAATCGTTGCAGGCAGTACACGTCTACTTCCAGCCATGTCAGGCCTTCACATTGACGGAGTAGCTGCCAGCAACTTTTTATATCCCCCCACCCCCATGGATCCACCAGGTCACCATCGGTTGGTCCTCCCCACAACATCCTCTGAGGGATGGTTGTATCATCGTGCACAAGACGATTATGCGATGGCATAAAGCTTATTTGCCTCACCCATGAACGGACCTGAGGACTGATAGCGCGGAGAAACCCACTGAGTAAATTAGGATATTCGAATGCGAAACGACTTTCAGACCAAAAAATCGGAGCCGCTTCATTATAAAATCGCTTATTGATGAGGAGGACGTCGAGATCGGTACGTCGCGTACACAGACAGCAGAGAGATTTCATGCACGGGTCGCCGTAATCTCTCCCAGCCACGTCCCAGTAGCAGTTATCGCAGAGATACGCATTGGTATGTGGTTTTCCCCATTTGCTGCGAAAGGGCGACACGGAAATCTGGACTTGAGGCTCTTTGTAGCCCCATGTTGCGCAGCGCGCGCAGGCGCCTTCTTTAAACACGCCAGGACCAGGCCGAACAATAGAAATGCGATCCTGATATCTGCAGGAGTCTTTGTGTCTCATATCAAATTTGCATGGTTGGATAAGAAGATGGCGATAAACTTCGTTTCTCAACTCCGATGGCAAAGCAAAGAACCTAGCAAATGTTAATGCGGCTCGCGGTCTTCAACTGTTCTGTGCTGTGATTTCTAACCTCGTAATGAAACTAGATTCAACTATCGGGTTTTTTTCTGCTTGAAAAAGTTCATTTTGGGCCAACTGAGCCTTGCACCTCGATTTTTGCACACCACGGGGACGGGGTCGTTCGAGGCGACCGGGAAATACACGAGGATGGGCAGTAATAGATGTATCAGGCTGAACTAATAAAGCCATAAGCAAAATACAAGCGTAGATTTATCGATTGAAAAGCCTCAAGGGCATATATTATCTTCTACAGTGGGGAAGCCAGCTCGTTAAATGCATTGTTACAATTTTAATATTCGTGGAGACAGCACAGCACAGCCTTGCAAGGCACCAATGATAAAACAAATGCGCGCAAGGCTGTGTGTGGCAAAGTAAATAACAATACCCAACTGATATCTAATTAAATTTTGAGTCATACATATTTCTCAGCCCCATGTCTTGCCCTTCCCGATTTTGACCCCGAAACATTCTACTCTGAGTCAGGCGCGATGATCTTACCCTCCGATACCTGAACCGCAGTTCCCGTCAAGATAACCTCTTCGATCACCCTGTCTTTGCTCAAAGTAGTCTGAACGCCAATATCGCTGCGACGGCCCATCTCCACTCCCTGTACAACATGGAATTTATGTTCCTCTCCCGCTTGACCCTCGGTCAGCGTCAGGTACGCCGCCAGTCCACTGGCCGAGCTACCAGTCGCCGGATCTTCGAATTGGCCTAGCATCATGCGTGTCCGGATAACCTTCTGCTTGGTGACATCATCATATACATCGCGGACAAAGAAGTAAACACAGATCAGCCCGTTCTTCCACCCTTCGTCGAGGTGGTTGCCATTCTGCACGGGGACCAGTTCTCCGCCAGTAGCGGTTGTCACGGTCGCCAGGGCTTCCAATGAAGGAAGTTCGATGAAGGTCTGGCTCATACCGTTGACAATAGAGAAGAGAGGGAACGACACATCTGATGCGAAGAATGGCGCCACACTGGGGTGGTAGTACAATAGGTCCTTGATGCTGAGCCTTGAGGCATGAATGCGCGTGTTATGCGCGATGCGCGCGGAAACGGCCTTTGTCGCGGCGTCGGTGATCGAAATGGGGATTTCGCCTGACTTCGTCACCAGAGAAGTGACATCGCTGCCAGCCGCCACTTCCGGGGCGAGACATAGGAACCACGAGGCCGCGCCGATGGTGGGGTGGCCGGCGAACGGGATCTCGCACTCAATGGTGAAGATGTCGATGGTTCGCTTGCTTGAGTCACGGGCTGGGTGCACGAAGATGGTTTCGGAAAGATTGAATTCTTTCGTGATGATGTGCTTCTGGCTTTGGGTCAAGGCGGCCGATTCATCTTCTGGTAGGAAGACGACGGCAAGCGGATTGCCGCCGTACGCCTTGAGTGTGAAGACGTCGAGAGTAACGAAGCGAAGTTGAGTCATGGTTAATTGCTTGGGTTTGATATTCAAGGTCTTCAGGTACATATGTCGACTTTTATAAATGGAGTCCCCGCCCTTGACTCATTACGGCCGGTGGGTCATAATCTGCCGAAGCGGCCGCTTGTCATCGGCAAGGCGCACTGTATTTTTGAAATCGGCGACACCCGTTAATAGTGTGTGATTTATCATCATTTTGTTGATCCTTGTGGGTTCAAGAAAAGCGGAAGTCTTGCAAGAGTCCTAATAATTTGCTAAAATAGGCTAGTTGACGTTTCGCCAGCTATTCGCGCAATTTCATGGAGCTTTATTCTACCAGCGATCGCGATGGCTATCAATGATTGAATTCATTCTTCAGTCGTATTTTCTTTTATTTATCAAATTCCACTTTGCACCGGAGATATATTGGCATTTTATTTCACGATTGCAGTGTATCATTACCTCCAAACAAACCATAGGACGAATGGAGAGTACACGGAAGCATACCACACTTGATATCAAAAATTCTGCCTATCAATTCCGGAGCCAACCAGCCTTTCGTTCAACCATCTCATCTCGATACTATGTAGTCGAAGCTGGTATCTATGGAATCTCAAACTCCTGCGGGTGCCCACGCTCAGCTCCCCACCTCTTCATTCCCTCGATCAACGCGCGACTAAATCCCGCATGATATCGCATTCCATTTTCCGGCCAAGCAGGGCGTCCAGCCCTCCACACGCTCCAATTCTCAGCCATCGCCCCTTCAGGTGCACGCAAAATGCCCATGGATACATCAACGATATTCGGTCTTTCATCGCAAGAATAAAAGATTGTTGCACCACAATCGCCGCAGAAAACGCGATTCACACCCTCAGTTGACCGATAGCTCTTCGCCGTCCCGATGCATAGATCCTTTGGTAGACGAGGCGTGATATGATCGCGTGCAACAAACATCCACGCAATGACATTCGTTCCAGTAACCAAGCGACAGTCATCACAAACATCCATGCAAGCAAGCCATTTGCTCTTATCAACATCAGAAAGCCAACCTTTACTTTCAGGTCTGGCGATGAATTCCTCGCTAGGTCGGGCGATCGTAAAGGAAACGCCGCCGCAATGACACTCCGCACGTAGCTCGCTTTGGTTGCTTTGGAGTTCCTTGGAAAGACTGACATCCGGCAGGGCCCGTCCACCCAGATCGTCGATCTGTAGTGGGAGCCCGTCAATTTCCGAGAGTACTGCTGCTAGACCCCCATCCGGTGCAGAGTCAGGGAGCATATGCGAGTTATACAGCCAGATTCCCTCATCGTCTCTGTTAGCGTCGAAAATCGAGGTAGATATTGTCCATGTGTCGTTACATCCTCCGATGCAGCAGCCGCAGGTGCTGCAGAAGTATGTCTTTGTGTTTGACCTTGGCAGGGAATAGGCGGTCATTTTTTCCAAGCTGGATGGCCCAGTGAATTCGGGTTCAATTCCTGGAGGCAGGTCGGCATGGAAGCAGCATGGTGCGCCGTATGTGTATCGGCAAACGCTACAGTGGCACATATGTACTTCCAAGGGGAGAATCTCCACGGGAATGCTGACGGTGAACTGGACATTGCGACAGTGGCATGATGCCGTCAGAATCTTTTTCTCTGTCATTGCCATTTTTTCAAGTTTCAGAATTTAGAATTTAGAATTCTGGGGCTGCGTGAGGAGGGGTATATGACTCTTTGTACTGCAGATAAGTGCACGGGCCAGATCGGCATTCGTATTCGGGGTCATCCAATCCGATGGATCGGAGTTAATCTGAGAATGCAAGCATACATATGAGTATTCCCACGATTATCTAAAATGAATTGATGACTATTATTAAATGCTTCTTATCGATCTTTTGCCCTTAGATGCTACTGATCCGATGCCATTCTATAGCCATGCCTACCACACGTCATATGGCTGGCGGGCCCCACCCGCATGCAAACGATGTCAGCAATGTAAACAAGAAGCGTTTGTCACAGGAAAAAGAAAGGAAAAGAAAAGAAAAGAAAAATGAATTTGATCGCTAAGAGAATCGAGCCTTCGGCCTGGAAATTCTGAAATTCGGGAAAAAATGCAAAAGGATCAGCCCCAATTCAGCTTCTCCTATCCCGCATATGGACTTTCCTAGAGGAACCTATTGTTCCCTAGACCATAAGGGTCTACGTGCCAAGACATTCACTTCTTACAAATAAAAACATGCCATTACTCTCCTTTGGTGGACGATTTTGCGATTCATGAGGCTCACAAAGTCTCGTCTCTCATTTTTCGGTTTACCTCTGTACTTGGGTCACTTTGTCCATCTTTTGCGGCCTCTGGAAAGTCCCACGCTTCTTGATAGACCTTACCGTCATCTTTGCACTATTAGCGACCTTGGCTAAAGTCATATGCGTTCCCAAAGGCCCTGTTCAGATACTGCTGGGTGACATTCTCCTTTGATTCCCATTCCACTGGAACTTCGAGGTTCTGTTGATTTTCCACCAGTGGCTTTAAGTCGTTGCAGAATTGCAACTTCATTGGATTCCGATACCACGGCGCGAAATGAACTGGAAATTCTCATTAGCCGACAATAATGAAAATTTAACACAGGCAGAACTGTTCTTGACATACTCATTGCTAGCATCACGCGCACGGCGTCTGTCCGATTTCCAATACCAGCGTGCCAAAGTCGCAAATCTCGGAGAACAATCGAGCCTTTCGGAACCATGGGCTGACAGGGTGGTCGGATAGCACGTTGCTTTTCCAACTCCTCTACCTTGATACGTCCACTTGCGCGCTCGCCCTGGAGACCCTCTTGGACGTGGAGACCTGTATCGCGGTGCGTTCCAAGCCATATTTCCGTTGAGCCGTTCTCGGGCGTCATGGTGATCAGCGGGATATTGATTACCAGAGCGAATGGGTGATCAGGGTGTTGGAAGTCCGCATCGGAGTGTACAGGTTGTGAAGCGGGTGGGCATTCTGGGGTAGGAGGCATGGCCGTGTTTCCGGAACAGAAAGTCCATTTTGGTCGGGGACCCAGGGCGGTTGATGTGATTTGGGTTGCGATCGAATCTTTTTCGGGTCAGTATCCTTGGACTGGGTCTTAAGGTCGTGGGCCACATACTCATGAAAATCTGGGGCTCAAAGTATTCTCGCATTGGAGGGGCGTCTTGTTGGATATTGTTTGGGTTGTAGTTAAATGGACTGTTCTCTTTGCGTGCAAAAAGGGTGTGTGCATCTTGAATCATCTTCTCGTTCAATCGATCGAGCATGTCGTGGGGCACTACGTCGTTGACAACGACCAGCCCATCATGATAGAGACTTCGGATTGCCACTTCAAGATTTTCCGGGCCAAGCTGGCCGTTTTGTATCTCAGTTGTGGATGGTTTGATAGCTTTGGGGTAACTCCGGGTGGTGCTAAGAGATCGCATTGCTCGGGAGAGAGGAAGGGGCCGACTCGGTCGGGCCAGTCTTGATATTGGCCACATTATCGGAAATTTCTCTTTTAATTAGATTTTGAGATAGATCATCTCGAAATCAGTGGGTATTGAAAGACTTTATATACTTCATCTGCACATTACACTCTCTGGTCACCACATACTCCACCACATTGGAGTCAACCCAGCTGAGACCACATTCGGGCTTTGTATTACAAAGACCCAGCCCAGATATCCCCTCATTATAATCCCTGATTGTATGAGCACTCAGCTGTTTGATACTGTAAGATTACAATAGCTAGCTAGAACTAATGCACGCTAAGGGAGTTCCTCCAATCCACTAGCCAGACAGTGTACCACATCCGTCCCAATTAGGAAAGTACCCCATGAATCTACCCCGCTTTTCGCTTTTCGCTTTTCGCCTTTCGCCTTTCGCCTTTCCCTCTCCCCTTTCCCATCTCGCCTTTCGGCTTTCGCTTTTCAATCCAAACCAACACCCACTTGATTCCCTGCGTGCCACTGAGCTGAAATGCCACGCCCCTTCAAACTAGACCGTAAGGCCTCCAGCTTCCACTTGTTGTCTCATTCAACCCTTATGGATGATCTCGATCCAAGCTAACTTGCTAGGAAGGCTGGTGAGGTTGAATGATCTCCCCCCCAAAAGAGCAAATCTAACATGTGTGCACATTAAAGTGTCCAGTGCCGACGGCGTAGGGTGCGATGTAAGTGAAGCAAGACATGGAGATTACACGGCTCCGATATCTAATCCCCAGACAAAGGCGATGGGGTGCGACCCACCTGTACACCCTGCGAAGGGCGAGAGTGTCAATGGCCCTTAGACGAGCGAGAGACTCAATGGCGTACAGAAGCTTGCGAGTTGCCTCCAGCCGCTCGAGCCACACCCTCACCCCAGTTCCAAACCAATCTTTCCAGAAATGTTGCGGCAGGAAATCACCAACGCAATCTCAATTTCGTATCTACGGATAACCCTGAGATTGCTCTCCAGGACTTTGAGGTCTTCCGTCTATTTAGATACTATAAAGACCATCTAGCTTCCTGGTACGACCTCAATGACAACCAGCGACATTTCACGGACATGGTGCCTGTGAAAGCGCGATCTAGTCCACTTCTCTTGAGCGCAATCCTTGCCTTTTCTGCAATCAGTTTACACAACTCTAGCTCCGAATCGCTGGTTGATAAGGCCGAGTTTTATCATCTTGAAAGCGTGCAAATAATATTGCAAATAACTCGCAATATTGAAGATGTCGCTTCCAATGACGAGCTACTGGCGGCAATCTGCCTCTTGCGTTCTTTTGAGATTATTTCCCGTAGGAACCACTTCTCCTTATACGGTATTGGGAATTCATGCTAATTGAACTTTCAATAATGACCAGAAAATCTCAGCTCCCAGAGCCATCTACAGGGATGCTATTCCATTTTGGCCAGAAATCCAATCAGACTAGATTCGCTGTCAAGTCTAGCCCGAGCTGCATTCTGGAATTTTCTCAGAGAAGACATTACCGTTGCGCTAATTGAGCGCCGAAAGTTAATGATCGAGCTATCCGAGGAACATGTTCCCAAAGACCCGAGTACTGATGACGAATACGCGAATGCTGTTACCATCCTCCTTGGGCAAGTCATCAACCAGTGCTTCGGCGAGGAGGCAAGTCCTCCAGAGCGGCTTTCGCGCCTCGAAAATCATCTGGAAACTTGGAAAGATAACCTTCCTCATTCATTCACGCCTATTATAAATTGCACCTTAATTAAGAAAGGTGAGAAAGCTTTCCCGTTTATGGGCACTCTGCATGGCTGGCACGGTACGTGGTTCATCATCGATGGATCTAAACTCTGCTACTAGTTGACTGATATCTCTGTAGCGGCGGCTATCCAATATTATCAAACCGCAATGATCATCTTGAGACTTGCAAAGCCAAATAAGCAAGCAATTTCAGTGATGGAGAACTTAAAACAAGTTACTGAATTGACTCGCGAGCTGGAGAGCCGCAGCTCCGAGATCTGTGCCTTGGCACTTTCGAGTGAATCGCAAGCTGTTTGGATCAATTCTTTTGGTCCGATTGCATTCTGTAAGTCTCATCGTGCGGGTTGCAGCTGTGGTAGAGGTACTGACTTACGGGCTTTAGGTGGATGCTGGCTCCGAGACCAGAACAAATTCCGGGATATTATCAGCGGCGTGAAGGACTGGGGTTCTCGGACGGGATGGCCAGTCTCTGATATTGTTAAATCCTTGCAGGAAAGCTCTTCATAAGAACTTGAAATTAGGAGTTGTCTGGGCAGTGTAACAATCGAGATCGAACCCTGTTCCCTATCTGGGCTTAATGCAGCTTTCTCAGCGTAACTGCGGAGGAAATTTCACCTCTCATTTTGTCTCCACTATTACAGGCAGATGATAATTTACAGACTAGTTGAAAAGGCATCTACGAATGAAGATATTATGGCAAAGAAAATCAATATACAAACTCTGAAACTACTCAGATAGGTATCCCCGATCTTTGTCCCAGCCGCTTTAAAATGCCAAACGCCTCATAAGGTCATCATAAAATCATCCCATCCATGGGCTTCACTCGGAATCACTCTCAATAACAAAACCTCCGCGCATGCGGCGGGATGATACCACAGGCGTATCCTCCTCGTCTTCATCCGCATTGGTCTCGGGGGCATCGGCTTTTGACTTTCGGTCCCGACTAAAAACCAAATCATCATCAAAGTCGAGTTCATCTTCATCTTCTGCAGATGTGAGAGGCGTGTCCTCATTGTCCCGGGTGGCGTTGCCAGTGGAAACCTCCTGTGAGCGAGATGACTCGGCCTCCAGATCTGCCATGAGGATATCGTCGTCATCACTGCCAACATCACTGCCACCAGATTCAGAAGCGCGACGCTGGCGTTTGGGCTCGCCAGTTGCGGCTGATTTCCCAGTGTCACTCTTGCGCTTGCGTGCACTTGCTTTCTTGCCCTTTGAGCTGGCCTCCTCTGATCGGCCAGTCAGCAAGGCTTTCTTGACGTTCTCGGCTTGTTTCTTTCGTCGCTCTTCCTCGAGACGGAAGAATTCTGCATCGCCGTCGGCATCACTCTCCTCATCACTGGCATGAATGAAGAGGTCACTTTTGATTTTGGCCTGACGAGCCAATGTGTTGGAAAGACGGGCGTCGCGACGCGCCTCAAGAACTTCGTCATCAAGGGGCTCCTTCTCAGAATTGTCCTTCTTCTTGCCCTTCTTGCGTTTCTTCTTCAATTCGTCTAGTGCATTAGACTTGGACCGCGGGTTCGGAGGGAATAGAATTCCATCTGGAACCACATCTTCGCCTTCAGAGTCGTCTCCGAAGTTGATGTCGAGTGTTGCTTGTTCAAGGGTATCTCGTGCAGTGCCCGTGTATTTCCGGCGAAGCTGCTCTCGAGGATCCTCGGTGCTTCCCTCGGGAATTGGATTCAGGATGGTCTTGTTGAGCGTGGATACAGACTCACGGAGCTCAGCTGAGCCCATTTTTGCTGGAACAACCCAGGAAGCACCAGGTACATCTTCAACACCAAGCCTTTCCAGCCCGAGCTCATTCAGCAAAAGACGAAGCTTTGCGTTGGAGAACATGGCGTTTGAACAAAACTCATCTCGCGGTTTGACGGCTATGACAAGGTTAGCTTTGACAATCATTCTTTAATTGGGGCAAACATAGACATACGGATCAGTGGATTAAGTGCACCGCCAGTTTCAGGGTCCTCTGCGTGACGAGCCGCATCCTGGGCCTCCCAGTCCTCTCTTTCAGAGGCCGCCGAGTTCAAAACATCAACAACCCATTTCACAAGGTCTGTCCGTCCATCAAGAACAAGTGCACCAGTCACAATTCCTAACTTCGCTTCAGATGTTGTCGCATCCTTTGAAGAAATCTCAAGTGTTGCCGGCGCTCGCTTGGCTGTAGACAGTGTTTGTCTTTCGTGCCCATACTCGAGGTAGAAAACAGTTGCGTTCATTTTGCTGAAAAGTAATTCGGTGATCAGAGCAGGGCGTTGATCAATCTTCTTGATCAGGCGGCGAAGGATCTGTCGAACCAATTCCTCCCACTCCCGGAAAACCGATTTGCTGCTGTTGTCCATCGGACCAGGTCCCTTGATCATCCGATTAAAAAGGTTGATTATGTCCAACCTGAATAATAGGACAGTCATTTCTTGTTTGAATGCAATGCGATAGAAATAACGATGGGCGCGTTTCAATTGCTCCGGATTCAGCTCTTTGTAGAATCCGGTGAAGGCAACGAATGTATCAACGCAGTTTTGTGTGCAAAATTTGGCTGCAAACCGTTTAAAATCGAAAGCCCGTTCTTTCGTGATCTGTGCAGCGTCCTCCATCTCCTCATCCTCGGAGTTCTGCTCTTCATCTTCCCCTCCTTCCTGCCCATTTAGTTGCTCGGCCTTCTTCTTACGCTTGGCTTTGTGCTTAGATCGAATCTGCATATCGGCGTTATCCTTAGAGTATCGCTCAAGCATTCGCAGGAAGACATGGGAAAGTTCAGTGGCGGCATCCAGATAGCCAAATCCTTGATCTTTGTATCCGCGGACAATAGCCAGAATTCTGTCATGGGTTGTTTCTTCGTAGAAGATTCGGTTTTGGATGTTTTCAGCAATTTCTTGGTCCTCTTCAATCGGCGACACGGCCATCTCTTGGACTGTTAAAAGAATTTGGGTGAAGCATCGCATTTGGGCATTCAGATCGTCCCACTCCTTGTTGTCGAAGCTACTCTGCATAGCCCGGTTGAGAGTGATGAAGGTCTCCTGGTTCAATACTCCAGCTACCAAGCCATAGCTGTCTGGTTCTGTGTCTTTGGCCGACTTTCCTTGCTGGGCGCGTTTCTTGAGTTGGGACGCCCGTCGTGCACGCTCTGCCTCGAGGAACCAGGCAACGGTGTAGAAAAACTGACGGGAATTAATATCCAGAACTCGTTCAGCTTCACGCTCAATGGCTTTCCTGACATGGGTGAAAAGAGGGTTGAAGCCAGAATCCAGGAACTCTTCCACGAATGTTCTGAGATTCTTCGAGGCCGATGCAGAAAGGTGGGCAGGCATATTAAAGTTGTTATTCTGGACAACATCTTCTTTCCTGCGACGGGTTTGGGGCTTATTCCACTTCTTGCTTTGGTCCATTTTGTGAAGAGTGGTTTGGTCATCCCGCAACACATCTTGCCCAGAGACGGTGGAAACCTTGCCCGCATCGTCACGCTTCACCCAGATCATTGTTCCGAATCGACCATGTCGAGTAGGGGCGTTCTTGGCGTATTCTCTTCGGACGAGGGATTCCTTTTGCAGTAAGTCGCCCAGCTCATCCGTTCGCTTGGCCTTCCTTTGGTCTTCTTCCATGAACAATTTGTCGACGTTGACACCCTTGACGAGGTGGAACAGAATCTCCAGAAGTACCACATCCTGCATGTTGAAGTCTTCTCCAACATTCGAACACATGGTCAAGATGAGGGCGAAAGCATCTTGTTCTTGGAAGGCGTCGATCGTAGCCGACCTCGAAGTCTCCTCCTCCTCGCCTTCAGCCGCAAGCCGCGCATTTGTCGAGATGATCGCAACATTTCGCATGAAGTAAAGCATCAATTTCAGGATGCCTTCCTCTCGGCTTTCGCGCTCGGACCGGGGGATCGCCATACTCGGTAGCGCAATTCGGATGGCGGCACGGAGGAGATTCGATCCACCATGTTTGAGGATGCCGCGTTTGTATTGAACCTGAGTTTGTTGAAGGTACGGGGTGTGACGATGGTGATTGACGGTCATCTGGCTGTGGAATTCTATCGGCCATGTCAAAGGCACAAGAAGTTCCACTGCGTTCACGTTAGCTCGTCCAGGATTACCATGAAACAGATCAAGGTTGGGTAGGGGCTTGACATACAACACGCCAGTGCAATTCTCGTCATATGCTTGCTCTTTTGTCCACTATTCCACCAGATCGAGAGAATTGGAAGTAGGTCGCCGTTCACCAGGTTCGCCTCTCCCAAGCATCTAGCCACATCCATGCGGTTGTTCTTCTCGTCGTATAGTTTGAGCCATCGCTTGATGTCGCGGAGACACGCTAGGGCATCATCTCCCAGTACATATTTATCTGCGTCTTCGCCATTGAAGCCTCCGAGCTAAAAATGAGGGGTGTCAGCCAATCTTCAACTCTCCTCCTGCGGCGATCTGGGGGCACTCACGGCAGTGACCAGGCTGTAAACGTAGCCACGCACATCCGGGTCTACGACCTGGACATCATGACCCAGAGCAACGACCTCCTGCTCCATGGTGGGGATAGTGGCTGCTGTATATCGCAATCAACTTTCACAAATACAAATGTAACTCGAACGGGCGACGCGTCTGGCGCGTTCCGCGTCTCGGCCGCCTCGTACCGCCTCGGCGATTCGGAGAAACGAACTCACCGCCGCAGCCGAGGATAGCCGATGACGTCGGGACAAACACGTGAATATCTATAGACGCTTCGCTCCTCGTTCTCTCAACTTTGACCCTTGATCACCTTCTAGTTCATTCACAGCCATGTTCGCCTCTTCTATTCGCTCGGTCTGTCGCAATGGCCCAACTGTGGCCCGCGGCTTCAGCTCTACAAGCGTGGCCAGCGCTGCCGAGGTTAAGTCTCTCGGTGTCATTGGTGCCGGTCAAATGGTTCGTCGCATGTCTCTGGCCCCGGACAGAAATTGAGGGGAGTCTAACGAGATATAGGGCCTTGGAATTGCTCTAGTCGCCGCGCAGAGGGCTCAAGTCCCCGTGACTCTGATTGACACTTCACAAGCATCATTGGACAAGGGTCTCAAGTTCGCTGGTAAATTCAACCCCACCACCATGAAGACCGAATGGGTCCGCTATTCCAGTATCTGCAACTGCAAGGAATTTAGCAGTTAACCCGGTATCCCCATGTCGCAGATAAGCTCCTCGAGAAGGATGTCTCGAAGCAGCGTATTACCCGAGAAGCCGCCGATGCGGCCCGCGGCCTTCTTACGGCCAGCACCAAGATGGACGACCTGTCCTCAGTCGACTTTGTGATCGAGGCCGTTCCCGAAATCGTCGACCTCAAGCAGAAGATCTTCACCAACCTCGCCCAAATTGCGCCCAAGCATGCGATTCTGGCTACCAATACGTCCTCCATCTCCATCACCAAGATTGCGGCCGCTACTACCGCAGACCCGACGGATCTGCAAGCCCCATCACGAGTGATCTCGACCCACTTCATGAACCCTGTTCCTATCCAGAAGGGTGTCGAGATCATCCGTGGTCTGCAGACTTCTCAGGAGACCATGGATACTGCAATTGCGTTTGTCCAACGCATGGGCAAGGTAGCCTCCGTCTCCGCCGACTCGCCCGGCTTCCTCGCCAACCGTATCCTGATGCCCTACATTAACGAAGCAGTCATCTGCCTTGAGACTGGCGTTGGTGGCCGTGATGATATTGACAACATCATGAAGACCGGTACCAATGTCCCCATGGGCCCCCTGGTCCTCGCGGATTTCATCGGTCTTGATACCTGCCTTGCAATCATGAATGTCCTACACCAGGAAACCGGTGACAGCAAGTACAGACCCTCTGGTCTTCTCCGCCGCATGGTGGATGCTGGCTGGCTTGGAAAGAAATCCGGTAAGGGCTTCTACGATTACTGATAGCCACGCGTATTACCTGGCTTAGTTGATGAGCAAAATTGGTTTCTCTTTGCACTATACCTCCTGTATCCTACCATTTTAGATGGCCACTAGCCCTCGATCTATATGAAGCCTTTCCTGGAAAACAGCCGCAAGATACCCTCATTACCCGTGAGATCTCTCATCCCGTCTCCTTACCAGATCCGTAGAGTCCGTATTCATAGCAGATGTGAGTCTCTTCCTTCACTCATTGTTCTCCTCAAGTCTCCACCCCCATTGATCCCTAGCGGCAGTTTCCATCTCAGCTTGATCCATTTCCGCAAGAAGAATAGCAACATCGAGATCCCGGTCCTCTCCCAAGATAGTAGCATTGCCATCGTAATCAACCCCATTACCTTCCCAGCAACGACATCCAGGCCACGATCTCCCACATGCATAGCTAGGCAGCGAGCGTAAGTACAATCCGTTTTCAATCCACGGCGAACTTACCAAAAGTCTGCCCCACATAGACACTTGACGTGTTGGCATCCGTCCACTTTTTCAACCATAGCATGGCAACTACAACATCGTTGCCAGTGATTACGCCTTGCCATTACCAGTATATCTGCCAATCCAGGGTCTTCGGCACATTCACGATCCGCATGGGCTAGGTCTCGACACCGGGAGCAGATCATCGTACGGCAACGAGGACATCTCTGATAGGTGTCGCCGGGTTTCAGATATCTGCTGTGAATCCATTGTCTGCAGCTGGTATGGGGACAGTACAGGCGTTCTGTTGACGGTACTGCCTCTTCGTGGACTCGAGAAGTATACAGCCGCTTCGTCCGAGTGCTTAGTGCCGGTGAGATGAGATTCATGGGAATTATTTGGTTGCAGCACCGGACTGGGAAACGAGTTCTATTCCGTAGCGAGAAGAGGGCCATTTTTAGGATACAGCGATGACAATATCGGTGCTCGCAGGGCGCGGTTATCAGCTTGTCGAACCGGATGTCTTCGTAGCAACCAACGCATTTGCTAGTTACCGGTCAACAATATTGACATTATAATCAGCTTCGGGGAATAACTAACTCTTTATTCTTGAAAAATATCTTCAAGATGGACTTCAACCTCATTCTAATTCCAACCTTTTTGGTATCCGGTAGGTGCACTGGGGCTTCTCGGCAAGGATACAAAGACACCGTCGTCTGCTCGCTGATCTGGTCATCTGTGAGTCGATCAGCCAGTTCGGTCTCAGTCGACGTCTCATCCAAGTAGAAGAAACATGTGGCATTGGCTTGCGGTGGAATAGAATTATCCTGGCATTGGAAGAGACGTGGTAAGCCCTTTATTGCTTTCGAGATTCTACCTGGAAATCGACGAGTAGGCGAAGGCACTGTTGCTGGGGGCTCTGCCATATCTGCGTTAGTGATAGACACAGTTGTTGTCAAGGAAAGGCGAGATTGAGGGAGAAGCCAATCGCTAAATATCAACCAAACGGCATCTTACCGAGGGTACATACCGGCTTCGGTTTAGCAATTCACGTTCTTAACCTCCTGCAGTGGGCAATCGCAGCCGTAGGATGTGAAGGCAATACCCACAATGACAGAAATGCAACCTACTTGATACTAGCTTTGCCCAAATTTTGCTTGGTTCAAAGGAAAGCGTAACCTGGTAGCCCTATCGACATTTCTATAATCCCGTTGTGAGTATACCGCTCAACAAGGTTAAGGTTAGCATCTGGCCATGGTTTTATATAGGAGCTGCCGGGGATAGGTCAGGTCCAGGTGGACTTTGATACTAAGAACGACTCAGTATTACATCACTACATTTGACCTTCTCGAAGTACTGGATTTAGTTTTCCATATTCAAACCTTGGAAAGCAGTTAACTTTCCATGATCGGGAACATCACTACCTTCTGAGAGCAGAGACCTCAGGCATTGGCTTTGTCCACACTAAGACATCTAGTTCTTTGATACTCCATGATAGTAGTAGTAGTAGTAGTAGTATTCTATTGAGACGTGGTGCTGTAGGCACCGGCCTCGGGCAACGATGTTGTTGCGTCGTTCCTTCCTTGTCTAGATAGCTTCGCTCCCTCTTCTCTCTTCTCTCTTCTCTCTTCTCTCTTCTCTCTTCTCTCTTCTCTCTTCATCTCATCCACTTGCTCTTTTCCATTCATCATCTCCTCACATTCGACCTCAGTCAGTGCTATCAATTCCAAACTCCAAACAATCAAGCAACAAACCGCAGAAGCTGTGACAGCACTTCGTTCATACTCCTCCCATCACTCCCATCAATCCCATCGGTCCTGAACCTTCCTCACCACTGATTTGAGCCACCGTCAACGCGATGCGAGGATACCTCAACCCCCGATTCTCCGGCAAACCGGGCGATAATGTCAACCAATTCATCAAAGCATGCCATTGCATTCCGCCCCTCTATGGATATACAGAGGCCCAGCTCAATGATGTCCGCGCAGTGACATTGTATCAAGGAACTTCCGAAGAAGCCAGAAAGTTCCTAGACAAGCTTCCCGAATCTGTCCAGGACGACTTTGTTCAAGCGTCGACCCAGCTCAAGGAAAAGTTCCCATGGAAGTCCGAGACCGAACAATCGATTGCCATGGAGAAAATCACCAACCTGAAGCAAGCAGAAATGCCATTGTACGAGTATGTCGAGCAGGGTACGAAGCTCCAGGCTGAGACTTTCCCGAGCCAACATGTCTCGCTTTGCCAGTGGTGGCTTCTTGGATTGAAAGACCAACTCGCAGCGAACATCGCAATCACCGCATGGCTGAAGCACGCCGACGGCGAATTGTCCTTCGACAAAATCGTCCATTACGTGAGAAACCCTGGCCTGAAGTACGAGGGTGACGACTACAACAAAAAGTGGTATTAAAGTTTCCGCGCACAGCTTCTTCCGAGGTTAGCCAGCTATTCGAACGGGTTCCTGAGTCAGATTATGATTCTACTGTGCATGATTAGATACAGCACCAGGGTATTGGTATTGCCTATCCAAATAGTCAATATGCTTCCCAGTCAGTGAGAAATAGCTATAGCATCAATGAATCACGGATTATGGTTTTGAACTACTTACTAGAATTTGTGCCAGCCTAGATGTAACCATGTACCAGTCAAGGCGATCTCATTCAATTAAACACTAAAACTAAAACAAAGGGTATCGTAGATGCATTTCAAATTGCCTTCAAGTAGACAAGGACCCCAAACTCCGAAAAATGACCAAGTTTTGCAGATTTCGCTACCGGAATTGTTCAAATGTTCCCAGCGAACCTTCGGCCAGCCCATCCAGATCCATACTCCTGATACTCTTGTCGGGAAATTGCAACCTTGCTCAACTCTTCTCGGTTGTTGGCGAGGCGGGACCCTCCCAGCCATGTAGAGCAGATGGGACTATTCGCGAGTTAGTATAAGGTGCAGCTAGGAAATATCAAAAGCGAAGTAGTACTTACTCTTCAGCCCGGCGCACTCTCACGACGCATTCAGATGATGTAATTTGACGCAATTCCGATTCACTAATAGAAAGGTCATTAATTTGAGCACCAATACATCGAGGCAAAGTCCAACATACAGCCGCTCCATGAAGCCTGGGATACCAGCATTACCGCCCACGACAAGAACATTTGCCAATAATGAAGCATGTAGTCCAGCGGGAAGAACAGACAGACTCTGCAGAATCATTTCGGGAACTCCTGCCTGCTTCATGCCAATGTCACTCGGGCGGAACAAAAGCTCTGGAACAGCAAAGCGCTCATTGCCCAGAACTAAGACATCCTCGGAAAGAATTTCAGAACTTAACCCGGACAGAGCGCCTTTCTTCTTTTTCGCCTCCAACAGAGGGTCGTGTGGTCGCATGAAACCCTTCTTGTTCGCGTTAGGGTCAGGAAGCACAAAGTCCACCACAATACTATCGTCCGAGGCTGCTTGGCGCTTGAGGTTCGCCTTCCAAGTCTTCTCCATGTCTGTCGTGAAATCATTGGTCACAAAGCATACCGACTCCTTCACCTCATTCATAATATAGCTCTCATCCACCATGTTGTACTGCCTCATGGACACGATCTCCTTCAGGTAGTTCGTCAGGTGTTTGCCGCCAATGTCAAGGCGGCGTATCGCGCGCTGGATGGGGAGTCCTCTATAGACGGGTGTCACGGTCGTATGTGAATATCCAGAGTCGACAACAAGCAGACAATCCGCAGGCAAGATATCCGTCTCGGGCTTTCGAAGCGGGTCTCCAAATAATGAATGGACCTCGTTCCATGCATTGAGCGTCGGGCCTAAAAAATAGCATAACATCAGTATTGATCCTCCGGCTTCATCTTCATCGACCAACTCTCAGGATTTTGCGCATCTCTTACCCAAACACCTCACATAACCACCAAAGCCCCATTCCTCCATCACCATTTCGTCCGTATTCCGTTGCAAAACCGGCATGGTATTCGGCGCCTCCGTAAGCACGAGAGTCGTGTCTTCCGGCGACGGGATTCGAATGCCCTTATTCCGCGCCGTAGCCTTCTCCTCGAAGAACGACTGCTCCCAGATCTCCCTCTCCGCTTCCCAATTCACGAGATATCCCTTCTCCACCGGCCGGCGAAACATGGCCTCGTTCCAGTCGTTGACAGTGCTGGAGATCTGCGGACCGACCACGATGCGATTATCGCGCGTCTTGACAAGACAGTTCGGAATCGTAGTGCATGCGGATAGGGCTTCTTCGGCGGTGGTAGCATCGGACGCATAGCCCGCTTTCATTGTATAGGCGCCATTGTCGATGATGAAGGTTTTCTGGGGGATACGCCGAGATGGGGCTTCGGGTGCCTTTTTGGCAGGTTTTGCTGCGGCGCGGGCCTTCGATGTTCCCATGATCTCACGGGGGTTTTGAAATTGAAATTGAAATCAAGAATGAAATTCGGAGAGTCGGAGGAAAGGCGAGCTGCTCCGAGTCCAGCTTCAACGCGGTGTCGAAATGTTTGCTGTGTTTGACTCGGTGTCTTTCTGCCTCAGGCTGCAATAGGAACTACTACTACGTAGTTACAATAACTTGTTATTCATGTACTTCATGATCTCAATGGAGGGAGTAATTATTATTCAAAATTCATTATAAAGATATATATTCCTATCTTTGCAAGAAGTTTCAATATGCATTATATTATCCTTTTCTTATCAAGTTGTAGCAGCTTAAACCCCCGCCCCGCAGAGCCCCGCGCTGCAAAAAAAAGATCCATACGCCAAAATTCCTCAACTGCCCCTCCAACATCCAACTTTTACAACACCTCACTCAATCCTCTCAACCTTTCAAACAGCCGCAGCTCGTCCCCCGCTGCCTTGCCAGAACTACACATCAAAAATGGCAACTCAAATCGCAACCCTCCTCTCCTCAACCCTCGCCCTCCTCGACCAATTCCAAGAAACACTCACTCCATCCCGCGCCGCAGAGACTCAGTCTCAGTCTCAATCTCAACCCGAGTCCTCCTCCTCTTCAAACGATGCAAAGCCCCTAGCCCTCCTATCAGCATCATCCGCTGCTCTCCGCGCACAAGTAACAAAACTCTCACTACTGGCAATAACCACACCCTTCACACCGTCAGCGGTTAGCACCGTGCTCCGAGCCGTGAATGACTCCGTCCTGCCTTCACTTATAACAGCGGCTCTCCTGATCACGCCAACCGAGTACACAAAAGCATTCCACTCTGAGATCCTCGTTCTTTCGCGCACGGCGTTGGCGGAATTCGCTGCGCTGGTTGGACTTGTTAAGGGTATTGCGGAGAAGAGCGAGACTGGAGAGAAAAGCAAGAAAAATGACTCCAAGGAGGCTATGTCCAAGGCGGAGAAGGATACCGTTACCGTTGCGGCGGGTCGAGTTTGGGAAGCGTGTGATACTGTGACGGCTGTTGCTACGAAGGGTGTTGTGGGGTTTGTTGTGCATCGGGTTGAGCAGTGGAGGGATCTGATTCGGGATGCTGTGATGGAAATTGAGGAGTGGGATCCTGAGGAGGATGAGGATGATTTCTTTGATGATTTGATGGGTGATGAGAAGAAGAAGGATGATGATGATGAGGCCTCGGATAAAGATGATGAAAGTGATTCTGATTCCGATGACGATGAAGATACTGCTGCGCTCCTGGAGCGCAAGAAGTCTACATTGCGCTTCCTTAAGCCCGTCGCTCAGGTTTACCCGGCTGTTATCAATTACCGCTTGAAGAACGCGGGGGAAACGCCGCTGGCTACGAAGGCTGGTGTTGCGAAGCTGGAGCTTTTGATGCTTCATCTTGGACAGATTCCTGATCAGGTTGATGAGGCTGCTGGTGCTTTGTATGAGGATGATGCGGATCGGGCGGTGGATTTCTTGAAAAAGATCCGCGCGAATGCTACCGTTGCTGTTACCTCGCTGGAACTTCCTTGGGGTGCGGCTGCGGGTGCGGATAAGGCTGAAGATAAATTTACTGTCTGGTCGAGGACGTGGCTTAAGGTTTTGGAGGAAGTTGGCAAGTCCATCGAGGCTGAGTGAAATTGAAGTTGGTCACCACAGCGTCTGAGAGGAGCTTGAACTTGAGATTGTACCTAGTTGATACCCAGTCGATGCAAACGAGTCTCCGAAAAACAACATTAGAATTTCAAAGGCATAATAAAGTCCATATTTGTTTATGTACAGGTTAAAGAAGATAATTGTTATACAAAGGGGGACCCTGCGACAATGCCTTTGGTAGGTTGATAGTGTCTCCCCCGGGCTTTCCACCTAGAATTCGTCAGCTTTGGTATCATCCTCTTCCCATTCAGGCATATCTTGAGCAGGAATATGCTCTTTCAAAAATTGCAACACAGCATCCGTCCCCTTGGCAACAATCTGCCAACGAGGAACCCGGAAGCGATTGCCAGCAACTTCGAACCGCCTCAATGCTGAGCCCGACCCCCAGTTGCGAGGGGAACGCTCCGCGGCCAGAAGACCGATCTTCGGCGGCAAAGCATCGATGTCATTGTTACTGACGTCCAGAACCTGGAGACCTTGGACAGCCTCGAAATCGAGACTGACGATCCGATTATCTGAGACCAGGAAGGACTTGAGTTCTGGGAAGGTCTCGCGAAGATGCAACAAGGGTCCTGTCAGTCGGTTGTTGGAGACATCGAGGACAGTAAGTGCTGGAGCCTTCAGGTTCGCCAGGAGAGATTCGATGGATGTTAGCCCAGTGGCACTGAGGTTGAGTGTTTGGAGTTTGGGGAGCTCAAGGGGTGAAGACAGAAGCTCGGCACTGTCCAGAGGATTGTGAGAAAGGTCAAGCTCGGTCAGATTCTCCGCAAGCATCTTCAGCGCTGATGAAGGGAAGCGAGATAGTTCATTGTGTTGCAGTTCAAGACGGCGAACCTCTTGCGTATCGATCATTTCCAGTTTCCAAGTCTCCAGCTCGGTCATTTCCGAATATGATCTGTCCAGAAGACCACCGGCTCTAACCTGCCAGCCACTCTCCAGTGCCGGCGTCTCCGGGGCAAGCGTAAACTGCGTCGCCACGGAGCCCTCATCATCCGTATCTAGAGGATCGGGCTCACAACGATTCCGCATATCCTGAAGAATTTCATCTGACGACATGCTCAGCAGCTTGCGCTCGCGAAGTGGATTGTTGGCAATTCGGAAAGATGTCAAGCCTTCCAAAAGACCAATCTTCTCATCTAGTCGAGTGATATTGTTCCCAGTAAGATCGACGTTCTTAAGTGACTTCAACCCCACCAGTCCATCTGGAAGCTCCGCAATGCTATTATCCTCAGCCGAAAGAACCGCCAAATTCTGCCAGGCAGACACACGAGGTAGGTATTTAATGCGATTTATACCGATGAACAAACTCTGCAGTTCTGGCAACGCTAGGTTGTCATTGGCGGCAAATACTTCAATTGAGTTGCCAGCAACGTTTAGCGTCTGCAGGGTTCCAAGACGATCGACAGATTCCGGAATCAGAGTGCCTTGCAATGTATTTTTGGGTGCATTGAGGGTTCGCAAAGGGACGTTGCTCAATGCGGCAAAAGGTAACGATGCCAACTTATTTTCGCCAACATCCAACAACTTGAGGTTTGTCAAATGAGCAAGCTCTTTCGGTAATGACGTGAGAGCGTTGCCGCGGAGGTCGAGCGCTTCTAATTGTTGAAGGCGACTGATGTCTCCCGTCAAGGATCCTTCCAGCTTGTTATTTGCAAGTTTCAAATCCACCAAAGTTGGTATCTCCAGCACGACTCGGATCTTCTCCATATCAAAAGAGTTATTGGAGAGGTTGAGAGAGCGCAATTGCCGCAACTGCTTGATACCCATTGGAAGGCTATGCAGTACATTGCCATGAAGATCCAAAGTCTCCAACCCGCCAAATTGAGGCGCTCGTTCGTCCCGCTCTGGATCAATATTCTCTGGGTCCACGTCTGGGAATGTAGCATCGGAGACTTCGGCGAGTTCATTGTCTGCTGCGATGAATTTGACCAGGTCTACATTCTCGAACCAATTCGTAGCATCGGGGTCAAATTCGTACATATCGATGACCTCTTTGGGAATCTCCGTTAACGAAAGGGCGGCGATATTCAAAGTGCCCGAAGTACGAGCGCCTTCCACCCGTTTTCGTATGACGCCGGGATTGGAGCCCTTGGGTAACTGTTCGAAAGGATCTTCTTCAATGGTACCCCATGAATCTGCGGGCTTGACTTGTGGTTCGGGCTTCTCATCATTCGTATCGCTCTTTGCTGCTGCCTTTCGAGCTGCCTTGGCCTTGGCAATGGTGTCACGTAAGGCGCTCGATGACTTCGTAGTCTTCCTGGATTCATGTTCCGCCTGTTGCTCGGGCGTAAGTTCATCTGCTATGTTGGATGCCGCGGACACGTATCGAGAAGCAGTTGATGGCGATCTCATTGTTGATGGGGACTCTGTCTGGGGCTTCCTGGTCTTCCGAACGTTAAGTGGACGTTCGGGCGGTCCCATATCAGTCTTGACAGATTTCGGGGCTGTTTTTCCTGGGGAGGGTCGCGCGAATGATGGCTTGCCAATTGATTTATGGTTGAGTGTATCCTGTGATGCCTTTTTGAGAGGCGTTCTCGGCTCCGTGGTACCACTTCCCAGTGCAATGCTGTGTCTCGCTGATGGCATCTTCATTCTTGAGGGACTTTCAGCAGCATCCGAGACCTTGTTTGGTGACAGGGGTGTAGACGATGCGACCGACGGACGGTTTCGAGATGGCAAGCGAAGCTTGGATACAGGTTGGGACAGAAACTCGTTTCCTTCAGTCTGGCCAGAAGATGATCGCGACGGTGATCGGGAGTAATTGGAGACATTCGATGGTGTTTTGGAAGGGGATCGTATCGGGCTGGCTCCATTGAAGAAGCTAGACTGTCGTTTCACGGATGCCGGCGATGGTGGAATAGCAGATATCGTCTCAATTGTTCGGTCTGATAGCGAGGGCCGAATTTGTCGAACACGACCGCGAGCCTCTTGAGCATCTTCATCCCCCACCACGCTCGCGTCTTCTAGCTTGTCGCTTTCATCCAATCCGCTGGCGGGCTCGCTAGGCACAGGAGATACCTGCTCACGGGTTTTCGATGGTGATGAATAACGCGAGGATGGTGGTTTGAGGAGCGACTCGTATGAGGGACGTCGTAGGCGGCTATGGTCGAGACCAGGATCGGCTTGTAAGCGATCTCGTGAAGGTGAGGGGCGGATGGATTTCGATGCGGTGGTGGTTGGTAATGGCAATCTGGAGACCGGACGTGGAATCCCACTCGGCGGACGGATAGCTGACTTGGGCTGGCTCTCCATGTTGGCGTCTATGTTCTGTGTGAGATTAGGACGTGGGCCAGGTGAGAGTGAATAGAGCCACACGTCAGAAAAAGCGAACGATGTCCGTGCAGAATCAAGAATGTGAAAGGCGGGGGAAAAGCAAAAGGAGTTCGGATGAAAAAAGTGGCAGGCCCACCTTCATGACAATTCGGAGATTCTCTCACCCCTGGGGATACCAGATGGGGAACTGATCGAAGCTAAATTATTGGAGATCGAGGCTGATAGGATTGTTTACTTTTATTTCCGCGATAGCCGCCTCAGGCAGAAACCATCTCTATAAACAGCCTGACCATTGACAAGGGAGGCTGCAGATATCTACGACAATCCGATAGTAAGACAGTATGCTCGGATAATTGCAGAACAAAGAACACGATGGTTTTGGTAAGCTCAGGCTTATGTAGGTTCAAATTGCTGGGCCGTGATACGTGGATCAATGCATCCGTGCTGTGCCTGTCCACTAGATGAATGGGCTAGCTGCCGATACCTACAACCATGGATAGGCACGAAGTAGCCGTCTGATGATGCTGGGAGGAGGTATTTTGGGTGCAAGGAATAAATCCATTGGTACAACAGGTAGTACTAGTATGTTTCGCGAACTATTTGGAAGCTAAGACGGCCCAGGTAGACTATTCAGTGTATAGGTAGGATCCTGAAGAGACTGACCTTTCTTCAATCATTCCGACTCGGTCAGGGCAATTCCAATTGAATCTTGTCCAGGTGTATGATCAGTATTATTCCTGTTCAATGTCGTTGGCTTGGGTCACGGTGTTTACATAGTAGTATAACGTCATTCCATTAGAAGTATATTTTCAGCTATGTCACTAGTTTATACTAACTAACTACTAACAAACCAACCACTCGCAATTAGGCATGGAGGCAGTATCTGCAGAGCCATTCCTTCCAGAGGCTGTCAAGTAGCATTCCATTCCAGGAAGCATTCCACTCAGAATGTTCTACTATGAATTTGATGGTCGAGACCATACTAGGCTAATCGGGTATCTGTTCAGGTACCAGCATTCTTCTAGACATAGTCGAAGAATGTTCGAAATTTTCAGACATTGCGAAGTGCTATATATAATTCGTGTATGTACAGAGTACAGAGTACTCTGTATAATGCAAGGACGCTGTGATGGCATCATTGCTATTGTTCAGCTGAGTCCCCAGCTTCCAAGGTTATCGGTTGCCAGCCCAACCCCGTCGTTCGCAGCCTGTTTACCACCAAAATGGAAGCGTCGATCGGCAGACCAAGCCGCATTGGGGAATGTGGGTCCATCAGGCGGCTGATCCGAGTTTCTGATTGGCAGTAAATGTCACATGGTTGGGAAGGCACCGTGTGGTCCCAAACTTCCCCCAGCCGCATTTCGCACTGCGGCCGTTCCCAGCCCCCTCCTCCAACGATATCATATTCCCCTCTCATTTATGCCCTTTCTTCCCCTTCATATCCCTTCTACCCATTCACACCCCCTTACAATAAACCACCATTGACTCTCTACAATCTGCGCAATCATCCTACCACCCTCCCCCTCATTTCTCTTCTCCGGTATGCGCCCGACCGCCTTTCAATGGCTCCTCCACTTTCTCTATCGATAGCGATAAACTAACCCACCATCCCATTCCAGTGCGAGGATCCCCCTCCAAACCCCCACGACTGGCTCCTTGAGTCACCGTAGACTACTATCTCTCAACGACTTCATCGGCCATGTCTCAAACTCCCCTCGCCGCTCCCGCCGAGATTCTTGCCCCGGCAACCCCAGCCAGACGGGCCACTCTTTCTCCATCGCCAGATCTCAGTGCCCCCATCATCAAGGTCCGATCTTCCCACTCAGACAAGAAGTTCACGTCTCCACCACCTCTTTCATCATCCGACATGACCCCGCCACCCTCTACCCAGATCCCCGGCGCTCCTCTGCGCCGCTCTCATTCTCGCTCTATCAGTCCATCTCTCATCACTCCAGTTGACCTGGAGAAGTCCTTGTGCGACGCCTATGGCGCGTCTGAGAATCTTCCATCCGCTGAAGATATTGACAATGCCAACGAGGCTCAACTACGTACGATCGCCAAGGAACTCCTCGCTAAAGCCCAAGAGGCCCGCATGAATGCTTTACATTTCAAGCTACAGAATAGTCTGGCCTCTTTCGCCAGCAATAACGCGATCGAGCGTGCTGAGGTGGAACAGAAGCTCGCCAAGCGTGAAGTTGAGATCCTCCAGAGCGATGAATATCGCAACCGCACACGCCCGGCGGATCCCCTCACCCCCAGACCCTCCCAGTCTGTCTCCACAGATGATTATCTTGCTGCCCTCCAGCGATCACAGGAGCTGGAAGGTGCCAACACTCTTCTGGACCGCCGCCTTCGGAATGCCAAGCGGGCTATCGACGATGCCACCACAAGATCAGTGGAGTTGGGCGAGCAGAATGAGATGCTAAAACGCCGCATTGAAGACAACCGTCGACACTTCTCCCAAATCTACAACTACGGTTGTCTTTCCCCGGGCATGCAGAGCGAGATGCAGACCATCTGCCGTGGAGAAGCCACCGACGGGCTGGCAGCCCTTCTCTTCGCGGACAAATTCACGAACCGTCTGCATGAACCTCACAACACTTATGGCGCTCCCTCGTCTGTTCCCATGACTCCGCAGCAAGCGCGCTCTGCTCGCCAGAGCAGCCACTACATGACCCCCGCCCAGGGATCGCAAGGACAACAGCAGTACGATAGCGACAGCACTGTTTCTCTGTCGGGCCCCGAGTCTGAAGAAGAGGGCATGACTACCCGACACTCGCACATGCGCTCCACCGCCCCAAAGACCAGCTCATTGCTGCAGACCAAGCTGTTTGGCCAGGTCAAGAAACCTGGCGTGGAACGTGGCCAATCCAACAAGCGCAAGGCTACTTCGAGCCAGGCTGGGTCTGCGAAGAGATCCAGGACGAATGGCGGAGTGGGTCTCGGAATTGAAACCTAAGACTACCCCACTCCCTGCACGAGCCCGACGCTTGTGCCACTCGACGGGATACGATTCATGACCTAGCGCTGCTCTCTCACTCCGCCTCTTGCTGAGACTTGTTACGATTTGCTTTCCCAGATGGGAACCGATACGATTGATGAATGTTTAATGGCATTTGAATTTGTTTGAAATAGCGACTGTTTTTTTTCTTCTCTTTTTTTTCTCTTTTCTCTCCCTTTGTTTGATATTGTTATCTGTACTTGCAAGGTCTTGGTATCAGTCCATGACTACATTTCATTTGGAATCGGCGTTACTGGTTGCTTTTTTTTATTTTTTATTTCTATTCTCACAGGATTTGGATTTGGAGGCTGCCCCCGTACTGGATGTTGGCTATCAGCTTGCTTGATAGGCCCACAATGTACAGCCGAGGAGCCCTTTGGGCAATGTGAGCTTTAGAATAGAGTTTACTTAGAATACATCCTGTATGCCTGTATACTAGGATTAGAATCAATCTGATGATTTAACAAACATCACCCTTATGTCCTCTGTAGCGATCCTCCCGTACGTTTTATACATTTCGGTACCTGGTTGGAGCCGCATTTCCGCACGCTAGGCCGTAAACGGAAGTGATTACTCATCCACTGGCAGATGTCCTAATCGAGACTAGTTAGGGCTCGCTAAGCGAAGCGGTGAATGGCTGCCGGCGGCCACACGAAAAATAGGCACTTCAGTTTCTGCCGCTTGAAGGGAGATTTGACCAGCAACCCTCCGACGACCACACTCGGCTCGATCCCCATCCGTCACCATGGTGCGTTCCCCTCGAATCCTGAACTGCGAAGATGAATTGGACGACACAATACGCTCGCTGGAGGAATTCTCGTGGATGTGATATTGTCGGGGAACATTGAAGACTGATGGAAACCTTCATGATATAGGCGATCAAGCACAACAACCAGATTCAGAAGAACCGTGAGTGATCCCTGCGGCGATACCTATCATTGCGCTCTGCTTTACTGCAGAGCAGAGCGACTGGTTGGAATTTGCGACCTAGTTAAAGGGAAATTCAATGTGCTAATGATTTTTCAATAGACTTCCGCAAGGATTGGCAGAAGCGTGTTCGCGTGCACTTCGACCAGGTACGACTATTGGAACCCTCTCTTCCCCGAACGAAAAAACCCAAACCCCCATCTACTCAGTCTCGCTGAACGAATCGACAAAACTCGACTCGGTCCTGAAATGGGAAAAAATTTTGTCCGGGGAACAAACGACAACTTCGAACTACAATGGAAAAACTAACCTTCTCGATCGTCTTAGCCCGGCCGTAAGCACCGTCGTCGTGAGAACCGTCTCGCCAAGGCTGCCCAGGTTGCTCCCCGCCCCGTCGACAAGCTGCGTCCCGTTGTGCGATGCCCCACCATCAAGTACAACCGCCGTGTCCGTGCCGGCCGTGGTTTCACCCTGGCTGAGCTGAAGGTAATTCGACACCATTGCAAAATCCCCGATTTCGAAAAGACATAGGCTTATGCGTTCTCTTTTTTCTTTGTTATAGGAGGCTGGCATTCCCAAGAAGCTCGCCCCCACCGTCGGTATCTCCGTCGACCACCGCCGCACCAACTACTCTAAGGAGTCCCTGGTCGCCAACGTTGCCCGCCTCAAGGACTACAAGGCCCGCCTGATCCTCTTCCCCGCAAGAGCGGTCAGTTCAAGAAGCTCGACTCCTCCGCCGAGGACGTCAAGGCCGTCAAGGCTGCCCTTGCCGACGGCACCCGTGAGGGTCTCGCCACCCGCGTCGGTGCCACCTTCCCCATCACCAACCCCTCCTTCGACGAGGCCGTCACCGAGATCAAGCGTGACGCCCTCCCCAAGGGTGAGGAGGCTGCTTACCGCCGTCTCCGTGACTCTCGCGCTGAGGCCCGCAACCGCGGCAAGCGTGATGCTCGCGTCAAGGCCAAGGCTGAGGAGGAGGCCAACGCCAAGAAATAAATGTGTTAATCTTTTTCTGTCTCGTGCTGATGATGATGATCGGGTCGGTTTTTCGGATCAAGGACTACAAAAGAGAGAGAGAAGGAGAGAAGAGAGAGTGTTACTGTGGCATGGCGTGGTGTCTCTTTTCCCAAACCCTTTCTCCCTTTTCAAAACTGAATTTCCAACCTCTTTCCTCCCCCTCCCCCCTACATATGAAACCCCCTCCCTTTTTTTGTCTCTAAAAAAGAAACTCGGAAGATCCTTCGAAATGCAAAACCACCCAATTTTTCTCAAAAAACTTCCTTTTTTTTCTCGCCTACGGTGTTGGTGTTTTATATTCGTTCGTTTTCGGTACTCCCGGTTGCCACATCAACCTGCAGCCAGAAACAAAAAGTTTTGTGGTCTTTTGTATGGATCTTTCCCTGTTGGGGTGTTAGGAGTGGGAGGATTTTGGATTTGTATAAGCCGAAGGGAATGGCTGGCTCCATGTCATGGCCACTACGCTTTACGAAGTAGTCTCTTGAATGAAGTTCTGGCATCCAAACCCTCATACGTATTAAGATAGTCTTCGTAATCTGGATTCATTTCAACATGCTCGATAGAGTAATAGAGTACTTGTTGAATTGGGTCCATTATATGTACTCCAGTGGTTCCGGCTCAGGCAGCATAGCATCCAGTATTGGAGGATAGAAAGGTTGACGGACTACAACCAGTAGTAGTATAACTACCACTTAAATGCCTTTCGCAACCTTTTAACTTGAAGCCCCGCATCATTTACAACCAAGAACTCGTCATTTTCAAGATGTTGCTAACATCCATGCCTCCAAGGTTAGTTCAATTCTGTGTTTCATTTCTTAATCTGCAACAATGTATGATATAGTACTAATCCATTCAACAGTAATTCCTATATGGTATCTGGCTAAAACCCCACACTCCATGCCCACCTGCGCCGACGCTTGAATTCGAATCAAAAAAAAAGCAAGGAAAAAACAAAAATTCTCAATCATGACCCCAAAACGACCCCCAGAGCACCATTAGTTGCCCGCAGAATAACATCTGCACGCATAACCCCAACCAACCCTTGAGCGGTGCCAGCACCATGCTCCGACAAAAGACCGTGAAACAACTTCTTCGCCTCCAGACCAATCTTCTTGCTTGCTTCACCACTTGCGTGAGAAACTGAAACGCTCATTTCAGGTCGTAGCTGTGGCTCACCAGTCCAATCGTCTATAGTCAATACGTTCGATAGAAGGATTCGCGGCTTCGCATTTGATGAGCCTGGATTAATGACCATTGTGTTTCGTTCAAGGTGAGGGACTAATCGTCGCAATTCAGAAAGTGTGATGACTCCACCTTGGAGGGCGGGGATATTATTTTTATCTTTATCCTTCCCATTGCGAATTGAGCTGTGCTTTTTCTCAATATGGGCCCATAGCTGGGCACGTGCGAGAGATGCTTCCCAATATCGATTGATGCCCCAGCACAGTGTTGCCACGTCCAGGTTTAAAAGAGGATTGCCGAGGCGACTGTCGATCCATCGGCGGAGTGTCTCGGGTACTTGTCGTTTTTTGCTTTCGTTGCCAGTGGGCACTGAGACAGATGTAATGGTTTGACTTTCAGGATTCGTTTCATACACGACCGACACATTGTACAAAGCTCGCGGGAATGGAGATGGAGCCGTGAATCTCAGCGTATGTGTCTCGAGTAGAGAATTTGCTTCTGAGTTGCGGCTTGTCTGCGCGTTGAGTGCTAGCGGGGCAAAGACCGTAAGATATGATTTCGACTGCGAAGACGCTTTCAAGGCAAATGGGTTTGTTGGTAGAGGTGAAGCTTGTCGGTTAGGACGGGGTATATTCGTGGAAAATGGAAGTAGCGTTGAAAGAAGTGATGAGATTGGCGTTGGGGCTTTGTGGGCCATCGGTCGATTGATGTATGAAGATTCCTCCGTAAGCAGGGCGAGGAATCTGTTCAGTTCCCTTCCGTCCTGTGCCAGATTATCGGTCCCAGACTCGATTTCGCCGGTCCACTTCGTTAAATCCGCTACATCTTTCTTGAGCCGTTGTAGTTCTGCCGCGAGGTTCCTGCGAGACTTTTGTTTCTCTATGGCTGCGACTGACATCCCTTCCTCGATGTGGATCGCATGATCAAGGCTATCGCTTTCTTCCGGGCTCGGGTCTCGAAACCTTGCTGATTTGAGAGGACTTCCGTGGACAACGTCTGTTGCTCGTCGTTTCATTCGCTTTTCATGCCTCATGCTAGGACTACTACTCAGTAGTCCCCTGGGTCGATCTGGTGCTTTCTCAAGCCCTAGTTGTGTTGGTGTTGGTGGGAGTTCCGGTTCGAGGGGGTCTTCATCGAAAGCGCCGTCAAAGCCGGTTTCGAGAATCGGTGCATCGTCTTCTTCCCTGGTCGCACTGCCGCCCAGTTCTTGAGCGAGCTGTCCTTCCGGGGTATCTGCATCTGCAGGCCGGGTAGGCATTGGAGATCCGAAGGTGAAGTCTGACGGATTTATTCTTTTCGTGGACATCCTGCGAGGTGGTTTGGCAAAGGCTTCAATGGCACTTGCGCGTCGGCTGGGCGAGGAGAGGATTGTTGTACCGCCGATAGACATTCGCGGCGCCTTCAATGGGCTACCAGGCCCCAAAGACGGCCGCATAGCTTTGCGACGAAAACCCCTTGTATCCGACTCATTTTCCGGTCCATCTTGAGCTCCCCGACTCACCGGTCGTCGTACAGGAGATCTGCTAAGTGCGCGTTCGAGAACATCGGGATGCGATTTGGCGAGACTGGATTTTGTAGGCGATTGGAAGGATGGCCGACTGAGCGAAGAACGCCTATCTTCGAGCGCTTCCCGGGACTGTGACGCGCTGATAGCGACACTCGACCGGTCACCAGTCTTCCGGCGTTTTGGAGGCGACAGCATTGTTGACGAGTTGATGTATGCACGTTTCTCGGTCCCGCGCGAATGCAATGCCAATCCCGCCCGCGGGCGTAAACAACGGCGCGGTTTGCACTGTTTGCAACTATGACTTAATCGTCATTTCTCACTTCCCTCCGAACTTGCTTTCTTTCGCATATAGCAATGGAGTGTCTTTCGGCGGGCAGGCACTCGCTCCGGAGAACGAGAGTCGTTCCTTTTAACCTATCACATCGTCCTCGACCATTATCTCTTACGAATCGGTCCCATGTCTTCCTTCCGACCCCGCGGCGCAAGGGCGCCCACACCCAATCCCAACCCGTCACTCAAGAGAACCAAGACAACAAAAGTTCTCCAAAAATCGCAAAATCAGGCCAGGCATACCCTATTTCGGGATATTACTCTGTGATCCTCAACACGCCTTCTCCCTATCACGGTCATGCACCCGTTGAGCGCTCAACCGAGGCCCAGCCGGAAACCCAGACGCAGCCCGAGGACAGACCGGCCCCGACAACGATGGCCGAAGCACAAACACCCCAAGAGAGAATGGCAATCGTTTTTGGCACACGCCTTGCAGGACCGGGCCGCCAATCACGTTACAATCCCGGCGAAGCACCACCGGTAGAACAGTGGAAGAAAATCAACGGTATCCCGGTCCCGCCTCGGCCCGAAGAACCCGAAAATTGCTGCATGAGCGGCTGTGTCAACTGCGTCTGGGACGGATTCCGCGATGAGATGGAAGAATGGGCTGCCATTGTCGCAAATGCGAAGGCGAAGGGTGGTAGTAGCCCTGTAACTGGTGCGTCGCCAGGATCCGCAGCTAGTCCACCCAGTCTGAGTATGGATGATGATGGTGGTGGCAGCGAAACGAATTGGCCGGCGCCGAATCAGGAAGAGGATTTGTTCTCTGATATTCCTGTCGGCATTCGCGAGTTTATGAAGACGGAGAAGAAGTTGAAGGTGAAACATCAGAAAGAGGCAGCGGCTTAATGGGCTGTTTTGACCTCTGGCATTTTTCTTTTGGCTTCTATACCCTGCGTTGAATATTTGAGGTGCATTAAGGGGAGGACGTGTTGAAATCATGCCATAGATGGTATATAGATAGACTGTACATAGTAGAAACTGTTTATGACCGGATGATTTTTTTTGACTAGTACCTAGAAGTCTTCCAGGCTTTCTGAATCGAAGAGCGTTCTAGTTCCCAAAGAGATATCTTGTAGCAGATTTGTACTATGTAAACAGAATGCCCACTGGCAGGTGGTATCAAACTTGAATTTCCAAGGTCCTGTATCAAGTTACATGCAGGAGTATTTAGGTGGTGTTTCCTGTCCTTCGTCCTTTGTTTCTTTCCCTCTCTTCATAAGTAGTACTTGTTGAATGCTAGTACACTGTTGAGGCTTGGTCATCTTCGCTTGTACTGACTCGGAGCTATTGCAGTTCCGAGGTTCGAACTTGGTTTTTTTTTCTCGTTAGTTCAAGTTCAAGTTGCCAGTGTGATTATATATTAGTTGGTATTACGGTTGTGATAAATCTGGAGGAAAGGTTTCACCCCAGGCCTCTTCCAAGGGTTAGGCTACTTTGGAAATGAAACACTGGGTAGGGTATGACTTTCATCGATTTCACTTTCGCTGAATATAGATATTTACAAATAATTATATTCGCGAATCGCGATACCCGAATGCTATTGGGCGAAGGTACGCCGCAAAGCGTATGATGCCAAGACCTGCGGGCGGCCGCGCAAATTGGCCGGGGAGTCTCGACTTTTTTTTTGAGCTTCTCCAGACCACCTACACATCTAACCACCTCTGGGCATCTCGCACACGGAAGAGCTCGATTTTTCATAGGCCGCTCTTCACCTTCGGCTCGCCGCAAGCACACATGCCTTCTTAAACACCAACGATCTCGAGCCCGGTGGGCGTGTTGACTTCCAGCCCGCGCGGAGGCTCAGCCATACAAAATGACAACAAGAGCAAACGCCTACGCCTACATCCGGGATATCAAGAAAATACCAAATCTCTCAGAAAGTCATTCATTTCTCCGATTCCTCCCCCGCAATGCCAGCCCAATCGCCTCGTTGCTCCGTCTCCGACGAGATGTGCACACGACCCGCAGACCGTCGACGGCCGTGACGATTCGAGACAACAATGCCGGAGTTGGAAATACCATATCGTCGCAAAGTCGTATAGGGGATCTTTCGAACCCCTGTCGTGGGATTCGTGGCTTTTCTACTCCGGTCAAAGCGAAATCTATTGCGGATGCAAGTTCATTCGACGAGTCCGCGCAGAAGAACGAAACGATCAGTCCAGGCGAAGAATCGGTGGTCTTACCGGAGGATGGGGTATACCTGGAGGAGGATGCCGAATCGCGCGATCATCGCCTGAAAGAAAGTGAATGCTTCATCTTCAGCTTGTTGATAACCGAAAATTTCAGGAACCGCCTTGAAATAATCTACAATCAGCAAGAAGAGACATCTCGGTTTGAATGCTGCATTTCCTTTCTTTTCAATGAAACAAAAACTATATCTGTTACTGGGATTGGAAATAAAGAAGTGCGTTTTAACCAATCTGATTTCCTGGTCTATGATTTCCTAACGTTTCTGCGGACAAAAAGAAAAGGGCAGCAAGACAAGCTCTCTGGAAGCTTTACGCAGAAGCTCGGTCTAGTCCCATCTGGGAACAAATGCAATCCGATCCCAAGGTGAGACAAAACTTGGGAACCATGCTTCCTTTCATCGAAAAAGGTGCTGTAAACCCAATCGAATTGGGCGCGGAGAAGTATGAGCGTTTCTCGGAGATGCTAGCAAGCAATGGTTTAGGGCTTCTTGGGATAGCTACATCGAAAAGAAAGACCTTTCTATGGTTCTCCTCGCTCATCATGCGAGGCCAACCAAATACGAAGGCTATATTCAAACGAGGGGTATGTTATGTTATATCCGGTTTACCAAGATTGCATCCTGACCGTTCTCTGAATAGCCCGTAACCCGACTCTTCTGGCCAAGCAGACAAGTCGCACGCCTTCCTTTGATTGCGGAGCTGCATCGGAATGGCCAATGGGAGCGCTTGGACAGCGCTCTTGAAGAGGTTCTCAATTCTCAAAAGGCCTCAAAGGACAAGTCTCTCACGGAAATGGAAGCTATATCGACCGATAATACCATCTCACAGCAGAAGGTTGTCACGACGGACAGATTCAATACAAAGGAAGAAGTTCTAAAATCCCAAAATGCTTCAAAGGACGAGTCTTTTCCGGAAAAGAAAGCTACATCGACAGATAATGCAATCTCACAGCAGAAGGTTGTCACGATGGACAGATTCAATACAAAGGAAGAAGTTCTCAAATCCCAAAATGCTTCAAAGGACGAGTCTTTTCCTCAAAAGAAAGCTACATCGACAGATAATGCGATCTCACATAAAATGGCCGTCACGACGGACAAATCCAATACAGAGGCGGAAGCTTCCTCGGACGAAGCATCCGTCGCCACCAAGAAAAGCACCGCAGATCGGGGCTTTATTAGGTTTACTACGGATGACGACCTACTTGATATGATAGGGCTCTTCCGAAACGACTTACTCAAGGCTTTGACAGACATGAAAAGGACGAAAGCGGATCTTGGACCAAATAGAGGTGGAAGATACTCACCCAAAACCTCCAGGGGCTTTCGTCCCTACCACCGCAGCAAATACCATTCGAAAAGGCTCAAAAAGGCCTTGAAAAAGCTGCGCGAGTCGAAGAGTCCGGAATTGCTTGATATCCGGTCAAAAGTGGCTGACCTGCCAATCATGAAATTCAGACAGCAAGTCCTAGATCTTGTCAACAATAACCCGTTCAGCATAATTGTTGCCGAGACCGGCTCTGGAAAATCTACGCAGGTCCCTCAGATGATCTTGGATGATGCAATTGACCGGGAAGTCGGGGGCGACTGCAATATCCTCTGCACCCAACCTCGGCGCCTCGCCACTTTCCGTCTGGCGGAGAGGATTTCCCAAGAAAGAAATGAAAACACTGGGGAGACAGTTGGTTACATTGTTCGACAAGCCCGTCAGGTATCCGAAAACACGCATATCACGTTCTGCACCACAGGAGTTCTTTTGAAGATCTTACAAGACTCAATCAGCAATGTTGGATCCTTCTCTCACATCATCATTGATGAAGTTCACGTACGAGACATCGGAATTGATTTTGTGATGCTTCTGTTGAGGAATTTCGTTCGAAATTGCCAAGGAAATGGTCGGAATGCCCCTAAGATTACCTTGATGAGCGCAACAGTGGACACCAAACTATTCTCTAATTACTTCAGTCTCAAGGGGCCAGAAGGGTCACGCATTTTTGCTCCCCACATCACCATTCCAGGTCGCCAATACCCCGTGCAGCATCATTATCTTGACGAAATACTCTTTGATATATGGCATTCTCCACACGCCTCCCAATTGAAGAAACTTCTACAAGAGGATGAGTCTGAGAGATTCTTGGACAAGCACTACGCTCTATTTGGAGAAACCGAGCCGGAAAAACCGGTAGAGACGGACTCTACCAGTACCTCCACATCTCCCCGCCTCGTGTCATCCGAAGAGGATATCCATATGCCCTCTGGTCTCTACACCGCGACGATTCTCCATATCCTGTCCACAACAACATCTGGATCGATCGTGTGCTTTCTTCCAGGTCTGCGTCATATCCAGGAGGTTAAACATCGTCTCATGTTACATGGGAATGAAATGAACCTTGACATGTCGGATGAGAGTCGTTTCAGAATCGGGGTTCTGCACTCACAACTCCCGGAGGAGCAAGAAAAGCTGAACCTTGACGTACCAAGCGACTGCCGAAGGATCATCCTGTCGACTGATATTGCCGAGGCTTCTGTTACAATCCCAGATATCAAATACGTAGTTGACTCCGGGAAAGTGAACCAAATGCTCGTCGATCAAAAAAGGAACTGCAGTCGATTGGCCAACTGCTGGGCCACGCAGTCCAATGCTAAACAGCGAGCTGGGCGAGTTGGCAGAGTCCAGCCTGGAGATTACTATTACATCGGAACCAAAAAGCGATATGACAGTCTTCGAATCACCCCGATGCCGGAAATGCTTCGAGGTTCTTTGCTAGACACCTGCTTGCGTGCAAAGAGTTTTTCCGGCAACGAACCAATTTCGAAATTCCTTGAAAAAACCATTGAACCGCCTAACAACGATGAGGTGCTTGCGAACGTGGAATCCCTGAAGCAGCTCCAGGCCCTGGACGAGAATGAGAAAATCACAACTCTAGGCCACCTTATCTCACAGCTAGCCCTGCCTCCCCACTTGGCCAAGCTGGTCATGTTGGGTATCATCTTCCGTTGTCTGGATCCATTGCTCATTCTAGCATCGATCGGAGTCCAGTCGTCGCTCTTCATCCGCAGTACGGAACCCAATTCCAGGACTTTGGTCCAGGCCGCGTGCATTGAATTTGCCGATGGAAGTTCCAGCGATCATATCGGTGCGCTCAATGCTTTCAGAGCTGTTCGGAAGATGCATTATGAAGACGGGATATCTAAAGCAAAGGTATATGCCAACGAATGTATGATTCGGTTCAACTCTTACACATCAGTGCTTCGGACAACCAGACATGTGTTTGATAGGTTGCAACGAGAAGATATTGTCTCGAAAGAGCATTCCAGATCTGATGATCAAGGACAAGTCGGCGGCTTGAGACTGAATGCCAACTCGCACCACACCCCACTCATCAAAGCACTGCTGCTGCACTGTCTCTTCCCGCGCATCGCAGGACCCAAAATGAACCCTAGAGACTGGAAATTCGCCACAGACTACGATTCCCGCTCAATGATTCACCCACGCAGTGTGGTCATGGCAGGTTGTACATTCAGGACACCGCCAAAATCCTTGACGGTATACAGCTCCAAGGTGGAAACCACCTCGCCAGACCCATTTATCATCGAGAATACCCTCGTCTCGCCATTGATGGCGACTATGTTCGGTGGCAGACTTACTTGGGACAAGAACGAGATGCTCATGGACTCATGGCTGAACCTTGATATCAACACGGACAAAGCAATGGTCGACAGGGACGAAGCAGCCCGAAACTTGATCGAGCTACAAAAGGCCATCAGCCTTGTAAGTCAACTCAACTCAATGAGATCAAATGGTGCTGGTGCTGGATGAATACTAACTTGAACCCTTCTCTTCTCTTCTCTTCCAGTGCTTGACTACTGCTTATGACACCCTGGCCAGTGGAGTCGTCCTGCCAAAAAACTACCACAAGCAAATCGCCTACTGGCAAGATCGGAAAACCCTCTACATTACCCTCGCCGAATCTGTAATGGATCTACTCGATCGCGACCGTAATACAGTACCCGTCGAACCTTTATCAGATGTTTTGTCCTTGTGGGATGACACTCACTTCAAGGATGACGAGGTGGATGTGGATGTGGATCATGCGAACTTGGCCGACTCGGGAGATCTGGAGAGTTCCATGGACGAATAGAGTATAGTGTAATATGTATCATAGACCGCGAACTGTACAATATTCTCAACAAAGTAATTTATTCATTTGGAAATTTTTGATAAAGTATAACTATACCATTGGTGAAGCAGAAGCATATACTGAGGGTAGACTGGAGCCGGAGTGCATATGCATGTCACCGCCTTCACAATCTTATCGCCCACGGCAAAAAAAAAGCCCGCGACATAGGAAATTCCCATCCGAACCTCCAACGCCAAACCTTGGAAAACCAGAGGGAGGAAGCAAACCTCCCCTGTCCAATCCAACAAAATGTCCCTCTCAAAATCCGAATCAGACATAATCCTCAACCGAGCAAACGTCGCCCTATCCCGCAGCCAACGACTCGTGGCATCATGGCTCCCCGCCCAAACAGACGACGAACTAGCATCAACAGCCAAAACGGACGAAGAATTACAGCAAGAAGAGGATGCGATATTTACCGCTGTGCCTGAGACGTGAGTCGCTCTCCCCCTCCGCACTCTAAAAATTGCTTTATGTGAGGAGGCCAACAACAGTGACCAATGCTAATGCGAATTGCAGCCTCGGAATCGGCGCCCTCTCCCCCGAAAAAGCAGCCGATGGAAGCTGGAACCGGAAAGAATTGAGTTCGAACGATATATTGCGGAAACAACTTCTGGGTCGGAATTATGATAAGGTTATGAAGGCGAAGGAGGGGCAGGTTAAGGCTCAGAGGGAGAAGAATGCTGCTGCTGCTGCGGCTACAGCTTCGGGAGCGCCGACTGCTACGGTTGCTGCAGGGGCTAATCTCGATGATGATGACGATGATGACGATGAAGGGCGGGCTGCTATGGTTGGGAAGAGGAGGAAGACGAATTCGTCTTCTCGGACCGTGCCTGTATCGTCAGTCTCGACCTCGACGGCTGTGAATGGTGCTGTGGGTGCGGATGGGGATGTGCAAAGTGCGAATCAGAGCTCGGCGCCTTCGGGAAAGTCTGCGTCTTCTAGGGAGAGGAAGAAGGCGACGAGTTATTTGGATGAGATTTTGGCTCAGAGGGCTAGTAAGAAGAAGAAGAGGTGAAGGAGGGAAGAGCTATCCTTTTCAAGTTGTTGCTTGACATGTATCTTTTCGTTCTCTCGTGCATTTCCACAATCATGGGCTGTGAAATTGCTGCTGGACAGCAAGGTTATCGCAATGCCTATGATTCACTAGGGTACTTACTCCCTGCCCTGCCCAACCTTACCTAGGCGATTACTGATAGAGATAGACGCAGTCACAACAGTGTCTCATTGAAATAATTAAGTGGGCAGAAGCCTGATAGAATACAAAATTCAAATCCACTCTCTTCTAAATGCCACACGATGTTTTCGATTTCGATCCGCCCGACCCCAGGGGTATATAAAATTTGGTATATTTGAAAAAAGGTGGTATGAACCCAGAGCCGCGGGGTTTTGCTTTAATCGCGTCGCGTTGCTCGCTCGCTCGCGCGCGCGCGCGCGCCGACTGCTGCGCTACGCTGCTTTTGTCTGGAATCTCCATGGGAAAAGAAAAGAAGGAGGAAGAGGGGAAAAGTGGAAATAAGAGGGGGATTTGAAAACATCTACAAACGCAAAAGAAACAGATAGTCCACGGACCCCGGGCTGGCTTCCGGGGGTCCAAGCCCGAAATTCTCTTCCAAGAGCGTTGGAATCCAGGGGGAGCCTTGGCTGTTTCAAGTGTACGGATTGTTGTCCAAGACTGGGCATCATGCCGAGTTCTGTCGGTTTTGTTGGGCCTGGACGCCGGGGCCAAAGTTGAGTCCAGTCGCGAGATGGTATAGTGGGGAGATAATCGGGCTGGCCTGTCACCTTGATGCGCGGATGATCTCCAAGATATAGATTTTGTTTTTTTGAGATTTTTGCTCAAGATATCTCAAGTTATTCATTCCAATCGCTTGCGCTTTCGATGATCTTCGAGTTGATCCTCGTCGGGTCTTTCGGCGGTATCGGCAGGATTGAGGAGTGAATGAACATTGCTGGCCATGCTGGATCGGCGCGTTGCTGGTAGGGATGAGTCTTGGCGAGGGAACCTAGACCCTCCCAGTGACCAACCATTATCGGTACTAAGCATCGATGGAGAAGGCTCGGCGTTTGCGGGGGGTGTCGCATGGCGCGATTCGGCTTGCAGACGTCGAGGGGCATTCATGTCGTATTGGGCTAGTACATCTCGGACTTGTTGATCGCTCGACGCCGGTGGTCTGTGGGGAGAAGAAGGCCACGGTCCATTACCTGCGTTACCGGGTGGGAAGGGTGAGGTGCCCGTAGGAGGCCAGTCGTGCTGTCGGATGTCTGCGAACGTGTGGCGGCGGGCCATGTTCGGTCCCGGGGGAGTTGAGATTGATAAAGGGTGAGGGGTGGGTTGTTGTACAGCAACCGTTGGAGGCTGGGGGCGGTTATAATTAGGTGAAGCATTGGCACCCCCGATGGAACCATAACGGCGGGGTGACACGGCGAGGTGTGGAGGTACAGGGGGTCGGATCATGTTTGATCGAGAAGGGTCCATCATGGATTGACGTCGACCGTCGTCTTGAGGCATCTGGCGAGGGGACAAGGGTGGAACGGCCTCATGGGCTATATTGCCAAAGAAAGGTTGGCGCGGTGGCAGGAGAGGTTCCTGGGAGACTGCTTCAATCTGCTTCTCGACCTCTCGTTGCATGTTGGATACTGTGTACTCGTTAATGGGGCTCGGTGAGAAATGCGCTGCAACATACTATCGCGATATAGAGGGCTCTCCCGGTCAGGTACAACTGCTGACAAAAAGCGCGAGATCGAATGCGTCCACTATTGATATGGCCAATTAGCGATGGTATGAGAAAAAGAAAAAGATAGTGACGCGCATACCTGATAGCATTTCGAGAGACCCTCCGCCATGTTTTGGCATCTGGAGGTGAGGGCCACATTGCCTTCCTCGGCTCGGATCAGGCGATTGTGCATATCGTAAAGAGTGTGTTCGAGATTCATCAATCGCGCTTCAGCTGCGTCCGGGACGGGTTCAGCTGGGGTGCCTGGTTGCGAGGCAGCGGCCTTGTGGCTGGGAAAAGAGTCGCGGTGAATCAGCGCATGTCGGGATGCGCGACGCTTGATTTCCCGCAGGCCAACCAGGTCGCCTCGTTTGAAGTTGCCGTTGCCGTGTTTAAACTCCCACAGTGCGGAGTCTGGCGAACCGGTATGGAACACATCGCTCACTGTGGATTAAGGTTAGCCATTGCTCCAGACTAGCCCCCTCGGAGATCGCGACACACCTTTGTGAAACCCGTACATGTTGAGCTGGCGCACGAAGGAAGAAATGTTGGTGTGCTTAAAATATTGGCTATCGGAAGGTTAGCAACCCCGCATCGCGTTGGAAGGGTCAATGCGATTTTGGGATTTATGGAGACTGACGCAAGAACTTTGGAAAACTCCGAGGTAGGGGACATGACGAAGCTGTCGTTGCTGCTTGACCAGGATATTAAGTGTTGAATACCAGAGTCCTCCAGCATACTGGGTTCGACGTTAGTAGCTATTCTACCGGCGTGCACTGGGAGACCATCATCACGTACTTGTAAAGCTTATGGATGAAGGCCGTCTGCACGACCTTGGGCTGCTGAGCTGCAGCTGCAGCTCCAACGGCCGGGTTTGGAGGATTGCTCGGTGTACCGGCTTCGGAGCCATTGGTGTTGGGTGGGCCGGTCCGGTCGGCGTCGGGGCTACTGTGAACAGGGCCGCCGACGGTCGCAGGCGAAGAAGGAGTGATCTCCATCGCGGCGTGGTGTTGAGCAGAGGAGGGGAGAACCGGGAGGTTTCGAGTCTTACCGGGGGCATCTGCAGGCCCGGCGAAAGCGTTCCGAGAGGAGGGAGGATCGGCGAGGCCGCTCATGACGCGCGATCGGGGAGGAGGATCAAGGGACGAAGGTCGGGGAGCTTGCGATGGCCAATGCGAAGCTTGTTCGTTCCCTCAGAGCGATCGGATGAGAGGAGTTCGAACGCGATCGGGGTTCGACCGTTGGGAGGGGGCGCGCTCGTGGGCGGGAGAACGTGGGAAAAGGAAGAAGATTATCGCGGAGCCCGGAGTGTAGATCAACACGGAAGCATCGACACCAGTCCGATCATTGCGCCAGCAAAACTGAAGGTCGAAAAGAGGGGCTGTAGAAAGAGAAGGAGAACTTGAAAGAGAGAGGAGGTTGAAGCTGCGGGGAAGGGGCCGGAAGCACGATCGGATCTGCAGCCCTGGAAGTGAAGAGGAGCTCAACGGAAGAGGTTGGGTTTGGACGGGGATAGCCCTGGGAGACTGATGTTGCACAGAGTGGGGGGAGACTGTGAGTATATATGGTGTAGGGGAAAGGAAAAGGAAAAAAGAAATAGAAAAGGGAAATGTTCGTGGAAGAACGATGGAAGGTGGAGAAGAAGAGAGAAAAGGGAAAAGGGAAAAGGAAAAGGGAAAAGGGGGTTGAGAGGAATGAGACCTGCTCCACTGGGGCTACTCAGAGTACTCAGTAAGAGTATGGCTATATGCCTATGAGTACAGCTACACGAGAACTAACTGAAAGCTACTGCCATACTAACTACTGCTAATATTAGCTGGAGGAGATTAATTCGTTTAAAGCTTGATGAGGCTAGTTCGGATCCAATAGACATGTGGGGCTGCATATTGCCATAGTATGAGTAGAGTATAAAATAGAGTATGGAGTAGATGTATCGAACTTGAAAGAGGCGCCGGAAACTTCTTAGGATCTGGAAGCAGCGGTTTTGAGCTCGAGAAGGTTGGTTCTGACGATTAAGGAGTTGAGAATAGGCATGGAGCAGGTCAGCTTGAGCTTGCTGCTCTCGGCGTAGACATCGCCACTGCGATGGCCTTTGACGCTTGGGCAAATCGGAAAGCCTGGCCATCTGGGGGCTGAAACTGAATTTGAAATTGAAATCAAGTCCAGAGATTAAGGACGTTTAGGTACTGTCGTGTGCTCTCGATCCACCCAAACCTCGACCAGGAGTTCGGATGGTCTCAAAGTTGTCCGGTGGTTGGCGACAGCTAAACTTGATGATATTCTGTCGCTGCGCAGTAGACAGCTCGCCGTTGAAAACATGCCCTTTCTTAATCCAGGCGACCTCGGCGGGAATCTAGACATCCCTCTGATGGTTCCCGATATTGACCACTGGTCTCTTCTTGTTCTTCAGCGTGACATCGTATTCTGCGTAGAGCGGGTTAGCCTGGTAGCCCTGTCACCACCAGGTTGAGAGAATAAGGGAGATCAAGGCATAACCATTATCTCTGCAGGCCAGTCGATCTGCCTAAGCTTCCATACAGCCCACTCGTTGAAGCTATGAATCACCATCTTCGACGTCTCTACGAAGATGACGAAGTCGCTATCTCTGTAGATAGTACCATCATCCCCTTGCAATACCCTTCGATGGATCTCATAGTTGCGAGCGAGATCAGGATCTGACTTAGTGGCATGCATTATCACCGAGGTATTGTCTTTGTAAACCTGTCTCAGAGGTGGTATTAGAATGTCTGAACAATAGACAATACCGGGGTCGGCCGGGAGGTATCACGCAGCGAGAGGCTATGGCCTGATAAAGTCATCATGTCGCAGGAAAAGTTTTTGTCTTTGGTATGGTTTAGATCCGATGAACTTCATTTGATCGGTTCGGCCGGTGAGCGCCTCGTGGATGACGAGTTTTCGATAGAAGTCATCGGCTTCCATCTGACGGGTGTCATGGATATGATCGTACATCATCTCGCATAGAGAGAAGAATCTCTGGCATCGAGATGAGGATCGATACAAGCCGCGATAATCACCGTCAAGTGATGAGTTGTGTTCTTCAGAACCGAATCAGAGGCCCGAAAGGGAAAAGACCGATTTCGCGTTTCAAAAATCTTCTCGTGGCAAACGAATCACTGCCCGCCAGCTTAGAAGATCTTGGCGTCCGCGAAGTCAGATCTTCCAACGAAGGATATCTAGTCAATGGAAAAGGCCGTTGTGTCTCTCTTTGTGATGTTGACTGTTTGAACAATTCCTAAGGGCGGTATGGGTCGCCATGCTACTGCCCGGATTCTGTGCTTGAGGTATTCCGCCGGTTTGACGATAGGGTCGTCGAGGAAATAGGGCTTGACAACCGCATGCTAAGCTGTATATGACGATAGAAGTGTTTGCCACCGTCGAGAAACTATTTGCAGGCGGGGATCATCCCGCAGGTAGACCTTTTTGGTGACCACGATCTCGATTGGAAGGTTTCCCAGGATATCGGGCCGGGGGCCGTGGAGCTCCTTGTATCTGTCTCTGGTCATTAAATAAATTGTGAAAACACAGAAACATAGCTCGACTGACCAGTTTTTGTGTGCGTTGGCAAGTATGGCCTGATATTGGGCCAGGTCAGGAACCCCTCTGGGTCTGAATCCAGGGCGAAGCGAAGCGAGATCGAAGCACGGAGAGGAAATCAAGGCCAGAGGGTGGGAGGCGGGGGGTTAACCAAGTGTCGAGATGATGGGTAGTCCAGAGAATGAAGTGTAGATGAAGATCTCAACAGGATGTCAAAATGAGTGGTTTTGATATTGCAGAACGCCATCACAGTTCGAACATCCATGCGGTTGAGCTAGGTCAAAAGCTCTCAAGACCTTTTTTTTGTCAGTGATTAGAGCACATAAAAAAAAAAAAAGACGGCTCGACTCACATATTTTGGTGATCCTTGGTGAATCGGGCCTGGTATTGTGCCAGGAAAGCCTGTAGGTATGGAACCAGAGTGGGATCCCAAGCGCAGAGGAACGGCAGCTTCCAAGGTTGGAGATGGATGACTCGCGAGATGTGAGAAGGTCGAAGGTAGAAGATGGAAAGTCACAATGTTTCTAAATGTCCAGGGGATTGAAAGGTAAAGGCCAGGGAGATGATGTAAACACTCCAAAAGTGTGTTTGTTGCCTTTGTTGCCTTCGCAGTTGAGGTTGAGGTTGAGTTGAGTTGAGACGGGTCAGCTCTTTCCTTCCCTCCTTCCTCTCCATTTCCTCATCCTCAAGTTCCCACATCTCATTCTTCTCCCTCTCCTCTACCTCTCACTCTCAATCTCAATCTCCATATCCACCCCTCCACCTTCTCTAAATCACAGAGAGAAGACCTGTTATGGATTCAATTTCGGATCCCCTAACATGAATGCTAACTGATCCTGGTCATCAAGCAGGACTTGCCATGCATGGACTATCCAGACCAGCGAATACACCTGCTTTCAATTACCTGAGCTTCATTCCCTTAGTGATTGCTTGTCCAATCACCCGGGATTATCTGCTCGTGAACAGAAGCATATCGATAAAAAGGGAGGTTTTCGCTGATGTTCCTAAGAAGCGTTGCTAGTCATGTGCTCTGATCATTTATCATTTATCATTATCAACCCAAGAGCTTTTAGTGAAGACATGATACCATTTAGTAGCAATCCCTAATGTAGCAGGCCGAGAAAGAGAGGCATCAATTTCGACCACGGCTACTAATACTAGCTACTAGTGACTGACGTTGTACCGCCACCCCAGGTGCCTATAGTTATCGGGTATCGGCCAAGTGACTCCTTTTCGTTGGCCTTGAAGATATCGCGATCCGTCGTGTCAAACAGGATATCTCCTTATCTATATAAGAACATATGGTCGAATGCCAGTTCTGTAGAGTAGATTCCTGCATGTTTCATGCCGTAGTTTGATTACGTTACTTTTTGAACCACGATCGTCGAGAACCCGCCGACGACGTATATCTTCGCGGCCTTTGCGTTAGTTACCATCCGTCGTCACTGATCAAATCTTGTTCATGTTGCTTCCAGTATCGAAATCTCCATCCCACCGGCCCTTTACTGTCAGTCTTACTCTGGTGTCGCCCAGCAGCGAAACCTGCAGTCTGAAACCGCCCCCACTCAGTAAATAAACACGATTCATATCACCTATTCCGAGACCCAACCTTCTCTCGAACCGCTACACGATCATGGAATGTTTATTTTCTGCTTACGTTCGCGTCACTCGGAATCTGGACGATGCCGATGGCTTACTCGCGATCTTTCAAGAATTTGAAAACAACCCCTCGGCTATCAGCGCGGAGGATCGCGCTAGGCTTCTCGACTTTCCTGATCTTCCAACCCAACTGGCAAACATCACTGCCATTGCTCCCACAATCTCGAATAAGCAGGATTTCTTAAAGAAGGCGGTTGAGTCTCCTAGAGATCTAAGTGATCCTGAAATTGATTTGTTACTCAAACGCTACTGGAAATCGCTTACCTTCGGCGAACAACTCGCATTCGAAAATGCTCTAGATACATTGACCGATTCGCACCGCACAGAAACCTTACAACGCCTGCAAAAATTCCAAAACCATCTCTATGAGCAATGTGAAGCCAAGGCATTCGAAAATGCGTCTGATGCGCAAGAGCGACAATTTCAAGCAATGGAAGAAGCCATGGAACAAGAAGAACAAGAGGAATTGGAGAAAATGCTGCAACATGGGCAGCCATGGCTACGTCAACTATGGCAAGAGGATGAGTGTAAAAAGCCATGGGGCTATGCAATGTTCGAGAACCCCTATTGCAAGGCAAAGAATCCTGATCGTTGGGAGTCCTATGGTCTAAAGACGTCGGGTTCAATGCATTGGGCTTTTATCTCGATCGGGTCCAGTAGCACAGTCCAATCGAGATATGTGGTTGAGGAATTAGATTGGCCTTCTGGAACGCCTACCCTAAGTGAAGACGGAAGCTTTCCTGTAATTCTAAGGGAATTACGAAAGCATTTCAACTATCTCCGATCATTCCCTCCTAAAAAGGAAATTCCGGACCTGAGAGACGATCTGGAAGCGGGGAATATTGATTATATGCCAGAGGGTCTCACAGTAGGAACTCTGCGGAATGTTTTTCTATATGTTGATACCAATGCTGCAGCCTCTGTTCTAGATGGCCATTTCGCGAACAATTTCTGGATCTGGGCCGTCGATCCAGACTGGGTGGCAGACACTGAGAACGAAAGCCAAGTCTCCAGCGGATACCAAGGCTATCTACGCGTTCGTCTTCAGCAGCTTATTCACAATTTTTACGTTGCCCGCCGTTGGCATGCTGATGAAGTCTCCTTGGAAGACTTGTGGAAGGTGGCGCAGAAGGACCCCCACAATGGCTCTTTTGTTTCAATGGACATTGATGAGATATTTGCCTGGGACCCCTCAAATTGGCAAGTTGCAAACGCTCTTTTTCCAAGGAAAGCGAGGCAGTGAGCCATCGATTTGACCTGGTTCCAGTGTTCTCGGAAGGCCCTGGCTCTCAAGGTAAGTTGAGCTATAATGTGATGATTGATGTTCTATCTAATAGAAGTTTCAGCAATCATGGAGTTCTCTGGAATCAAACCCCCCTCAGTGCGACCCTCTCGCAATACTCCCCATGGAGATTGCCATAATGATCATCAAGCAGCTTGATACTACTGACATTCTACGCCTACGAGGCGTCTCCAAAAACTGGAACCGGGTCTTGACATCTCCCCCTATTCTCCGGGGGTTTCTCCGTCAGTATTATCCGGGGTGCAGCATAAGCCATCCCAAGAGCTGCCTCAAACAGAGGATTCGAGTGAAGAAAGGAATATTCACAAAGGAATATCTACTCAACCTTGGATGGCACGGTGAAGGAGCGTCGGCGCTTATCATATCACCAGATTATTCGTCTGGATGGGTAGGATGGATTCGTTGATCCGCAACTACTCTCTGCACAAGAAGCTGAGCGAGGATCGTCACAAAGAGATGTTTGGCGATGGCATATTCATGGTCTTCGTCTCAGATTATGTCTTGTACATACGGAGCTTCAACAGTGGATGGATGCCCCTCTATGTCAACTGGCCTATCTCAGACAGCCACCTGTATCCAGAAAACATCAAGATGGAAATCGACGGGAAACAGCCAGGCGAAGATGACGACGAAGAGCGTGGCGACAACGACGCAGGGCCAGCCGAAGACGAGTCAGAGATAAATGAATATTCGATAGACAGGGAAGAAATAGAGACTGAGCCGGAGGGAGACGACGAGGATGACGAAGATGACAAAGACGATGGAGACGATGGCGACGACGAAGACGATGAAGATGACGAAGAGTAGGAGGGATCTCAATGGCATCTACGCCGTTCTTCTGCTCACATGTAGCTAGTTGCATACTGATGGGAAATGGAATTCATGGCCAGGGTTTCAATCGATCTTGATCGTGTTCCCTTTCTATCATGATTACAAAATTTCCACTCAATTTAATACCTTGCATGCCCAAGTGGGCGTCTTCTATTCAAGACCAAGAATATTACGGCAATGAGTAGTACATAGTAGATACTACTAGTATTCGAAGATCATGTAGACACTGGGGATGCAATGTATAGCAAACAACACATTCTTAAGCAGAGGACATCGACAATATCTTTGCCGGATATCCCGAGGTGTGTAAGATAAAATCTACGCAAATCTACAAAAGACTACTACTACCCTAGGACACACTTAAGGCAAAAAGTATAGCTCGCATCCCCTTCCTATTAGGAAATGATATTCATCCATAGAAACACTCAAGAATACAGTGACAAAAGAAAATTAAATGACACAGGAACGGGCACGACGGCATCACAGTTCTCTAGAATGCGGTTTTCTGTGAGCGTGACAGGCCGCAGGCCCTATGCATGCCCCTCCAAAAGATATCAGAAGGAAACTTCTTAGATTCCAAGGGTGAACTCAACGCCGACGTCGATGTCACGGGCCATCTTGACGACCTTGGAGAACTGGACGGACTTCTCGGCGGCGGTCTGGAGGTCCTCGATGGAGAAGATCTTCAGGCCGGACTCGTTGATCTGTGAGTGAAAAGGATTAGCTTATTGCACCGGGTGAAAAGGTAGTAGGGAGGAAAGGGGGGAGGGGATTTCGTACCAGCTTGTGAGCCTGCTCCATGTTGGTACCCTGGAGACGGGCAATGATGGGGGTGCGCAGACCCATATCCTGGACAACGTTGATGAGACCCTGGGCGATGGCGTCGCAGCGAACGATACCACCGAAGATGTTGACGAAGACGGCAGAGACCTTGGGGTCGCTGGTGATGAGCTCGAAGGCGGACTTGATAGCAGCGGGAGTAGCACCACCGCCGACGTCGAGGAAGTTAGCGGGGCTACCGCCGTTCAGCTTGATGATGTCCATAGTGGCCATGGCGAGACCAGCACCGTTGACCAGGCAGCCAATGTCACCGTCAAGCTTGATGAAGTTCAGGCCGTGCTCGGCGGCCTTGACCTCATCCATATCCTCCTGGGTGGTATCGCGCCACGAGAAGACCTCCTTCTGGCGGAACTCGGCGTTCTCGTCGAAGCCGAGCTTGGCGTCCATGGCCAGGACCTGGTGGTCGGAAGTCTCGGACAGGGGGTTGATCTCGATCTGGGTGGCATCACGCTCCATGAAGACCTTGTACAGGTTCTGGATGGTGGTCTTGGCATCCTCGATGCACTGCTCGGAGAAACCGAGGTCGGTAGCGATGGTGCGGGCGATGTCGTCGGTAACACCCTTGTGGATATCGATGGGGGTGGTGATGATGGCATCGGGGTTCTCCTTGGCGACGGTCTCGATGTCCATACCACCCTGGGAGGAGGCAACGATGACGGGGGACTGGGTGGCACGGTCCATGAGGATAGCGAGGTAGAACTCGCGACGGGCAAACTTGCGCTCGCAGATCAGGACGGAGTTGCAAGGGCGGCCACCGGCGCCGGTCTGCTTGGTGACGAGGTTCTGGCCGATCATCTGGCCGGCGAACATCTTGGCCTCGGTAGGGCTAAAAAAAAAGCCGGGGTTAATAAATCCATCCAGTTTCCATTTCATAACAGGGAGTAAATTTCCCACTCACGAGTAGATGACGCGAACACCACCCTTCAGGCCGTTGTCGAAGGTACCCTTACCACGACCACCGGCGAGAACCTGAGCCTTGATAACCAGATCGTCGTTACCTAATTGTGTTTAGTGCCGAGCGCAAAGAAGGGGGCGATATAAATGCAGGGAAGATATACCGATGGAACGAGCGACAGCCTCTGCCTCCTCAGGGGAGTGAGCGACCTCACCCTTGGGGACACCAATGCCATACTATTGTTGATTATCAGCGATCCGACTCGGTGTTGATCTGGGAGAAAAAAGACTCTGCATGATGCGCGACTGCAGAATCCAACGCGACGCAACATACCTGCTTGAGGAGGCGCGCAGACAGGTACTCGTGGATGGAGAGGTTACGCTGCTGCTGCTGAGCCAGACGAGAGGAGGACTGCTATATCAGATTGAAACCGAGTCAGTCAAAGTGAACAAGCGGATACGGGCCGATAGTACGGCATCGGGGGACCATTGGGAACTCACAGTCGCGGCTCTGAAAGCCGCAGCGACAGGACGACTGCGGGCAAGCTTGAACATGATGAAAAGGGTGTGAGGGGAGAGGGTGGGTGGGAGAGAAAGAAATCAAGAGGGCAGTGTATCCAGGAGCCCTTGAGGAGAGAGTGAAGTCGGGATCGGGAGAACAGCTTTCTTTTTCTCGGGATGACATTGATTCGCGGTAGAACCGGGTGTTGCAGCCAACCAGCGTCCGTTCCTGGCTGACTAACCACTGCCTCGGGCGCAGACGCGAATATCACGGAACTGGCATCGGTATTCATTTATAACAGATACTATACGAGTAGTATGGCATCGATGATGGTTATACTACAGATGCTAACAGCTGCCAGTGTTCATCTGTAGAGGAAATTGATTCCTCTTATATTCTTGTGAGCCTGAAGAACCATTATATTACATAGTACTCTCCCTTTGGGTACCCCTAGTTACCGGCCCGAGGCTTGATCTTCCACAGCTTAAACATCTTCGTCATAATCCGCCCAAACAGACCACCCCATGCCCAACCGCCAGAGAGGAACCAAATCACCCAGCTGCGATGACCCTCCCAGATCCAGGTCTTGCGACCCTGCGCCCAGGGCCACAGCCAGCGCCATGGGGCAGACCCGTACAGCACTTGCGCAACCACACTGCGCGCGTAGGTCTCATTTGGCATCGCATTGTCCTGGCTATGGGTCACGCGTCGATTATACTCATCTTCAATGGGAGTGTACATAGATCCCGGGACGAGAGTGCGCTGGGTTCGGGCGATGCGTGATTGCACTCCGCCAGTAACGATTGTAGTGACATTGACACTATTGATGACGGTTAGTTTGGCGCAGTGGATCTAAATGCGACAGAGTAAAAGGGTAATCACATACCCGAAAGGAGCCAGTTCGACTCGGAGAGTATCACTGAACGAGTGCAGTGCTGCCTTGGACGCGTTGTAGACGGACCCGAAGACATATGGGATGATCTAAACCAGTTAGCCGATTGTAATCAAATACAGAGTACTCCGTGAAGCATGAAACCTACCCCAGCAACCGATCCAATTTGGACAATCGTGCCCTTGGCCTTGATCAGCAGCGGTAGAAAGGTCTGGCACATCGTGATAACTGCGAAGAGATTGGTCTCGAATGTCTTTCGAGCCTCTGGGATCTCGACCTCCATAGCTGGAACGGTGTAGTCTATGGATACAGTGAGTAACTAAATGCCAGTTCAAGGATGTTGTGCTGGTCTGTTATCACGTACTCCGGCCACTGGCAATATATTTATTAGTATGATGCAACGAATGCCGGCTTGGCGCAGAATCAGTTGAAGACGTACGCATTGTTCACCAAATAATTCAGTCCCTTGTCCCCCAGTCTAGTCTCGACATCCGCGAAGCATGCCTTGACACTCTCCGCATCATCAACCACCAGGCTCAAGGTCTCGATGCCGAGCTCGGCCAGATCGGCAATGGTCGTCGCCTCTCGGGCTGTGGCCAGCACACGCAACCCATGGCGATGGAATTCACGCGCAAGGGAATTTCCAATGCCGCCGGGAGAGCATCTGGTCATGTAAAATATCGTCAGCGATGGTATTCGATACTACCCTTTCCCCAGTACTGGTCGCGATTAGCTCACCCCGTGATTAGCACGGATTTACGGGTATCCGTGACTCCTGGCATGGTCAATATGGAACTCGAGCAGGGATATATGAATCTTGGGTTCCGGTCGATAGATCTGTTCAAGATGGACTGGTTGGAATATTGGTGTTGAGTGTTTGTTGATCTGGCTCCGGTGACAGTTGCTTATCGCGGAGCTCGAGATGCCTCGGCACGTCACGACTCACAAGAGCTGGCCATAGGAGCGCGTGTAACCCTAAACCCTATTGCTTGTTTGGGATAAATCCGATACCCCTGGTATATTAAACTGGAAGACACGCGCAATGCATTGGTTCTGAAATGAGAACAAGGAAAGAAAGGAATATAAGGCAAACAAAATGGTTGAAGCGTCTGGAATGAAGCTGGAGTACACGTCAAAAAAGGACCAATGAGAAACAACCCCCCCACCCTACTATAGTTACTGTACACAGTTACTTGTACGCCCATAACCTTAATAAAAAACAGGACCTAAACCGACATAAAGAATATGCCTAGATATTTACTAAGGAATGGCCGTCTCCATCTTAAAACACAGATTACGATTAGTTAATTTCTTTGGCCTTACTTATCGGAATAGAACACCGCCTGAGATTACACTTAGGCACTTTATCAATTTATATTGTTGATGCTACTAGGAAGAATAGAGGGTGTCTAGAAGCCATGGACTCTGATTTAATATTACTAATAGTATATAATTTGAAAATAATAAGCAAACTTCTCCAGCCCATAGAGCTGGCCCCTATCTAGTCTGAGCCGTCGCCGCTCTCGTATCCATAGATACGTTTCAGCCCCCAAGATCATACTATGGCCCCAACTTGAAGGCTTGGGTAACTACATGTAGCAGTACAGCCCGACCTGGCCCCAAAAGAATATAACCCAGCGCTATTTTCCACTCAGATGCTTAGCGTAGGGCAATAATGGCCCCCGCCAAGCCCCAATCTTCCGCAACTGGGGCGAGATATTGTGGACCATGTAACATTTCCCAGGGATTTATGACGATGAAAATCAGGTCAATAAGACATCGTCTCTTATAAATAATTGGCCAAGTCGCCCGCTACCCAGTTCATTCCTTCCCTTACCCATTAGCCTCATCTCCTCCTCTTCCATCGGACCCAACATATTACTCCAGAATCGTCATTATGCACTTCAAGATCCCAGTCCTTCTCGCCCTCGTCACTGCAGCAGCGGCTGATTGGGGCTACGATGCATACACCGCCCACGGCTGCAAGGATGCTGACGATATGAGCGCGCTTGTAGACGACGGAGATGGATCAGGATGTGTGTCCCTTGGCACCGGAGCAACATACCTTTCCTTGAAAGTTATGACCCCCAATAACAGGAAAGTGTCAGTTTACGAAGATAGCAACTGCCAGTCTGTCTATGGGGGGGTTACGACAGCGGACAACAAGGGGTGCTTTGAAGCGAGTGATGCTGCCAACTCGCCTAAGCACATCGGTTCGATTTTTTTCGATTAAAATCTCGCGGGTATGTTTGTTTTTATCTCCTCCTTAGCTGCAATAATGCGTATCTGTTTTGAACTAACACTTTGCCATCACAGCTCTATCTTTGTTGACGGGACCGACGGAAATGTCTGTTCTGTACCATACCCAGATTATGGAGGGTGGAAAGTGGAATACTTGGAAAGTTCGCGGAGAATCTGCTCTCGCTGAAAATCTCATTCTTGTCGAGAAGTTGCCTGTTTTCTACGACGAGAGACCAGTTGATCCTCCTGTCAATCCCGCGTCTGTCGTGGAATACTCTGATGCTGCCCACGATTCTGCTATGAAATCAGTCTGGCCAAAACTTTGTTGGCAAATCTATGCTTGGACGATAAGTGGGAGACTTTGTCGTCGAAATATAAGCGCAAAATATTCCAGAGAAAAGGACCACCAATCCAAACAAGAATAGCGTATGCACGTCTGTAAATAGATAATATCAGAGAACCTAGAAAGCTAGTCAACCCAGGCCCGAGGTCTTGGCCCATTCAAGCTTAATTCGACAATCATGGCAAGGGGATTCGCCCAAGCACTTCGTGCGGGTCCAGCCTTCGCGCCTCAATTTCCAAGAGCCAACATCAAGCACCCGTAGTGCACTAAGCTCATCCGTAGCCCATGTCAAGTTCGGAAAATTGCCAAACCTGTACGGAGCGTTAGGTGTCATTTGCAGCGAACCCAACGTTAACGACCCCGCAATGTGCCGATACCCGAGAACAAACCAGGATCACTGAATGGAGACCGCCGAATTAGACGCATCCCGGCCCTGGTCCACCGCCACGGATTGGATGGCGGAAAGAAAAATACCGGGAAAAAAGGCCGAATGACGATCTTTCGAAGTGGGGGGGTTTTGGTTTTCCTCTTCGTTGCTCTGGAGCTTCTTGAAGACGTCACGCCACGCCACGCCACGCCCTACTCTCTCCCATTGCATCCATCCACGACCCGACCCGCCAGCCATAAGACGGTGCCAAGTCGAGACGAGACGAGGACAACATCATGTCCATGTCTTCCGACCTTGACGTGCCCAGGCACATGAGAAGCCCCGGCGACGACGGCTACCGAACTCCAACAATTGAAGATGCGGAGCGGACCCTCTCTATCCTTGGCGTGATGGACGATTCCAATTCTCCAAGTCAAGCGCATGCAGTGCACTCCACGGCGTTGGAGAGTGTTCTCCAGAGATTGCCGTCGCGGGCGACGGACAGAGTCGTCATCCACAAAGAAAAGGAGAAGACGAAACCTAATTGTCGAGATCGAGACCATGACTACAATCTTCATCGGACTACCACAGACGCCTCCGCATCCACGTTAAGTTGGAAGAAGCGTATTCGCCATGTTACGTGGGCGTATTTCACTAGCACTATGGCCACGGGTGGTCTAGCTAATGTACTATATCAGGGTATATATTAACCTCAATCCTTGGCCCGGGCTTATTCAAGTTCAAGCTCTTCCTTGAGATAACTAGGTATTGATGCTGATGTGGCTTTGTCTAGTTCCCTACCGTTTTCGCGGCCTTGATACGATTGGCATTGTTATCTTTTTGTTTAATATCGCTTTATACCTTTTCATTTGGGGACTGTTGATTGCGAGATTCTATCACTACCCATATACATTCAAAGCCTCCTTCCTCCATCCAACCGAGTCATTATTCGTGCCCGCGTCGGTCGTCTCCTTTGGAACAATATTGATCAATATATCTCAATATGGCCCCGAGAATGCAGGCCCGTGGTTACTCGAGGCTGTCAACGTATTATTTTGGTTCGATGCCGCTCTCGCTGTGATATCATCGGCTGGTATATACCTTCTTCTGTAAGACCCCTGCCAATGCTCTTTTACAAATTGCTCTTTTCTTCAAGTTCCCTTCCCTTCAACATGAATTTCACGACTTACCTGGATAAATTACTTACCATCTCATCACCCGCGGAAAATCATAGATGGTCAACTCAAACCTTCACAATCGCCCAAATGACCCCGATCTGGATATTTCCCGCCTACCCAATGCTCATCATCGGACCTCATGCCGGCTGTTTAAGCGCTAAATTGGACCAAGCGCGCTCGCTGCGTGTTATTGTCGGAGGCACCACGATCCAGGGAGTCGGATTCTTGGTCTCGATGATGGTATATTCAGCCTTCATCTACCGACTCATGACGCAAAAGCTTCCGAAAGAGAAAAATCGACCTGGTATGTTCGTTTCTGTCGGACCGAGTGGGTTTACGGTCGCGGGGATCGTCACTATGGCCGCTGAGGCGAAACGCTCGTTTCCCGCTGATTTTATGGGGAATGGGCCTCTCGCTGCTGATATTTTGCGCGTTGTGGTTGATTTTGCTTCTTTGTGGTTGTGGGGGTAAGTTCGGTTCTATCTACACCCCTACACCCCGTCAGGGGCGATATATGGAGTATGTTGTACTAATTCTCTCGATTAGGCTGGCCATTTTCTTCTTTATCATTGCCAGTGCTGCTCATTGGTCTGCTATTGGGCCGGGGAGGATATTATTCTCGATGACTTGGTTCTCATTTGTGTTTCCCAACACTGCCCTGATCACGGCTACATTTGCCATTGGCAAGGCATTTGACTGTAAGGCTATTAACATCATTGGATGTGCGGCGACATTCCCGCTAATACTGATGTACTTCTTTGTGTGTTACATGATGATTCGGGCCATCATTTGCCACCAGATTCTGTGGCCGCAGAAAGGCGAGGATCGAGATGAGGGTGGATTTGAAATCCACATCATTAAGCCGGGCGCTGAGACCTCAGAGGATGAAGTGATAGCGTAGCGTTTCTGTTATTCTATCAGGATTCTTACGAGATTTGTACCCCAATAATAATTATTGAGAAAACAAATTTTTGGAAATTTAAGTGAAAATTCATAACTGTCGCACGTAGACACGATTAGTGCCTGGCAATTCTTGGCCGTTCCTCCTCCGTCTTAGTTGCTCAATCTATCTAAATGAAGATAATGGATAATGATCATCGTAGCTAGATTTCGCGATTTTGGCTATTAGAACTCAAGAGTCGTTCTTGTCATTTTGTCATGCGACGACGCTGAGATTCCCGATTATGTGCCTCGTCTTCCAGACAGGCAGGACAAAGAGATAAAGAGTATTTGATGAATATCCCAGTCCGTGGATGGTAAAACATCATCCCTCAATTTTTAATATCATCTCGAACAGAAACCATCCAGCGTTGTTTTATCCACGCTGAGTCGCAGGGATCCGCTTAGAAGCGGCGGCCACCCTGGGGAGGGCGCTCGGAAGCCTTGTCGATGCGAAGGGTGCGGCCCTCGAACCTAAGAGAGATGAAGGTTAGTCAAGGTCTTCAGGTGATAACAAAAGTTCCGAGTGTGGATGGGCTTACTCCTGTCCGTTCATCTGCTCAAGAGCAACGGTGGCCTCCTCGTCGCTGGCGAACTTGACGAAGCCGAAACCGCGGGAGCGCATGGTCTCACGGTCCTTGATGACAATCTAGAATGAAGATGTTAGAAAAGATGGGAGGGGGGAGGGGATCGGGATGAAATGATTCCAGGGGAAACTAACAGCCTCAACGACCTGACCGAACTGGGAGAAACCCTCACGGAGAGAGTCATCGGTAGTGGCCCAGGCAAGACCGCTAGAAGAAAAAGTCAGTACAGTCACACATCACAGTCCAGAAAAGAGTATCACGAACCCAACAAAAAGCTTAGACATGATGAAGAGTGTGGGGGTGGTGAAGAGAACTTGAAAATAGTAACAATGGCTAGTGCGGCGATCGCGTTTTGGGGGAGGGAAAATATTTATACGATTCGAATGTATTCTGTGGTGGGGGGTGGTGGGGCCATCCCAACTGGTTTAAGCGAATCGCATGGTGGCTTAGCGGTAAGTCTTATAAAGAGGGGGACCTTGCGAAGGGTTGATAAGGTGGATCACTACAGAAAAACTCGGATTTTTGCCCCCAGCTGATTCATCTACCCCTCTACTCGTATAGCATACCGTTTTGTATGGTAAAATCGCGGGACAGGGATTTCTCTGGTCCGTTCCATGAGTAGGGTAGGGCGTGTACATTATGGGCCGCAATTCAATATGCAGGCTAGTCCTATTTAGGTGAGGAGGGGCTGAGGGGCTGAGGGGCAGTGAAAAAAAAAGAAATGAAAAAAAAAAGGAGGGGGAGATATCAAATGTACAATATTTAGCTGTTAATAGTCTAACCAAAAGTCACCGCTTGCATTAGGCAGCTGCCACTCAATACAAGACCTGATTTGGCGCCAGATGATCAGCTTTCAAAGAGTATGTACCGACGGTATTCACAGCCTCACAGAATACTCTGGGGTATCCACATTCTATCGCGCCACAAGGTCTACCCTGCACTACATTTTTCTTTATTTATCTTATCTAATAAATGAGTTGTGGAATGATATTTATTGACACCTCCAAGCCCTGGGGGTTTTATACAAGTACAAGTATCACTGAAGTTGGCTGGAATTTTGTGGCTTCAAATTGATAAACGTATATTTTCAAGTTGTAAGCAGGTGTACTACACTGACAGTTTAGCCCTAGAACTTGAAGCTTCCCGAGGTTAGCTTGGAAGCTTCACACTTGAAATTTACTCAGTAGCATCTGCGATTACCTTCTAGGAGGTAATATCATTCAAGCCCTCACGCATGCTTGCTATTCTGGGTCCATGATAGATCCTGGCAGTCTATTTTCACTTCTTCCAGTGGTGGTCTCATCTCAATCTCAGATCAAATTAAGCACATCATCCAATATTATTATTATGCCACAGATACTTTCCCCACTTCAAGCCGCATGCCCCCATGGTAAGGTTCTACCTCAAAAATTAGGTTAAATATTCTGGACCAAGCTTGATTTACTCCCTACCCGCCCACTGGCATAGCCCCGAGTCATAGGATTCTTTGTCCATGTCGATCGGTCCGAATGTTCGAATTATGCCAGTGTATACTAGTAGACTCCGTAGATCGATCTTCTTTGCCATCTTCCCACCTAATGATGTGATATCTCTCTTTAAAAATGCTGCTATGCCCCCGGGCCCCGAGCGGACATATCAAAGATTATATCTTGCATTGGGTTGCTGCTGGCTTCTACAAGCAGATAGACACCCCGATAACATCCATTACTATTTTCTAGCTTGATCTGATCTTCCACCGCTATGAGCTCTACGATATCCCAAGATGCTTCAACCAGCATCGAGAAACCACCCAACTCTGTTGATGTCGAGCGACAAAGCGATACAGTTGCGTCGACAGCGACAGCTCCCGCGCCAAAGTCTCTAGGTGCAGGCGTAAGTGTCAAGATGCCGCTGTTGCTGCTGCTGCTGCTTTGTCGTAGTGGAAGCTATAGCCAATGCAAATGCTAATTCTCTCCGCAGTCTGCCCTCGCCCTCGGCGCATTTGGTACGACTCTCACGACGCTGTCGTTGAGTTTAATGGAATGGCGCGGCGTCACTACGGACAATGTATTCGTGGCCAATTTCTTCTTCATCTCGGCCTTTGGCCTGGTCATTACTGCTCAATGGGAACTTTCTATCGGGGATGGATTTGCGTATACCGTCTTCAGTGCTTTTGGTATGTTTAAGAAAACGACATATTCTCGACTAAAGTCGAATGCCAGTACTGTACTGACGTATGTGACATCGCGCAGGTCTATTTTACGCTGGATATGGTGCACTCCTAACGCCGGCATTCGGAATCGTCCAGGCCTACGGCAACGACACAGCACAGTATAATAACGCGGTGGGATTCTTCATGATACTCTGGACAGTCTTCGTGTTTACGTTCCTGATTGCTTCGCTTCCGAGCAATATTGCTTATATCCTCGTGTTCTTCTTTGTGGACCTTGGCTTTCTGACTGTTGCGGCGAGCTATTTTGCTGAAGCAGATGGTCACCATGCATCCTCTATCGCGTTGAAAAAATCCGGCGGTGTTTTCTGTTTCCTAGCTGGTCTTGTCGGTTGGTATTTGGTTTTTCATTTGTTGTTGAAGGATTCGCTGGTGGATTTACCTCTGGGTGATACGTCGCGGCTTTTTGGGAAGAAAAAGAATAAGGCTCAGTAAATCATGTCGCCACCGACGGGACGTCCACGAGGTCGAGGGATGGCATCAGATGGAATGGGAAGGGGGGGGTAGGGGTAATACCCCGACAGCTGATGAATGGGGCAGGGTGACGAGGAACTCCTTTGTTGCGTGATAAGTTAAAATCGAATGCAATCGATCTCCAACCAATTTGCACAGTATACTTCTCTCGGGCGAGAGATGTTAGATTATAGTGAGCATCGGTACGGGAGTAAGGCTTTCTCTCCATTCTACCGAGTGTGGGGCCGGTTGATCATCCATGCATGCGATAACGACATCCCCAACTACATTGACGAAAACAACCACCTGAACCATTCCATTCAAAGAAAGACTCCTCAATTTTGGGCGCGCAATGACGAGCGCCGCAAATAATCGCATCATCTCGCAGACACGGCATGTCATTGCGAATCCAATGCCCCCCATCGCATCACTATGGCTACAGCCTACCGTACATATAGAAGTGTTATCCCAGATAGTTTGTTCCTGAGACAGCCCGACTCGGAAACCATTTTCATTTCCATTGCTTAAACCAACCAGTGCAAAAATCCCAATATGGCACAGGATATCCCCGCCACAGACCCCGCTATCTACGCCCAATACGAGGCCAAGTGGTCAGCGCTCCCAGACAGCGCCGATGCATGGCTAGCCCGAGCTCGTGACGTCGCAGAGGTCCTGGCCCAGGATGCTGCACAACGGGACCAAGAGAATAAATCACCGCGCGCTGAGATTGTACTCCTCAAGCACTCGGGTCTATTGAAGCTCTTGGGTCCTAAAAAGTACGGCGGTGGTGAACAGCCCTGGAGCGTTGGGTACAAGGCGATTCGGGAGGTTGCTAAAGCAGATGGGTATGTATCGATTATTTGGGAGACTATATTTATGCCTGCACATACTGTACATTGGATGGTGCGCTGACTGCTGCTTGCAATAGTTCTATCGGTATGCTGCTGGGGTACCATCTTCTATGGTCTACAACCGCGAACGTCGTCGGCAGCGAAGAGCAAATCGAGCGCACCCATGAGTTGATTATCTCGAATAACTACTTCGTCGGTGGTGCGGTGAATCCCCGTGATAGCGATTTGAAGATTACCTCCGATGGCGACGATATCGTTTTCAACGGGGCGAAGTTTTTCAATACTGGTGGTGTGGTCTCGGATCTCACGGTGCTGGAGGGCGTTCTTGAGGGCACTGATGGTCATATCTTTGCCTTGGTTGAAACGCGACAGCCTGGTATTCAGTTTGCGCACAATTGGCACAATATCGGTCTTCGTTTGACCGAGTCTGGTGGCGTTAAGATTGACAATGTTCGTCTGCCGTGGAAAGATGCGCTTGGCTGGGACGACGCCTCGAAGAAACCGCGCGAAGATGTTCTGTTGACTCAGTTCCCGACATTGCTTCTGCCGACGTAAGGATACCGCTACTGCCCGGGTGTTTTCCGTCTTGCCTAACCTGATTTTGAATATTTAGTATCCAACTAGTCTTCAGTAACTTCTATCTCGGAATCGCCCTCGGATCCCTAGATTTTGCCTCGAAATATACTACAGCTACGACCCGACCCTGGCCCTTCGGAGTAGATGTCAAGGAATCCGCAACGGAAGAATTCTACATCCTCGAGCGCTACGGAAACTTCTTCGCGCATCTTCGGGCTACCGAGGCACTGGCCGATCGGGCTGCCGACCAGCTCACGGCAGTATACACCAAGTATTCGGGTAACCGACCTTCGTTAACGGCCGAGGAGCGTGGCGAAGTGGCCGAATGGGTGGCCAGTGTCAAGGTGGTTACCACCGACGTCGGGCTCCGAGTTACATCCGGCGTGTTCGAGGTGACGGGGGCTCGAGCGACCTCGTTGAAGGTCGGACTGGATCGGTTCTGGAGGGATATTCGGACACATACACTTCATGATCCGGTGGCGTATAAGAATCGTGAGTTGGGGCGGTATGTGCTTCATCGTGAGTACCCCGCGCCAACGTGGTATACTTGATACCCGTAGTACTAGGACACCCTAGCTAGGGATGAGAGGCAGATGGTGATGGAACAACAGCGTATTTAAGTTTGAATGAATATATTTCCAAATACCAAATCATCAATGTAAAACCCCGCGAGTTCCGTGAGAAGTCCGGGGAGTGTCAAAAAGCCAACCCCAAACCCTTTAAAGTGGGTTGGCGATAAGCCCCGCCTGATAGCCTCCAGTTGGACGCGGCCGATCCGAAAATTTTTCCCGATTTTCTGTGGGCGAGTTAACTTCTCCCCTCTATACTCCCCTGTTCCCTTTTTCCCCTCAGCAATTTGTTCCTTTCAGCCTTCTCTCCCTTCATTTATTTACCAACCGCCAAGATGGTGCAAAAGTTCTATGTCACCTATAACCAGGTATGCTATGCTATGCTATGCGCTGTCGCGCAACCCCCCTCCGCGCATACATCCGAGTCTCTACCATGTCAAATCGAACCAGGACCAGGGCCAGTCAAAGTAACCATACTGGGAAGGTTTAAGCAGGGGGTTGAGTTGACTTGGAACTTCTCCGCACAAATGCTAATCGTGTGTTCCACTCAATCTAGGTTCACCAGCTCTGCCAAAGATCCGCAGATGCTATCCTGAAGGACTTCCACCCTCACCTTATGATCGCCATCGGCGGTGGTGGTTACGTCCCTGCTCGTATTCTCCGGTAAGTTCTGATCATGGGTCCCGCGAATGCGATCGGCTCATGCACACACCCACACACACCCACACTTTTCCTACGACAGAGAAGCCGAGTACTTACACTTCAATTTCTATAGTTCCTTCCTCAAGCGCGCCGGTGACCCCAACATCCCCATCCAGGCCATTGGTCTGTCCCTCTACGAAGATCTCGGTCGCGGCGATGCCGAGGAGGTCCCCGGCACCAAGGTCACCCGTACCCAGTGGCTGGACCTGAGCTCCCTCGAGATGGCCAACTTGATCGGCAAGAACATTCTGATTGTCGACGAGGTCGATGACACCCGTACCACCCTGGAATACGCTGTCCGTGAGCTGGAGAAGGATGTCGAGATTGCCCAGAAGCAGCTTGGTCGTGAGGGCGAGAAGACTAACTTCTTTGTCTTTGTTCTGCACGTGCGTACCCCCACATTTGTCTTCCCTCGGGATGTTTAAAGAAACTCCATACTGACATCTCTTCCCCCTCTTAGAACAAGGATAAGCCCAAGAAGGGTGTTCTGCCTACCGATATGATGGAGAGTGGTCGCTACCATGCTTCCGTTACTACCGAGGATGTCTGGATCTGCTACCCTTGGGAGGCCAAGGATATCGAGGAGCACGATGCTCTCGCCAAGGAGAACCCCATCATCTAAACAGTTTTCCGTTTTGCATAGTGCGAACTCTTGCATAGTGCAAACAGCATTCCATTCTGCGCGGCGCCTTTTGATCCCGTTGGTGGCTTTTCTGGGCGAAGTCTTGTTTTTTGGAGACTGTGACCTACTTACCCCCCTCCCCGGTGCTTATTATAAAGAATGCTACCGGGGTTTGTTTAAATTTACGATATCCTTTACGAATCTAGAAAAAAAGTTATATTCTTATTACAAAGTTACCGGCTGCTTGCTTCCTTCAACCATACGGCTCGCATAATATAATTTTCATAGAGATGTCTTCTTCACTCCACGGCGGAATAGAATAGAGCTTGAATATTCGTCAAAGGGTATCAAGTGGATTGTATATTGATAACAAAATAGCAATTAAAGAGTATTGTCGTGTATTATGGAGGAGAGGAGAGGAGACCCTTGCATGCATGCATTGCATTGCATTGCAGAGCGTGCGGACAAGCTCCCTCCTCCTTCGCTGCATTTAACGCTCTGATTGCAGACGGAGAGACACGATTGATTGATCCAAATTCCTCGATGTGACTTTGGCGCATTTAGTCGACATCGATCTTGCCCTGGCGCAGCTCGACCTTGGCCTGTTCGATCTCCTTCTGCAGCTCAGCGTGTGCCTCGGGGACGTCGTTGAAGGTGAAGATCGCGACTCCTAGACGGCCGAGGAGGTAGCAGCCGAAAACGATGACGGCCCAGAAGGGGAGCTGTAAGTAGAATTTTCGTTGTTAGTGTTTATCTTGAGGTAGGTGTGCAGGGCGCGCGCGGCAGTAGCGGAGTCGCAAACGTAACGTAACTTACCACGGGGAGGATTTCGGTCTGGATGGTCTCGTTCAGGGGGACGAGGCCGAGGTAGGCAACGAGGTAGAGCTGGTCGTATGTTAGAAATGATTCTCGGTGTGTTTATTCTGGTCTTTTGTGTGGGTTATGGCGGAGCTCGAGCAACGTACAGAGGAGACAAGGAGGACGACGGAGACGGTTTGCTGAGCGCGTGTCATGGTGGCGGATGTTGGCGAAATAGGGTGGGATAGAATGACAGGAGAAAGAGTGAAGAAAGAGATCCGATCACAGATCCAGATCTAGATCCAATTGACCGCAAAGAAATAGAAATAAAGGAGAGACGGGGGGCCGGGTGGAGGTGATGACGGGGGAGCAGAGGCCAGCTTGACTTGCGCGGGTTAGCAAAGGCGGAACTCCAGGCGGAGTAAGAGTCAAAACATGGGGGACTCAGTCGCATAGTTACACCACAGGTCATATGAGGAATGATGGGAGATAGATTAGGCATAATCTGACTCTTCTCTTTTCTCATTATTTTCTATATTTTTTACTAACTTTATTCATTTTACCGGGTACCCCAGGTGTACAATGGTCAATCCCTCCCTGAACTACCTATGGTCCACATGGCTGCCTGAATCTCCCCTCAGGCAGCACTCCCGCTCTCCTCGCCAGGCCCGCTTCATATATGCATTAGCTTCGCTTCCCTGTCAAGAACCCTTGACCAATTCAAGTGGACCCTCTCTAGCTAATCCCTCCCCTCTCCACAAACTTATCTCTAGTCGGGAAGCGAGCCTCCACCACTTCCAGGCACACGGTCGGCAGCCTGGCGCCAGAATCAAAATAAAAATGGCTTCGATAGATACATCTAATGCCTCTGTGGCACTAGCAGGTAGCAAAAATGCTAGCCAGCAATCAGCAGCGGCAACAGCTTTCGGGTTCAAACCTTCCATTGAGGAGGTTCTCTCAGATTTACCAGAATCATCTGGCAGCTCCAGCTCCAGCTCGCTTCCCCTGCGAAACTCAGAGACCCTCGCACAAGACGAACAGGAGAAGATGTTCAGCGCCTTGAAGAATGTGCTCGACAATTTCGAGCCTTCAGATGACTCGGAAGCACCCGAAAGCTTTGATTTGAAGGAGCTTCAATCGTCCCTGGAACAGGCGGATTCGGATGCTCGCCGTGGTGAGCGAAATGCCGGGCCGTTGCAGAATGTGCATACCATCCTTTGCAAGCTGTGGTCCGTCAACTCGGGGCTTCTGAGCCAAGCCGCTGAAGCTCTTGCAAATGGGAGCCGTGACCGTGAGTCGAGTCTTTCCAAGCTGAATTGAAGCGCTCAAACTTTGGCAAAGATGCAATTCCACTGACAGCATCTAGCTTCCTGGCGACTCCCGATTGGACAGTCTGGGATTTTGAAATTCTTCCTGGATGTCATTGCCTCTAAGGAACAAGTCGAGACTGGCTTATTGCTTCATTCTTTGCGTTTGATTGGCAATTCTTGCGCCGATACAGGTATGTTTCAACGCTGGCAGGAATTATCTCTGAATCCCGGGCCTGATAACAATTGACACCGTCCCATTCTAGATGAGAACAGAGAGATTGTAGTCAAGGATAACTATACGCTGGCTATTATCCGACACTTCTTGAATCCGGATATTATACATGTGGCCATCCCGGTGATCTACAACATCTGCATGGACTATGGTAAGCATATTGTCTTTTTCTCAACCAATCTGCGAAATTTATTAATAGGGCCGATATAGAACCTGCTCATTCTCAAATGGCCGCAAATCGGGCTGCGTATATTATCTTGAGCTTGCTCAAAGATGGCACGATCCCAGAGAATGATGCTCTGCTGGGCTTTGCGTATGATTTGATCGAACTCTCCTCTGAACAAGGTATGAAATATTGACCCCTGATATTGGTGTTTCCCGAACTGACCTCGGAAAATGAAACAGCCGCAGGGGTTGAAAACTCTCCGGATGGCATCATTTGGCTCATTCTGGAGCTTGCTTTGAACGAACACATCGTCTTCGAGCAATACTCATCTCTGGTCAATTCCCTGTCCGCATATCTGGACAAGGAACGGTTCCAGAACGCTTGCATCGTAAACAGCATGGTGGAAAAGACCTTGTCTGTTCTAGAACGGTCTTTCTCCATTGAGATCGATACATCCTCGAAAGAGGACGTGCAAAATATTGCCCAGCTCCGTCTGAAGATCAACACGTCTCTGTCCGAAGTTTCCGCCTCGCCATTGTTCGCAGAGTATTACCCTCTTGACTCAGAGCTCTCAAAGACTCTCAAGTCTTGGGTCGTGGCCGATGAGGACCAGCTCCAAATTTGCGCATGCGTCATGCTAGGCAATTTAGCCCGTTCCGACGAAGTTTGTCAGACAATGGTGAACGATCTCAAGATCCACGAGGAATTGATCTCCGTATTGAACAGTGATGACGCCCGTGGTGCAGTCCTTCACTCTGTACTTGGATTCTTGAAAAACCTCGCCATCGCGGACGAAAATCGTCTTACCCTCGCGCGGGCTGGGATCATTCCTGCTGTATCACGTCTGTGGGCCTATGACTCTGTTCCGCAGGTCCAGTTCTCTGCTTCCACCATTGCCCGCCAAGTGATTATCTCGTCCGTGGAGAATATTGCGCGCCTACTGGCTTCCCTCTCTGAAGACCCTGACTCCCCGGCTCATCAACGAACCTACCTTTCCTTGCTCCTTGCACTTTTCGAAAAGACGGACTCAGCACCTATCAAGACGGAGATTGGTCGCACTGTTGCCTCTATCTGTCGCACTGTCAGTCCCAAGGCGCGAGACGGAGATGCGGAAGCATCTTCGCTGCTGGAAAAGCTTTTCAAATTGCACGAGGGTGTTGCTAATCCAGTTGGGTCTATGATTACACAAACGCAGTGGCCAGTCGTTCGAAGCGAAGGGTGGTTTGCGTTAGCACTCATGGCAACTACCGAGTCGGGTTGTGTAGCAGTAGTGGACTGTCTCGATAACGAAGAAGTAATGGAGGTTTTGAAGACGACTATGGCTGGCAAGCCCCCAAGCTCAGAGGAGGGCACAGAGACGAACCAGACTCAAGTACAGAAGGACTATGGTAATGCACTTGTTCTACTGCAGGCACTTTTGAAGAATGAGGTCAGTCACATCCCCCACCCCCTGGGGAAAAACCTGAATATTTGTTATTATATATGCTAATTGGTGGATAGTCTGGTGTACTTCCAATCGGCTATAGGGAAACCATGGAAGATCTAGTGAAAAACCACGCTACACGCCTTTTGGATGGCAGCCAGAGCCAGGACACTTCATGATAACTTCGAGGTGCATAGAGATGAATATAATGAGAAAATAAATGAGTGATGTAAACATGCATTATAACTTGCATCATAAAACTATCCATGCAATATGTTCCCGGTAGATGGGATGCCCTGCTTGGATATACTCCCGCTCTGACTGGCTGCGTCCAATCGGCGATAAGGAAACGCTTATCTAATCGGCGATTATGTCATCCGTCGCGATGATCAATTTTCTCCCCGATCTTTTATCGCGCGCCGACAAATCTACTTTTCTACCTCGACAGATTCCAATTTTCTATTCAAAATGGGTTGGTTTTGGGCAGACTCGCAGCCAAAGGTGCCTGTGGCACCGCACCCAATTGCTTCTGGGGCCGCTATTCCCGTACGTCTCCTCAACATTGACAGATATCCAATTTACGAACATCTTCATGCTGACCCTTATCAATAGCCCGGATGCCCGATGCACGAGTCACAACAGTCGAAACCCTCAGTGCCCGCCGTTGTACCTCAGAAGACGGAAATACCCAGCAGCTGTCCTATGAAGAAATCCCCCGATTCCCCATTCTCTTCTGCGCCCAACTCATCCACCCCGGAAACTCCGCAACCTCCTCCGGCGGCGCCGCAAAAATCAACCTCCACCTTATCCAAACTCAACCCACTGAACTACATGTTCGCCTCTATCTCGCAAGAACGCGCCCCGAACCAGACCGTCGACCTGGGCGTTAATCGTGAGATCTCTTCCATCCCGCGTGGTGACTCGGAGGGAAATTGGGAGTATCCCTCCGCGCAGCAGATGTACAACGCGATGTTGCGCAAAGGTCATACCGATACGCCCCAGGACGCGGTTGAGTCAATGGTCGCCGTGCACAATTTCCTGAACGAGGGCGCTTGGGATGAGATTATTGGATGGGAGCGCACGTTCGCTAAGGGTCTTGGAGCTGGATGGGAGCGGTGCCGTCGGGGTGAGGAGAACCTTGCGTTCAACCTTATGAAGGAGGACGCATTGGGCCAGGTTGATGAATCTACTGAGCCCCGTTTGATCCGATTCCAGGGTCGGCCGCAAGAATTGAGTCCTAAGGCTCAGTTCTACCAGGCTCTGGGCCGAGTTTATCCGTCAATGTTTGAGTAAGCTATGCCACGCTGCTTTCGCATGAACCTACTTGTAAGATATATGCTAACATGATTTCCTTTGCTTTCTAGGACAAGCCCTCCTTTCGATCGTCATGACTGGTTCGTGCAGCGTCGCACGCCAACCGGTTCGAAGGAAGTTCGTTACGTGATCGATTACTACTCCGCACCCCCCGAGCCTAACGGTGAACCGGTCTTCTACCTTGACATTCGTCCTGCATTGGACACCCCCACTGCTGCTGTTGAACGGCTCATGAGATGGGGCGGTGATGTTTGGTGGAAGGCTAGCGGAGGTGTTGTGAGAGAACCCGGCCATGCTCACCCTCAGGCATGAACATGCAATTCGACCAAAGCAACTTGTTGAGCATTTTGATGCTCCTCCCCTCCCCTCTCCACACTGTACATTTATAGACATGGCACAGGCGTTTTTCATGGTTTTGTTGGACCATTTTCTTTTTTATTTCTGCCCCCTGTTTTATCACATACGTGTCTTAGTATTGCATTTTCATTTTCATTTTCTATTTTCATGTGCGAAATGATAATGTTACCAAGTGATGGGATGTCTCGCCATCATATTGGTTGGATGGAAGATCTCCGATATTCGCGTTTTTAGATTGGAATATGTAAATTTATTTTCAACTCATTTGATCGGATCGGCCTGAGCGACCAAAATCAGTATAAGTAGTCTCTGAATGAATCGCTTCGTGTCATTTGAATTATCGTATCTGAAAGGAGAAATGCGTATAGTACAGAAGGGGGAGTCTCTATGTCTAGATGTTCGGCGACAGTTGATCATACTTAACACAATGTTCCACACTCTCTATGCTGGCCTGCAGCAATCCACGAGCTTCGAGGCCAACCCAGACCCGAAGCATCGAGGTATCACCGGAGCGAACGGTCTGTAGGAAAGTGGAACCGGAACCTAGCTGTCGAAGGATGGGCAGGGCACTATGGAAACGTGTGATTAGCGGGTGTTTTCACAATACCGAGTATGTAGAGCTGAATACTAACCTCTTGAAAAGATCTAGATCGGGATTAAGGCTTCGTCCGATACCTTCAAGTAGGAGACAAGAAATAACCACATTGACAAAGTCTCCTTCAAACCGGACATGATGCCCACGCACCATGGTCAATACCTCGCTCAGAACGTCACCGATTTTGATATTTCCCAATGCGAAGGTCCGAGACTTGATGCTAAGAACGAGATGCTGCATTTTCAAAGCAAAGATCTCCGGATCAATGACTTGCTCTGGTCCACGGCATCGTTCCACCATTAGATGACCTGCCCGGTAACCATCGAATTCAGCAATTGCTCGGAAAAGATCCAGGAAATTGCGTCGATTCTTGTCATTCAACTGAGTCACTAATCCGGTATCGATAAAGATGAGCTGTGGGCGATAGCCTTCGTCATTGAGTTGCGCTAGGGCGGATTCCCATGTCTCGCTGTTTCCGATATGCGGGCGTAATCGAGCAAGTACAGCCTCTGTCACGTCAACTTCAGCTCGTGTAGGGGCGTCCACTGCTCGAGATTGCTTGCGAAGAGACAGATCCAGTTCACTGGGTCGGTAAAAGCGGACCATAATATTTCCCGGGTGAAGATCAGCATGGATGAAGTTATCAATCAATAGCATGTGCAAGAAGGCATCCAGTCCTTCATTTGCGATCTCGTGTTGATAAACACCGCCTCCCGTTTCGAGAAAGGTCGCGAGGGGAATTCCCTGGGCAAATTCCTCGACCAGGACTTCACGGGTCGTGTAGTCCAGGTATGGATACGGGAACCAAGCCGTTGTGCGAGACTTGAATTTTTCGCGGAACATGACCAGATTGGAAGCTTCGATTCGAAGATCTAGTTGAAGTTTCATCATTTCGCCAAATTGCTGGACTTCATCGGGAAAGGACAGCCAATTCATTGTGGGAATGGCATTGATTAAAGACGCGAAGAATCCCATGATTCGAAGGTCTCGGTGAATCATCTGCTCGACTCGGGGATGTAGGACTTTGATAGCCACGTAGGAGGAAGGGACACGTTGAGGTGAGCTCTTAACTAGAACATTGATGTTCTTCTGAACCTTCTCGCCCAGTGTGCTGGGTCCTAGCCCGAGCTCCTGGTTGCTGGAGGCTAGGCTAGGCTTGAGCCTTGCTTTGTACACCTGTGCTATAGCTCCAACGCCAAGAGGCTCTTCTTGGAACTCCTCGAATATCTCTTCGAATGGCAGGCCATTAAAGGCTTTGCGAATTGTTTTCTTTGTAGAACGCAAGGAATGGGCTGGTGCATTTGAATGAAGCGAAGACATTATGGCGCACATCTCTGGAGGGAAGATATCGGTTCGTGACGCGGCCCATTGACCCAACTGAAGACGAATCGTGAGCAGAAGTTCATTTATCATGGTGAAAGGAGGTATTTACCTTGATAAAAGCAGGACCAGCGCGCTCCATGGCTTTCACCATAAAACGGTACCACCACAGGGTTCCAGAACGCGCGTTGTTTGGACCCTCAACCTCCCGACCTAGCCATATTACCGGCACAGTGATAACAACCGGTACAAATATCGCAGCGAGGTGAAGAAACCGAAATCCGGTCGCAATAGGGTCATAGATATACCGGTACCAGAAGACCCATACTGTTTGACAGACTCTCGAGAGACCCCGCGCATCTGCGGCAACTGCTTTACGAATCTCATCGCGCGACGCCTCCAGCATCTGCATCTCTCCAGTTATATCGCCTCCACCCGAGTCCTCCGCCAGTTTGAGGAATGCGCTGGGCGCGAGGGCAGCCATCACCAGCCCGCCGATGATCGGGCCCGGGCCCCGGCCCCGTTTCGGGGTGTGTTGAACAGGGAGTCGCCATGATGTTGTAAAATGGTGGCGCGGAATACGCGGCAACCCGCGGTTGAAACAAAATCGCCTGAGGAGGACCGTCCTCATGATCTGTATTGTATTTTCATGGAGGACGCTCTGCAAGTATGTATGTGAAGTGGATGTGAGGTGGAACTGAATTGAGGATCGCGGACAATGGGAAGCGCTGATAGCCCCGATAAGCGGCACGTGTTACGATGTCATCGTAAACAATCTCGGAACTTGGCAGGCCGAGGTTGTTCAACAAGGACAATCAAGTATAGAGAATTGATTGATTGAGATCATAATTTAGAAGACTGAATTAGGGTGGGAGTAATGAGGAAGGGCCATCATATCCTGAGGTCCTGAGGCTGTATCTACATCATCTCCACTGCTAGTATATTTGCAATGAAAATAGTATCCATACTAACAACCAAGGAGAGCAAACAGACACTCGACCTCTTAGCACAATAATGGGAATGATTAAGACAAATCTATTGTCTACACCTGGGCAGATATATCCAGCCTCATGGATACTACTAACTAGTCTGATCAACTTTCAATTTTCCCATTCGAGCTTCCGCCCAAATCCGAATCCAGCAACTGGGTCCTCCACATTCCAGTCTACATTCCTCAGCGCCACCCTTTATCCGTTTTCTTTCTCACCTTGCTAATTCCGGGCTTATCGAGTCCGATCGTCAAGAAAACTCCTACCAAAAGACCGAAGTCGACATTGAAGAGCACAATGGGTCTCAAATGCACCCCGCTATATCCCCGAAACCCCGTTTTCAGGACAAAGAACTTATTGAACGACGCAACACGGCAACTTTACCGTGCATTAAATGAGACCATGAGTCCCCCGACGCCTGGGATGGCTTTTTACAATCCTCCATCTCTCAAAGCACCCTCTAGCTTGCGACCCACTTGCTCATCATTATGGGTCGCCCACTGAATCTGGACGATGTCGAGTCCAACCAGGACCAGGATCAGAATCAGAATCGGTCTCACACTTGGCGCGATTGGATGATCGTGTTCACATGGAGTATCATGGGCTATCTAGCTCTTATCATGACCGTCATTGGCTATTTTGATCCGTCACTTCTACCCGTCGATCCAGCAGCGCTGTTATTCAACAAAGATATCTCTCCGTTTTATGCATTTTCGCGCGGGGGTCATTTCTCCAAGCCGTCAGGCTTCAAGATCGTCGCATTGGTTCCGTTTAGTAACCATGAGCACACTTCGATCCTAGAATGTTATTTGCAGGTAAGGTTTGAAATCTACTCAACTTCCTGGGAAGGTTATGCTAAACAATTTGCAGAAAAATTTAATTCACAACCACGGCTTCCTCGACCAGGTCGTTTTTATTCCTCAAACGAACGACGCCACCAGTCTACACTGGCTCAATTCTCTCGTCGAAGAAACATCCGAATATGCAATCTCGCCAGCTGGCAAAGACATGGATTGGAAATTCGCCCAGGATAACGTCATGTACATCCGCATCGACGGGGACGTCGTTTACATGGAAGACCATACCATTCCAACAATGGTCAAAACGAAGCTAGACAATCCCGACACCCTCATGGTCTCTGCAAACGTCGTTAACGAGGGCGCCCTCGCTTCACTACACAGTCACCGCGGAGTGTCTCTCCCTTATATGCCCGAGCTACAGCATACGAGCCAATCGTCCCGATCAAAGTCTCAACTCGAACACGATTGGCGAGCCTCGAGTCTTCCATCGTGGACAGGACCATCAGACTTCAAGGTTCGAAAGGATTTCAAACCGCCCTTCGAGGGTCATAGATGGCTACTTCCGCGTGAATCGGCAACGGATCGCGATCCGATCGCGGGCTCGGTTTATACAGACACAGGACCTAGTATGTCCGACTGGACGGTTGGTGCCCAGCAACACTATTCCTTCTTGCACCATCTTGAACTTGATAATTTGGATCGGTACAAGTTCCCGCTATGGGTCAATCCCACCGAGCCTGTTACTACGAACTTTGGTTGTTTCTGGGGTAAGGATACCCAGACCCTTCGTGAGGTTTTTGGGCATAAATCTAGTGAGGAGCTCTATGAATCTTGGACTGGGTCGGATGGAACTCGGCCGAATATTACTATTGATGGTAAAGGGCTTGTTTCGCATTACTCGTCTCGACAGGGAGTTGAGGGGTTGGACTCGACTGATCTTTTAGAGAGGTATCGAGCTTATGCGCAGGAGAGGGTTTGTCGTCAGCGTCAGAAGAAGCCTCGCTTGGAGGTTGATTAGATCTGACTGGCTAGATGGCTGATTCGGGGAAGGATGGGTGTTTAGACTTGTATATACTAGAATCCTGAAAGTTGGATAAAGATAATGCACATGACTAGTAGTTCCATACTATGCTATTGCCAAAGCTTCCAAGGTTTCCATATTCTGATCTCAGCTTGCCAAATATCATAAATTGGCTTTTCTATAGGATTTTGCTCTACGTACAACTGTCAATCGAGAGTATTATATTATGGCAAGTCATCGAGTATCTTATCATGCTTCCTCCGCGGGTATTACATAGCCAGACATAGCTTCCTCCCAAACACACCTCCAATCTTCATCCTGAGTTCCAGGAACGAAGAAATAATCAGCAATTATCCTCGAAACTTGGTCCCAGCTGTGCCATTCGCAAATCATAGCGACACGAGCTAACCGCTCGACAAACCATATCCGCTCACGATGGCCAATGGATCCTCGAGCTCCAATGAATAATGCCCAGGCAAACAGATTGAAATTTTCTTTTGGCAGATGAAGAAGACTCGATATCTTGCAGTTGCCGACAGCTTTAACGAGGTGTTTTGTCAGGGCCCGGCCAAGGCCAGATGAAGGGGGTGAAACGATCAGGAAATTATTCAAAAAGCAGATTGCTGCTACGCGTGCGACTGCTTCGACTGGATGGAGGCTTTTTCCTGGGTTTTTAGGGCCAGGTTCTCTCTCGCTGTCTCCATATATGTAACTTAAGAGTTGATGTTCTGATTCACAGTTGAGGATGCGGAAGAAATGGTGATCGGAGGGTTCAAGTTCGGAAGATTGTGTGATGGCGACGCCGTAGAAGATGACATCTCGAATGACGTTCAGTATTCGGATGAGGGGTGGGCTGAGAATGGTGTTGGCGAAGAATCCCAAGCCAAGCTGATGTAAAGATGAGGAAGGGGGTGGTCGAATTCGTTGTTGAATCGCTTTGGGAATTGGTTGTGCGTCCCAGGTCAGTGGGAACACGGGTTTGACAAGCAGACCGGAGCCAGCTTTGACATCAGAGCTAGAGAATCTTTTAGCGGATGCAGATTATTTTCAATGTTAGCGACCAAGTCAGGTTCTACATACGTGATGATGGCTGTTAAAATAGAAGCAGATCGAATGCTTTCACCTCTAATTCCGCCACGCAGCTCTACCATGCGTCTGAGACCTGTTAAGTGAATTCGGGCTTCATCGAATAACCCAGCAATTAACTGTGGAAAAATCATAGATTAGACAGTGAGGCTTTGAAGTGACCTTAAGCTCATAGATTACCACTTACTGAACCAGTCAAAAGATTCACGATCGTGTCAAATGCCTCATTGGTCAATGCTTGTGTAGGATCTCGAACTTTCACATTCATTTCTCGAATGCACTTTGCTTTCATGATACAGTAATCGGGATCATTACCGGCTTGCTTGTCGTCGGGTCCGATGAGCGTGGAATCGAGATGACTGGACGACAATGCCGCTCTATGCGCAGCGCACATACTCATGAGACCGAAGAAACTACCCGGATCTGAAAAGGAAGAGCGGACCATTAACTCGACTTCTTTAGTATTTTGACCCTTGACCTCATTTGGAAAGGTCACTGGGACAAATACCGATTTCCCTAATTGATTCGTTTCGTAAGTTCAAGTTCCAGTCCGTCGGGAAAACCCTGTATGTAAATAAACACCACCTACAATAGTATAACAGATGTGCAACCATGGCAGGGAGTTCACTGGTTCCTGGCAATGTGCAGAAAGGATCGAGAAACCATGAAGTAGGCAGTAATCCCGGTTCTGGATTCAAATGGGGTTCAAATGGATAGCCTGTGGTCCACTTAGTAGGACTCCTGCGGCGATATCTGCTAACAAATTCTCCATGTAGCTCTGCTTCATAGATAGATGATTGGCCGGAGGATTCGGATGCCCTCCTAGCAGCGAGGACCAATTTCTGTTCTTCTTGAGACTGCTCGTATTGAGATTTCGTGTTCACTAGCAGCCCACTTCGACTTTGACTTTCCCGTCGTGTAGTTCGCTTTAATCCAGCGAGTCTCTCCCGTCGGCGGACATCGCGCATCACATGGGATCGGATGGCCTTGCGAGCATTGACATCTTTGATTCGCTTGGACGTCAAGTCATCATCATGATCGATAAAAGTAAAAGACGGCTGGTCCAGCGGCGGTGCGTTTGGCTGGGATGTGGGATCTGACGTCGAAGTTTAGTACATCTCAACTTGAAGGCTCAGGAATTAAACGCGGGGGTGGGGGAGTGGGCGAGATGCAACTCGAGCAACAAATGAGAATTGATGGGGAAAACGCCTCCAACTGGGCGCCACGCAACTCAAGGGGACATGGACTGGACAGCCATTATAGACTTGAATGCAAATATAGTAGTACAAATACATTGAAACACGGTGCGGCCCTGAGAGCAAAAGCAAACAACGCCTAGGCGCATAAGCACAAAGCAGCACGAACCTGAAATGGAAGCTCGAGCACCCAAAGAAAACGACTGCAGGTGATCCATTGTGGGCCCGAAGGCCAGAGCAAGTGAAGAAACGTAAAAGGCGTGGGGGGGAAGGCTGAATTAGAAGAGAAAAAGGAGTAGTTACGTTGTCAATGCGGGGATTCGAGCGGAGAAGACGCTGACCCGGTGATGACCGGTGTAACGCCTCACGCCGCTCTTTACATGGAAACACAGGGGAATACCCAGGGCACTTGGGCCACGAGATGCCAGTGGGAATGACAATGGCAATGGCAATGGTAAGATATATTCAGCAGAGATAAAAAAGAATAGATAGAATATCCCCATTGGAAAGGAGGGAGTCCCTCCGTGATGCGCCCGGAGATGCCGCAAACCGCTAAACAGAAAAAAAAACATAATGGCCAAAGATAGAAAAGAGAGACACAAGAGCCATGATCACCGCCACCAATAACTTCCAGTGAAGAATCATCCCCGCATGTCGCTGACAAGTCGTGAAAGTAACGCATAGCCAAAGAGCACGGCCAGACCAACCCAAACACGATTCCGTCGCACCCAACTTTGCCCGGCTTCCCGTGCCACATGGCCGCCTTCCATGACTGCCCCGAATCCCGGGCCACTTCCATTTGGTCGCCGACGGAGAGCACTGGTCTCCGGGGAACACTTGATTGGGGCGTTGGGATCGGGCAGGATTTGGCCGGTGGCGGTGTCGATGCGGTGCTCCTTCATCCATGTCCAATTCTCCTGATCCAGCTCTGGCCATTCAGTCCGGAACTTTAAGCCCCCATCACCTGCCTTGACATTGTTGATACCCTTGGTTGTGCGGGCGACACCTGGAGTAGCGTTGGCGTGTGAGCCTCCACCGGTCGAGTTCCACCATCGCGATCGGGCGGCAAGTACTCGGCGTTCGCCTTCTGATGCGCTGACACTCCCCGTGGTCATCTCTTCGCTTGTCATGAATGATAGTAGTCCGATAAGGATTGTGGAAACCTCCCATGCGGGGTTGAATGACTTGGGGTGGAAGTCGGAAATGCTGAGACAGAGGCGAGTGGATGGTTGGAATCGGCCACTAGGTGTGTGCATACGAATCGCAGGAGGGGCGAAAGGGTATTCTGGGGGGGAAAATCAAAGTGCCCCAATATTGTCCATTCTCGTAGGGAGTCCCTGGAGGACCGGTCAGGATGTAATGCCATCTGGCCGGGTGTCAGCGCTGAGTACCAGCAAGGCGAATTCCAAGACAAAAAAGGGCCAAAAAGGACCAGGAAAAAAAAAAGAGTTACATACTCAAGAATGTTGGTTTCCGACGGGTGTGCCACGATAAAGGGCGGGGGGTTCTTTTGAATGCTTTGGTACTCGCGAGTGAGCTGTATACACCCAAGGCTGTTAGAAGGCATGGCTTATCATCATCGATTGGGGTCTGGCCACTCACCCGTTTGAAAGCCGCTTTTGTCGCCATAATCTCAGCGATCCTGATCAAGTGCGCAGAAGGGAATGTAGAGAGGTAAAGCCAAGTCGAGTCGAGTGAAGTGCAGTGAGAGAAAGAAAAGAAACGGACAAAGTGGACAAGTTCAAAGTCCGCAAGCGCAGGCGCAGGCGCAAACCGCTGCCATCGCCCGATGGTCACGTGCTCCCATTGGATTCACGCGACTCAAGAGGATCTCCCCGGGGGAGGTCGCCGATAAATCCTGGTCCATTGCAGTCGTCACCATGTCCTCCCTGTCGGCCGAAGATGGCGATGTACGTGGTATTCCGATGCAATACATGCATTAACTCCCTCAGTTTCGTGTCCGGCCATTGGTGCTAATTTGTCGCGGTAGATCTTCGAGCGCTTGCAACAGCGCAAAGACCCGCAGGTTCTCGAGGAGCAGGAGCAGGCCGTGAAGGAGCGGACACAAGCAATTCTGCAAAAGGCTCAAGCCCGCCTGGGCGAATTGGTATGATTGCCGACCCACCCTATACCATTATGCAATTATGCATTCTCTCAATCCGAATGGCACTTCCTATGGGAGATATTCCCATATCTGGAGCTTGCGGTTGTGGAGCTTTTTCCGAACCCCGGCTAACCGTTGAAACTACTACGATCAGCTGGACCAAAACTCGACTCTACCATGCACCATCTCCTCGGTCCAGGTCCTCGGTGCTCCCAACACTCGCCGTGGCTTCCTCGAGAACGTCCTGAACCCTCTTTTGAGCGAAAATAAGAATCGGCCCTATACTCTTTCCGAGGCGTTGCGGGAGGTATCGGCTATGGCAGACAAGCTTGGGCGATTTGGTTGGTGGTCCTGCTGGAGCTTAGCTGCTATTATGTGGATGTGGACTTTGCCTTTCTAACCTGACTCCAATTCCAGACTTGTTCCATCAGCCCATCTCCGTCCACCTGGACGAGGCTAACAACAATGGCGACCTGCGCAATCTCGATGTTCTGCTGGCGGTCCGCGAGAAGTCCCGCGTGATTCTGAAAACCGGTACCGATCTTGGAAATGCCGAGGGCTCAGCTTACGGAAACCTTCTCTGGCGCAATCTGTTCGGCGGTGCCGAGACTCTCAACCTGAACGCCTCATTGGGAACCCGCACACGATCCGCCTACCAGGCCGCATTCGAGACACCACTCTTCTGCGACCCCGACTTCCGCCTTGAGGTCGGCGGAATTGCTAGCGCTACGCAGAAGTCGTGGGCTAGTCACGAGGAGGTGCTCAAGGGAGGCTGGAGCAAGCTTCGATGGCTGTCCAAGTCCGGACATCGCCACGAGCTGGGCTACAATGGCTACTGGAGACAGATTACCGGCCTCGGCGAGGGTGCTTCTTCCACTGTCCGGGCTGATGCGGGCGACAGTGTTAAAAGCAGTGTTTTCCACAGCTGGGTCAACGACCAACGTGATAACGCGATGATGCCCTCCCGCGGATACTATGCCAAGATCTTCAACGAGGTTGCTGGCTGGGGCCCGCTGAAGGGTGATGTGTCCTTCTGGAAGTCGGAAATCGAGACCCAGGGTGCGATCCCCGTCCCGATCCCCGGTATCAAGGGTGACAGCGGCGTGAGCTTCACAACTGGATTCCGCGCTGGTCTTATGGTCCCGCTGGGCCTGGACTCGAACTCTCGTCCTCAACTCTCCCGCATCAATGACCGCTTCCTGCTCGGTGGACCTACCGATGTTCGCGGATTCCGTCTCTGCGGTCTCGGTCCCCGCGAGGGAGCTGATTCTCTTGGCGGCGATGCCTACGCTGCTGGTAGTGCGAACCTGCTCTTCCCGCTCCCCCGTGTTGGCGTAGACAGGCCTCTCCGCATGCAACTGTTCCTGAACGGTGGTCGCTTGCTGCCGTTGCGGACGTCGCAGAAGGCTGCCCCCGCGACTAGCAGCGAGGTGCAAGACGCGGTGATCTCCACTGTCACCGATTTGCAAAATGGTCTACCTAGCATCGCGGCTGGTGTTGGTATTGTGTACGCCCACCCGGTTGCACGCTTCGAGCTCAACTTCTCTCTCCCGCTTGTCCAGCGCAAGGGCGAGGAGGGTCGCAAGGGACTCCAATTGGGAATTGGCATCAACTTCCTATAGAAACATGTATCTGATTAGAGCTTAGCGAGATCAATTATACCTCTCTCCTTATTTGTCCTTTTACTCTATATTTTATTTAGTTTGCATATGTTTCAAAATAACACCTAAAAATACCAAGCTATTCTTCCGCAACTATTTACGCTCCTCTGAAAGAATACAAATGCATATTGCAGAGTTCACTGCATCAAGAGTACACACGAGTTATGGAGTATGTGTAACTACAGAGTGGGTCGGCTGACTCATCATCCATCAATCACCAAGTGTCCACCTGGAGCTTCAGCTCTACTCCAACACCGCACTCATACCCCGTCAATCTAATTCCTCTTTTCCTCCTACGATTCACACAGACAAATACAACCTGCGCCTCGGATAATCCATTCCTCGCCGCCCACTCGGCAATGGCCCAATATTACCCCCAACAGCAGGGCTACGCACCCCAAGGCTCCGCCCAAAACCTCCAGTTCTTCCCCTCCTCCTACGGCTCTGTCTCCGGCCATACTACTCCCGCACAAGCATCCTACGGCAATAGCGCGGGATTCGGAGGCGCACCGAATCCCTCCGCCCAGGCTTACCCCGTCGGTGGTGGATATGGGGGCTTCGGATCGCCGGCTACGGGGGTGAGTGGACGAATGGGTGAGCAGGGTGGTTTAAGGACGGGTTGGTTGGCGGCGTTTGGAACGGAGGGGTATGATGGGGAACCGCCTTTGCTTGAGGAATTAGGGGTGAATTTTGAACATATTCGGACTAAGGTGAGTTGTTGCATTTGTGGTGGGTTGCTTTTGTGTTCGAACGAGCCCTTGTGTATACTTCGTGATCACGGGGGGGTTTATTTCACACAGTTGCAATACCGTCACGCTATATACAATTACATGAGACTTGCATCATACTAACCTGTCTCATCTCTTCTCCAGACCCTCACAGTCCTGAACCCCTTCGCCTCAATCGACAACCACCTAATGGACGACAGCGACCTCTACGGCGCCCTCCTTTACATAGTCCTATACGGAACCTTCCTTCTCCTCTCCGGAAAGGTCTTCTACGGCTACATCTACGGCGTCGCCGTCTTCGGCGCTCTAGCCCTCCACCTCATCCTCAGCTTGATGTCTCCGTCCGGCTCAACCATGGTGGACACCTCCGATCCCGCCAACTACAACCCCCACCACAAACCCTCAATTTCCTCGGCCTCCTCGGCCGGCCATTTCTCTGCTACATTGACATTTCCCCGCTCCGCCAGCGTGCTGGGCTACTGCTTTTTCCCGCTCGTGCTGACCGCTCTGATTGGTATCATGATTCCCATGGATACATTGTTCGGGTATCTGCTCACCACCGCGGCGGTGGGTTGGTGTACGTACAGCAGTTCCGGCATGTTCTGCTCGGTGGCGCGTATGAGTGGGATGAGGGGTCTTGTGGCGTATCCGCTTGCGCTGTTTTATGTCGTTTTTGGAATTATGGGGATTTTCTCCTCTAGGGGGACGGGATCTCTTGCTGCGAAGACGGGGGCTGCTTGATTCGATGTGAAGAATACCATAACTTAGGGGGGAAAGACTCCCCTTTTTTTGTCATTGATTTTTCCCAGAATTCGGAATGGAATGGAATGGGCTGGGCTGGGACCAGGCGTCTTGTCTGGATTTAACATTGTTTTGCCTTGTCTTCGGGTTGAGAAGGCAAGCTGAGCCAATAAGCTCTCATATCTTATATGCATACGCATGAGCGTGAGGGAGAGGCTACAATACAACGCTACCAGAAAGTAAAAAAAGTCTCGGGTGTCTACTTACTTACTTTCCTCAAAGGTCTTTGCATCTAATATTATGAATTTCACGAGATTCAGTTCAGCCACTGTCTTTGATATATCATTATGCATTATTAGACTCGTCATCTCGCTCTATGTAAACAAAATGCTTTCTGTAAACGGTGAATGGATTAGTAGCTGGACATTTCATGAGCCCCAATAATGGGCTCAATCCCTTTATATATAAAGACTGTTTTGAGTGGTTCGTCCCGTCCCGGCCGCAGGCCTATCGGGGGCTACTCCAGGAGTATCCGAGTGCGCATTCGCGATAGTTTCCCAAAGAAATGACAGCCCATAAAGCAGAGGTGAAGATGGTGATGTCGAAGAAGACGAATGGGCATCACAACAAGGAGTGACGCGGGGGGTGAGGGTGAGTTAATACGGACTTGGGGCGACCGACGAGGCGCCAAGACACGGAGTTGGAGCGGCCGTTCGAAGCCCTAACTGTCCCTTTGAGGCATTCTATATAAACTTGAAAATCAAACCATAGAAGCAGCAACGCCTCCGTCAATTAGTTCTTTCATGAATTCTCGCATCTTATACAAATCTGCAACCCTTACTCCCCTTGCATTATGCCTTCCATGGATGCGGACCCGGAAAAACAAGGTTGCAATGGTATCCTTGCTAACACCGACGACAACGACATCCCTAGGGAGACATCGCCTCGCCCAATTCATGGATGGAAGGTACTGTATTCGGTTCCACCACTCTCTGTGTGCAGTGAAAATTGCAGCTAATTGGCACGCAGTGGGCTATTGCTTACGCCTCTATGATCTCGACAACATTTCTCTTCGCGTTGGACAATAGCAACGTGCGTCCGCATACCCCTCCCACCGCCTTCTCCTCTGATATCAGGCCAGTCCGAGGGAAAGTCTGATACAGCGTATGGGTATGGCGCAGCATGGCTGTAGAAGATTAAGATCTGGAAGGGTGGAGGAAATATGAGGCGATCTTGGCGGGAAGGGCGGGCCCTCCTATTTGTATAATAGTAATTATAAAAGCTGTCCTCCTTTCTTTTTCCTTAGCTTTATTACTTTTTGTTAATACTATATAAAGTTCTACTTATATCAAGTCCTTAGATCCCCTATTTAGTGTATGAACCGCATCTACGGCGTTCTAAAGCGACTTGTTGTCCCCCTCCAGTCTAGACGGGACCTATCAAAGATTTTCGTGTATGCTACCAGCTTGCGTGATAGATTGGATAGTTGCCGCATTGTACTCTTGGCTCATGTTCCGCCAGATTGAAAAGGAGATATACGCGTTCCAGTGATCCTGTCATTCTAATCTTTTCGGCGAAAATGTCAACTGTGGGCAACATATCTTCGCCTGAAGCAATGTTGAAATGGGCATATTATTTTTCATACTTTTGTAATGGAGTTAACGAAGGAATACGTGATAGGTAAATTCTTTTCTATCTAGTGTAATGGGAGAAATAGCCCGCAGGGCAGAAATGGCGGAGTGACTAAGGTTCTATGTTATATGAGACTACACTACTTGCAGAAGCAGACAATCAGACATCTTCTTCCTCTTCTATCCCTAGATCTCCTCTCATATACTCACACTGCCCCCTAGTGGCAGGACCTGGTTCGCAGACAGCTCCCCGCTACATTAGGTAGTTGTCGAGTTGCCATTGGCCGTATTGGATTTGGGTCCGTCTTTCTAAAGCCCTGAGACTGCCTTAAATAATGAGCTATCCTTGGATCCTCGGCCATATTTGGCTGTGCTTCTTTCAAAAGCAGCTTGCTCGGGTTGCGAAGCAGTCTCATGATGCGAAAGTAAACATGTATAAAACGCATCCCAGCTGTTGCTGACCTTCGAGCAGATGGTGCATTGCGGGGGCGCAGCGAACTCTGTCCGAACAAAGCTTTCGGGATCTAATGCCGGATGACTTCGTATGTGGTTTCGTATTTTATCTTTGCGGTGCTTGTTCAGGCCGCATCCGGGTTCCACACAGGTGTACTGGAACTGAGGGTAATGTTGGTCTATAATGTGTCTTTTGAGAACACCTTTATTCGTGGACGTCAGGCCACAAAGCAAACACCCCTCGGATCTAGCAAGCACCCTGGGTGTGGTGGGATGCCGGTTGGCAACGGAGGGGAATTGGTCGTGGGCGAACATTACTTGATGAGCTTTGTTGAGACGGGGAGGAATGGGCTCGCGGCGGCGGCGCGGGGAAGCTTCGGGGATCTGGCCGGAGGCAAAACGATCGGATTTGCGAAGACATTTCGAAGACTCCTGGCGCAGACACATCAGCTTCATCCTGTGGCTCTCGCCCTCTCCGGTCAAGTCCTCAGCCAACATCCGCTTCATTGGAATCTTAGCCTGGGACTCTGCGCCGATGGCAACTGGGTAGATGGGTGAGTTGACCACATTCCGGAGTGGGTACAAATCCTTCGAGCTCATTTTGTGAATTCCAGTCTGCTTTCACCCAAGTTGGGTCTTATTCTGTAGAAAAAAGCGATGTTTCCAGCTACTTTTCGAAGCAAGACTCGGTTTATTCAATGCCCAAACTCTCCGGTGCTTGGGCCGCCATGCAGGAAAACTGGCAAAACCAGCTCACTATGGGTTGGGTATTTGGGATGCTTTATCTTTTCTTGAGGTCATCGCACACTCCCTTTCACTGCTGTCATTTTATTGTTCTATATAGTAAGGCGCTCCAACAATGTACTCAACTATAGACTCTCGACTCGCACCCCTTTTGAGGAAACGGGAGAGACAAGATGTTATCCAGCTGATCGACCATGAATACGAGAGCAGGGTCGATGATGACAACAGGGAGAGTCTGAAGAAACAGAAGAGCAGTCACCAGGATCCAGACCTTTTACATGGTCATATCATTCTCCATCGTGTCACTTGTGATCGCAAGAAGAGCCACGAGCGTCATGAGGATCTTGCGTACTATTTTGACATACCAGGACTCTTTGCAGGCGATAGCAAAGCGAGCACCTTACGAGGCAGGCGACCAGTCTCCAAAGTTGAGGAGTATCTTGAAGATCAGGCCGGAATCAGCATCGTGGCTTATAAAAAGTACGACTGCAGAAAGCACTATGAAGTTGTCCAGGATCAATTCGAAAGACTGCCTACTCCTGATCATCCAGCAGATGTTGCCTCTTTAATGCCTTATTTTTTTCGCCTGAATAAAGATAGCATCCATGCTGTACCACAATCTTGGGAGATAAAGATCCAGTCTCTCACCCTCAAGGAGGCGATTCAAGTGGTTACAGGGATAGGACCTGATCGTCTGACAGATTGGCAAAATAGGCAATGTATAAGTGGTCTTTATCACTTGTTCTACCACTGCCGGCGATTAAAGGGACATGCGGCTGGTTTACTCAGTGATTTACAGCGGCGAGAATTCCAATTATTACTGGACTTTGTAAATGAGGCATTCGGGGCCGACTATGATGAAGCCGATGACCTGTTTTCATGCGATCTGGTTGCTAAATCACATCTTCACAAGCTCTTTGGTCCCAATGACATTATAGTTACCGTTGAGAATGGCCAGTCACGGGCCTATGCAGTGGAATGTTGTCCACAATCGAATACTTTCCCGTTGGAGCTGGACTGCTGGTCGTGGGAATTCGACGGATTGTTTCGAAAAGAGCGGGTGAATATTTACGTGGACTGGCCATCTTCCTCTGAGACAAAACTACCCATTACAACACTTACTGCATATCCTTTGAGGCTCGACAGATCTGGGCTCGTCGGCCTTCTACGAAAGCGTGGGGAGAAATTTTGGAGTTGTCGGTCTAAGAATTTGGTTTCATTCAATCCGATCAGCCCACGATGGCAAATGCCAGCGGTAGGGTTATCCCTACCACTTTTCATCTTATCGGATTGCTAAATACTAGCATATCTAGAGTAACTCCAGATATATGATAGACATGACTACATACAGAGAGAGCAACGATATTTCCGAGCTTCCACGCCAGCGCAATGACCTGGGCCACGAGGCAATGAGCCAAGATCATCCTCCCGATGACCCATTTTCATTACTCTTGCCAGCTGAGATCATTGGATTCGGATTTCATGATCGAAAGTGGAGTATGAAGACTATCTACATCCTTGACTTACGTATCGGTCTGAGCTGACTTTCACTCTTTCATCCAGGATCTCTTACAGTCGACGACATTGGCGAGATTAGTTGGAACCGGAAGGCATTCGAGCATCTTGTCATTGATTCCGATCATAAAGATGTCATAGAAGCCCTCGTCACTAGCCATACTGCAGCGAGTAAATCGACGGATTTCATGGAAGGCAAAGGAAATGGCCTCATCCTCCTCCTCCACGGTGGGCCGGGAACAGGCAAAACCCTGACCGCGGAATCGGTCGCGGAGCTCACCCATAAACCGCTGTACCGCATTGCCTGCGGTGATATAGGGACGAATGTGGAAGAGGTCGAGAAGTACCTCAAGTCCGTTCTCTATATTGGAACTATATGGAAATGCGTCGTCCTCCTTGATGAAGCGGACGTCTTTCTTGAAGAACGACAGACAGACCAACTACAACGCAATGCGCTAGTCTCTATTTTTCTCCGCACCCTTGAATACTACGATGGTATTCTCATACTTACTTCCAACCGTGTCGGCACTTTCGACGAAGCTTTCAAATCACGGATCCAAGTTTCTCTTCACTACCCCTATCTGAATAAACAAAGCCGCTACAGGATTTGGCTCAACTTCATTGATTCTCTCAACGAAACGGATGCCAAGGTTGAGGAGATCAAGAAGGGTGTTAATTTTCTTGCAAAGCAGAGACTCAATGGACGGGAGATTAGGAATACAGTCAAGTTGGCCATGCAACTTGCACAATTCCACGGAAAGAGGCTGGAGTACAGTCATCTAGAGAGGATTATGGATATTTCGACCAAATTTGCAGATTACTTGAAGGATGTGCATGGACACAGTGACTCTGAGTGGGCTTTAAATAAAGGACTGAGGGGCCAGGAAAGAAAACGCAAGACTTAGACCCAAGTCATGTGTTCCTTTTCATTATAAGATTGACTATTGATTTGACTTGTTTTTATTGCACTACTAGCCGGCCTATCGAACTATCCTCAGCATCTTGGATGTAGATTCTTCCACCCATGAACTGTTCGCCTGCCTCGCCGTAATAGTCTCAGGAACTGTATCGACAATCCTTTTATCCTTCAGGGGCAGATTCGAGAACTCTAGTGATGCCTTTCCGTACGCGAGGATCATTATTTTAACTGTCGCAGGTGAATCATCAGCTATCTTCTGTAGATCCATAAGCAGCCGCCCAGCCCACATTCGATTGTTTGTCTCAATTATCACAAAGCATTCTGTCATCCGAGAGAGGATCGTCAGGAGGCGTTGGTAGATTTCTTCGGTCCCGTATTCGGATTCTGACAATGCGGACTCGGTTGTGCCCCATAACGGGTCCAGTCGAATGGCCTGGCTTATTAGAGTTTTGAAAATGTCAATGATAGGCACAGCCCCGTCATCCGGACGGACAGAATACGATAACGCCCAGATCACTTTGCATCTTTCTTGCGACTTCAGAAAGTCGATCACCGCCACGACAAAGTCTGTAGCCTTTTGCCTGCCATCGTCATTTGAAATGGCCTTCGCCACAAAGAGCGAAGCATCAGCTACTGACATCCAGCGTTCAAGGCTCTGAAACAGATCAGACGAGTCTTCGGTCCACTCTGTCCATGACCGGTTCCGTCGCATAAAGGACCGACGTTTCCTGAAGAGGTATGATGGATCTAGCTGAGGCTTTAGGAAAGCCGGGACTTCGTATTCTTCCTCTCTGGTCTTACTTCTGGAAGGATTGCTATTTGATGGAACTTCGTTTTCTCGGGCGTCATTACCTTGCGATCCTGCAAACATGGATGAATCAACAAGCTCTGTAGACCCAGGCATAGCAAGGTCAGATTGATGTTGTGGCTTTGTCTGTTATGGGAATAATTAGATACTGGCCATATCTCTTCTATGACTCCATGGGATGATAATTTATCATACAGAGGAAGCCCCGATAGCCTCGCCGACAGTGGGTGTGGTCTGTACATCGCGAGCAGGTATGACCGACAAAATATCTTTGGCACAGGCAGCGGCCGTTGCTGCTGCATGGCCCTGCCATTTCTTGTTTTTGTGTGAGTCGGCATAATCGCTGATGCCTCGAATGATGAGGCATGGAAAATCATTCATCAATCCAGCCGCTTCCATTTCGAAACAAAGCACACCCCCGAGTTCTGAGCTGAGCTTGTCTCGAACATCTCCGTCTCTCATTAGCTGATTACCAGATGCTATCGTGCCGAAATGGACGACATTATCTTCAGTCCGAGAGGGCCGTCTCACTAGCATCCTCTTGCTACACCCCTTGCAATTTTCCCCATCAATGTGATTATAGCTCGCCATAAATAAATTATCAGGATCTGGGTGAGGAGGGGCGAATGGTAGTAGGTTGCTGAGGCATGATAGGAATTCGGCAAGCTGACTTTCCCCAGTAAGATGATTGGCCTGTACGACTGCAATCGTATTCAGTAGGACGGTGGGAGGAGAGTTAAGAAATCCCGTTCGCTCAAACTCATTTGGTCTTGTCTTTCCAAAATCATACTGCACCACGCCGCCATGGCCCATATGCGGCTGGCTGACGACTACATCGCCGAGTCGGATGTCGATACTGGCACTAGGGACTCCACCTCCAATACCCACCATCAGGCCGAAACGGATGGAAGGAAACGTCGACTTCATTTGAATCGCAACAGTAGCAGCTGGGGTGGTTCCTGTCAAGCCATAAGGAAGGCATGCCATGACAATATTATGCTGACCTATACGGCCCAACGTATAAAGATTGGTATCGACATCATTATTCCGAGGGAGACTTGGGTGCCTCTCATCCATCATCTTGCGCGAGGCAGCCAGTTCAATCGGGAGGGCGCATACCCATCCTACCGTGTAATCTTCGTGCCGGAAGGGAGGATGTGTCATTGGCGATCTGGCTGTGATGCGGGGGTTGTGTCACGAAAGTAGGGGAAGTCACTGTTACTGCGTTTCAGTGCCTGGTAGTCTGGGATCGGGGTAGAAGGTGTGCAAATGTTGTACCTGTGGGAGTGAAGTTTGAAATGAGGAAGGGCTGCCATGAGTTGGCCAGTTGACGTGGACAGCTCGGCTCGCCTGCAGGTAGTCAGCCTCACTTAAAGGGAGTAGTTTGATTGGGGTTGCCTATACCCTAGTACATGAACCACTCAGCCCTCAGTGCAATTACTCCGCCCCTGATTTGTGGGATCGGCCAACTTCCGCCGTGAGTCCTAATCACATCAGGGAAGCATTAAATCATGAGGATCGTTCTATTTAGTATATTGGAATATTATAGATAATCTTTGAGTAATCTTGTAACACAGGAATAAAACCAAAGTAAAAGGGACCCCGAGGCTCTATCATACGGTTTCACCCCGAGAAGGCGCCCACTTAGCAAGCCATTCTCGTGTCTTTTCGAGATCACCGCCGGCTGCTTCGGCGCCTGCTATACACCATGCCATATCATATGCCTTATCTCCGTCACCGGTAGTTCCCTCCGCGTAGATCATATCTGCCAGATTCCGACGGTGCTGACCCGTTTCATCGGTGCAGAAATAAAATGGGGCCGTGTTGGTTTCTTCGGGGTTGACGTTCAAGGCGTCGACGAGAGGACGGGTTACTTTCATGATTTCAGCCACACTCATTACTGCTGGTTCAGGCGCTGATTGTCTTTTCTGCTTCCCGTTCTTGCAGTACTCATTCTGACACCAAGCCTTCCCACACCCGGTCATCATTTGCGAAAGATATCTGCGTTCAATCCGGCGTCGAAGAGCCTTGCCCTCTGGATCATGTGTGTCGACGTATAGAGGCCCGAAACAGATATTGCAAAGACCAAGAGACTTGTTGCCGGTGTTTGATAAGGTGCGGCCGCAATTTTGATTGAGACATGTGCGTGGCGCGGGTCGGGAAAGCCGCTCTAGATCATGGTGGCGGAGGTGGGTATTCATATCGCGGAGTCGAATGATCTTGCCGCATAGATGGCATTCAGTCGTTCGTCCGCCGTCTACTAGTTCGTGGGGAGTGAGACCAGAAACCAAGACTTCGGGGTCGAAGAAGTCTGGGTCTGAATCGCCCTTTTGCGGAACGATTAGATGGCAGAACTGGCACAGGATCAATTTACCGGGACACTCGTTGGTCCGGTGGAGAGCTAGGGCAGGTAGTCCTTCGAAGTTGGAGGAACAATCTGGGCATTCGTAATTATTGTGGAATATGGAGTCGTGGTTGGTTTTGCTGGCGGCGTCGGTACCGTGGGAGGAGTCGTGGGGACAGTGCCAGTGGTTCTGCCATTCGGGTGATCGTTTTTGGAAGACATTATGGCACTGGGGGCAGAAGATGTTATTGCGTAGACAGAAGTTCTCGTGGAGAACTAGGGTCCGTTGCGGAACCCATTGTCGACAGTTTTGGCACTGTACATCGTCTGGCTCATGTTCATCGTCCTCGGCCTCGGCCTCGGCGCCATCTTCTGAATCATCGATCGAGATCCGTAGGTTATATTTGACAGGAACTCGTTGTGACGGCTCGTTCTCGCTGTCTTCAATATTGGCATAAGCAGAAATATAGATAGATTCCGCCCCCTCTAGCGCCACATTGGTAGGCCGAATCTTGAATTTCTTCGATCCCTCAGTAGAAAAGTCGCCCCAGACATGCATATCTCTCCTCGGACGTCCTCTTTGGCGAGCACTAAGTGGACTGGCGAATAGAGACACGGTAGGATCATCTGTCAAAAGCTCAATCCGAAGCGTTCCCTCGTGCTTCGTCAACTCTCGCAGCTCATAGTCCACATACTCCCCAGGTAACACCTGGGCTGCGACATTCTCTCCAAGAGTGAGGACCCCGCCAACCGAGCTACCGGCAGTCGTACCAGGTGCCCGCGCAGCTCGCTCCAGTCGCTTTTGCAACGTCTCACGTGCCTGTTCTTCCGATAGTGCCACGATATCAACTTCGAGATCCGTGTCGACGACGCAGATTCCTTCTCCTTCGGGGTAGACCTTGTCTAGTAGAAATCGGAAGGACTCGGTGCGGGAGGTCGGTACCGTGAGGAGCTCGCCAACCGTCAGCGTTGTAAAGTTATCCCGAAGATGTCTTTCCAGCAACGCCTTCCAGTCTTCCGGGTCGTAGCCAGCTTCGAGTGGACGAAGACGCACGTATGTGCCCTTGGGTAATTGCTTCGCGTGCACCGTGACCCTTGGACCCGTGGGTGTGGATGTGATTGGTATTGTTGGTGGCGTTGGGGTTCGGTGTTCGTTTCCTTCTAATCCATCTACCTCCATATCTGGCGCGTGTTCGCCCTCTTGGGTTTCGGTTGTAGGAAAGTCGTCATCGGAAATCTCGAGAGACTCGCGGAGTAGACTGCTGAGGGCGACTTCATTCTCGAGTGCGGAGAACTCGCGGATCCCCGCATAGACGAACCGGCCATTTTGAGGGTTCACGATGCGAAAGGTCAATGGGTGTGGAAGCTGTTGTTGACGCTGTTCATTCTGCTGACGGGCTCGAGACTCGGCGGCAAAAGTGTGTGGGTTGAAAGGGTCGAAGGTATTGCTGTGCTGCACGCGTGTGTTGGAGGAATTGGGAACAGCTTGGAGCGGGGCGGCGGCGAGGAGTTGTTCAAGCGCGGATTGGGGTAGGGTGATTTTATCGCCAGGTAATCGAGGGGCGCGCTGGGGAGGTGCCACGGCCAGCTGGGCAGACCATATCAAAGTGTTCTCGTTCCCCGCCATGATGGAGGAGATTGAAGGGAAGGCGGCATGACATGGCGGGCTTAAAAATGGAGTTCGGTGCGGAGCGGAGCGGCGGGGAGCTCCAAAGTTTGATTTGGTTCTAGAAGGCTCCACTATCGATTATCAATTTAACGACGGAGTACATTTACAATCAACACAGTCAACATCGGGTGGCAATAACCCAAAGTATGTACAGTAACTGAGTGAGGCAAATTAATTGCCACTAGAATCTGAGGACCAATACTACTAGGTTTTAGTCTACCATAAGAAGGCGGTCAATAATGGTAGGCAATAGAGGGTCTTGAACATTTGCGGCTCTCGTTTGGGCCCCTCCTGACATATTTCGCTTGAATCCACAGGGTCCCACGAGGCTCTGTGACTGCATTTTCTCTTTAATTACTGTTCCACCAGGCTGTCCCTATCCGCATATCCTCGAATAGGCCTATGGAATCAGTCTCTCTTCCTTTGCAAGAGTCAGGCTTCTCCCATCCAAACAGGCAGACCACATAGTGTTATGGGAACTTAAGCCACCGCGCGAAGGATGTGCTCGATCAATTGGGTTCCATTAAGCTCAACCGGCTTGGCTTCATCCAGAGCCTTCTGCGAATCCTTTGGAGGATAAATCGCAACCTGATTGATATAGCCCTTTACCCGCTTTGCCATATCCCCCTTTATCTTTACATGTCTCTCCCAACCCTCAGAGACAACTGCACCATAAGAACCGAGATCCAGGCAGCAAATGTATGCAGGCTGAGTATAAGCTATCATGGGCTCGTCAAGAAGATCAGCTGCGGCATTATAGCCTGACACACGACCAAGCGGAATTGCATGCTGGCAGGACATCATAGTATAGTGGCCTTCTGTATCCGGACGAGCAGAAGCTGCATCACCAGTGGCAAACACATCCCGAGCTGATGGAACGCGAAGGTGCTGGTCGACGTGAAGACGACCAAGTTTATCCTTAAGTCCAGAAATTTGCTGCGTTAGAGGTGTCGCCCTCACACCAGCTGTCCAAATGGCAGTTTTGCTTTCGATTCGCTCGCCAGATGCAAGAATCACACCGTCAGCATCGATTGCTGCGACAGAGGATCCGAGCTTCAATTCAATTCCGAGATCCTTCAAGGCTTGCGCTATAACAGGACGAGGCCCAGGTCCAAGTGCCTGGCCAACTTCCTTAGAATTGTCGATCAGAATGATTCGGTGATTTCGAATACGCGTAAGGCGTTTGGGAAGCTCTGTCACGATCTCAAGGCCTGTGAAACCGCCGCCGCATACAACAATAGTATCACGGGCAGGACTTGGAGGAAGGGAAGCCATATTCTCAATATGAGTCTCAAGCTTGATGGCTGAATCCAGAGAGTCGATATCGAACGCATGCTTCTCAATTCCGATAATATTCTGAGGCCGCACGATGGAGCTACCAGCTGCCAGGATAAGGCGGTCATAGTTAAGACTTGACTCAAGACCGGAGGTAGATTGAACAGAAACTATGTGTGCATCGGAATCGATTTTCTTCACAATGCCTTGGAAGAATTTGATGCCTGCATCCTCAAACATAGCTCCGAGGGGGTGGGTGAAGCTGGCCACATTCGCCTCGTAGAGTCGCGGACGTATGACCAGGGTTGGCTCGGGCGAGATGACGACTACCTCAATATCTTTCTTTTTCTGGGAAAGATTGATAAGGCGTTTAGCTGAAAAGGCACTCCAGACGCCGCTAAATCCGGTACCGACGATGATGATTCTACTAGTAGTTGTCATCGTTGAAGTTGGGAAAGATTCAAAAGGCGTAAAACCGCAAATAAATGAGTGTTGTTTCAATTGACTGCTGTTTAAAGTGACTATTAGATAAAATTAAAAATTCTATGCCTTTATATGAATTTCCCGGGTAAGGCTTTTAGGATATTGCGCAATATTCGGGAATCGCAGTACCGTTCGATTTAAGCCTGATTCCCGGGCGGCTGTCAGAGATACACGAATACCCGAGTACCCGTTCATCATGGCGTGCTATGAACATCAATCCTCCCCTGGTTTCTCGCAATGAATACACAACAAAATTCTAGGGCTATGTGCTCTTCTCTCGCTTGCTTGATCTGTCGCTTACGCCACCTGAAGTGCGACAGGGAGCTGCCGTGTTGTGCCCTCTGCCTTGAGTTGGGAAACAGTGCAACTACACTTGATTAGATCTCGATTTTAGTTAGCTGGTGTAGAGGAGAAAATAAACTGAGTATATTATAACTATTATAGCTTATATTATATAATAATGTGATAATACTATAGGTCTTGGTAATTTAAGAGGGCGAGAAAGAAGAATAAAGAGTAGGATTAGAGAGGAAAAAACTAAGCTAGGAAAGTTGTAAGTCAAACTAGCTAGTAGATAAGTGCTGGTACCCTAGGCAGGTATAAAAGCTAAGAGATCCTATCTTAGTACTTGTAATGAACTAGGTTGTTACCATTGTTGATGCTTTGCCCGATATCGCTACTTCGTATCCTAATCTCTATAGGTATCTAAACTTCCTCACATTGTAATAGCTTCCAACACTCAAAGCCCGGAGAATCTGAGTATCCTCACAGCAATATACTTATTAGTATTAGATAGTCTTCTTTTGCTGTTATTGAGGTGCCTATTACTATGTAATAGCTTTTATTTAGTCCCTACTGTCTTTTCTTGTATTATGTGCCAGTGGTTTTTTATTAATTTTCGCCACGGATACTAGCATGTCTTCTTTTCTAAATATAGCGGGCTGGTACTTCAGGCTCTAGACAGGACTCGGAGGAGCCTTACGCTTCCCAAGCTGGCTGGCCTTTGCGGTTTAAAACTTGAACCACTTTTCTCTGATTGGGTGGCTAGTTTGTGCCTTATTGTAGTAACTTTAGAGAGAGTAAACTTAGGTACTTGGCAATTGATTGATCGATTGACTAGTATCTTCTCTAAACTAGGTAGTTTAGAGTATAATATATTCTAACAGTATCATTATTACTTAGTTTTATTAAATAGAGGGTCAGGACTAGGGGAAATGACTTAGAATGATACTAAGAATAAAGAAATATAAATAAAGTTGAGATTTTGGGAATAAACCAGCTTCGCTTAGAGATCAACAAAAAATCAAATCAAATCAGCTACCCAAACACCAAACAAATAACCCGATCCAATCCAATCAACGGAAGCTACGCATGCGATGGCGAGCACTGGTGTTACACCAATCACACTATTTTTTCATCCCTCGTCAGTATGAGATCATTTTCCAAGGGTGAATACATGGGGGCCTACCATCGTGGCTGAGCATCCCTCATTATGCTCGATGCAATAATCACCCCGGCAGCTTTGGCAGGTGTGTTGGCAGTCTCGCTTGCAGGATGCACACTGTAGAGGTACAGATACGTCAGTTACAATTCAAATTCAGATTCAAAATTCAAAATTGGACAGAAAGAAAGGTACTCACGGTTGGTCCACATTCCCAGCAATCTTTGCTGACACCTCGTTGTAATCTCTGTGAAACAAAATGATATCAGCCACACTGTCTTAAATACCGAATAACTAAAGCATCGCATTGTATTTTGTACGTACCACATGTGTCGAACCCACCGGACGAACCGCAGTCTGATGCGGAGATAAATTTTCCCTAACATGCTGCGGATTCTCAAGACAATTCTCGCAGAACCACTTGTTGCACCGGTGGCACCAGCGGTCTGTAAGACAATCCGTGCATCGAGCAATCAGAACAGGATGTTTGCCAGGGATACGCAATTCAGGACGCTTGGCAAAGGCCACACTGGACTGGTGCATGGGAACCGGTCCCAGGAGCGGGAATTGAATGTTTGCACCAGTGTCACTTTGGCCCCAGATTGCTGGGCCTTCGGGGGAACTGTGGCAGCCGTCGCAGCCGCGTGGGCCTAGGGCGACTGTCGCCACTGCGGGTCCGAGCATGGGGTCCTCTGGGGGTGGGGGTGGGTTTTCCTCGTCCCCTTCCGCCGTAGTGTAATTGTTGACATCATGTCGTGATCCTCGACAAAGGACTGCGTCGAATGCAATTATTCCCTCGCATTTTTGGATCGTCTGCGCCCAACCTTCCTCTATGCTGTGCTTGTAGAGCTTGCCGGTTGGCGAGTACCATTCGTTCTGCTGGTGTTTGAGGACTGGGGTTGATTCCTCGTCTTCTGCATCGGACGAATTGTTCGAGGAGGATTGGCTAGGACTCCGGGTATTTCCTACGCGGTCACTCCACCAGTCTCTATATCTGCGCCGGCGCACAACGGGTCGCGGGGCCGTGTGTCTGGGAGAGAAATGGTAGATTCCTTTGACTCGGGGTGTTCCTTCCGGACGTGTGGGACGAACGGAATATTGGATGGCCTGCATCAGTTTACGTTCGTTAAGATTACGGCATTCGCGGATCGATAGGATGTTGACGTTAAATCGGTCTGTCAAGATGATTTCGGCGAGTAGATCAGCTGGGACGGAGAGACCGTCTAAGACGAGTGTGCGCACGTCTTGGAGTATAGATTTTCTCTCCAGACTGGTGAAGATGTGTCGCAATGGCCTGGAATAGAATTCATCTTCGGTCTGGGTATCATTTTCATGACTTGTAGCGTCTTGAAGTTGCGCGCCTTTGCAGCGGGTCAGATCGAGGTGTCGGAAGAGGTATGGAGTGTGCGTGATCATGTTGTGGAGAAGGCGTGAGGATGAAGCCAATGCCATCATCGATGGGACGGAGAGGTATGGGGCCATATGGTCGAGGATTAGGCTGTTAGTTAGCATCTCCTCGAGTGGTGCTTGTCGCGGCGGTGCGGATGCGGATGCGGGTTGCGCAATGGGCGCTGGCGCTGGCGTGGGGATAATTTCCAAGGGAGTCAGCTCGCGCACCATAGGCTCGAAACCCAATTCTTTTGGGGTTAAACGCCGTGCGCCGTAGAAGTCGGGGGCTCGACCGATGAGGTTCTGGCGATAGGCCTCCATTGCGCCGACGGAGACCTCATCGCCGATGCGAAAGAGTGGCGCATGGGGTTGGATCTCCTCGAGAGCTTGACGAGCCTTGACGAGCTCTGACTCGAGTAGGTGGATGGTAGATTGCAGTACAGCGGGCATGGCGTCGGGGGCTGGGTCAATGGTGGAGATCAAAGAAATCCAGAGGTCGTTGGACATAGTCCGAGAATACAAGTTTATATACTCCGTAGAGATGGGAGCGGGTGGGGGCAGTCCCTTTTTTTGTGAGGAGAGAAGTGATGGATCAACTTAATCAAAGAAAAGGAACCATGGGTGGGTGGGGGGGGGAAGAACAAAAGAACAAAAGCTCCGGTGGAGTACGGAAATTCAAAGCCGGGGAGGAGGGAGGAGATGAAAAAGATTGGATGAAAGAATTGAGTAAGAAGAGTCGGTCTGGTAAGAGTAGGCGTACTCTAGCACGCAAGAAGTGGGAGTACTTAGGGTAGAGTACTGGGGATAGGGGATTGTAAGTATACACAAAGTATACTTCGTCCCACCACTGTTATAACTAGTTTGATTTATAAAGGTCTTCTAGTACTTATACTCGTACTTCTATCCAACCTCCCCCCTTCCGCAAGGGGTATCCCGCAATGCGGGACTCTGCCACAGGTACGGCACAATCATGTACACATCCATAAGTATCCAATTTGATCGTGTCACTGCCACTGCCTGCATCCAACACAATCTTGACAAGCCCCACTGATCCGCCGGTCACGCGGGTGTCGAAAGACTCCACTTTCTTCTGGCGCCGAAGTGGCGAGATGCACGCTATCGTGGTCCAATAGCCTATTGGTACTGTACACACACAGTAACTACCCTGGACGATCCCGGATTAATCAGAACAGGCTGATCTTTGCTCCTCTCATTACAGAGAATGAGTACATCTTGGCGTCGAGGCTGAGATTGAGATAAATTGGCTTGGATCTCAATAGCCGCTACCCTAGTTAACACCGCTAATCGCCATACCTACTGTACTCTCAATGCCAATGCTGCCAAGCCAAATAGCTGACGCTGGGGAGATCCTGCCAAGAGGGTAATGGCAATCATGGTATGTTGATCCAGTTGATCAGGGATCAGGGGGGGGATCCCTGCTGTGTTGCCAATCTGGAAAGGGAAAGGGGCAGTGCCGTTGAGGCAATCACTTTCATTTCCATCTGTACTGTACTCCGCGATTGCTGGGGTGAGCAAGTTTGGCAAGTTTAACGATTGGTACTCCAGACAGAACAGAACGTTGGGCTGGCCACTAGTCTAAGGTTGGCTGTCGGTGAGTCGCATCACCCCACGCTCTCGGGCGATTCGATGTCGGGGTAGTGTCCGAGTATAATACGGTGTAATTTGGATTTGTTCATATCGCCTAAGCGAAGTTCATTTCATATTATCCACTTGGCCAATCCTTAAATGCAATGCGGTCGGTCAGCCCGATCCACTATGGAATAGTCCCCAACCGTCCCGGAAGAACGAACTCCGAGGTGTACTGGCATACTGGCATACTGGCATACTGGCATACTGGCATACTGGCATACTGGTATACTGGTATACTGAACTACCTCGATTGGATCTAGTGATACATGGTCGTCGATCTCTTGCTCTCACTTTCACTCTCCTTCTAGCCCTACTCTACTTCCACAGTTTCGACACGGCCACCTCCTTGTCATCATGCTTATTGAGAATCTTGGCCGTCGCCAGGTCAAAGTCCTCCTGTGTAACGTGCACTCGTCGCTCACGCAGCGCGTACATACCAGCCTCCGTGCAGACACCCTTCAACTCGGCTCCCGAACACCCGTTCATCTTCTCCGCAATCTTGGTAAGGTTGATTCCGCGTGTCAGGTTCATCGATCGGGAGTGGATTCGTAGAATATCGGCACGAGCCTCGACCCTGCAGATCATGAAATTAGCACTTGATCCTCTGGAAAAGATCGTAATAAACACTAGGGGGGAGGGGGACTCACGAAGGAGGGGGGAACTCGATCTTGCGATCAATACGCCCTGGTCGCAGAAGCGCCGGGTCCAGAATATCCAGTCGATTGGTAGCCATAATAATCTTGATGTTCTTAGTCGGCTCAAAACCATCCAGTTGGTTCAGCAACTCCAGCATCGTCCGTTGCACCTCCGAATCACCGCCACCGGCAGAATCTATCCGGCTGGACCCAATGCTATCAATCTCATCCATAAAGATGATACTGGGCGCGTGCTCGCGAGCCATGACGAACAACTCTCGCACCATGCGACTACCTTCACCAATGTATTTCTGTACCAGTTCCGAACCACTCACCCGAATGAAACGGCAGTCGGTGTGATGGGCCACGGCTCGCGCCAGCAATGTCTTTCCGGTACCCGGGGACCGTAGAGTAGGACACCCTTGGGCTGTGCGATACCCAGAGACTCGAAGAGCTCTGGATGCTTGAGACCGAGCTCGATCACCTCCTTGATTTCCTTGATCTGTTGGTCCAGACCTCCGATCATGTCATATGTACTGTCGGGAACCTTCTCCACCATCATCAGCGAGACGAGCGGGTCGACGGAGGATGGGAGCATCTTCTCCAGTTTGTAGGAGTCGGAAAGGAGGGCGACTCGCTTGCCCACGGTGAGCTTTGCAATATCGACGCCGTCGGCGATATCCACCACTGTATCCAAAGCGCGTTAGAAAAGTATTCCGAAGTCATTCCATTGTCCTTGATAGATATCATATCCAAAAAGATTGATTGGAGATTGTAAATGCATACCGTATTTTCCTTCTGGGTGCACCTTCACCAGCACCTTCTTGGTGCTCATCACCTTGACGACTTCGCCGACATACGAGCCGGGTTGCTGAAGCAAGCCAAGCTCTTCCCTCAGCAGACGCACTCGGGAGTTGTAGTCATTGCGCTGAGCCTCTAATCTTCGAAGAACTGCTTGGCCCTGGATGATCTCGAGCTTCATGCCCTCGATCTTGTTGCGGTAGTAGTTGTCCAACGCCATGGCGAATGGAGGGATGGACGGGGGACCAAAGGGAATTCAAAAGCGATGGTCTCGGTCCAAAGGTGTCTAGGTCCTCCCTTTATAATGCCGGACGGGTGTGTGAGAGGAGGAGGGCGGAACGATGGAAGATGGACGATGGGTAATGAGAATGGCGATGAGGATGACGATGTTGACCTGCCGACAGCTCTGGTGTTCCGCAGCTTCGAGCGAGCTGCGGAGCACATGACCTGCTAACCTGGCGAGTAAGGCCACTAGAAAGTGTAAACATGCAAACAGTACAAACAATGCAAATGAGCTGACCTACCCTGCTGAGTCAGCCAGGCATCCGCCAAGATGATTGGCACTCGTCCCACGGTTGCACACGGCCGCGTGGAGAGCTTCCCTGATGACCCTAATGACCCTGCACTGCAGCATCTTCTCCTTCTCAGATGACTAGTAATCGTCTGGTTATTTCATGTGTTGAAGCTGTGTACCCCGTCATGTAATCGGGTTGATTTTACTTTTTCTTATCATTCTCGATCTTCGCGATCGTTTCGCTTTTCCCGTTTCTGTTTGGCTTTGCGCTGATCACCCTTTCAAATGGCGGATAAGAATGACAAAGACACCGACAACCAGGAGGCGTCGGTGTCGATGTCGGCGTCGGCGTCGGCATCATCTCGCCCTGTCGGAACACCAGCCAGCGACTATATTTCCGCCTCATCAGTACCTCCAGTGAGACCTGCGCCATCAACCCGAAGAACATACGGTAAGATTACTTTTTTAAGCTCCCTTGTGTAACACGAGAAAACGTCCCTCGCTTACTGATAGCTGGGGAAACAGGCACCCTGGATGCATATACGATCGAATCAGCTTCCGAAACCCGCCTCGACGAATCCCAGGAAGATTTATCGTCTCGCCCATTCGTCTCCCCCTCTCCGGCCCCGGATAAGTCCAGAAAACCCTCCGTTACCAGACGCATGTCCTCCAAACGTCAAATTCCCCATAAGGGTCAGGAGTTCTCAACAGACGACGATGTACAGGAGGTCGAGCAGGACTTCGCCTCCTTCCAGGCCTCCACCACGCAGCCTTCCCCAAGAATTCGTCCCTTGCGTGCACAGAGCTCCACTCTCAGAAGACGCCCGAGTGCCCGCCCAAGCCCACTGACGCGAGCCGAGTCCGATAATTTTGACGGAAATGACGCCAACTTGCCAGCCCCCGGTCTCGAAGCCTCGATCGAAATCCCATCGCTGCGAGAGTCGGACGGAGAAGAAGAGGAGGAAGAGAGTGCCGACGAGCCGCATGATACGGAGAACGACGATGACGATGACGATGAAGACGACGTGGACGACGCGAGTGATGCTGAGAGCTTCACGCTCAAGGACCGACAGCAAGCCATTAATGAAACTCACCCGTTCGGTATCAGGATATGGAAACCTGCCCTGTATAAAAAGAGCCGCTCGGTGGAGAAGACCGCTGAAGGTGATATCCACTCATCTCCAGGGGGGCGGGTCAGCCCTATGCTCTTCTTGACAAACATTCTTTGGTCCCTGGTTTTTGGTTGGTGGCTTGCGCTGATCGCTCTATTGGCTGCAATCGCATGTTTCGTCTTCGCTTATTCCCTCCAGCGCCGTGGCCTATGGGAGAGTATTTTCGGGGCTTTCCCGATATCTGTTCTATCCATTCGGCTCCTTTGTTCTGCTTGAGACTGATGAGGTTTATGCGGAAGAGGATGAGGGTGAAGGACGCAGTATCAGCGAGTATGAACAGTGGCAGAATGGTGATTTGGAGCATGGTCGGCTCTTCTTTGGCCCGCACAGTGACCGATCCCTCGTTGGTCGACGTCGAAATAGTGTTGATTCCGCCAGCGAGAATGACAGTCTTCTGGGTCGAACACAGCGAGGGCAACGTCAGGATTCATCACAGTTTCCTCAGTCCAAGCGGCGCCTTTTCGGTCGAGGAGAGTGGACTATGGGCCGAGTTGTCTTTTTCATTTTCTTCTATTTCTTAGTGGGACCATTGATGCTCATGGTTTCGCTCGTTTGCTGGCTACTTGTCTTTTTGATTCCGATGGGTCGGGTGACAACCATCCTTGCGAGCCATCTGCGGCGACACCCTCTCGCCTTGTCATTTCACTCCGATACCTCATATGCTAGACTCAGCTCGGGGTCTTCTTCGCCTTCCATCCTCCTTTGCACATACCGAGCCGCCGGAACGAGATACTGGAAATATACGATTGACGGTACGAACATTTTTTTCATCAACTTGCTTGGCGTCGTCGTCTTTGTGATTGTCGACTACTTCGTGCTCGATAAATTTCTGGGCTTGCAGTCCTGGCTGACCCACCCCGGTCTGATCTTCACTCTTGCTCTTTTCTCCGTTATTCCACTGGCATATTTCATTGGGCAAGCTGTGGCCTCAATTTCGGCTCAGTCATCAATGGGCCTGGGTGCTGCAATCAACGCGTTTTTCTCGACTATTGTAGAAGTTTATCTTTATTGCGTTGCTCTAACCGAGGGCAAAGCTCAGTTGGTTGAGGGGAGTATTATTGGTAGCATCTTCGCTGGTGTCTTGTTCTTGCCTGGTCTTTCCATGTGTTTCGGCGCTATCAAGCGCAAAACGCAACGGTTCAATGTGAAATCCGCTGGTGTGACCTCGACAATGCTTCTATTTGCTGTAATTGCTGCCTTTGGGCCCACCCTTTTCTACCAGGTTTATGGCAGTGTAAGTATCATTCACCTTCCCTTGCTGAATCGTTAGCTAATCTGCATACTACCGCCATATAGCATGAACTGAATTGCCACGCATGCGAGCAGCCCGGGGTTGATAGGGACTGTCGCCAGTGCTATTTCTCCCAAAACAGCTGCGGTCCAGGACTCGTTTTTCCAAAAGGCGGTCCAGCCTTATGCGTGGTTTGCTGCCGTTCTCCTCTTTTTATCATACATCATCGGCCTTTGGTTTACTCTTCGGACCCATGCTGCCTTGATATGGGCTACTGAGCTGGAGGAAAAGAAGGCTGCTCAGGCCGCCCAGGCCGCCCATTCTGCCCCGGAGTCTTTTCCATATGAGCCAAGACATCTGCTGTTCTCTGGCGGTGCTCCTGAAGCCTCTGGTGCAGCTACTGGCAACAAGGATTCTATTCGGGAGTCCCAGCTATATAAGCGCATCGTGGGCCAATCACTCAAGCATTATGGTCTGGATGACGGCAATGCCTCCGGCAATTGTGAACAAACAGAGAATGGCGGTTCATCCTCCACCGATGCCAAGGGAAACACGCCCCATCTGGTACCTCCTCGGACAGCCGGTGCTGATGGCTGCCCCGTGCCCAAGGCCATACGGGGTCTTACTGGCGAGGACAACGAGCGACTTGTGCGTCAGGTCACCGATGTTGCGGCGACTGCTGCTGCAATGGCTGCCCGCGACGCGACTAGGAGTCGTAAGCCCACAGGTCAGCAAACTGCTGGACGCCAAGCTGGCCGGGCTATGGCAGATCAGGTGAAACCTCCTGGTGACGAGGCAGATGCTTCCGGTATTGTCGTCGACCCTACCGCCCATGCAGCAGCTGGAGGAGGTCATGATGCGCCGAATTGGAGTAAGGCCAAGAGCGCGATCATCCTAATGGGAGCCACAATTCTCTATGCCATTATCGCTGAGATCCTTGTCAACACTGTTGATGTCGTGCTGGAGAATGTGGACATTGACGAGAAGTTCCTCGGCATAACTCTCTTCGCTTTGGTTCCCAACACAACCGAATTTTTGGTATGTGGCATGCTTTTTTTTCTCTCGGCTTCGGCTCTTGTAGACTCCCCCATACTGATGTACTAACTATTATTTGCTTCTAGAACGCTATTTCCTTCGCGATGAACGGCAACATCGCCCTGTCCATGGAGATCGGCTCTGCATACGCATTGCAAGTTTGCTTGTTGCAGGTGCCCGCTCTTGTCCTATTCAGCGCCCTGTATACCCGCTCAATTGACCCAGCCGAACTCGCGAGGCATTCGTTCAAGTGAGTATCTTTGATATATACGATATTTTTCGAAACCGGACCCTCCTTACTAACTTCTATGACAGTCTCATCTTCCCCCAGTGGGACATGATCACCGTGATTCTTTGCGTTTTTCTGCTGTCGTACGTCTACGGCGAGGGGAAGAGTAATTATTTCAAGGGCTCCATATTGGTCCTTACCTATCTCGTTGTTATCAGCGGGTTCTACATGTCTGGTTACAGCAACCTCGAAAACATGGGCATCGACCGATTCGATACCCTTGCTCTGGGAACAAGCCAGTCCCAAAAGTTCTACACCATTGGACGTACCCGTGCCGGTGCGGCCTATTAATTGGACATAGCTGGTTAATTGATTCCAAGTCTTCCATCAGTCTTTGTTTTGCTTATCATCTCCACCTCCCGTCCCGTATCATACTGTCTTTGCATAGCGGATTTTCAAATTTGCATCTTCTGATATGACTTCTTTTTTTCACTTAATTGCAATGCTCGCTTGACACTGGCTTTTTTGGAGGCATTCTTGCTGGACAGGGCCCCTATGCTGCATTTGGATTTTTCTGCGTTTACTCTAGCTGAGGCTTCCAGCCCAGCCATTTGGCATTTGGCATCTGCTTTCAACGTCTGCTGCCTTAACAATGACTGGATTCGAATTGCTTTTCTGCTTTTGTAGACTGCTGTAATGACCGCAGATGTAAAACATCCTATACCGTATAAACTAACTACCCCCTTCGCATGATGCCGTTATTCCCTCCCACTCCCATCTAGGCCGACCCCCATTCTCCCACAGCATCATCAACCAAGCTCCGATACTTCTGCTGCTTAAAGCACTGTTCCAAGAAAACCTCATATTTCGCCCGTAAAAGAGCCAACTCCTTCACATCCTCCGTTGGAACAACCTTCTTACCAGGCTTACTCATGCGATCCATGATATCCCACAAATCCTCCGTCTTACCCTCGGCATCAGCACTAGCCGCCTTCGCGCCCAGCATAGCCGCACCATGACACACGGCCGCGTGAATATACCGCGGTATAACGACCGGCATACCACACGCAGACGCAATCAGACTAACAAGAATATCATTCTGGCACTGCGATCCGGACATGAAGATTGATGTGAGGCCGTGGCCAGCTTGATTCATCGTTTCGACAATCTGTTTCGTTTGCAGTGCGATAAATTCCATCGTTGCGTAGTAATATCTCGCCAATCCGTCGACGGACTTGTCACTTGTTAGCCCGATGACAGAACCCGTCATGGCTGGATCAGCGATGGGAGACCTATTCCCCCACAAATCGCCGTAGAAGAAGAAATGTCGACCCAGGTATGCGATGCACGGCGCTTTCTGCTCGGTTACCATCTCCTTCAGGTGTTCGTTCAGATATTCGTATATGTTTGTGTGGTATGACTCTGCGATCGAAAGCGCCTGGTTGAACGCGGGATGTGTTTCAATGACATGTTTCAATAATTCACCCGTGGCAGATTGCCCCCCCCCTCAGCCATCCAGTAATTTGGAATGATGGTATCTCTGTACGGTCCCCAGACACCGGGTACAAAGACCGGATCAGCGGACATTGCCAAATGACATGTCGATGTACCTGCCACAGCCGCGAGACGAGAAAATGCCTGTGTCTTGTCATTCTTCGCGGCATCAGCGTTCAATTGGTCGGAGTCGAGGTTGATTTTCGCGCCCACGGTGCCTATCCAGCCTGCATATGCGTCGATGACTCCACTGCCGATGGCAATACCAGCAGGTAGACCTAGCTCTGTAGCAGCCTTTTCGCAAAGATAACCAACAAGCTCACCGGCAGATAGATAATCGCCATTCTGTGAATCAAAATAAGGGGTCAGCTGATTCAAATCCTTTTGCAATTCAAGGCCAAGGGCTCACCACCCCGTCAACACCACCCATCCGCTTAAAATTATCTTCAACCAAATCGTCCAGACCAATTTCTTTCAAAAAGTCTTCCTGCCACCCCTTAACACTTCCATCAACGCCCACGGGGACATAGCCCTGCTTGCAGACAGCACTGCAAAAGCTGCGCTTATTATTCCCCGTTGCGATGTGTGTGAGTGCATCAGCCAGATCGTAAAAGCTGCATTTATCAAAGAGTTCGGCCGGCATGTTATTCTTTAACCAGAGGACTTTCGGAACTTCCATTTCAATGGACATTGTTCCACCGACGTAGCGGAGTAAGTTGTGGTTCGTGGCGTTGATTTTCGCAGCCTCTGATACGGGGCGGTGGTCTAGCCATAGGATGACGTTTCGGTCTGTGTCGAAGTTGGGTCCTGTTACTGAGATTGGTTCGGAGGTTTCGTGGTTGAAGACTGATAGTGAGCATGTTGCGTCGAAGCCGATTCCTCGCACTGTTGAGGGGTTTATGTTTTGCTCGTTTATGGCGCGTTGGACGGCGATGCAGATGCAGTGCCATATGTCTGTGGTTGATTGTTCCTGTATTAAATTGATTAGTTACAATTCCTAATTCAAGGTATGTGTATGTATGGTCGTACGTAAAATCCATGGTCGGGTTGCCAGAGACCTATATTCTCGGAGGCCAGGCCGACGATGTCGCCTTTTGCGTCGATGATACAGGCTCGGGCACTACCTGTTCCCACGTCTATGCCGATGAAATGGTCTAATTGGACTTGAAGCTCCTCTCGTGGGTCACTGGAGGCTTGTCGAGAGGCCTGGCGATCGGGACGACGGTGGGGTAGAGAGGTCATGTTGTGATCTGATAATTCTTTCTCTGCGGCTCTGAATTCAAACGAGAGAGTTTTAAATGAGGTTGTGAGGAAATACCACGCATCCGTTCTCGGATTCTTTCTCAAATATATAGTGGGAGGGCAGGAATGGGGGAAGAGGCGAGAGGCAAAAAAAGACAACAATTTCTTGAGTTTGATGGCGGGGGATGACCTCGCTCAGTGGTTGTGGGGAACAGGGGGGAACAGGGTTAGTGCAGTTCTGATGGAGATATTCCAAATGCTGACTGGTGAATATAGCCGATGATTCATTTTTTCAACTCAAGTACCGTCTACACAGTATTTACACGGTATACTTATACTTATAGTCAACTATACTAGTCGCATCGGTACTTACTGCTACTTCAAGTACGTTGGTGGACCCGCACAGCACGGACCCGCGGACATCCTCAACTTCAACTTCAACTTCAAGCTTGCTCCAACTTCACCTCCCTCACATCCACATCCACAACCACAACATGAACCTCCTCACCCTCCTCGGGGCGCTCTCGCTCCTACTAATCTCCGCCCTCGCCGATGCCACCGCAGACATCTTCTACTGGCCCATCGGCGCCTCATCGCCCTCCGTCCTAGCGCGCGTCTCCTTCGACCCAGCAACCCAGAAATCCAACGTGGTCTCTTACAACGCACCCAAGACCGATTCCACAGACGACCTCGTCCGAATTGGCCTGTATACCACAACCCCCTCAAACCCCAAGCAATGGGTCGGATCTCTCGTCTCGCTGTCATCCTTAACCGACAAATCCCAACAACCTACCTTCCGCCTCCATCTCGGACCGACCAATGAACTCTATCATGTTTCTCTGGCCGCTAAGGCCGCTACTTCTCCCCAGGCTGAGCTCGTGTTAAGTGAGCCCGGTGCGCAACCGCATCTGAATCGTCCTGTGGTTGTTGGTCCGGATGGGGCTGATGCGGAGGCTGTGGAGGAAAAGAGCATGCTGCAAAAGTTGGTTTCTTCCCCCTGATTCGCGCGAACTTGGCTAACATATTGTGTTTCTTCTTTAGGTATTGGTGGGTGCTTGCGATCGTTTTCTTCTTGACCATGACTAGCGGCGGAGGTGGAGAGTAGGGATAAAAGCGAGTTTGAATAGAATGTTGAATGAATTATATCTCTTTCTCTATGCTCGAAGCTAAGCTTACCTCGGAGCTTTTTCGTTGTCTGGCTATTCGTACCGTAGTGAGGGAGTCCCTGTATATCTCGAATGGCTATGGCCCGATTTTCAGCTAGAAACTACATCTTGAGGTACCTAGGTATGTATTGTGTCATTTGGAGGTAAGAGGGTATTATTTACGTTCAGTCTCAGTATGAAATATTACAAGGACCATTGGGGTCGAATCGAAAAAAAAAAGAAAACTAAAAAGAAACTCCATGCATTTGGTATCGAGCAAACTAAACTCCATCCATGTGGACCCTCGGGGTCGTAATCGAGCGGGAAAGTATGAACACGCAAGAGAGCAGGGAAAATGAACGACATCCCTTAACACAAGCCACACAATCGCTAAATATCTTATTCTTCTTCTTCTTCTTCTTCTTCTTCTTCTGACTCGGAGTAGTTCAGTACTTTTATTGGGCCATGCTCCGGAATACCATCGCTGTTAAAAATGCCCTTGCAGTTCTCAACAACTTCCACCCCCCTGCCATCCGGCTTGAGAGTTAAGACCATCAGTCCCCGATCCGTGATAGCAATCAATTCATTCTCGTCGACTGTGAATTCAATCTGTGAGCAGACTGCACCCAGATCAATGACGATAGGCGGTAGCTCCGTCACACCGATTGTCGACGACTTCCATGATTCAGGGTAGAAACCGCTCTCATTACGCTCAACCAACGCATCCGGGTTCAGTGCCCAAATTGTAACCGTTTTCCAGCTCGCAGCTGCGATCCGAGTACCACGGAAAGAAGCAGTGATCAGAGATCTGTGCGAGGTATTCGATTCGTGATATCCGTCGAGTCGGGCCATGATCTCCCACTGGTCGAATCTCCGTCCGCGGTCAAGATTCCGCTCATGGTCACACCGACCAGAGAAGGCTTCGGACTTGAGCAAGCATGCTACTGTCCAGTGCTCTACTCGGTGAGTGGCAATGCCGACGGCAAGATATTGCCAGTGACATCGGCCGCCCGGGAGCTCGTCGCCTGGTTCATGCTTGCTGAAGAATGGAAGATCGATCGCGAATTGCAGAGATAGGGAGTCTGAAAATTTGACTCGACAAGCATTGTTGGCCAATTTGGGTTGTTCTGAGGCACCCATCGATGGCAGTGAACGAACTTTTTGGAATGAACTGTAGAGAGTTTGCCCTCTATGATAATGTAGCAATTGGCTCCATTCGTCTTTGAAAGCTAACTTCATTGCGGGGCCTCTTCTCTCGATTTCTTCGTGACTGAACCCCTGGCCGCTTGTCTCGGCCGCGGTCTCGATGCTCTCAGTGAGAACGCAAGAATCGTATCTCGATCCTAATGAAGGCGTCAGCGAGCGAATTGGTTGATATCAGGAACAAGTTCAAGCAAACCTTTCATTTGAATCGTTTCATCTTGCTCCAAATCGTCGTCGTCCTCATCATCGTCCGCGTTTGCATAAAGCATTACATGATGGTCATTGTGATGATGGCGATGCTGCCACGAAATAGCAAATTTGAAACCTATGTCCCGAGATGGGGCAGCCGCGAGAGCGACAGGCTCATATTCCTGCTCGTCAGGGAAGCTGTAAATGTAAACGTCGCGAGATGGGCGATCCGCGTGGAAAGCAAGGAAAATGTTTCCGTCGGGGCTAGACTGCATTGCTTGCTGAATGAAAGGATGGTCGGTATCGCTCTGGTCAATAAATGGTTTGAAGCGGTGCAGAACGTAGGTCCCATAGAAATTTTCCCCGTCAGCTCTTTCATTGCCCCCATGGGCAGTGAAAAGGATCTCCCTCTTTCCAAGTTTGCTCGCCGGCGACTTCAGTGGAAAATTGAGTCTTATACGCTCACTCCATTCTTGAGTTATTCGACAGCGGTAAGTGGTTTCATCATTTTTGAAGACGAGAGCGACGTTATCGAGAGAACCGAATCTGAGGGATGAAGCACGAGTATCGAGTACCTTGTTTGGAAAGTTGAAAAGCTTGCGTTCAGAGTAGAACTCTGCGCCGTAGAGTTGGTGGTATGATAGGTGAACAAGCAATCGGAACAATTGCCTGTTGGATGCTGATCCGAGGTAGTCATCATTGAGACAGCCAGGCGTATTCTTGAGGTGATGGGTTATGAGCTCTCGACCGTTCGTTGCAATTGACAGCAGAGTCCGACAGCTGAAAGCGAGCTGGAGGTATGTTGTTGTGTCGCACGTTCTGAGGATGAGCTCAACCAACTCAGTCGGAAGCGAGAGAAGCATTTCCTGAATTCAATCCGGATGTAGATGAAGTTGGGAGGTGGCTTGCGAGGTGGTGTGGAAGAAGAAGAAAGAAGAAGGAAAGGTAGTAGTGAAGGATGTTTATACAGTTGATGGATGTGCAGGTGCACGTCCCCGAGTGGAGGTGCTGCCTGGGGCCACGACAGGCAGCCGCGGAGTGGGGGTACCCTCGCACTCGGAGTATACGAGATTAGGTATTTTGACTCAGTTTGGATAGGTTTGAGAACACTCAATTAATTAAAATGGAAATGCATTGGACATTACAAGAACCATACTTCCAAGGCCGTGAGTAACGTATAATCAGTGCCATTATGCTCCAGGATACAGTAGTTCCATTCCAAACCTCAACCTCCATGAGATACGGGGTATAGACCAAGACACCGATTTACTTAGTACTAACACTACTCTTAGAACTGAATATCCTTCTATAATTCATAGAATCATTCATTCGTGTTCGTGTTCGTGTTCCGATACTCGCTTTTTAAAAACTGCTGTAGAGCCAAGAGGGGGATGTTCTTTGTTTTTTCATGCATGCAGCCATCATCCAGCCCGAACACCCAGAAATGCAAAATGCAAATGTACAATGGAAAGTTCCAAATAAACAAGCCAAAAACAAAGACAAAGGGTATCCTTTCCATTCCCATTCCATTCCAACCCACTCATTTATCACGGGCCAGGCCCACGGGTGTCGGGTCGCTGCCGTTAATTAGTCGTTGCCAAGCCAAGACATTAGCTATCCTTCTGCGAAACAAGCCACTCAAGAACGCTTTCATAACAAAGCACAAATTGACTCAGGTTTTGGACCATGCTGGGTCGCTGTGTACGAAAGTCTTCCACGGTTTTCGAAATCAGGTCCAGTTCAGTGTCACGAATTTCTTTCGATTCTTCCTTCGAATTGGTGGGGTTAAGTGCACGCTGTCGTTTGAGAATGTCTAGCACAGTGTCGACCGTGCAGAATGTTCCAGTTCGTCCACACCCAGCACTGCAGTGGACCAAGATCGGTCGCTGGCCAAGGGGTTCGGCCTCCTGGTTACCGAAACCAGCATCACTGGTAGATCGAGCCACTTTGTTACACTGCTCGATCAGATTGAGAAGGTGGGTTGGCTGTGAAGTGGTGCCAAAGTCTGGCCAGTATGGGTATTGAATCTGCGTAATGTCTCGCAATGGTTGAAAGGGGAAATTGGAGTGTTGAAGACTGAAATGGCGGACGATTATGACTGGATTCTCATTGGACTCGTTGGGACTCTGGGCTGACTTGTCTACTGCCTTGGATTTCTTCAATGAGGGGTCGATTGGACACCCCTCGGAGGACTCCACATCGATGTATCTCTCTGAATAGGCCTTCACTTGGAATGGTCCATAATCGGCGGTCCGCCAGTAAGGGTGACTCTTGACTTGTCCACGCTCAAACTCGGCGGTCAATGAGACGAGCAGCCTGACATCTTGTTCCCAAACAACGCGCCAAAAGTCCTGTTTCATTAATGTTAGCGGGAATTGTAGGGGGGGAGAAAGATAGCACTCACGTTAAAAGTGTCCGGAACCGGAGCCTGAGTGGCAATATAACGCCGGTTGCTCAAATCACCTTTGATGTGATTTGCATTGACATAATCGCAGTCGCCCAGCGGGATCCCTTCAAGCCTAACACGAGAGTGTTCGAAAGGATAGATATCGTTATATCGATTTTTCGTGCCCTTCTCAATTCCCGCAACACGATACTTCTTGGCTGCTCCCCCGGCAGCGGCAGAAGGGCCATCATAAGATAAGGCCTGCTTCATGCGCTCCAATTCTTTCTTCTCCAAGCTTAAGAATTTATCCGAGACGATTTGGCCCTCGTTCTTGGCATCAGACGCCTTTCGAAGCCACGGAGGAAGGGCTTGTTGCTGTGATTCGGACATATGTTCTGGCAACTTCAGAGACATCTGCCCGACTCCGCCCATGAGATCCATGTTCTGGCGAATATTTCCAAAGAAAGGGTTGGCAGCCGAAGATGAATCTGGAATAGCACAGCCTCCTACAACAGGAGCAACAGATCCAAGATTGATACTCATGGAGGGTCGCTTCTTAGGAGATGGCCCTGATGTCTGCAACTGTGGTCGGTGAATTAAGCGCGGAAATCGGGCCGAGAAACCCTTGAAGCCATCCTGTAAGATCAATCCTTCACCTGCCCACCCCTCTGCCTCGAATTTGCCAATCACATTCAAAAGAGGGACGGCATCCTTTGCATCAGTCGTGGCGGAATCGTAGACAATGATTATGCTGCAGTTTTTCCACCGAGCGAAATTTTGTTTATCACTGTCATTTGTGAATGTGCCTTGGAGTTTCTGCGTGTTAAACGAACGTCGCTTGAGAAGTGTGGTTGGAATGCAGAGGTTTAAAGAGCCTTTAATATTGGACTGTGCAAAATGCGTGTATGCGCGAACATCCAGCAGAAGAAGGTTTTTCGAATCATTTTGGATTATTTCAGTACATCGCTCGATTGAAACCCAGCGAGATGGCGTCATAGGTGAAATAGCGTCTGCAATTACAAGAAAGTCAGTTGAACAGCCATTATCAGGTAGATATATTTGGCGACGTATTTGCTTACCCTGCGAGACAGACCCTGTCCGTTGTTGGGCTACCATGCCATTTCCTGTGATACTACCATGCATTCTAGTGCTTGCCTCACCACGGGCCACGGACGGAACGGATGTGTTAACATCCTTGGTAGAGGGACGCCTTTGGAGGAAAGACTCGCGACGCCCTTTATCGATATCAGACTCTGATCTCAACAGGTTCACCAGTCCCTCGGAGGCAGGCTCTTGGGAATAGAGTTGAAGCTTCGGGCTATGAAGTGCGCCAGGTAAGGATGCCCAGTTCTTTTGTACGTGTGGGGCCGGGTTCGACATTGGCGGGTTGCCGGAGTTTTCCACTGCGAGGCCGAAATAGTTGGGGCCCGGACGCTCTGACAGGGAGGCCGTCGCTGGAAAATTGGAATTCGATGGAGATAACACGGGATGAAAGGCGGACCTTCCATCATGGAAATACCCCTGTGCAGTCTGCGTCTGCGCACCCTGCGCCCATGGGGAGGAGGGTGATCGCCCAGGACCTGTCATGGTCACTGGTGCTACTCCTGCCGCTTCAGGTCGAGGAAAATGTGTCGGTGTCGGATAGTAACAGAATGGGTCAAGACAGCATTTAGAACGAGAGGATGTCAATTCTGCTATCAGCGGGTGAGGCCGAGGGGATGTGTGTGTGTCAAGGTCGGGGATGTACTAAGGTGTGCTAGCGTGTGGTCCGTCAAGAGAGTCGAAACCAGCAGAACTGACGTAAGGCAGGATGATGTAGCAGAGGGGCAGAAGGGCAGAAGGGTCAGAGGCGAAAAGGGCCCAGCCAGGACCAGGACCAAGATCAACAGGACCAATGGATGAGAAGAGTGGGGAGGCTGATATCAGAAGACTTGGATTCCCATGATTATTAAGAGAACCGAGGGGGGGGGGGGTGACTGGAACTTCGGGGATTCCAGAAAAAAAAAGGTATGACGTTATTGTGGGGATCACGGGTTCTCGGCTGGACTTTGGCCATTCCCCAGTTGCATGGATCGCGATCTAGATGAACTCTTAGGTATGCACTCAACACAGATGTGCATACCTGAATGAGCTAGGTCTGACTGCATATACAACTACAAGCCTGCCTGCAGAAATGGTAATCTTTGACGAGATCACCCTCAGGAAGGGGGTGCCCCACCCGTGAGCAAGTCGCCACCGACGTGGAGGATTGATTTCGGTGTATCTATGCAGCTAGCTACTAACTAGTAGTTAGCCGCTACAAGTGGTTATAATCCGTACGATTATGTATTGTACAATTCACAAGATATTATTTACAATGGCTTTATGGCAGTATCCTTCAGACCTACGAGTAGCCTCGCATGAATGCTGTCAGCATTTCGAGGCACTAAAACATACTACTCCCTCAACTAATACAGCGCTTAACGCTCCTGCCAGTTCATAGGGGCCCGGCCGAACCTACCACTCCACTTCACTCCATCGCTGCACGTCAATATGACATGATGATATTCAGGAGAGGTTCACACCTGAGGAGGGTATCTGGCCAGTCGTGTACTGGCCAGCTCACTGGGTAAATGTTGACCCAGGCATGGTTGTTTTAGTGCAGAGAAGATCACACCAATATACGAGTACGAGTAGCTCGCTGTTGTCTTCTCTGCCCGTCGGTCCATAATATATTCTGGAATGATCATCGGCTCATGCAGGGTTGAAGCTCGTCACAACTGCCCCTTCTGCCCTTGGAAAAAATTGAAGCATAACTTGGCGTCCAAATGTCAGATACTCCCAGGGTCTTTCAAAGTTTTCCATCCGGTTCGCCTTCGAATCGCTTCACTCGTGTTTGTTCCCAGTTATCCAGATCCTTTGCCATCAGTCTCTGTAAGTAGAATTAGAATACTGTCACGCCAGATGATCCGTTTTCGGGAGCTAGGTAGAATATGCATACGTAGTATTCTTCACGTTCATCGCCGACAACTCTGCGGCGTGGGTTTCGTTTGATTCCTTCCTCCCCGTCGGGTCCCTTAAGTCCAAGTTCGAACACTTGGTCTTGACTCAATTGCTGCACTTTACGATCGTATCGCTCATAGCGGAGAGCAGCGGCTGGTGTAAGAGCAAATGAGCCAGCGACAATAACGGCCATAAATGGAAGTCCGAAGAGGAGAAAAGGGTGTCGAGAGAGGCGCGTTCGGTAGAGGGCTCCGAGCCGTTCTCCGAAAGAAGAGGATGCGGTGGTCGCCCGGCGAAATGTTTTAGACTGGAATGCAGGCATTGTGAAACTGCTGTAGGTGAGGGGACAGACTTTTAGTTGAAGTCAAAGTCAAACCAGAGGAACGAAGTAAAGAACGAAGTCAAGAGGCTCCAGGCATGTCCAACAGAGAAGTGTTGCGCAACTGATGGGCAGATCCGGCGAATTGATTTTCCGGGATACCGGGACATTTTGTTTGGGGCTCCCAGCTCCAATCCAATCCAATTCAGTCCAGAGCTCGCCAAGTCTCAAGATTTAACTGCCACTTACAACTCCCCGTGGTTGTTGGCATAAGGGCAAGGCATTTCCCCAGCTAACTTTAATCTCAATTGATTGTTGGGGCACTTTTCGCGATTGAAATCCCTTGGGCATCCACTATCCTCCGTCACAGGATCTCCGGTAGATTTTACATCCTTCACCTCGCGCAAAGCTCGCGACAGAGTCGCGACAATCTCCACTACAACTCAGGCGACAGAAGCCCTTGAACCTCTCCTTTGATCTCGCCTACGCATTGCGCATAGCCTCGATGGCATCAAATACAAGCTCTCTCTTCGGAGGGGGTGGTCTTGGAAGCACACCAACCCCTCAGCAGTCGAGCCTTTTCGGGTCGAACACCGGTTCGAGTGCATTTGGGTCCGCCGCCCCTTCAGCTGGAGCTGCGCAGGGGGGGCAGACCTCTTCGCTATTTGGCCAACCCCAGAGTCAGCAGCAACAGCCGGCCCAGACACCTTCACTGTTTGGCCAACCCCAGAGTCAGCAACAACCCGCCCAGTCCTCTATACTAGGACAGACTCAGCAATCAACCAACGCCGCTCAAGCACAAGGGGGAGCCTCCGCCCAAGCAACACAGCCTGCTTTCTTCAACAGTCTGCTGGAGCGTGGTAAAAAGCGCCCACTATCTTCAACTGCACAAAATGGAAACTTTGAAGATATCCCCAGTCTTCAACTCGGCCTGGATGATATTCGGAGGAAGGCAAGGGAGTTGGGTACATCTGGAAACAAGGACGCCCAGCAAACCACGAGCAAAGCGTAAGCTGATCCGTCACTCCTCTTTCTATAAAAAAACCCCCCCCGAAATACCTTTAACTAACTGTCAAATCTTACTTCCGCCAATAGCCACTATTTACTTGCCTCTTCTGGGATCGCTCCTAGTCGCACTTTGCGTGACCTTAGATCTCTAGACCCGCAAGCATCCGTCGCTGCGACTAGAGAAGTGGACAATTTCGACCCCGATAATCAACGCTTCCTGCGAAATATCCAACAGCGTGGTCGGCAGGCCATGATCGTGGAGAGCCTCTCTCGCGCCCAGAGAGACTTCGATTCATTCTTGGAAGAAAAGGTCGACATGGACTGGGAGGATCAACGCCGGAGAATCTTTGATCACTTTGGACTTTCTCAAAAGGATGCTGCCAATGCTGGTGGTCAACTGAAATCCACCACGACAGGAGCCTTTGGCCGATCGGGAAGACAATCCAAGCAAGCAGGCCTGAACCCTGGCGCCGCTGCATCTCGCAGGAGCGTCTTTGGGCGTTCCGGTCTCGATAGATCTGTTATTGGGACCCCCGGAGCGGGCCTGGCGAGTCGCCAACTTTTCGAAGACCCTGCGGAGCGCAGCGAGGGACTGGCTGCACCTTCAGCAAATTTGAGATTCTCACGTGAGAAGATGAGCAACTATGCTGCGAAGGTTCAGCATCTGAACAATGTTCGACTTCAAGATCAAACTTACCCAGTTCTCCATCAGTTCTCGGAGGTAGAATTGCAATCCGGCGGCGATATTCCCCACCAAATCTTTGACGCCTATCAAGCTCTGATCAATATTGTTGTCGAGAAGCCAAACATTTCTGGCGCCGAGGATCCCCTGGCTGTGAAAGAGCGTCATTACGCCGACTCCTATCTGGAAGAGTCCACAAAGTCCCGCACGGCAATTAAACTCAAGCAACGAATCATTGAGGGATCAAGAACCTACCTGGAACACATGTTTTACAGCCAGGTGGAAGCTGACATTGCCAAGAACCCTCGCGAAGCGCAGGTTGGTGGTATTCCCAGTGTGATCAATAAGATCCGTGCGTATATTCGCCTTCGTGCGGCCAGGAAAGATCTGGCACCAGATGGAACGGAGCTGCAGATGATTGGACCGGATTATTGCTGGATTCTCATCTTCTACCTTCTTCGATCCGGCCATATCGACGATGCGGTCCTGTACGCGACGAGCGACGGGGGATTCAAGTCAATGGATCACAAGTTTGTGACTTATATTGCTACCTGGGCGAAGGAAAGGCGACTGCCCCGGGATCTGCAGCAGAAGATCAACGGCGAGTATCAACAGCGTGTGCGAAACGCCCCCGAGGGTACTGTTGACCCGTTCCGAATGGCCTGCTACAAGATCATTGGACGATGTGATCTTAGAGAACGACGTCTGGATGGTGTCAATCAGAGTGTCGAGGATTGGATGTGGCTGCAATTTTGCCTCGCGCGAGAGGATGACCGCGCTGAGGAGGCAGCCGGCGACATCTTTGGCCTCGAGGATATTCAAACTGATATCACAGAGATCGGTCAAAGGGTGTTCACCAAAGGACAGGACGGGCCCGGCGGTTACGGAACATTCTTCCTCCTTCAGATTCTGGGAGGCATGTTCGAGCAGGCTGTGGCGTACCTAGGTACCTATAATTCCGTTGCGGCTGTTCACTTTGCTATTGCACTGGCATACTACGGTCTCTTGCGTGTGTCAGACTTCTACGTTTCCGGGGATGAAATCCGTAAGCCACCGCCTTTTTCTTTCCGTTCTTCAATAATCTGCTAACCATGACCTTCCTTGCACAGTTTCTTTCACAGTGAAGCAGTTCCCGCAAATAAACTTCGGTTACCTCATCACCCAATACACGCGGGAATTCCGAACCGGAGACGTCGAGGCTGCAATTGACTACTTCACATTGATCTGTCTTAATGCAGACCTTCCGGGGGCGTTGGGCAAATCCCAGTCGTCCGTATGCCACGAGGCATTGCGCGAGTTCATTCTCGAGACCAGAGATTTCGCCAAATTGCTCGGCGACATTCGTTCCGACGGATATAGAATCAAGGGTGTGATCGAGCAACGCCTTTCCCTGATCAACCTCACAAACCAGCAAGACTTCTTGAAGAACATCACTGTCCAGGCTGCTGCGGTGGCAGATGACAAGGGATTGGTGACCGATTCCGTCCTTCTCTACCATCTGGCAGAGAACTACGACCGAGTGATTGAAATCATTAACCGGGCACTGTCAGATGCCATTGCTGTTGAATTAGGCGGCGCCGTCTCCAAGCTTCAACCTCTTCGGCCCAGAGCTGAACAAGGCCAGCAAGACGAGCCTGGCAGTAGTCTCAGCCTAACTACCGTTGACGACCCCGTCGCTCTCGGCAAAAACATGATGAGTCTGTATGAATCTCAGCCCATGTATTACGAAAATATCCGACCGATTCACAAAGACTCTTGTATCCTACTGATCCGGATGATGGAAGCCAAGATCGAGGTTGAGGCCGGCAGATGGCCGGAAGCACTCGACGCCATCGACCGTCTGGGCGTTCTCCCACTTCGCGCCAACGGCTCAATGTCCCACATTCGCAGCGCCGCTCAAGCATTCTCCTCCTTCCCGGAGATCATTTCACGCAACATCGGTCCCGTCATCATGTGGAGTATCGCGTGCATTGGCTACGAGCGTCATAAGCAGACTTCGGGGCCTTATGACACTGCCACTCACCAGGGCTTTGCGGAACAATTGCTCGGTATGGCTAAGGATCTCATGGTCTTTTCTGGAATGGTCAAGTACAAATTGCCTCCTAGGGTTTATGAGGCTTTGGCTCGGGCTGGTGCCGATATTGGTGCGTACTAGATATGATACTAGTTAGTGTTTAGTTTAGGGGATGAGGTAGGATATTGCATCGGAGAGTGTTCTGTATTTCTCTTAATACACTGGCAAATATCGACTTTTATCTTATTTGGTGCGATTGAATGTTCCCATGTCGTACTCCCTAGTCTTTGGGGTCGTGCCACTCACGGCTTGATATGTTGATTTTTGAAAAGAACAATCAGTCCTCTTTGTGTAAATTTCAGTGGTTCCTTTGACCTCTGTGCCTAGGATTTCATAATCTGTTGAACAATGGGGTTCAAGTTGCTGCCAGTGCCTGTATCAATCGAAGAGCACTGTTGTTGACACCATTGACCCCGGCCTGGTAGTGCCTTCCTCAAAGCACTTTAATTGCCTGTAGCCCCTGGCACCTTCCGTACGTTACGTTTGTTTACATAAATGCTATTCCTGCCCCCGGTTGTCCTTTCTTCTTCTTCATCCCCTCTCACTTCTCACCCTCCAGGACTCCTGTGAACAGTGCCTGTCTTGCAAACTTGAAGTTTGACGGGCGATTCCATTAACCGAGAGTGACTCGAACTCTACGAGTCGAGCTTTGGCAGTGGCTCGTTGTTTGCCGAGTATATGAGTGATTTGAATTCACATATGCGCTACTTTTCAAGAGGTTGGGCATATTGTTATCGGCATCATAGTCGCCCACTCCCACACACGCCACTCGTTCTACACAGCATTGAGCAAGGGCCCCGTGGCCTCCCTCCGTCGCTGGATCTACTTCCAGTGCCGTAGTCTTGAGACCATCGTTGAACATTCTGCCAGTTCAAAAGGCCCCGAGTTCCGCCAGGACAATGAAGACCAGATTCCGGAAATGTCGAAGTACGTGCATAGGAATTAAAATTCTCATGATCAAGCAGAGGACCTGGAAACTATCGATCCTGACGTCTGCGCGATGCTAAATAGTATGTCTCTGTGGGAGAGGTGTACCGACAAGCCTATCTTTGATTCAAAACAGCACCAGGTCTAATTGGCAAGGCTATCTAATTAATTGATGGCCATCCGACGGACGGCATCTCGTTCTTTAACATTATCAGCGAGAGCCCTGACAACATCGAGGCACTGCTGGCACAATCCACTGAGAACCAGATGACGACCAAACACCGATAATTGCTTGATCCCGGTCATCGAACAGAGCTTGTCATGTGTGGAATGTGCAAGCTCGCGAGTATACCACCTTTCAGTTACCCAAATCTGATCCTAGTTGGGTTGGAAGGCGGTTCATAGAACAAAAGTGATCCTTATGGGCACAAGCACAAATGGGGAACACTACCTCAGCCTGTCCACGGAGTCAGTGTAGGTAATACCATTGTACCTGAGTAGATAGCGCTGACCTAGATCATAGAGGAAAGCAATTTTGATATCTCATCTATAAAATATGATCTATACACCAGACTGCTTATATATTGTGCAAGCCTTACTAACCACACTAAAGCACGATAACCAAGGCTCACTATACAGTATTTTTAAAGAATAAGCTTAAATAGGAGTAGTATTATTTATTGAATCTTTAGTGCTTCGCCAGAGGAGAATTAAATAAAGACAAACCTATAATTTACCATGGTTATCAAAGGCGCCTCGGCAGAACCATTGGAACGTGTGGTGGGTTTGCCCCCACTGCGCCTGCCAAGCCTCTGGGGATTCTCGCCGCGCGACATTTTATCCGCTGTGCACCCTCAAGCTTCATTCGATCTGTCCATGGAGTGGAACTTTACTATCGCCTCGAGGATTTGCCGGCCTCATCAACCGGTAATCCACTAAACCCACCCGCATGCGCGCTGCTGGGCTTTAGCACAATATGGATCACGACGCCGACCATGAGCCAGATCCAGCTTCAGGTCTAGGCTCATGTTCAATAGCACCGGAGAATGGCTCGACAGGTCGAGCTAGTGCAGCACAGGCCAGAGATGATGTGGATCACACTGAAGAAGAGCTAAAGCTCGTATCACCCGTTCCACACGAGGCGATGCACGAGGCGATGGATGAGGATCCTCAACATTCGGGTTCGGATCACCCCGCGACACCAATGAATTTGTCCGGCGCGTTGGAGAAACAAGCCAGACAGGCCGAAGCCAACGCCAACGCCAACGATTCAAGCTCGGACAACGCATCCAATGAACCCGCGATCGCGGAATTGGAGGAGAAATCGGGTCTTGCCTTGTTCAATAACCCGCCCAATCTTTCGAGGATCCGCCGGGTGCTATTCGAGTGCAGTGACGCTATCGAAATCAGTCTTGAAGAATATCAAACCTATTGGCCATTTATTGACAATGTATGGGTTAAACAAAGGTCCAATTCCAGCAAAGAGGGCCACTGCACAACGGACTATTATATGTGTCGATTACGAAGGCCGACGCATCGCAGATCTGAGACTCAACCTCTGCCAGAAGGGAAGCGTCCCCGGAAGAAACGCGTACGGGAAGGGGGCATGTGCAATTTTCAGATCAAGGTTGTACGTTTCGAAGGCGCTTATTCGACCGTGACTATCGCCAGAACGCCCGGAAGCAGCGACGTTCATTCTCATGATCTCGACTTTATCGATCGAGTGAAGCGGAACTCTGGGCTCATGGAGTCGGCGCGAAAGGAATCATGCAAGGGCTACCTTCCGTCATCTATATACACCAAATTCCAAGAATATCCTGAAATGCTTTCGGAAGCTGGAGGTCGATTCTTGACAGTCACGGACGTACGCAATGTTTCTGCGAAATGGCGCATCCAGAACCCGGAGGTCAAGCTCATTCCGCATGATGGCTACGAGTACCTAAAGGGTCATGGGATCGTGAGGTCCCAGGGTGCGGCGGAACGCTCCAACGAGACGATATCGGCCCAGTTACGAGTCCACCCCCAGGACTCGGCTCCGGCTCTTCCTCCGGATATCCTTTCTTTCCCGCAATTTTCGTTGGACTTTTTACAGCCTTATTTACCGAATCATGCCGATCGTCGCGGCGAGTTTCCTCACGTCACGTTGTCCTACGCCTCATCTATGGACTCCAAGATCTCTCTCCGGGCGGGCATGCAAACGGTGCTATCTGGACCCGAGGCGAAACTAATGACGCACTACCTTCGTTCTCGCCATGATGCTATTCTTATAGGCGTGGGGACCGTGCTTGCTGATAACCCCGGTCTAAACTGTCGTCTCAGAAGGAGCCGGGGGGTTCGGAGGCCTTGGAAGGATGTGGCAGCCACGCCCGGTGGTGATTGATCCCACAGGAAGATGGCCTGTTCATCCAGACTGTCGAATGTTACGGACGGCAGTGGAGGGGAAAGGAAAAGCCCCGTGGGTGGTGGTGTCACCGGGTGCGCAAATCAACCCACAAACTCTTATGATGCTCAAGGGCTATGGGGGCGACTTCCTTCGAATTGTGGAATATAATCAACACTGGCGATTACATTGGGAAGGTGTTCTTCGAGCACTGGCATCTGAAGGAATCAAGAGTGTTATGATTGAAGGCGGCGGAACAGTCCTCAGTGAGCTGCTCAACCCGGAATACACCAACTTCATCGACTCGATCATCGTGACCGTGGCCCCCACTTACCTGGGTAGCGGCGGTGTTAGCGTCAGCCCACACTCCAAACTTGACCAAGAGGGCAACCCTAATGCCGCTTTGAATCCGCGCGAGGTAAAGTGGACTCCACTGGGGCAGAATGTCATCATGTGTGGCAAAATTCGACCACACGAGGAGGAGCGACAGGGAGATTAGAGTGTGAATGGCAGTGGTAATTGCAATGGCAATTGCAATGATAACTTTCTTTGAATATAGACATGAATATTTAGCAATAATGAATGACCATGATGATAAAGAAAAGTAAAAAGTAAAAACAAAAGTACAAAGACGTTAAACTGCATTAAATTCTTAGGTAAGGGGATTATTCACTCGGCGCGGAATGCCGCATTATTTACGTTCTGCCACCCTCGAGCTACTCTTTTTTTTTTCTTCCGCTTTGTCGCGTCTTTGTTCCATCATTCCCAACCCCCTTTCCTTTACGGCTTTGTAGCATTCCAAAGCCACAATGCCTCCAAAAAAGTCTACCTCTACAGCCACGAGCTCTTCTACGAAGGCCGCTGCGCCCAAGACGAAGACCTCGACCTCTGCGAAGGCGACCACTCCCGCGCCCAAGTCTACTTCTACCAAAGCTACACCCAAAGCTACCTCCAAGTCCACCACTAAGGATACCACAAAAGCGACTCCCGCTCGCGGACGCCCTAAGAAGATGGAAACTGAGACCGCGACAAAGGCTGCCCCCCAAGGCTTCGGTGAAGAAGGAGACTGCGGACAAGTCACGTAAGCCTGCGAAGACTGCCGCCGCTGCTACCACCACTACTACCGCTACCAGCGCGTCTCGGAAGCGCAAGGCCGACGAAGTTGAGGAGAAGCCCCGTGAGATCAAGAGGTCTCGCGTTGTTGAGCCGAAGGCACCGAAGGCCCCGAAGGCACTGCCGCCAAAGGTCGTCATCAACAATGCCCCCACAACACGTCTGAATGTGTTCGTCTGTGGCGAGGGAAGCTCTGGTGAGCTTGGCCTGGGATCGGCTAAGAACGTTATTGATGTGAAGCGACCGCGTCTGAACCAGCTCCTGGCTGCCGACAAGGTTGGCGTTGTCCAGGTCGCGGTTGGTGGTATGCACTGTCTGGCCCTGACCCACGACAACCAGATTTATACTTGGGGTGTCAATGATCAAGGCGCTCTGGGTAGAAACACTGATTGGGATGGCGGATACAAGGATATGGATGAGGGCAGTGACTCGGACTCCGATGACGATGACAGCGGATTGAACCCCCGGGAGTCTACTCCCACCGCAATCCCCGATACATCCTTCCCCAAGGGTACTGTGTTTGTTCAGGTTGCTGCTGCCGATAGCGCGAGCTTTGCGCTTACTGATGATGGCCTTGTCTATGGCTGGGGAACTTTCCGAGTAAGATTGAACAAATTGTGAAACTCTACGCTCAAATGCTAACATGGTCTTTTTCTCTCTCTCAGAGCAACGACGGTATTCTCGGATTCGATGAGACCCATCGCGTTCAAATGACCCCGATCATCATTCCTGCCTTGAAGAAGATCACGACCCTAAGCTGTGGTGCCAACCACGTTCTTGCGCTTAATGATAAGGGCAAGGTTTTCGCCTGGGGATCTGGGCAGCAGAACCAGCTCGGCCGAAGAATCGTGGAACGCAACAAGCTGCATGGACTGCAGCCGCGCGAATTCGGCATTCGTAAGAAGATTGTCGCCATTGGTTCCGGTTCCTATCACTCCTTCGCCATCGCTCAGACCGGTACCGTTTACGCGTGGGGTCTGAACAGCTTCGGCGCAACCGCTGTCCGTGAGGGCGCTGGTGATGATGAAGCCGCCATTGTCCACCCCACTATCGTCGATTCGCTCTCCAACAAGGATATCGTTCAGCTCTGTGGTGGTGCCCACCACTCTATCGGTAGAACTTCAGATGGCAAGTGTCTGGTTTGGGGCCGTCTGGACGGGTTCCAGAGTGGCCTGAAGGTCGATTCTCTTCCCGATGATGCTGTTATCAAGGACGAGCGTGGACGCCCCCGTATCTTGATTTCGCCTACCCAAGTGCCCGGAATCAAGGCCAAGGGTATCGCCGCCGCTTCGGACCACTCCCTCGCCGTTGATGTTGATGGACGTGCCTGGTCCTGGGGATTCTCGGCTACCTACCAGACTGGCCAAGGTACCCAAGATGACATTGAAGTTGCTACCGTGATCGATAACACCGCTACTCGTGGGAAGCAGCTTAACTGGGTTGGTGCCGGAGGCCAGTTCTCCGTGTTCACCTGCCCGGCGAGCGAGTAAACCGATAATTCTCCGACAGACCTTGCCTCCTGCCCCTAGTAGTCTTGCTCGGTATGTCTCGGGGGAGTTAGGGGATTTTCTTCCCCTGCACTTTTTCCTGTTTCCAATATTTTCCAATCTGCGGCGCACAATGTGAAATTAGCTCCTCTCCTACAATCAAGCTAGGCATGTCAATTATAATAATAACGAAGATCCTGCTACCTTTTGGGGTGCGCTTTATCTCTGATCTTTGTGTTTGCGTTTGCGAATTACGGAGTAAAAGGATGTAAATGTGTTGTGTTTCATGCGTGTCATTATGTACAAATTAGAATCTTTAATAGGGTTTTCTGACTGCTACAATCCAAGTTCATTCATAGCTTCGTAGTCGGCGTCAAAGTCGTCCATGTTGTTTTCGTTTTTCTGCGGCCCCGGCCCTGACGTTGGCTGTATTCCCGGCATTTCATTCTCTTGCTCTCGGAGGAGGTCTTCAAGATCGTCGAGTTCGTCGTCATCGGGTTCGGGATGGCTGGTAGGCTGTTGCCGGGTATCTGCTTCTGGGTCTGGAATGAAGAGTTGATCTGCATCTGCATCTGCATCTGCATCTCCCGAAGGGCCCGCCGGTGGTTGTGTCTCGCCATTCTGATTCTGATATGAAGAAAGTCTCGTGGGTAGTTCGAGCGTTTCTATCGTCGGTTCGGGATCATTCCTGAAGAGCTTTTGTTTCTCTTCCTCAATCCATTCTCGTCGCATGGTTTGGATACGTTTGGTGTGGCCTAGTTTTTCGATCATGGCTAGACCGTCTGCGAATTTGGCGCGGGGAAATAGGTCGTCTAGCCAGAGTTGATAGAAGTTTAAAAGACGGGCTGCATCGGAGAACTATGCAATACAGAAGCTTGTTAGTATCTTAGTCTCCTCTCTGATGTTGCGCTGATCCTCACTCACCTCATGTCCTTTGCCTTTGAATCGGAGTTTCTTTTTCGCTGATTGCCGTAACTTTGGAATCCCGGATTGTGAAAGAAGACTGGTGACCCGGTTAGTTCAGTTCTGCTCCTCTCATATCCATATGATCATGTACATGAACAGAACTGGCGGGGTTTGTCGACTTACCGGTTCTCATCGAGTTTCGCGACCGGCTGACGTTTCTTGGTGACTTTGACCTCTTCGTCAAGACCTAATCCGAGTGATGATGGGTCTCCGGTTTTTGCTTTGGAATTGGCATTATCGACATTGGAATCGTTGTTTTCGGCGAAGATGTCGTCGAGGCCGACGTCGTAGTTGAACAGATCGTCCAAATTGGCGGGGGAGCTTCCTCGCTCAGGAGTAGAAGGCATGATGGTATGTTACCTTTGGCCGGATATGTAGAATCCAGTAGAAGCAGGGAACGTTGTCGGAGTCGTCGCTGCAACTAACCAAGTAAATCCATTGACAATTCCAGACATAAACCTGCCGGCGACCCCAGAACGCGTGCCCGCGGCAGTAAACGCGTCCTAAGCAGCCAATCATATGGCGGGTAATCGGCCATGGAAGCTAGTCCCGATGTGGCTAGCTACCCATGTCTGGCTGCTCTGATTACCTAACATTTCAACTTCCCATGTTCCGAACTCGACTCTGCACCTAACCCGCAATCCCACCTCCGCGCAATCTTGAAGATGGCTTCCGATCCTAAGGCGGCCGTGGCCGTTGTGCCACCCAAGCTGACCACCTCCGAATTTCAAGTATGATTGACCCCATACCCATCCCAATTGATCCGCCAAGCTAACCTTCCGCTCTCACCCAGGTCATTGACACCGATCCGTATGTTTAACTGACCCCCCAGCCCCAACCCCTCGACCCGGGCCCTGCCCTGCCCTCGACCTGAGATCAACAACTCACCAAAATTGAACAGCCATGTGCGCCGTGTGTTTGGATATGCTCGGAGCTCCGACTACGCCCTGGCCGGTGGAGCGGCTGCCGCTTCCCCTCTTGCGTTCTGGGCCATGGAGAAGATGAGCCCCACGGGCGTTGGCCGCGGCGGTTTCTCTCCTATCATGCGTCTTGCAAGTGCGATTGGATTGGTCGGTGGTCTTCACATTTTGTATCAGCGATCTTGCAGTACGTTTCCTTCCCCTCCGCGGACCTTTTTTGGTCACAATGGCAATGCAATCGAGATGAAATGCTCACAAATTACAGACCGTTTCTACGGATTCGCCGAGAACAAGAGGGAGGTTGAGATGGATATGCGCGAGATGGTCGACAAGGTCAAGCAGGGCGAGCCCCTGTACGGCGTTTCGCAGATGTCCAACTACCTGCAGGGTGTCGCTGCCCGCAACTCCCGGTACTCCCAGCTGTTTATCCATGTTGTGCCTTGGGCCAACTTTGCCAACCACAACCAGGTCAGTTCCCTCCTCTGCTAGGTTTCATTAACATCGTGTTGAATAACTATGATACTAACACACGAATAGCACGGTGTCGACACTGCCAAGTACTACCAACAAGCTGAGCGAGAGCTTGAGGCTGAGCGGTTGGCCAAGGCTGGCTCTGCATGATTTGAGTTTAAGTTAAGAATTACTTCAAAATTATCCTGTTCCCGTGAAGTTGCACGATTTCTGTACACATATCCTTTTTTGTGTTTTATTGAGGCGCCCTTGAAATTAAGAATACAAATTTCCCCATCACATTATGCAAGCCCAGAACGCCAGATGCTTTGCATGTAAAGTAATCCCATCAAGTCTAGACCCATTGAAGATCGACTTCCAGCATGGGTGAAAAGCAGTTGTCACACATCATACCACACATCCCATCATACACGAGGATATACTCAAACAATGGGCATGAAATCCTGGTCGCCGTCCTCAAAATCAAACGTCGTGTTCAGCGCACGATTCTTCTTCGGTCGAGGGTTAGGCGCTGGTATCAGTGTTAGCCTTGTTCTTTTCCTCTCCTCTCCTCTCTTCATTTCATAATAGTCTTACCCTTTTCATTCTCTTGGATGTAAAATTGACGGAGCAGAGTGATCGCTTCTTTTCTGTAAAGCCCGACGTACACGGGGTAAGGCGGATCGATAGATTTACTATTGATCGAGTTAGAATTAGATTAGACGATCCATTGAAACGGATTCTAAAGGGGGTGGGATGGGAAGCAAACACTCACTCGGAATGAATCGTCAGCACGCCCCCAACACCTCCGAACCTCTCATTGTGAGTACCCACGAAGACACTCCGGATCCCGTACTGCCGAAGGGCGGCGGAACACATAATGCATGGCTCGACTGTAACGTAGAGGTCGGTCTCCTTGATGGCAGACTTGGGATAGGTCTGGAGCATTTCTGCGATGGCGAGGAATTCGGCATGTCGTGTGCCCTAGAGGATACTGTTAGCTATCACCACTTTTGACTTGGATTTTTTTTTTCTCTTGGCATCGTTTGCAGATGGAGAACGAGGCAAGCAAGACAAACAACGCAACGCAACGTACATTCATTGAACGATTGGTATCATTCATACCCGATCCCACAATCTTGTCATTGTAGACTAGGACACAGCCGACTGGGGTCTCCCCAGTAGCGAGTGCCTTTTCGCCCTGGAAGGTTTTGTCAGCTTGATGGAATAGGTTGAAGGTGTAATCTATAAATGGATCTCACCATCGCAAGTGCTTGCTTCATGAAGTAGCCATGTCGGGAGTCTTCGAGAATGACTGGAGACTTGACTTCCTGCTCCATGGTTGGTGGGGCGATTTGTGTCACCAGGCGAAAATATCAATATCAAACTTGGATTCGGGTATGTTGAAGAGATTAGTTGGAGTTGCAAGTTTGTATGAGTCGTGAACGTGAGAAGGAAGAGAAAGAAGATGGCGGTTTCTCTTTTCGAAGAAGCGGCGGGAAGTTCCCGCACTGAAAACTCCAGCCTTGAAGTACTCATTTACATACAATATAATAAATACTTATTAAACTTATGTACTTAGCTTGAATATGGCAAGATTGTAATTCTACGGCAATTGTAATAAATATTATCCTTTCCATTCCAACCTCCTCATCCTCATCAAACCGGCGAAAATCGAAAATCGAAAATGCGGACAAGGTGGGTACAATTGATGCCTGAGGTGTCGGTAACATATCGCTCCGCGTCCGCGTTTCTGCATCTCTTCTCTCGTAACCCGTGTCAATACTGGATACATCATTCGGTTCGTGGAAATGTTTGTTCCATATGGCAGCGGGCACAAACCAAGCACATGGCATTATGTCTAATGGACAAAGACCCGCAGAGCCAGCCTCATCCCTTCTTGCGGCGCACTTCGCCCCTCGTCTGACATCTCATGGACACGATGCGCAACGACTTTCGCGAGAGACCTTTTCACAGCTTCGTCAGGAACTTCTCGGCGATAGACAGAGCCAAATCCGCGCTGATGAAGGGATCACAGACATTAACAAGTTGATATGCATCGTTCTGAAGGCAGGCCTAGAGGTTAGCCCGAACAGCAACAGCAACAACAACAATCCAGAAGAAGAAGACGTGGAAGGACAGATTCTGGACTGTTTGGATATTATCCAAGCAAGCATTGAAAAGGCACCCCAAGTGCTATGGGATAATTCGGACCCCCTCATTTTGGGCGAGGATGTTCACGCGCCATTGTTTGCTTGGCTGATCCTCCGACTGATCAGATTGGCTAGTATCTGGCAATCGGAAACTGTCCAGTATCGAATCCAGCAGGTTTTAATGCAAATTTCATGTCTTCAATATAAGCAAGTGCGATCATCAGCTTCGTGCTATAGCATTCTGGCTTTCCTTCGGGCTTGTACCTCAGGTTCGTATATTACCGCTATGCTGAGATCAGCATTACTATGGCCCGAGCTAACTTAAGACAGATATCATATCTACACTCGAATCTTCCTTAAATAAGGGCTGGCACAGGTCTTACAGTCCGAAGCTGTCATTGCCTGGATCTATCGGATCGCTTCTGATAGATCTGGACGATCTAACTCTACCCCATGACCTAGTGAAGAAGCCCACAGGGCTAGGGCCCTTCCCTCAAACCGTCGCACTGGTTTCTCACCTGCTAGATTCTTTCAGTCCGAAAGCACCCGTGCAGGAATTTGAAAAGCTCCAGAATCTTGATCTTCGTCAAAATCTCTCGGGCGTCCTGAACGGTTTCAATCGCCTGCGAAAGGTCCTAGTCAAATGGTTGCAGGAATTAGGTTCGAACCTGGGCCCTGGCGAGGATAGAGTGCCAATTCAATTTTTGATGCATGTCCATCGCTTCTGCCTCTCAAAATCTACCTCGTCAGCTTTGTTGTCGGACGTGAGCTTGACTTCCGCATGGCTACAATGCCTCGGTGGTCTTCTCGGGCCCAGTGTCACGCATGGACTGTCGAATTTGCAGATAGAGCTTGGAAAATACCTGGAAGAGATGGCAGAGTCGACAAATCAATCCAAATTGTTCGAACACCAAACAAGGGAATTGCTTTTGCCGGTCCTTGTGGATCTTGGTCGTGAGGAGCAGAGTACCAAGCCAATCGAGGCCTGTCTTCTGGTAAATATTGACATCCTATATTGGCAATGGGATCTTCAACCAAGCTAATATTCTCAGAATTCAATCCAGAAACTCCACTTGAGGTTACTGGAGACAGCTAAGTCTCCAGTAAACCTACATGATATCTCTACCTCACAAAAGAGCCCAGATACCGAACAAATGGGAACCAGTCAACAACCAGTGATTTTGGATAAGGAAGAAGAATGGACAGAAGACACCCGGGCTCCAAAACGACTTTGCATCACTCCTGGATCTACTTCCAGTAGTCTGCTCCAGTTCCTCACGGGTAAATTGTCATCGCTCCTGAATTCCGGTGATAATTCGACGGTGAAAAGTCTCCGGAAGACAATCGAGTAGGTTCCATGGCGTTTTTTTCATGATTGTGATTGGAGCTGTTATTGACATTTAGCCCTTTTGCAGGAGTTCATACACCCAAATCTCCGAGCCCCAAAAAAGTGAAATCCTGGAAATCGTGGGCAAGCTTTCTTGCGCCCTAACCGGAAACCTTTTCCAAAGGCCTTCTGAGGTTATATCGCGCGAAATTCTATTTTGCGAAGTGTGCGATGGTGGACAACAAGAGCAGACGGCGGAATACGACGGGCAAAGCGAAGAAGAATTCGGCAACCTGTGGGAAATTTTCAACTTCATTCTTCCTAAATTGACGCGTACCCCCGGTCCGCGAATTGCTGCTATGATTGCTTTGAGAAGGATCTTGATGCACTCGACAAATCTGAATCAGATGCAGCTTTCAACGTCAACGTCTGGGGAGTTCTGCCTTCACTCCCTTCGAAGCTCTATTCGTGAGCTTCGAATTGCGACTGGGTATAGTTCAAATGCCACGGTTTCTTCTTTTACATAAGCTAATTATTATATAGACACGCGGTGCCTGCCTTTGTACGCCCAGATCTCCAACAAGACATCCGCCGGGCAAATTTTGTCGTTGTTCTAGAGTGGCTCAAGAACCTTTCGGAAAAGGATGACATGCCTTTACAGGAGGCATGCGTTTTGACATTATGTCGACTTGCAAGGGTCTCGGATGACGAGGAGAAAAACATCATTTTACTACGCCTATTAGAATATCTTGGACATCCAAATCCATACGTCTGTGCGATTGCCTACAACGAGGTGAGTTGCTGGCACCGTCCTTGCTTTCACTCATCATCAGATTAACATTGTAAATTAGCTTTCCAAACTCGCACAGCAATTCTCCCTAACTCCCGCAAGCCTGTTCCGGCCATACTGGAGAACGCTTTCGGTGGCAGTGGTCAAGAACCTTCAATCCCGCCCATACATGGCCGAGCAGCTGTGTGAGCTGTTAGGAATGAAAGTTGATAGCTTCCTACGGCTGACGGAGGTTCATATTCTTCCTTACTTGGTGCTGACGAGAAGACGAGATATAATCTCCCGGATTGGGGCAAGTCGCAATGAAGGCGAAACGCCTTTTGATGTTTGTTCGGAGAAGAATAATCTCGCTGCAATCTTGGCTTTTCTTCTCGCTCAACAGTCAAATGATCCGGAAGCTATGATCATGTCTCTCCTCGCAGAAATAGATTCCGCTTTTAGAGGTCGTACGTTGGCTGAGCTTGTGAGAATCGAGCCTATTTTGATTGCCTGCGATTTACTCAAGAACCTTGGCAATTCGGGTGATCAGAATAGGGAGAAATTCCAACAAGCTCTCTATCGACTCGCTTCCTTTATCCCTCGAAAATCTTCACACAGCAGTTCTTCCAAAAAGTCAGACCTTTTGATCCATTTCATTGAGGAGCATGTCCTCGGAATCATTACCCAATTTGCGAATGCAATCAATGATTTCCAAGTGAGGCAGACACTAGCAGAGAAAAGGCGAAACCTCAAGGCGATCGAGGAGATGATCAACATCGCCCAAGGCCATGTTAGCAATGCGCTGCCTCAAGTCAGCGCCTGTCTGCGGTCAGCACTAGAGATTGAAGAGTTGTGCGACCATGCCTTTTCAGCCTGGAAGACTCTTATCAGCTCACTCAGCGATGAAGACATTGAGCCCCTCATCGACCAAACACTGGCCATCGTCATCAGATATTGGGGGATATTGACCATCGAGAGTCGGCAAAGTGCCTATAGACTCATCGATCATATACTTACCAATCATCCGAATCTTGTGCGGGATACTTTTAATACAATGCCTTCGCTATCGTCTATTCCCGAGCTTCACCCACTGGAGGCTAGGGTCAATGAACTCAGATCTCAGATGGATGTTCGAAGTCAATTTTTAGCGCTTGTTCGTCGCTGTCAAAGTGAGAATGCCACAGTTGTCGAACAGGCGCTGAAGGAGCTGTCCCCTTTTCTTTCAGAGAATGAGGAGTTCCTTCATGTTTCGGTTCTCAGTGAGCAGCCTGATCCTATCATTGCTCAATTGATGAGGGCATTGCTAGATTGCTGCGTTAAATTTAATAGCAGCTCCGATCCCATAACTTTGCTTTCGTCGCAGTGTTTAGGTCTTGTTGGCTGTCTTGACCCCAATCGCGTGGAAACAATTAAGGAGAAAAAGGATATCCTTGTTCTATCGAATTTTGATCGGATGGAAGAGACAATGGAGTTTGTGCTTTTCTTCCTCCAGCATGTTCTTGTTGATGCATTCTTGTCTGCTTCTAATACGAGAGCCCAAGGATTCCTAGCATACGCCATGCAAGGTCTGCTCAAATTTTGTCAACTCAACGTGGCTGTTACTCAGACTCAGCGAACCAGAGATCTGCAAGGAGATGAAAAGTATCAGCGATGGATGGAACTGCCTGAAAGTGTGCGTAATACTTTGACGCCCTTTTTGACATCAACATACACCGTCACAGTTGTCACAACCAACTCCAAAGTCAACTACCCTTTGTTTTCTCCCGAGATGACACACAGCGAATGGCTGCGTACGCTAGTGCAAGACCTCCTCGAAACAGCGAGCGGTGATAACGCGAAGATTGTATTCGCTGTTTGCAGTCGTGTTGTCAAGGGCCAAGATATTTCAATTTCTTCGTTCCTCCTCCCTTTCGCGATCTTGAATCGTGTTGTTGGGGGTACCGAACAAGAGCAGCTGGATCTTCAGCTGGAGCTAACCAAGGTGCTCTCGCACCCTCTCCCCGACACAAATAGCAATCTTCGAGAAACAATTCTCAGCTGCAGTCAGGTAAATTGTTTTCTTTTCATACTCGATTTCGATCTGCCAATGTACTGACTGATACTTCGTGGTTCGCAGAGTGTTTTCGAAGTCTTGGATTATCTGTCAAGATGGCTCCAGGGCAAGAAAAAACACATGAGTGGTCTTAATCAACAGGCCCATCAGTCATCAAATCGATCGCATAGGGAGGCTGCCCGGGATCCGCTCCATGCCAAGTTTTCATCTCAGATCAAATCTGTCGAATCATTACTGGCTTCAATACCCCCCGAAAAAATCTCCAAGCGAGCTGTTGAATGCAAATCCTTCTCCAGGGCCTTGTTTCACTGGGAACAGTATATCCGCAAATGCAATTCTCAAGTTGAAGTGAACGAGCAGTCCAATCCTGAGGCCTTGTACCAGCGACTTCAGGATATCTATAGTCAGATTGATGAACCGGATGGCATTGAAGGTATTTCGAGTCATCTTTCAGTACTTGACATCGATCAACAAGTTCTCGAACACCGAAAGGCTGGAAGATGGGCCACTGCTCAAAGCTGGTATGAGTTGCAGCTTGAGAAAGACTCGAAGAATGTGGATGCACAGTGGAATCTTGTCACTTGTTTGAAAGAGTCTGGGCAGCAAGGTATCTATCTCCCAGCCACCTTTGTTATTTCGAAGAGCACCAGTTAACATAATGCAGATGCGATTCTCACTCGTTTCGAGGTTCTCAAAGAAGATAAGCCCGCAGCCTCCCGCTTTTTACCATTTGCAGTCGAAGCCTCGTGGATCACCAGTCGATGGGAAAAGCTACAGGGATATCTTGAGCTCTGTGAGGAATCTGGGACTGGTGAATTCAATGTGGGTATCGGGACTGCTTTGAACACGCTGCGCCTACCTAATTCCGGAGCTGAATCATTTACGGATATTGTGAATGGCTTGAGACTCCAGGTTGCGAAATCATTGAATGCCAATTCCGTGGCCTCGCTGCAATCTTGTCATGATGACATGCTACGGCTGCATGCATTGGCAGACGTGGAATCGATAGCTAATGCAGAAGCCAAGGGTCCGGGGTCATATCAAGGGCTTCTCAAGGCCCTGGACAGACGGCTGGATGTTCTCGGTGGTTACATTGCAGATAAGCAGTATCTTCTAGGTCTCAGGCGAGCGACGATGGAACTAGCGTATGAATATTCGATTACATCTTTCGTGGCGAAACGACAACTAATTATTCTCACAGGGGACCTTTTCCGAGTTCAGATATTGCGGCTGCGTGGCTTACGAGCGCCCATCTCTCGCGAAAGGGCAATTTTACTAGCCAGGCATACCATTCAATGCTCCACGCAGCCAGGTTGCAGGATCGATCGGCTACCATTGAACATGCAAGGCTTCTTTGGAAAGATGGACATCACCGCAAAGCCATTCAAACGCTGGAGGGCGCTATATCCGCGAATGAAGCTAATCCCCCAGAGTCAATTTCGGTCGATTCCGACACAGCGTCATCTCTCTCTGGTGGCTCTGGAAAGCACCAAGGTGTGCTAATTACCGCTCGTGCGCATCTTTTACTTGCAAAATGGACGGATAGGGCTGGTCAGACACATTCCCAAGCCATTGTACAGCGATATCGTGAAGCGATCAAGCTATACCCGCGCTGGGAGAAAGCACACTACTACCTGGGAAAGCACTACAACAAGATTCTTGATTCGGAGAAGGCAAAGCCTATGGGCAAGGAAGCCCAGATCTATCTCAGTGGAGAGGCCACAAAGCTCGTGATTGACAACTATCTTCGCTCGCTAACCTACGGAAGTAAATACGTTTTTCAGACGTTACCGAAACTTTTGACGCTCTGGTTGGAACATGCCTCCATCGTCGATCAACCGATTGATCCAAAGAGAGGGGATAACGAAGAGTTTCAAAGACACACCAAAGCTCAACGACAGAAAAGTCTGGACGAAATGCATGCTCAGCTGAAGAAGTATATCTCTTCTCGTCTGCAGCCTGCTTTGTTGTTCACTATCTTGCCACAGGTTGTGGCACGAATCTGCCACCCCAACAGCACCGTGCATGATCTGTTGACTCGCGTTGTGGTCAAAGCTGTCCACTGTTTTCCACAGCAAGGCCTGTGGACTGTCTTGGCCGTGGTCAAGTCATCTAATAAGGACCGAGCATCAAGAGGATATACATGTCTCAAAAAGATCACGGTGAGTCACAAGATCATAACAGGATCACCACAGTCAAAAAGCTAAGGCTAAACGATACAGGAATACACCAGCAAGCATAAGACAGAATCGGCCCCCGATATTCATCGCATGATAAGCCAAGGTCAAAAGTTCTCCGAAGAGTTACTACAGCTCTGCCTGGCGCATGTCGAGGAGAGGGTCTTTAAAGTCAACCTCGCTCGCAATCTGGGATTCAATCACAAAGTGGCTCCGTGCCGGCTAGTGGTGCCATTCCAGGCCATGCTAATCCCGAGTTTACCTTCCAGTCATGATTCGGAATATTTGAAAGGGTTCCGACCATTTCCTCGGGATCCAACTACCATTGACGGTATGTATAATATCCAAAGACAATGTCCTCCCTGTACGTCGTGGTGGCTCAGCTAACTTGTTCTCTTTTTTTCAGCCGTTCTTGATGAAGCGCAGATCTTGCACTCTGCTCAGCAACCACGAAAGATCAGCATTCGAGGCTCAGACGGGAAAATTTACAATGCGCTGTGCAAACCAAAGGACGATCTGCGTAAAGATCAACGTTTGATGGAATTCAATAACATGATCAACCGTTTCCTCAAGCGAGACGTGGAATCAAGCACACGACGAATGTGTAAGTGAAAGTTTTCCAGGGCCGGAGTTGGTTATTCTCAGTTATTCTTATGACTAACCTGAATCAAGATATCAAAACCTACGCCGTTACACCTTTGAATGAAGAGTGTGGGTTGATTGAATGGGTTGATAATCTACGTACATTGAGAGATATCATCGCCAAGGGACTACGCGAGAGGGGTGCTGCACCTAATGTGAGTCTTTCTCTACTGGGTACTCTACCGGGCTCCTTTTTCTGGCTTTCTTTGCTATTCCAATGATCCTTGCGAAGAAAATACATTGCTAATCTACCCGGAATAAAGTATACTGAGATCAGACACTATCTCGACGAGATTTGTGCAGACCGTTCGATGACCAAATTACCTCTGTTCACTACGAAGATTTTGGCAAAGTCAGACCCCCCTTCCATTCCTTTCCCTGTGAGACTAGCGATATAATCGAGTAATTGCTAACAGCCTTGATCCTGTAGGTGTCCCCCCGTTCTTCACGAATGGTTCATCGAAATGTTCCCCGAGACCGAAGCATGGTTCGCCGCAAGGTTACGATACACGCGATCTTCTGCAGTGATGTCTATGGTTGGATACGTTCTAGGGTTCGTACCAGTCAATCAGATCAGATCTATTTTTGCTTGGGGGTTGATGGATGCTAACTGTAATATCTACCAGACTGGGTGACCGACACGGAGAGAACTTGTCTTTCGAAGAGGGTACTGGTGGTATCTTGCATGTTGATTTCAATTGCTTGTTTGACAAAGTACGTGCCTTGCTGTCAATTATATTCTAGTCATGAGTTACTTGGGCGAATATGCTGACCATCTAATTTACACAGGGACAAACGCTCGCAAAGCCAGAAGTGGTTCCATTCCGTCTGACGCAAAACATGGTCGATGCGTTCGGCGCCTATGGGTATAATGGTGAGCTTGAGCTTGAGATAGCGTGACCCTGCGGGTTATTGATTACTCTCAGGTTACTGAGTACTAACATGTCTATTTCTACCAATAGGACCATTCCGGAGAACATGCGAAATCACACTGCGTCTTTTGCGGCAGAACGAAGATGCTTTGATGACTATCCTTGAAACCTTCTTGCACGACCCAACTACAGACTTCATCGGGAAAAGAGTGAGTTTTCAGAACCCTTTCATCTGCTCCCTTTCCTCGGGACTATAAATGCAATGTAGACTAACCACGGCTGTTCTTTACACAGCGCCGCACTCATATCAATGTGCCTGATACGCCAGCCGGGGTTTTGGAAGATGTTCGTAACAAGCTCCGGGGCTTTATGTCGAAGCAACCCATTGCTCTTTCGGTCGATGGACAGGTGGATGAGCTGATCATGCAGGCCACCGATAAGGCAAACCTGGCAAAGATGTACATCGGGTGGTGTGCATTCTTCTAGACTTGATGGTATTCTGATTCTGCGAGTTTCGGGAACCCATCCCATAGTCGTAGTCCTACTCTTTAATATCAAATCAAGCCTGAAATAAAAGCAATCACAGTGCCCGGAGTCCTTGGGTGAATCCCATAATTCCCGGTGCCCTCGTACGGAATAGTTCAGATTAGTTAGCGGGCAATGAATGCTATGATTGGTGTCTGTGTTTGGTTGCGGTGATAAGATTTGATATTTCTTCTCCGGCTAGGGACCATTTGCGTTACCCCGCGATAGACGTATCGTATTCTGGTCTAATGCCGATTGCGACTGCGGGTTCTGTCTGGCGTCGGAGTCCTTCCACCACGGCTACTGTCGTCATAGCTACTATAGCTAGGACTTCTCCGTCGACGCTGACCAGAACTCTTTGGCCGAGTACTGCCTCGTCTTGGCGGAGAGCGAGATCGAGAATAGGATCGGTTTCGTACCGGAGATCGGGACCGCGAGCGTGATACAGACTTAGGTCTATACACATCGTGGCGTTCGCCAGGACGTGCGCCACGACCCTGTCGGCGCGGAGGCGATTTGGCATAGGACCCCCTTCTGAATCCGGAACGTCCTCCATTTCCTCGGTCTCTGTTTGCTGGAGGCGGCGAACGGGAGAATGTTCGGCGGGGAAGAACAATGGCGACGTTCAGTACGGCCCCGTCTAGTTGGGCTTCATGCATGTGTGCGATGGCCGCTTCGGCATCTGCGGGGTCATAGTACAAGATGTACGCGGTGCCTCGGTTCGTCATGACTAGAGAACAGAGGAGCTTGGTTAGCGACGCTGGTTCCAGAATGGGATGGCATAGGCTTGGCTCTTACAGGCTCGGTTCACCGGGAGATCGAGGTATTCAATATCCCCAAAGCCACCAAATATCTCGCGCAAATGAGCTTCCGTGACATTTTTTGTTAATTTTTCCACCACAATCTAGACTGGTATGTCAGCTGCTGTTATTGTTCGAGGAGGGGGTAGTGCCCTCAGGGCTTCCAGTCGATGCATGACGAACTCACCTTGGCACTTTTCGCTGGACTCGAGGTCCGGCTAGGTGATCGACTGTAGCTTCGGCTTCGGCTTCGGTAGCGTCGACTGTCTTTGCTACGACTGCGCGATCGAGTTCGGCCTCGTGGAGGGGAAGGTGACCGAGTGGCACTTCGCGGACGCGAGTCCTCGCGAGGACGTGGAGATCGAGATCGAGACCGCGTACGCGCTGGGGGTGATCGGCTGGGCGAATGCCCGCGAGGGGAACGAGGAGGCATATAGGCGACTGTATTTTCCGAATTGCGGACGCTTCAAGAGCTTGGGAACAAGGTTGAGTGGCTTCGGAAGCAAGGTGTCACTGGCGCGGGATTCTATGCGAATGCGGATGTGACTGGAATACTGCTGGGCTCTCGAGGCGCCAATGGCTTCGAAATGGATAGGTAGATGGCGGCGATAGTTTTAATGTCAAATTGTGACAAATCACGGATGCGCGAGCTGAGGAAGATGTGGGGTTTGGGGTTGAAGGTGAGGTGATGTGAGGTGAGGTAGGGTTAAGCAGGTTACACGTCCGGCGCCGGCAACTGGAAGAGCTCCATTTGTGGCCTCAGGCCATAAACAATCCCAATTCGGACTAGGCTGTTTACTATAAACTAATGTAAATAATTACAATTTGTACAACACTCACTTATAACTATTATACTTGAGAATATTTAGACATATATTATCTGGCTATAAAAGTCAAAGTATGTTCATATATTCTATTCTATGATTGAGCCTCTGCCCAGTGCTCATATTCCTGAATAACCTCATCCGTAATCTGCCGTTTTACCTGACTCAGCGCAATTTCAAAGTGCTCCGGCTTGAGATCCTGTTCCTGCCCCGTCCTATCCTCCTCATCAAGCGCCGCATCACCCGCAGTCTCGCATATACTAACAATCTCCGCTCCAGAGTATCCCTCCATCAGATCAGCCAAGTCATCCAGATTCACTTCGGGACTGAGTACAGACTTGGTTGCCCAGATACGCAGGATATCTCTTCGAGCTTCAAGATCAGGCGGTCCAATATAAACGAGTTTGTCCAGTCGACCGGGACGCATAAGTGCAGGGTCTAGTACGTCCGGTTTATTGGTCGCTGCAACGACGAGCACGCCTCGTAATTCTTCGATACCGTCCATTTCGTTCAACAGTGTTGTAAGAACGTTCACGCCGCCTTGGGAGCCGCTGCTTCGTCGGCCAGCAATGGCGTCGATTTCGTCGAAGAATATGATACTGGGTCGGGCTGCTCGGGCTTTGCGGAAGATTTCTCGGAGGGATCGCTCGGACTCGCCGACGTACATGCTGAGGATCTCGGCGCCCTTGACGGCAAGGAAGTTCAGGCCTGCTTCTGTGGCTAGGGCTTTGACGGTGAGTGTTTTGGCGCAGCCTGGAGGTCCGTAGAGAAGGACGCCCTTTTTGCTCTTTACGTTGAGTCTTTGCATTCTTTGAGCATGCTGTTTGATGTTTGTTAGACTTAGTGAAAGACTTAGTGACAAAAGAGAGGGGCCTTGGTGGTTCTTACCTTGAGAGGTCGCTCGACGGCATTCTGTAGACGTTCTTTGATCTCCTTCTGTCCGCCGATATCTGACCATCGCACTTTAGGTGTCTCTAGGAACACTTCACGCATAGCAGTGGGTCGGATTTCTTGGAGCGCAGACATCATATCTGTCATTTGGATATCCAACTCCACGCTGGCTTTATCTTCGCCCTCGGGCGAAGATGAAATCTCCAGATTCTGAAGTGACAGCCCTTGCTCCAGGCTCTGCCTTTGTCGCGCCTTGCGGCAGATCACTTGTAATAAAGCAAACAAGTCTGCCCCAACATACCCATGAGTCTTCTCAGCAAGCAAATCCAGAAAAGAGTCGCTCAACCCAGCAGACACTGGGCCCCGAAGAGCACGAAGGATTTCAGCACGGTCTTGTGCAGTCGGGACTTGTAGTTCGATTTCCGTTCCCAGTCGATGCGGTGTGCGGAGGGAATCATCGACGAGATTCGGATGTCTTGTGGCAGCAACGACAAGGACGGACCCATCCCGAATCGCCTCTAGATTCTCGCAGAGAACGGATGCCAAAGATTGTGATTCGGGGGAATTCCGTTTTGGCGCGATGAATTCTAGTTGGTCGATTATGAGGACGCTGGGTTTAGAGCGCACTGCTTCTTGAAAGATGTTTCGGAGTTTTGACTCGCTCTCGCTCATACTCCTACCGAGGGACGAGCTGCCGATTTTGAAGACCTGTCTCCAGCCTGCTTTTTCAATCTGCTGCAGAAGGGTTGTTTTGCCGGTGCCTTTGGGTCCGTAGATCAGGATTCCCCGGTTGCTTTGATAGAATGATGGCATGACTAGTTTGTGTTGGTCGTTGAAGTCAGATAGGCTCTCATTGATATCTTCGATCTGCCTTGAAAGACCACCCAGACCCCCCGATTCAACCGAAATTCTGGAAGATGATTTCTCTTCTTCTGCTTCGCCCATATCCGTTCCGATGGATACCTTTGTGGCTTTCGAGACGAATCGGAATATGGTGTGATTGCTGTAGCCGGGAGTTTGCGGCTGTACCGCAACGACGTTGAAAGCGCGACGTTGACCCTTGAGGTCTAATTCGAAGACCAATCCATTGGCAAGGACTTCTGATTTCGATAAATTTGACTCCAGAGCCCATTCCCAATAATGTCTTTCATCGGCCGGGATCTCGCCATATTTTTCAAGCTTCTCGGCGTCGGTGATATCGGCCAAAACGACGGAAGCAAGGTTCTGCAGACAACCATCAATTCTGGTTATCGCCACTTTCTCCCCAACCTTGATGTTGTAGCGGTCCTGGAGAGCCCGAGAAGTTTGAACGACTGTACTTTGTATATTCTCCACGGCTGTCCAGGCGATAGCGGTCTTTGGCTTTCCTTCTGCCATCGTTAAGCAACATAGGTCACCAGCTCGAAGTCGAGAGCTAGCCATCGATGAGGAGGAGAGGTATATCCTGAATGCATCTTTGTTGTCGGCCTTGGGGTTGGGCTGTTTCGACAAGGGTCGAACTGTGAAGCTGCGAACGTCGGCCATTTTGAAGGTGCTCGGAGAAGCTGGGGCGTGGGATGGTGGAAAGACTTGGCGCAAACCAAAATGAAGGCACTCTGTTCAAGAGAAAGTTGTATATATCGGTATTGAAGCTTGCTAGCTTGCTATCCCGGGCGTTTTTCCAGTTGTGTGGGTTCAAGGAACCTTAACTCGAGCCAGGTATTTTTTTCGATTGTTGAACTGCCGCTTCGGCGCACAGGGCACGGTTCGATATGCCCCCGGAATAAGGATTGGAAGGAATGGCGATTGAGAAGGAGTTCGGAGGCCGCACTGTCATGGATCGTCCCGGTGTGCGCAAATGAGGGAGTGAAAAGATTGCGAGTCCGAAAACTGCTTGAAGTGTGGTGGGGGGAGGGGAGAAGATCTTATCGGCGGGTTGATACTCAAGAAAAATAAAAGTGGGTCAAGGAGCTGCATCAGAGACACGAGGCGGGGCATACCCCTATAAACTACGGAGTACTATTCATGAGGTACATAGCTAGAATTAAAAAGAAAAAAAAAGAACCATATGAATATTCACTTCGACGGCGTGACACTCCAAATTATCTGAAATGGGAAGTTGAGGACGTGCCGCCCGAGGCTATGGACAGATATGTATGATACTCGAGGGTAATAGGCGCCAACTCTCCATAGAAACCGGACATTCAAATCTTAGCACATGAAATTGCAGGGAAAGGATATGTTCTGCGCAGGAAACGGCCAATGGGGACGGGGATGAGAGAGGAAAGAATAAAACTCAAGAGAGACACGCGAAAAGGGAAATTGGGTAAGAAAAAGCAAGGAGAGAGAGAGAGAGAGAGAGAGAGAGTAGTGATACAGGGGTCGTCTAACAGCACTTTCCTCCGCTGCTACCATTCAAACCCGAGCCCTGCTGGTCTATATTGACCCCCGAAGTCCCGCTTTGTTCGGTCTTGGAAGTGTCCATGCCCTTCTTGATATCGGATGCCAGGCTATAGAATGCCTTTTCGATGTTGATGTTGTTCTTTGCGGAGACCTCCAGGAAGGGAATGCCGAGTTCGTCGGCGAGCTGTTGACCCTGCTCGGTGGAAACGGCCCTCTTTTCTTCCCAGTCACACTTGTTTCCGATGAGAATCTTGTGCACCCCTTCGCTGGCGTGTTGTTCGACATTAGAGAACCAGGTTTTGATGTCTGTTCGGGGGAAGTGGGTTAGATCATGATATACCCTAGGGTAGGAGAGGAGGTGGTGTTCGCAAAATTGGGCGGAACTTACTTTGGAAGGATCGTTCATCGGTCACATCGTAGACAAGGAGGATTCCCATCGCACCACGGTAGTATGCCGTTGTGATGGTGCGGAAACGTTCCTGGCCCGCTGTGTCCCATATCTGGAGTTTCACTCGCTTGCCGTCCAACTCGATTGTACGGATCTTGAAATCGATTCCAATGGTGGTAATGAAGGAGGGGGTGAAGGAGTCTTCGCTAAATCGCAGGAGACAGCATGACTTGCCGACGCCAGAATCGCCGATCAACAGCAATTTGATCTGCGGTGCCATAAACCCGTTAGCAAATAACCAAATAGAACAAATCCGCATTCGATGTCTTCTGTGCGTACCAAAAAGTCGTAATTTCTTGTACCGGCCATGATTGTCTATCGGTGGTCTTTAGGGAGGTGAAAAAGGGACGGAGAGATAGGAGACGGTCAAGATCCTGCGTAGTCCCACAAAGAGATCGGGGGAACAGAACAGTCTGTGTCGAGCGGTCTGGAGCTGATTTTAAGCTGAGATCTGATCGGCTGTGGCGGGTCGTTTATCGTCGAGAGGGGTGGGAGGTGGAAGGGTTTCGGTGGCTTTGGGACGGTATCAGGAGTGTCGGACCAAGAGTGCAGATCGTCCAGTTTCACACAGTCAGGTGATCCAGTGAGGTCTCTCGCCTTGCAAGAGTATTTAATCCAAATCAAGCCTACAACAAGGGCAAGCAGAAGATTCAGTGAAGGGAAGGAAGCAGAGATGAGATGGAGGTGGTCGACACCAGGTGGAGGAGTGATGACGGCGCGGCCGCGGATGACCTCGTTACGTAAGCTTCCAAGGCCACCGCCGAGACGAAGGCGAAGTCGACGGCGACGGCGATGATGATGTCTACAGGATGGCAAACAAAAAGAGAGGAAGGTATTTTGTGGGTTATTAGAGGTAATCTATTAACTACAGTATGTCCATCGCATCCTCTCCACCACTCGAAGTTGTTTTTCCACCCCACTTCGAACGTCCAGTAGGTCCTGAATATCCTCTCGAAATTCGCGATACTGCATAGCCCCAAGCATCGGCTTCACTTTCTGAAGCAGACCCTCGGCTTCACAAATGAGTCGTCCCGAGTCTTTGAAAGAAATCACTCCGTTGGATACCGAAGCAGCCAGGAGGATCCGCGTAGAATTCCTAGTTTCATTAGTCTGTTTTCCTTGGCTTGGCGCAAAAGAAGAGAAGAAAATATCATAACAAACCTTAGACTTCGTTTAAGTTCAACCTGTCGCTTTCCCTTTGCCAGGCCTTTTCGATTTCCGAAAGCTCCAAGGAGCCAGCGTAGACTCGAGTATGAAACCAAGATCCCGGGTGTGAGTCCAACAAAGCTGAAGTGGGCGTTAATCAGCGAGGAAATTCAATGAGATTATGATATGCCACTTACCCAAAAACAAGCTCCTGACTTTTCAAGAGGGCATTAATGCCACTTATAGCAATTTCAACGTCGACCTTTGTCTTCTGGATCTGTATCAAAAGGGCACGGACCAAATCTCCGCGAACGGTCCCCTTGAACGGCGATCGCAAGTCTCGCTCGTAAGCTCTTAGCACCGGAGTCAAATCGCCTTCTTTAACTGCATTTGTGATGAGCGTGGCGTCTTCTGGCGTCATAGCACTCTGCGAAGAATCAGGCCGATCACGAACAAAGTCAAGGACCATACGTTCCAGGCTATCTCGATCGGCGACCAAACTGTTCTTGCTCATGATGGCAATCTCACTCTTCTCGTCATGTCGAATAGTGCCAATGAGTTTGTGGACTGGGGCCACGACCCAATTTTGGGCAAAGTCGATGACCGTGCTGCCAAAGTCCATTATCCATTGGAGGATGTCGTCCTTGCGGTGGAGCATGAAGTTGAGAGAAACGCTGCCTGAGAAGAGTATGATGGATAGTGGGAGCCAGTATCGGATAATTGCGCGCGGGCGTCCGTTGCGATCGATCTTTGTAGATACAGATGCTGTGTGGTTGGGGAGCTCGGTGCGGAGGACGTGGATGAGACGCTGGATCAATTGGAGGGGATTCTCAGTTGCGGACGAATCCCGATCTTGTGCTTGTAGACGAATCGTACTATTTTCGATCGCAGCGATGACGTTTTGTTCAAATTCGGGAGCAGTTGACTGCGAGATGCCATGGTGCAATATGGCTTCCGTCAAAGCTATCGTCCGTGAGACGGACCCCTGCCATTGACCCTTGGGCAGGTCGGATCCAAATTCGGCTACTGTGGCTGAGTCTGTAGGGAAGGAATGCCAATCTTCCATGATGAGTCCAAGGCTGCTTGTGTGTACATCCTTTATTGCGAGCAATTGGTCTCTTTTTTCCCTCGCTTCTGCCCGGCACGATCGAATCGGGTCGGAAAGACTTGACAAGGCAGGATACGCCGACACACTCTGGCGAGCAATTTGGTAGAAGTGAGCCCACCTGGCTGCAACTGATCGCGAAAGAGAAGAGGCCGAGAAGTCCCGGGCCCCTGGAGCGGTATAGATATCCCTCGTCCAATGCCATAGCCGCACTGGAGAAGTTTGCGCAGCATAGAAACCACTCTGCCAAAGAGATCCTAAGACCTCATTCCAATAGTGGATCTCCTCGTGGATTTGAATTGTTTGCTCCAGGAGGGCCTGCATCACTAGCCCGGAGGTTTGCACGGCGGCCTTTCCGGCTATCAGCCAAAGGTGATCGGGCACATGTTCCTCGGTGCGGGCGGCTTCCGAGGCGATGGAGAGGGTGCTCGAGAAGGCTGGGTCGGATAGTAAGTCGGCTAGTCGAGTCGCCGGGAGCAGAGGCTGAGTCTTTGAGGTGACCGAAATCGAAGAGATGACATTTTGCAGACGACGAAGGTGGAAGCCGTGAAGATCATCCGTATGCAAGAGTTTATCGGAAGGAGGAATCTGCTGTTGGAGGCGGTCGAGTTGTATGTTTACGTAGCAGGCATTCCTAGGGTGTGTAAGCTAGGTCCTAATCTAGAGAACTTGGGTAATTTTAGGGGGGGCATACTCCTGTATAATCGACATGGCGCCTTCTATCGAAGACACATCCAGGCAGGGACCGTAGGGGAGATGGAGCTCCGCATGTACAAACTCGACATGGCGTCATATATGGGTGCAAACCAATCAAACTTGACGAACTGCAGGAACCTGAATGAACCGTGCAAACAGTGCAAACCCTTAAAGATCTTCAGGGCTGCGGTCGCTCACGTGAGATTACCTAAGGTCCAATCTTGGAAAATCTTGGAATATTCGAAGTTCCGGGGCCCGCAGTATACATTACACCGTGTAGGATGTATACTACCATCAGGTTACTATAGAGATTACTCTGTAGACTGATAAGCCACAGCCACACCATTATACACAAGAGAACAAAAAGGAAGAATAAAAGAAAATTATCTAAACCAATCATAGTACTCTGTAATTAATAAACTACAGTATATCATACGGTGTACTCTTCCTTTGTTCGATATGGTCCCAGAAAGCAAAGGGATGAACATGCCACATGCAGGCAGGAGCCCCCCCTCCGCAGTGGGCTGAGGGCTCATCAGCCAAACAAAAGGCAGGCATATACGCATTATCCGGTGAGTGGGGCTCGGATGGTGATCGGCTCGTCAGTGGCCTTACCTTAGTCCTACCCGTGAGTGGTTGAGTGGTGCGGTTCTCAGCAGTCCTCAGGGGCTCCCGCGGTCTCGCCACTTCGGGAATGGCTTTGCTCCTCCTTCCGGGGAAAATTAATATTTGCTCCTCCTCGCCCTGCTTTTTTTTTTCTCTTTCCTCTTCAACCTCCCTCCACCATCTTCACTCCTCAACCAACTCTCTTCCTTTTCCTTTGGACCTGCTGGGAAACACAATGTATGTTCTTTTCTTTATCCCTTTTTCTCCCTGCTACAGGCTGGCGGGATCTCTCTCCCGAAAGATTTTCAATTAACCCTTTTTGTTTCCCCCTCCAGGAATTCCACCGTGTTGCCCTCGGCCACCTACTGGGGCCAGTATGAGGAAATCACCAAATTCAACACCGATTTGAACATCGGCGAGAGATTGTGGGCTGCTTGGTATGCCTGGATGCAGAATGATGTCCTCGCCACCGGCATCATGTCCTTCATGATGCACGAGCTGGTTTACTTCGGTCGCTCCCTTCCCTGGATCTTCATTGATACCCTGGGCTTTTTCAAGAGCTATAAGATTCAGAACGTAAGTTGGGACTCAATCCAACGCGTCAATGGTACCCTGCTAACCCCCGGTTTCCTCTCTTTAGAACAAGATCCCCTCATTGAAAGAACAGTGGGATTGCGCCAAATTCGTGCTTCTTAGTCACTTCACCGTTGAGCTCCCTCAGATTTGGTACGTCCATTTCCCCTATGACCACCATTTGGGATTTGTCAAATCCTGCATTCGTCGCTACCAGCGCTAACAACCTTTCCAGGCTCTTCCACCCAATGGCCCAATTCTGCGGTCTGTCGACATCCATCCCCTTCCCTTCCCTCTGGACCATGGCCTACCAGATCGCCATCTTTTTCGTGATGGAAGATGCCTGGCACTACTTCTCCCACCGCGCTCTCCACTGGGGTCCGCTCTACAAAGCCATTCACAAAATCCACCACCAGTACTCGGCTCCCTTTGGCCTAGCTGCTGAATACGCGTCTCCGATCGAAGTCATGATTCTGGGTTTCGGTACTGTCGGCTGCCCGATCCTCTGGTGCGCTTTCACTGGTGACCTGCACATTCTCACTATGTACATTTGGATCGTGCTGCGTCTATTCCAGGCCATCGATGCTCACAGTGGTTACGAATTTCCATGGAGTCTTCACCATTTCCTCCCCTTCTGGGCCGGTGCCGACCACCACGATCTCCACCACGAAAAGTTCATTGGAAACTACGCCAGCAGCTTCCGCTGGTGGGACTACCTTCTCGACACCGAGTATACCCCGGATGCTCTCAAGCGCCGCAGAGAAGGAAAGCCCGGAGCGAAGAAGGCTCAATGATCTGATCTGATAATGACTCAATGGCAGCCAGTTTGCCTATTCTCATTCTCTTTGCACTCGGTCTTGGCCTGGTTCGAGCCGTTTTTTATCCCATAATAGCCTAGCCTGCTCTTCTAATATTGTTAACGGAGATAGAGAAGTTTTCTAGATTTCATGTCTTCTCAGTCCTGTCTCTTTCAAGGATCTAAATCACTTTCTTAATACATATTCAATCAAGATTTTTTACAAAATGACCTAATGAGCTAGAGTACATAGAATGGTGTTGACTTTAGACTGAAAAGCTATTCTTGGCTCATCTACGGCGCTCCCCTCATCCCAAAATTACCAGTGTTACCTAGAACGCTCTGCCACCCTCGGTGGAGCAATCCACCTACACAAATTGCTTGATCCTAACAATCAGGTAACAATTCAGGGTACTGAGTATATTACTGGGTAGGATATCAAGTAGTAGCTGAAATGTTTATGTCTCTATTAACTATTGGCAATCTACACCACTGACATACTAGCGCCAACCAAGTACCCCATGGCCCTCACTACAAGTATTCTAAAGCTATTTACACAACGCAATAATCCGTGTCTAATTCATATACGATATTCTGATAATTTTGGGACACTAAAATGAAGCACTGGGTCGATTGCAGCTATAGAGCGCTGCAATTCATCTTGGGAGAGGACTGCCGGTGTAATGGGTGCCAGCAACCAACACCTGTCAGTATCTATGTTGGCTTGCTGTCTGCCAAGTTGAGCGTCAAATAAAAATCAACTTCTTAGGGGAAATATATAAACATAATTCAGAGAGCCCCAATAACAGAAAATGAAGATTTACTAGTGTTTTTAATGTTTGAGAATACTGTCTGGTAGCCTGGGTAAATCACAGAGCTTCATGTCTACGACCTTGGACTAGGCATCGCCATAACCCATTTTGGGTTGAAGAACCCACCCAAAACCCAACCCACTGGGTTTGGGGTTATAGGGGCTATAACCTATTTTCACATAATTCATTTATAATTTTATGTAGTATATTTTAATGCTTAATTTATATCTTTTTTTTTTAGAAGGATTTAGATATTAGGATATTATATATATAGTATTAATTATTATATATTCAAATTTTAGGACTAAAATAGGTACCCACTGGGTTCCCAAATGGGTTTTGGGTTATCACCTATAACTCATAACCCATCATTGGGTTGTAGAATTGGACCCAAAACTCATTTTGGGTTGGGTTGGGTTGGGTCCGGGTTATAGTGGGTTATGGCGATGCCTAAGGTTGATCTGCCTCAGCAGCCAATTCAACCGGCTAGGAGGGCTCCTCCTACCTGCAGTGGATATGGAGTAACTGGACATAAGATTAACCAATATAGAAATCGCTAGTTTAGGATGAATTGATGCGTTTGTGTTGATATATTTTGGTTAAAAAGTTTATAATAGGGGTGGGTGCGCAGGCCGACCGTGTGCGCAGCTCGGCCGTGGATTACGTTATAGGGCGATCCATTGGGATCCAACCTTATACCTAGACCTAGACAACTTTTGACCCGAAAGGTAGCTGGATCCAAAGTTCCCTATTACACACAAGGAACCGCTGACGAAGTATCCAAATCTATAAAATTTCACTTGTTTTGGGTTCGGTCGGTGGATCTGCCCCGGTCAAAATATCGCTGAGCGATCCTTGCATATTTTGACGGCCCGCATCGCGTAGGCGTGTAATATGAGCAAGAAGCGAGACCACGATGGTAATGAAGTGCCGCTTCCATTGTACAACTACTCCAAGGGCTTCAACACACAGCCAGAGCATTTTGACTTTGACCTGATTGTTTGAACTTTGGAACGTTATGAGGTTGTCAAAGCTGTTCTGCTTGAGGCCAGGGCGAACCGAGAGCGATAAAAATGGATCCAATGCGTGAATGACGGGCTGTAGATCATTGGGAGAATATAAGATATTTAATGGTGTAATCGCTTGATATGCCTGTGGCACGTTGCTTCTCTTAAATGCTGCACCACGACAACTTTGCCATAGTTATTTAAGCTTAAGGTTATTAACTATACACGGAGGTTACGTGACGGCGTGTTATGGCGCTAAACTAGTGATGGCAAAAAGGACCAGATATAGTAATTAAGAGGTCTCGATATTACGCTTTAAATAGGCCAAGAGTCGTGGTTTGGAACTGAATATCGACAACAACTACCCCGCCCATCTTACCACCATCAGGTTACCATTTAGTTTACAGGATAGTTTGGTCTCGGTGATAGGTTTTTGTCATCTGGGGAACCAAGTTGTTCGTTAGTTAGTTACGACAATTATGACTAATATACTAGAACGAATGGGGACGTGCCGGCGTTTGAAAAAGAAAGTTTCTCTCCTATCCCATTCTTATCTTGAGAGTTCAACCGCCTTATCATTCACCATTTATATAAAGTTGATTGGTATGTGCTACAGATCTGTATTCCTAAGAGTGGATATCACGAGCTAGATGATATTATGTAGAAGCGATGAGTCTTTGCACCGTTAAGGGCAAAGAGGTTGGCGGATGTGAGGGACAATTTGAAAGTACCACGCGCCACAAGCGGGAACTATATCCAACACATCAGGCTGGTCCCCCCACTCACAAACTGCGTTACTACGAAGCAAGACAAATGTGTCGCAGAACAAAAAGCGTGTCGCAGTGACTTCAGTGAGCCGTAAAGTAGTTCCTCGGAGGTGCCGCTTTAGTAATCACAGGCATCCAATTTGGTAGTATATGTATTCGCTCTGGTTGTAGGGGTCCGTTTTGGAAGTCGCAGGGGACCAAGAAAAGTAGCAGACGATTCAACCTATAATCAGCCAGTTGGTTAGAGTTGAGGATGACTCATCAGTCAAAGCTGATAGGCACCCAAAGGCAGGGTTCCAGGCGTTAAATGGACAGCGCGTTGTGGACTCGCCAAACCGAACCTGAATACATGGCTTAAAGAGGGATGGAATGAGGATACCTCGGAATGGAAATGGTAGTTCGGGCAGATGTAGCACACACACACAACTTATCCGCAGAATTGTTATTCTGCCCTCTGGCCAGTTGCAGATTCTCTAGTATACTGATACAGGCTATTTATCGCATATCTAGCTGGTTGTTGCTTGCTTTGTAGCTTATCACAATGATGGTATGTCATTGATCATCAAGTCCAAATCAGGAAGGAGTGTTGATAACTGAAAATATCCAGAGGTTCGAGGCCACACACCGAATGTAACATCATCTGAAATAAACAATTTCTCCACCTCCATGAATCGACCCCAACCCCCTCGTTCCCTATATACTTCACCCTGGTGCTGCACGATGCCGAAGTCCTTCCTCGTGTCGTCCTGATACCACACCAAATAAACAGCACCCCCTCTACACCGGCCTTACACTTTCGAAAGATCCTCGATAAGAGTTGAAATAATAAATAGAGTCTCAAGTATAAGAAACATTATATCACAAAAAACTTATACCACGAGGAGATGCTTTCACCTCCCCGCATCCCAACCCGCCCACTCTCCCCCGCCTAGGGGTGTGCCCGGCCACCAGTGGAGGTAAAGTTCGACACTGTATTTTTTTTTCTCCTCTGGGTGCACACCCAAAGGTCCCCAGTTGGAGACCACTAGGCCGTCGGAGGGGGGTAATTGTTTGATCTGGAAGTTGGTGATAACCCTTGTTTACAATAATTGGCTCACCACTTTCGTACAAGCCCGTCCAAGTAAGCAGGGACATATGATTGATCATATTTACTATGAAACTCGCATTTCCTATTGTCCTACAACAAACCGCGCAAGAAATTCCACTCCTTTCTGGATAGAAGCAAAGGCAGCATCATTACGCTTCAACCTCGCATCAAACCCGTGAGCCATGCCCTCAACAAGATACAGCTCACTCTGCACACCATTCTTCTGCAGTTCCGCATAAGCCCACTGAGAAAACTTCGCATCAACAACGACATCTTTCGTTCCCTGAACGAAACATGTCGGCGGGAAACCAGAAGTTTTCATCAATTTCTCTGGATCTACAAGATCATACTCATCCTCAGCGATGATTGTGTCAAATTGGGTCCCCTTCCTAACGGAGATGATGAGATAGGCCTGTCGCGGTGTGCTTAGATCAAGTCCATTAGGACCGAATGGAGGACGTGCTGCAGTTGGCGGGGGGAATTTCGTTGAAGACTTGGTTGATGAATTCGGTGGAGGGTGGAGCTGGTGCACCAGGTTGGGGCTGAGTGCTCGTGCCGGTATGATAGAATGGATCACGGAGGTATTTGAAGCCGAATAGATCGAGGATGGCCTTAGGTGGGTTGGGGCGAGAAGCCTGGATGAACGAGGTTAGCTTGAGCTATAGATCAGTCTCTTCTAGCTTGCAGAACTTGTAACTCACCATCAACAATGCAAGGCCTCCACCACAAGAGTGACCGAGGGTGACGATGTTTTTGCCATTTACTCGGATGCCATGCTCTTTCTCCAGCAGTGTGGGAAGCTCGTTGCGTGCCCATTCATACGAGGCCACTGAATCGCTGACTGGTCCGTCCAGGACGGAGATGGTAGGACCAAGACGATAATCCGAAGATACAGCGATGAACCCATTTTCGTTCAGGGCTTCGATATGTGTAGCTGGTAGCATTGCTCGGCTACCAACGATGTAGCCACCTCCGTGGAAGTAGAGCGCTTCATGTTTTGGAATCAGAATGGTGTCTTCACAATTGGTGGAATTTTCCTTCTAGGGTCTCACCAATTGCCTTTACTGAGGTAATGTCTTTGGGCAAATGCACAGTGGCTGTCAGGTTTACCGTTTCGGTGCCATAATTGACCGTCTTGAACACGTAGTCGACCGCTGCCATATTTGCCAATAAATTACGCCACCTAGAAAGAATTAAACTGAAGAGAGCTTTTGAAAATAGAAAGAACTTGGAAGGCAGATACTTACGATATCATTTTAGATTGTTAATATCTACGGGTTTAAGCATATCGTATGTTCCGTTCGGCGTCAGTGGCCGCGGCCGATTCCGCGGAACCACCTCGTTGGATGTCTCCGACAAGAGGAGTTGGGCGGCACCTCGGCACGACATCAGTGAACATTGAGTGTAATGGTTACTCTGTTAGGGATCTAACGAATCTGATTGCCGTTGCTGGGAGCCGAGACCCTATGTGAAGGTCCTTTATCTCTTCCACAAAAGTCATCCTAAGGCTCCTCTCAAAATCACCTATACACGCAACTTTCGTGTGATATATAAGGACTCGAGGCTCGAAAGGAGATTCGGACTTAAGTTTCATTGACATATTTCCTTCCTCCGCCCAAAATGTAAGAGAAGTCCAAATTTCTTTGACCACAGCTGACAACGCGCTAATTATTACTACAGGGAGTATACAGCCTCATCAGCCATGTTTGAGGCGCTATGGGCCGTGAGTTTTGCCCTAGCGTATCGCAGGAAGCTCATTCGTCTTTGAAGCATTGCTAATTCTTTATCCAGGCTGGCGTACGGTATTGTTTCGTAAATTTAGGATCTGATCACCCCGCCATCATGGAAGCAATGGTTAAAGGCCAACAGGAGAGACCGGACAAGTTCCCTAAATTTATCACTTGCCCAAGTGAGATAGTTGCGCTGTCTATGGCAGATGGCTATGCTCGATTCACGGGAGAACCTCAAGCCGTCATCGTGCATGTTGACGTTGGCACTCAAGCGCTCGGCTGTGCCGTACACAATGCCAGTGTCGGCCGCGCGCCTGTGCTCATTTTTGCCGGCCTATCCCCCTGCACTCTGGAGGGTGAATACCGCGGTAGCAGAACCGAGTTCATCCACTGGCTACAGGATGTCCCGGACCAGAAAGCAATCGTATCACAATACTGTCGCTATACCGCCGAACTGAAGAAGGGCAAGAACATCAAACAGATGGTGAACCGAGCCTTGAGCTTCGCGAAAAGCGAGCCCCGGGGGCCAGTCTATTTGCAAGGAACTCGAGAGGTTATGGAAGAGATTATCGAGCCGTACGAGATTCGACAGGAGTTCTGGAGCCCCGTGGAGCTTGGCGGGCTGACACCGAGGCAGCTGAATCAGGTTGCCGAAGCCTTGGTGTCTGCTCGGGAGCCTCTCGTCATCACCGGCTATAGCGGACGTAAAACCACCGTGGTACCTTTGGTCGTTGAGCTGGCAAATATTATCAAGGGCCTGCGGGTTCTCGATACGATGGGGTCGGATCTCAGCTTCCCTGCCGATCACCCGGGCTGGCTGAGCGTGAGATACGGCTCAGACGAGGCCATCACCACAGCCGATGTGATACTCGTTGTTGATTGCGATGTGCCGTGGATCAACACACAATGCAAACCCGCCGAAGACGCGAAAATCTTTCATTTCGATGTCGACCCTTTGAAAGACCAGATGCCTGTCTTCTATATCGATGCGATCCTGCGTTGTCGTGTGAACACCGAGTTTGCCCTGGAACAAATTGTGCAACATTTAAAGAATGAACGTTCAGATCAAATCAGGGCAAATCATGAGTACTACTTAGGCCGATGGTCAGCCCTTCAGACATCCTACACACGAAAGATAAACGCAATAGCTGCGCAGGCGGAGCCGAACCCAGATGGTTCGTTCGGATGCGGCTTTCTCATCTCAAGTCTCCGGAAAGCATGTCCCATCGACACTATATGGGTCATTGAAGCCGTCACCAACACCTTCACCGTGGCCGATCAGCTACAGGCAACCTTGCCGGGGAGCGTATTTAGTTCTGGTGCAGGTGGGCTCGGCTGGTCGGGCGGCGCAGCTCTTGGTATAAAAATGGCCACAGACTCCCTTCACGGAGGGAAAGGTAAGTTTGTATGCCACATAATTGGCGATGGTTGCTTCCTCTTCTCGATCCCTGCCAGCGTGTATTGGATTGCACAGAGGTACGGGATTCCAGTACTGACTATAGTGCTCAACAACAATGGTAAGTCGAGACTTCCAAGATTCAGCCCCTACATCGCGTTGAAGAGAGTACTGGCTGACAGACAATACTTATGCAGGTTGGAATGCACCTCGGAAGTCTCTGCTTCTTGTTCACCCCGATGGACTGGGATCCCAAGTCAGCAACAAAGAACTGAACATATCATTCGATCCAAACCCAGATTACGCCACCATTGCAAAAGGTGCATCTGGAGGTAAATCTTGGGCGGGAAGCGCCAGCACTGTCGAGGAACTGGGGGTAAAGTTATCCGAGGCTGTGGATGCTGTACAAAACGGCCGGTCTGCTTTGCTGGACGCACGGATACAGTAGCAGTAATAAAGTACCGCAAAGAAGTTTTTGTATGCACATTTAGATTAGTATAAACATGTTTGTGAATGTCAAATTATTGAATTATAGAGAGAATACACAGGAATCCCGAGTTAGGATCAATTACTATCTCATGGATCACCCCTGATCACATTGAGAAGTCCCATTCGACAGCCCCCTCGAGATGAAGGCCTATTCTCATTCAATTCTCTCATTATCCGGCTTCCTTCTACACTCAGGCTTTGTGCCTGTACGAGAGGAAAGCCGGCCATTGTGATTTTGGAAAAGCGTTTCGAGGATATTTCTATACTCCGTGGCGTGACTGCTGAAATCGATGAGAGTCTTGTTTCTATAGCGGGGATCAGTAAATCTGCCATGATTACCTGAGATAGTAATACGTACTCTTGATCATGGTCTTGAATTTGTTCGATCCAGGTGATAATTTGGTTCTTCGAGTCACAAGCTTTGACTGTAGTATCCGCCATCATTTTACGTGAGAGGCAGCGGATAAGCCAGATGTCAATTGAGTTATCAGTAGCCTTGTACAGGAGCCTAATATACAAAATATGCCTTGATTCTATTCCGAACTCGGTGTCGAGTCAAATCTGAGGTCATATTGGCGGTTCCGCGGAATCGGAATTGCACGAGTGCGGGAGGAACATCCAAATTATCAACAGGAGGGCCCACTCCACCAACTCTAGAACTCTAGCATGGCTAGTTTATGTACTGTAATACAGTTCCTGTCTCTCACAAATATGCTATTCCAAGAAAAGAAGCTGTACAAATCGAAATATTCTGTTTCAGTAGTTCTACGCTATACTAAGTCTTATGACCAATTCCAGAAATTTCTCACGTCCTCTCAATGACCTTGACTTGGATATTTTGCTTGACAAACCAGCCGCTAGTGGTCTCCCACTTGCTGTCACCTGCAGGAACAAAGTCAAACCGCCGCACAAGCTGGGGTAAGAGCTTCGTCATTTCGAGGAGTGAGATATTTTTGCCGATGCATGTTCTTGAACCGGCACCAAACTGTAGACCATATCAGCACGACTACCATTCAATATGTTTTCGATACCATCCGAAAGCAAAAGGGGACTTACTGCTAAGTAATTCTGATCCAGGAAGGCAAGCTGTTCTTTCTCAACCAGCCAACGCTCAGGTCGGAATTTGTGCACATCTTTGCCCCAGATATTTTCATCTGTATGAACCACCCATGCATTCACACCCACCACGGTCTGTCAGCAGATCTTAAATTAGCAGCTGTCTCCACAGAGGCAGACTGTCGGAGTTGCTTAGAACTTACACCTTGTGGAAAGTGTCTACCTGCGATCTGGGCACCGCCCTCGGGAACCACTCTGCTGAGGATTTGGCCGACTGCTGCATGCAGCCTCAGGGCTTCCTTGATGGTAGCTTGCAAGTATGGAAGCTTTTGAGCTTCTTGGAAAGTAACTGGGTTGGAAAGGTTTCCTTGCCTGTCAGCCGTCTCAATTTCATCACGAAGCTTCTGTAAGCAATCTGGATGGTTCATAAGGAAGTAGACAATAGCGCTCATGCTGATGCCCGTTGTGTCGGAGCCAGCGCCGATGTTGGTACCAAGCACATTGTTGATTGTGGACTGATCAAGCTTTCCGGCTTTGCTCAGTTCAATGCACTTGGCTAGGAAGTCCTTGCGATCGCTGGTAGTGACACCTTGCAATCTGGCACCAATCTCCCTCAATATGACTCGTTGCGTGACTTTCCAGTGGCTATCGATTGATAAAACTTTCTGAAGCCATAGATACAGTTGATGAATCTCAGGGATTAGTCCGACCGAGGAACCATAACTGATCGATCCGACATGAACGGCATGCAGAAGCCCGTCCTTGTCGTGACCAGCTTCAAGCAGGCCGAATGACCGACCGAGGGTGATCTCACCAATTACGTCGAACGCATAGAACTGCATCCAGGTGAACAAATCAAATGCCCTCCCGTGCTGAGCATGGTTGGCCAACGCGGCCATGAAATCGCCATTTACTTTGTCCACGAATGGCTCATAGGACACCAGAGAGCTCATGGCGTACATATTGGAGATCTTCCTGCGTTCCGATGCATGTTTCTCACTGCTCGTCTCCGAAAAGACATCCTTGTGGTCTAATGGCGTACCAAATGGAGTATAATAATCGGATTTGGGAAACTTCGAACCGGTGCCGTAGATGATGCGAATTGCCGTCGGGTCGCTAATGCTATAACGGTTCGGGGATAGCCGCACGATAGAACCTGTCAAAATTTAGCATATACATATTCATATTGTGTCGGTCAGACTACCATATTGTTTATGTAAAGTGACTGTAACATGCTCCAATTGGCCTTGCCAGTTCTTGTACACCTCCCATAGACGAGTGTATCGCGCTAGTGTTGGACCTTTGACATCACGCAAAGGGCTGAAAAGACCGACGAGTAGATAACGCAAGACTAAAAGGACGCTTGCTGCGGTGATGAGCATTGGCACATCATATTGAAGGTTTGCAAGTTGAGAAATCATGCTGCGAAGAGCTCAGCGCCACTCGAAGTTTGGACAACTGAACACAATAGAACCGAAGCCATCTTAATTATCTGCTCATAATTTACATCCTTTCATCAACAAGGTCGTTTCCGACGATTCCGCGGTGAGACCGATGGGTCTTGGAACCGGGAACGCTTTAACCGTGGGGAGGTAGGGATCGTCATCTACGGAACGAGAGCCGCGGAAAGCCTGAATCATGTAACTTGGACAGTATTGGAAAGTTGGCTCACGGCTCATTAAGCTCAAGCTTTGTGCTTGATGAAGACTACTTGTAGATTTCTGAGTACAAACATGGGAAAAATATACATGATGTCATGGCTTGACTTGTGAGCTAGATAGATTTTAGGCTGGGGTTTTTTACTTGCGTACGACCTGGTCTTCCTTGTTGAACCAGCTTCTCACTTCAAGATCGTTTAATCACTAGTGTTTACTTGTGCTTCATGCTCTTTGAACCCCCGTAACCATATCGCGCCTTGACATCAGCTATGCATATGTAGTTCGGTAAACTGGAGATGGCTCGACCTTCTTTCATAATAAGAAGCCACTAGTTACCCTACGATTGGTGTTGATCAATCATCATGGTGAAAAAAAAAAATCAATTTCACTGTCTACGGAAGCCTATTTAATTGAGAGTACTTGGTGCTGGGCACGACATCTTTGATAGGACCCGTCAACATGGGCAGAGGCATCTCAGGATGGGGATTCGGAACCCAATTTCCATGGACCTGGTTGCGTGTTTGGAAAGGCATCTGCGCAATGGCTACTGGCTTCGAAAAGTCATTAGTGTCGAGGATTACCAATTCCCCCTTGTTTGACGAATCTCTTTCCATATAGAATATGACCCAACCATCGCCTTCTTCACAGTCAGGCCCTCGAGGGATATATGCGGGCTCTGCGACAGCCCCGTCACTGGCGGCATGGAAGATTAACTTCTCGCCCGTCTCAGTGTTCAACTTGATGATGGCATTGAAATGAGGTCTTTCTTCTCCTTCTGGGGCTATCATAGCAGTCAGATAGACGATCTTAGTCTTGTAGCCGGTCTTGCGCTCGTCGAAGATGGGGAAATCAAAGATGCCCTCTAACAGTGTCTCAGGTGTTGGCAGGGCGGTTCCATCAGGCTTAGCAAGATCGATGGTCCAACGTTTCCAATCGCCGCTGGGCTTGCCATTGGGACCCTCGTAATCTTTCGGGTTGAAGAAGTCAAAGACATTGAAGGTGACGAAGTGACTTTCAAGCTTCAATATGCCACCTTCTTCCTCCCAGGCATTACCGCTGTGGATTATCAGGCCGTGAGGAGCGGTATACTTCCGGAACTCGCCTGGCGCCCAGTCCGGATGGTTCGGAATGTTTGCATAGCGTGGACTGATCAAAAATTCCGAGGGTTGATCAGGGACAAATCTCCAATAGTCGCCTCCGGCTCTCATCACCTCATCCGTGTTGACGTCGAATGGCATGTTGGAAAGGATGATCCAATTCTCGGTGATCCAGCCATCGTGGGGCCACCCGGGCTTATCCTGCTTGAACCAGTGCTCATTGGAGATACGTCCATTGGGATCAATCGAATAGGTGCAGATGTCGGGAGTGCTGAGGCCCTTTGCAGAGTAGCTCCAAGTGACAAGCTCATTCTTGTGAGGATCGACTTTGGGGTGGGCTGTAAAGGTCATCGCAGCGACCTGGCCACCGTATGGATCCGCGCCTCTTGTGTCAAGAGTGTCCGGATCCAGCGCCCACGGTAATCCCCTTTCAGCCAACGCGAGGAGATTTCCACCCCAGTAGATGATGTTGGTGTTTCCGGTGCTGTCATTCGCATATCGCACGCACGGGTGGATATCGTAGGGGTTTCGGTAACGGCCAAAAAGGCGACGACCAGCCTTCCGCTCGAGAAGCCATCTTTCAGTGTGGATATATTTGATTTTCATGGAGATCTTGCCGCCCTGAATACGGAAGGCACAAACATGCCCATCCCCATCGACGAAAGGGGTCCCAACTTGCGGGCAAAAATGAGGATCGATGAGCATCCGATACCAAGTACCGCTGATCTCCGTGGGGAGATCACCAAAGACGACCAGCTCGTCTAGTTCACATTCAAATCGACCTTGAGGAGCAGCGTCGGTAGGATGATAGTAGTGTTCCCATGGCGAGGTGAGCCCGAAGTGGTTCACATGCTGGCTCTTTTCGGCTGGAACAATGATTTCAGCCTGTGCGGCTGCTGCGTCTAGCGTCGCCATTGCTTTCAAGTGTAGTTTAAGATAATATCGATATATGGACAAGTATACAGTATACGGGGCTTGAAGTGCAAACTTTAAGCTTTGCTATATACCAAAAAACAACCATATTGTTGCCCAATGGCTGATTCACTGCTCTGCTGGCCCATTACAATTTTATGGCCGCGGAAAATAGTTTGGTTCGAGGCCACTCATTCCGCGGAATCTTTCTCAAGGTCAAAGTTGACAACAGTCACGTTGGCAAGACTCTTCCTTCGCCACTTTCTCACCTTGTCATCAATTCGAAGCCACCTTTGTGCCTTGGAACCTATTGAGTACTGGATGTTCAAGCAAGACAGCCTCGCCTCGCCGGTACTTCGACAAAAGGATTTGCCGTTATCATCCTTCAATCTCTTGCACGGAGAGGTCATTCTATGAATCATTTGAGAGCCAAAGATAGGAAAAGCTTCTCGCAAAAACACCTTCTCGAAGTTGTATGAGACTACTGATACTGAGGACTTTACATCAGGAACTCAAGTCAAGCGGTACTTGATGATATTCACTCGGTTACCCGGCAGCACACCAAGTCATTTATGTGATATCAACTGCGGAAGAAAATTGAAAGCGCGTTTCGAATAGTGATCGTTATTTTACTAAGCTCGAGATTTGATTCGTGAACTCCTTGGATAGTGCTCGTCCGACTTGACCCTCTTGTTTGACTCATTGTGACGGCTTGATCCTTCATGGCTGTCTCTTGACCTTCGGTTGAAGCGCACGGGCTATCGGAATACTGTAAGCTCACCTGCACTCAACTCAGCCATTAGACTCAATATCCCTGTAGGGGGTCCCAATAATAATTGGCAAAGTATCCCTGGTACAGCAATGGCCAAGTCTGACACTTGAAACGTTCCGCGGAATCTTCGTAGTGTCCAATTGAGCAGCCGATTGGGTCGCTCCGCATGAACTCTCTTACGCCAGATTTCCCCACATCCCCACACCCCACAAGCCCTAAGAACCAAGTACATATGTACAGTTGTAAATACAAATCTCTTACTTTACCACGCTCACCCGCGGTGATATGCTTGGATCTACTCATCCAGGATCTAGACGTGCAACTTGAATTATGTCTCATCCTGCAACCGAGCTTGAAAGCTCTGCTATCACCCATCGTCTTCGTCCAACGGAAACGCTTGGCCATGTTCGACTCCAAGATGAAGTCACGGGGGCAACACTTCTCGTGCCCCAGCCCTCGTCTGATCCAAATGATCCTCTCAATTGGTAAGTCCTTTACACGTTACACGCGTCATGGTCTCTGAAATCACGTTAATCTCAAGACCTCCATCACAGGTCGAAAGCTTTCAAGATATACGTTGCCATGCTGACATGTGTAGCGTTGACCTGGATCAATTTCTTTGCAGGTGGACCCGGAGCGGTTTTGGTTGAGATAGCCGTCGACCTCTTTGGTGTATATCCGCCCGACCCCCATAATCCTGCCTCGCTATCTCCAGCCTCGATTGCAGGATTCTCATCTGCAGTGAGCAAAACCGCTTTACTATTTTCCACGGCTTCAATGGTAGCGGGCGTGAGCAACCTTTTGTGGGTCCCGCTGGCTGTTAAGTATGGCCGTCGGGTGGTATACACTTTCTCATTCCTCGTTTTCGGACTCTGCTGCATCTGGTCGGCACGCGCTACTTCTTATGGTAGTCTGTTAGCTTCGAGGATTGTTGCAGCATGGTTTTCCGGCAGCGCCGAGTGCGTTGCTCCTATGACGATCGCGGACATCTTTTTTCTTCATGAAAGAGGTAAAATGACAGCGTATGTAAAGACCTGTGCCTCCGATCCTAGCTGTCACGACGCTGCTAGACTTACTAACAGCATTTTTAGAATGTACTCAGCCGCGCTCTCGACTGGTGCCGCTTTTGGCTTGTTGATCTCCGGGATCATGTCCATCTCACAGAACTGGCGGATGTTCCACTATCTGTGCGCTGCTCTCGTTCTTGCCACGACGGTCTTAATCTTCTTCACTATGCCCGAAACCGCATTTCAGAGGCATCTCGGTCCAATAGAGGAAGTGGCAAACGAGAAAGTTTCCAATATGGCCGAAGTGGAGCACATCGAGGTGTCCAACACACCCAAGAAATCCTTCACTCAGCAGATGGCCTTCAACCGTGCCCCTCTCACCCATGAGAGCATTTGGAAAATTGCCTTCCGCCCTGTGCTTATTCTTTTCTTACCGCCAGTCTTCTGGTCCACGGTTTCGTTTGGAATAGGAATCGGGATCTTCGTTGTGCTAGGCACCACAGCCGCAACAGCCTTCTCACAGGTCTATGACTTCGCAGTCTGGCAACTGGGATTGGTCTGGATTGCGGGAATTGTTGGTAACCTACTTGGCATACCGTTTGGCGGTTATTTTTCCGATTGGGTAGCCGATCGTGCCACTTCGAAGAATAGAGGTGTTCGAGAGCCAGAGATGCGTCTTCCCGCCGTGAGCATCGCCATGATTACTTACCCTGGATCACTTCTTCTCTATGGTCTGGGTATTAATTACAAAGCTCATTGGATTGTCCCTACATTGGGAATATTTCTGTGTAAGACCTTTACTTCAGCATATGTCGACAGGAAGCAGCTTACTGACCTCATATTTACAGTCTCGTTCGGAAGTAGTGCTGCGATTGGTATTACTGTGGTCTATACAATTGACTGCTACCGGCCAATTGCCGGGGAGGTCGTGGTGAGCCAGGTTGTTTTCAAATGTAGGTTTTTGCCCATTTATAAAAGCCCACGATGCCTCCAATGCTAACAGACCAACTTTATAGCCTTTATCACCTTTCTCATGTCCTTCTATGCGAATCCATGGGTGGACCGGGACGGATATGCAGGGGCATTCGGCGCCATGGCTGGCTTCAGTTTTATTGTCCTGGCGCTATGGATCCCTCTGTACATCTGGGGCAAGAAGATTCGTCATGCCACTCTCAAAGGGCGCGTAATGCAGCATATCCATTGGGATGTGGACAGAGAGACGGGCGAGTAGGTATTATGTGGTCATATCCTGGACACCTGTGGAGAACCACCTGTACATAAACCCATTATGAAGCCCCTGAGCAGAAAAAAATTGCGCCCTTATGCTCCATTTAATTAACATAATGACAATGATTGTACTCTCCATCTTACCTATAATAAGTATGTTCCTAGGATCTATAGTAACAATTGACTAAATACTTTATCAGCTTAGCGGAAGGTTCAGTCGCCATTGCAACGACCAAACTGGATGATACTTTCAACCCCTTCTTATACATCGATAATACTTTGTATACCTGAGAAATGGAGGATCTTATACCTATCCTGCTGGGTGCCTTAAATTCTAATGTGGAATTAAGAGCGACCAGTGGGGGTTGGCTCCCTGAAGTGTCTCGAGCAAGATTTTCGTTGCACTTTAAACCCATTTCATATCCCAAAACATAATGCGCTCATGGTTGAAAACTAGCAAATGGTACTCTACTCTCGGAATAGTCCCCGCTTATGGTTTAATATTGTATGAAAAAGTTCACCTCGTAATCCTCAAGTCAAACAATGAATTGAATTGAATGGTTTTTTCTAATAAGCCGTCCAACGATGGTGGCACTGAACCGCCTTGAGCATGGAGAGCGAGCTCTGCGACTTGATCAAGGAGTTCATACATCCCAAAAAGCAACACACTGTTCTGTAAATCCGGAACAAACAAACGAAAAAGATGAGTGGGGCTTCCAGTCCAAATTCAGCAATTCGCCTCGACGAACTATCGCTAGTGGCAGACAGTCTATTACGTCGGTAGGGCGATAACAGGAACGATGATCTTCGAGTCGTACTTTCCACCAAAATGAATTGTATGCCGTCCTTCGTTCAGATTGTCGAGTTTCTTATCGATGTGGCTGGGGAAATCGGAGCTCGTATCAATGAAGCCTTGGACTCGGAACAGCAGACTCTCCCCCGCTTCGAAGTGAATGCCCATAGGCCAAAGAGAGATTTCGAGCTTCACAATCTCTCCTGGAGGTACCTTATCTTCCTTGTCATGGGGGTGGTATGGAATCATGGCCGTGCTCCGTTCCAGATCTTGGGCGCGATGCGAAGCCCGGAGAATACCGGTTGGACCGGTATACTATAGCATAGAAATGGTCAGCGCGTGATCAAAATTCATTTTTGAAGTATATCTGTTCGGATCAAACCGCTCACCTTGATAGTCTGTGCCATGGGCACATCGTGTTGAGTGTTGACCCCTTTTGGCAGAGATTCCCAGGGGACATTGACGTGTTCTAACACCTCGCCGTCCTTGCTCAGCTTTCGGATCGACACATAGACGTCCATGTCGTCCTTTTCCTTGCAAGACATCCAAAGCTCGGCTTTTGAATGGCCAACAAGACTGGTTGCTTTGTTGAAGGTCAATACAAATTCAGACGGCTTTGCTTGGTAGCTGTCCGCGTGATGGGCGACAAAGCCCTCGTGAGCTTGCAGTGAAGTGGCCAACTTTCCAGAGTCCTGCAAGTAGAGCCCACGATACTCGGACGACGGAATAGGGTAGTCTGCAAATGGCACGTCCCACATGGGTCCCTTGTGAAAACTGTCAGATGGCTTTGGGATGTTTGTTTCATCTCAACTTACAGGCTCAAAACGATTCCCATAAGTGAGAATGGAGACCCTAGCCTTGGGAGTTTCCTCCCAACCATTTTCAATGTTCTTCAAGTACCGATCGAAGAACCGTTGTAGGTCATCGATATACCTAGGGGTGTAAAGATCAAACCACTCCTGGGTCGGATGGAAGCGGATCCATTTGTCCTTTGAAGCGGCCTGGTTCCAGCCCCTCACGGTACCAGCCCCATGATTTCCCGAAGAATAACTAACGAGGGCGTAGATCGGTAGCGTAAGATCACTGGTGTTGTAGACCTTGTCCTCCCAGTAACCATTGAAAAGAGCCCATTTGTTGAGCGCTTCGCCAATGTCCTCCCGGTTATTTCGGCCACGAATCGTTTTATTGAAGATGAACGAAGCGAAATTGTTTTTCGGAACACCACCACGGCAGATTAAGTCACGATACTTATCCGTGAATCCTTCCCAGGGTGCGATGCACTTGAGCGACGGGGGCTTCGCGATGGCGGTTGCCCACTGCTCTGTTGCCAGCCAGGAATTGCCGCACATGCTGACAGCACCATTGCACCAAGATTGAGCTGCGACGAATTCGACAGTGTCATAGCCGTCCAGACCTGTCGGCTGTTAATAAACGCTATACTAATATTTTTCGGAATGAGCAGCAGCACACCCATCTGACTTCCTTCAATATAAAGATCACCTTCACTATCCCAGGTACCTCGGATGTCTACGTTGACAACTGCATAGCCCCGGGGACACCACTCAGCAGGATCAGGTCTATGTCTCGCGGTCAGCATGCCTTATCTGCGGCCTCGATTAGGTCTTACTTACCCTTCGAATTTCTCAAGGCCGGATGTGGCACTCTCTGGTAGCCCGAGTCGGAAGGGAATATTGTCGAAAATGCGAAATCCTTGCAGCGATATTACCATCAGGTTTGTTCGAACTTAACAAAGCGCTGTCATTTACATACCGTGTCCATTTTTACCGTACGGGCTCACGGCCAAAATGGCCGGGATTTTGGCATCTGTGACAGGCCTGAAGATGTCACAGTAGATCTGAGAGCATCAAATTAGTATACTTTTAGAAAGACTCTGAGATTTGACAAACCTTGACTCCGTCTCTAAGTGGAATTTCGACCACTTCGTCAAATATAGTCTCCTGGTGAAAGGGACGCCTGCCCTCTGTAAATCTCCAGCCTACGGGAAGTGTTCTAGTGTTTCTAGTTTGCTTCCTGTAAGGATACATATTCGTTTGATCTTCAGGTCGGTTTGTTGGTGTCCATGGGATAGGAAATCCCCGAAAGTCAAGTTTTGGTCCGGCCATGATGTAGCAACCTCGTTAGCCGATACTACGTAAGAGATAAAACGCAGGTTCTGGAAATTCTTAGATGTGATAGACTAGACTGCTCTGGAATTCAAGATGTACTTGTACTATTCAGCATACATAATGTTGGTCTTGATATCAGACAGCCATCTCAGCTTCCGCGGAACTCGAGGCTATTCCGGCGAACTCGGAATCTTGCCGCGGCGGCTCGGGTGAGTCCACCAGCCGGGAAGTATCCCAGCCTTGGAAATTCCGTGGAAATGTGCTTTCTAGTTTTCACACCGATGATGACTTCGTAAGTGGAATATTGGAAGCTTGACAGGAATAGAAATTACTGAAGAACAGGATCATTCGTGGTGATACCGTTTATGGAAGATGGGTGGTAGTTCTGTGATTCTATGACCTATGCCCGCGGGGGGGGGGGTTCATCTTTTGAACATTCCAAGGCTATTGGATGTTATGTCAAGGTGGCTTGACACCTGCCTAGATAATCCACATGTCCAGAGGATGCATCGTATTCCGCTTAGGCTAGAAGGTTTCTAAGTAGCTATAAGATATGTACACAGGCCTGGTCTAGGTATCCTATTGTTGAGCCGAACAAAGGATAATTTGCTCCGGCTATCGATCAAGGTGCTCATAAGTTCTAATGTTACCGATTATATCGTACATGTCACTAGGAAGGCGTTCCCATTCAATTTTTTCGATATTTCTTGCGTCGCTTTCCTCCGTTGGTCAACTTTCGTCTTGCTTGCTGTTCCTTCGAACTCCAGCACAATAATTTATCCAAAAAGCAGAAATATCCTTGCGGCTGTTTAGGGAATGAAACTCTTTTTGCACTTCCCAAGAGAAGTGACTTTGAGGACCAAGGTAAGCCTTCCTTAGGGGGGGGAGGGTGAAGAGGGATATTAACAGGTTCAATTGAATAGCTGGAAAGAGGGAGAAAACAAATGTTGTTGACAATATATAACCACGCAAAAAGCAAAGGGAAACAGGCGGCAAATTTTGAGCTGGACAGGAGATCCAAGAACCAGGGCAGGACTTTCAGAGACCCCCAGAGCAAACAAGTCCATGATGCACGCACTCTGGACGGGACCTGATCCACTATATGCAGGCAGGAGGCAGCAAAAGCGGTGTACTGCGGCAGGAGTACGTAAGCGGCAGACGGCCGGACTCGTTATCTCCGAGATCCGAACTCCGACCCTGACTCGACCACTTCAACCTCTCTCTCTCTTAAACGGATGTCCAATCAGCATCAGTATCGGCACCCCTTGACTTTACCCTTTGCCGATGGCAATCCATCTCGGTAATTTTGCCTTTTATTCCTGAACCAAACACTTCTTTTATCGCCATCTGTGAGGGGTAAAGCCTGGTGACTCGAGATACCCACTCCTGCCCCACGCCTTTCGTGGAACCCCAGAATCTGTCCGGATACCCATTGGTACACACCATGAATGACTAGTCCGCATTCGTTATACCGCGTGAGGAGTGCGGGGAGTGTAGATCTGGTGCCACTCTAAAAAGCGAACGAAGCGGCTCATCCCCTTATTTGCTCCGCATGTCTTCCAAGACTTATCTTGACCCTTCAGGCCCATGGCAACATGAAAGCTGCTACATCTTCAGCTCCCTCGAAGGGTAAGAGGTCACCGGATGCTCTCCGAGAGCCCAGGCCCCGAAAGAGGGAGAAATATGCAAAAATGGCCTGGTAAGTAGTGCCTTTTTCATACAGGACAGAAAGGTCAGGTTGCTGACCCGAGAATAGCTCCCTATGCAAGATCCGAAAGGTCAAGTGTAGCGGCAGCCAACCCTGCAATCGATGTGAGGAGCTCCATAGCCAATGTACCTACAGCGAACCGTTTCAGCCTGAGACTCTTGAGTATGGCCCCCCTGAATACGAGGGATTATCATTCCAGTCGTGGTTGCGTCAAATCTAATTATCGAACAGCGGCTTCGACCCACAGCCGGCACGCCGAGACTCCGAAGTCACGGTCTCGCAGATCAACAGGATATGTGACCAGATGCAACAATCTATCAGCCACTCTGATCTCGCTCCTCCACGTAGGTCTTCCTGTCTGCAACGAAGACAAGAGAACGACGAGCATTCCCAGCCAAATAAGCCTCTCACTCCCACGGATCCGGGTCACACCTTGAGCCTCACGCAAGATGCTATGAGAGAAAGGGGCCTGCTATCTCCTCTGCACTCCGAAGCTGGCCATCCAGTCGCTCGAAATGAAGTCAAATTCCCCGATACTTTGATCAACTTACTACAGGCTGCACGGCCCTTGCTAGAACTCGGTCACCAGAAGGTCACTCAGCTCTTTACAATATTCAAGAACGAGGTTTACCCTTTCTATCCTTGTGTCAGCTTAGACCTGGGCAACGAAGCTATCAACGATGTCTTTTCAATGTTGAATAATACTTCCCACGGGGCCATTCTCAATGTGGATATAATCGATGTGGAGATCACAAAGGCGGTTGTGGCAATTGCCTTGCTGCTCAGAGATGACACACAAAGCCCTTTGGCCTCTGATCTTGAAGGCCAGTTGGTGTGGAGCGTGGATTATTGTTTCGATCAAGAGAAGCCCCAGGTTGAAGATATCGTAGTGGCAATATTGCTGGTAAGATGCTCAGTCCGTCTCCAGTCACGCGCGCCCATTACTAACCAATGGGCAACCCTGGCTCCCACGCAGTCTATTTATCTCGGCCTCAAGAACAGACCAGTCAAGGCTTGGCGAATAGCTGGAGTAGCTGCCAAGCTGTGTCTCGAATTTGGTCTCCATCGAGAAAGGTTCTTCGAAGATTCTCAAGTGCTCCAACGGCGAATTACCGACTGGAAGCGTCTATTTGCCTGTGTTTATCGTCTTGACAGGCAATGCAGTTTCTATTCAAGTCTACAGTGGACACTTCATGACAAAGAAATAAATTTGTCCGCACTCACAGTAGTACGGCTTTCTATCGGCACATTCGAGTGCATATGACTATGATCTTGTGGCTAACCTTTTTTTTCTTGGTCTAGGAACCGCAAGAGTCCTACATATCAATCATGATCTCCCTGGACAGGAATCTATCCGAGACATGGACGGTCGTCAACGCTCCGTCATCTCAATCCAAAAACAACGAGGAACGAGTCGAATTTCTTAACTTCCAACTACAAAAGTGTGTCGACAAGATACCAACCGGGGACTTCAAGTCCCTAGAGCCAACAGTATCCCCACCACCATGGCTACAAGCTGGACTGAAAAAGTTCTGCCGCCTCCGCGTGCACCACATCAAAATACTCACACAAATAAGCGCATCGGGCTCAATCAGGGATTTAATCTCGAACCCAACCTCAACCAATACCCTCGTTACCGCAGCCGCAAAATCAGTCGATCTGCACTTAGAAATGGTTAACGCTGGCGAAATCAGCCCCCTCGTGTTACCCACAATGATGAAATTGCTTCTGGCCTCTATATCAATCTTGATGTTTGCCGTCTCACACTGTCCAGACAAGTATGGACCACTGTGTAGCAAGCCCTTCGAAACAGCCATCCATATCCTCAGCGACGCGCAGAACTACGTCAGAGACCCGGGTTTGAATATTTGGGGTACCTTACATGTATTGGAGAAGGTTGTCCAAACGAGCCAGAGGTCACGGTCGCAGCGGTCAGCGCCCTTGATCGGTTGCAAGGAAGATATTAGCAGTAGTGTCGATCAGGGGGGGGGTCTTCTGTGAAGGAAGTGTGTTTGAGGAGCTTCCGACGCCGGACTCGGAATTCTTCTCCTTGTTGGGAAGTATGGGAGGGACGGATATACTGCATATGGATAACATCTTTGGCTAATCGCCGCAGAGAAGGTTTGACATGATCACGTCCTCGCCAGGTGTCTGTGCTGTGAATATTATTCATGCACCTATATTTGTCTTTGCACAACTTGTATAATATCTTAGGAGAGCTTGTCCATTGTCGTGAGATGATTGTTCTTGACATCTAAGAAATGAAATCGTACAGACAACACATTTTACAGTCTATTGCGAGGAGATAAGGCAAAACACTTCTTACTGCTGGTATAATTGTATGAATGACATGTTTATTAATGACTCTAATCAGAAGAAAAAGACCAGGAAACCCTATCGACCAAATAATATTTTCCGTGGTATCAAGTAGAACCCCGAGATGCGAGCCTCCCAAAGAGAATCTTCCCTTACCAACTATGTGTTTCTTTTTGCTATCCAACCCAATTCATCACATTCTATTCATGATACAATGTTCACTGGCAGTACAAAAAATCTAGGAAAGGGGAAGTAAAGTGACAATCTGGACCCTTCTGAGGAAAGAAGGACCAGATGAGGTATAGGGGGCATGACTCGGATGAAGGGGAAATCATTAAACGAAACAAAAGGATGGGCCAAGCTCATCCCGGCGAGAACAATGCGAGAAAGGAGAAAGTCTAGACAGACTGCTCGAAGAGGGCGATGGTCGAACAGAAGTTGCTTGTGTTAGGCTTCTCGGGATCCATGCTCTTGCCAGCAGACGAGGTAATCATGTTAACGGCAGCCTTAGCGCCGAGACCGTAGATGTGGACCTCCGAGCAGTCAGCCTCAACCATGTTCTCCTGGCAGTCCGAATCCGACCGGTCTATAAGAAGTCAGTCTTATTGATTCCACTCACCTTGTTTGAGGGACCAGAACTTGATTTCAATGTGCTGTTTGTGTGGCTGGCCTGGCACGTCCTGCATTGGAGGCTGGGCATTGTTGGTTCAACTACTCTGTGTTGGTATGTGGTCGGTGTCTCTATGTATTGCTTGCGCTGGCTGGTTGCCCGAGACTGGCAGTGACCAAATTTGTATATTCTCTGGTCGATACCATTCCTCGGGCGAAGGCCGATGATGAAGCAGATTGAGCTCTTCCTTGAGCCGTTCGCTCTCCATCCTTTTTTCCAACCGCTCTTGCTCCTCTTGGGCCCTCCTCGGGCCATCAAGGAAGACCTCTAGTTCTTCCGGCCTAGAGGGACTGCATGTCTTTGACAGACTGCCTGTTCCTGAAGAAGGTAGCCGCTGTGGTGCAGAATCGACTTGTGTCTGAACATCGACCCCGAGTGCAGATGCAGTAACTAACTCTTGCTCCTCTCCCGTTGCTCCATCCTGGCTCTATTAAAGCAGGACTGTTTCCAACGAAATTTTAATGCATTTGTTCACACCATCGCCAATTTCTGGAGCAGCTCTGGGCGAACGGCGCGAGGATGCCGCGTCCAAGGCTGGTTTGCTCTGTGACTCTCTGGGAGTAGAGTGAACTCTATCTGAAGGACTTCTTTGACCTAGACTGCCTAGAATGAAATACCCATTTTCCGGAGTAGTCTAGCTCCATATATTCAAGTTTATTGTCGGAATTACTTGTTTGGTGGGAAACATGTTGGCGCGCTACGACTTCGTATCTTCCTCTGCTGGGGGATGTTGCACTTGGTGAAGTCGTTTGTCGTTCGTGTTGTAATTCGAAGGAAGATCCATTATTTGTTTCAGCGGGAATAACTGAAGCTATGTATACAATGAGAAGATCAAGTTGATGGAAATCAACTTGACTCTGCGTTAACATATCTCGAGAACTAATTCCAATGGTACGGCTTCGTTCCTAATCTGCACCAGCCTCATATCACAACAAGAATGATTACCTTCCGTAGCGGATTGTCAGCACCGAGTGACGGGCCTTGAAACTCCCACGATGACCAGAACGTACTTTGCCCTCTCCGGTTCATGGAGGATTGGGCTATATTCGCAGCTTCCAGTCGCGCGAAGCTGAATTTCGGCAGGACCAAGTCAGTTTCTCGCTGGATGGCCGGCTTGACCGACCATGAAGATCTACATATCATGAATGGTCAGTAGGGAGCATATGGAGGCGTTTCCTAGCTCACCTTTCTCGCAGCCCGGATTAAAGTCCTAAGGCTAGGCAAGGTTCTTCAGTGGGGTTTGTGGCGAACAGTATAGAAACGTGGCTGGTACTGTACTCAAGGAAGCTTCTACATCAGCATGGTGTCCAGTGCCTAAGAAGCGGTACAGATACCGTCCGTAAGCATACAGTATTTTGTAATCCAGCATAGGCAAACTTGAGACGAGGTCACAGGTGTCAATATGATCGCAAGTATGAGGATTCGGATGCAGTCCATACCGGAGAGTAAACTACGTGGATGTAGGCCGAAACGATACCCAACATATATGTGTATGACTCGTGTTGTCTCGTACGGGCATAAGCAGTGGCCAGGCAGATCTTCAAATGTGTCAGCACAAATGTCTTGATAGAGGAGAAAGTTAGGATCATTTGCCCAGGGCTGATTATGATATGTTCCGCGAATGACTGCTGTGTTGGCGAGAGACCTGGTGTATTTATAATGCGGCGGCGCATCTTGTTGCTTGTGCACCTGCAATCGCCATTGTGGGTTGTGAGGGCCCCAACAGAGCTAGCCCTCCGATTATGGGCTGTTAACCCATTTCACAGTTGATTTTATGCTACTTTTGTTGGCAACGCAGTTTTGTTCTCGGTGACCAACTTTTCTGTAATCTGATTCCGGGGTTTCGACATCCTTTCAGCATTCGTCACGCAGCTATCACAGGACAAAACACCAACAACGCGTCGTGTCAACTGTTATGAACATAGATCTGAAGTAGTCGAGACACATACTCGTTATTGCTGCAATAGGTGGCGCAAAATGAGGTTCTGCGGTCTCAGTTTACTTGTTCTCGCCAACGATAATTGCCGATTTAGGCTGATGAATACTCGATGACACTTGACATTGTTTTCTTTTGTCAAGGCCGAATCGTGGTCGATCATCGTATGGGTATGTCGGTAGGCGGATTTACCGACTAGCCTACTTTTGACATTATATTGTTGATATTGCTGTTGATAGGTGATGCTTCGGTGTTAAAAATGCCGATGTTTGTTCTTATTGTCGTTTTTTAGATACTAGTGGACAGATAGTCATATAGTTATATGTATATATGCACGTGCTCCCAGCCTCCATGATCATTTCAGTGACCGACCGGGATGGTCCGCGTCGTCAGGGTGACCCGCGGGTCGTGGAGATGTCTAATCTCAACACCAACATTATGCTTGTAAATTATAATTCGAGGGTTGGTATTGTCTTAAGAAATAATGTCTCCTCTCCTGCCTGGGATATCTAAACCATCAAATGAGTTGCTTCATTTGACGTCTGCCATTCAGCCTTTCTGGATATTCTCTGGGATGCACTCAGTAGAGTTATAAAGCGACCTTCTATCTTTACTTGCACAGTTTCAGGGACATAACTACACGTGGCTGTATACAGGTTCAGGCAGGAATGACCACAGCTTCCGATGTAATTTCGTATTGCAGCATTGAATAACCTAACTTGATAATCTAGATGCATCGTATCGATTCGTACCACATACGGACGGATTACTGCCATCCTAAAAGAATCCAATAACTAGCCCGATGTGCTCTGCAATTTGGACCATTAAAATCGAATGGCATGACGCTTGACAAGTGCAGCCTTGGCTCGTGCAGTAGCGTTGCTGCCACCCCCGGCCTGGTGGCCGCTGATGACCTGGTTGACTTGGTTGACAATTGCAGCCATTTGAACTCCTGTACGTGGGATTAATGAAGGATAGTACATCAAACTATGTGGTTTGATATATGGTGTTATTCCATTTCACCTACCTCCTTTCTGGTCTGCATTATTGCCATACCAACCGACCCAATCCCAGCAGGCGTTAGGGTTGGGAAGCATGCTTCCGCTCCAAACGGTATGAGTTGAGGAGTCCGCAATTGCCTGAGGGAAAACAACAATGATCTTATTCGTATCTGTGGTAAGGAATAATACACATTAGTGATGTAATATAATTGGGAGAGGGTTAGAATGGTGTGTTCTTACCAGCCCAATTTTTTATAACCGGTGTTGTCGACAAATTTGGACTGAATCTGGCTGTGGCTCTGCAGGCATCCGTGAAGCGCGACATGTAGCTTACAGACAGTGGAGCCATTCTTACAAGCAGCGGGAACATACAGATAGCCCGTGCTATCCATGCCGCTGGCCCTAAAGGAGGAGCTCTGGTCAAACGAAACAACTTCACCCGACAAGGAGCCACTATTGCGGGCAGCTAATTCACCATACATCCACTTCAGGACTGCTCCGGCGCCATCATACTTACAGTTGCTGATATAGGGGGATGAGGCAAAGCCACACTGGTTGTCCCCGGCACCGTCAAAGTCGGTCGGGAAGGTGTGGGCAGCACCTTGAGTAGTGACATGGGTGGTCGAAGCCGCGTCCGCAAATTTAGCCAGCTGCCCTTTCAGCTGACTCATGGTGTCGGAGGTACCAACTTGCATGTAGATCTTGCGACTCTTCAAGTTAGCGACCGAGTCGATTTGGTTTCCACTCCATGAGGTCATGTTGGAAGTGGGTGCTATAATGGACGGGTTCCCATTGTTCATGCACATCGTGTACTAAGGTCAAAGTGATGTTTACGGTGCGAGTGCCATTAATGGAAGCGCAATCATCGCTTACGTCTTGTGCCCGAGCACAATCAAGGTGTCGGGATAGGCGACCCCAAGTTGGGCTGCCATGAATTCACCGATCGACAGTCCTGATACGGATACAGAATTGGGGTCGACGTTATACGCCCCAAGTGCGGTGGCAGACGTGCCGACAGCAAGTCCGGCGATAGGCAGGTAGTAATTGCTAGACAACATTGTTTGCGGTCTTTTTTGAAAGGAAAATGGTAAGTTGAATGAAGATCGGCCAATTTCAATTCGCAGAAATCAACTAGAGTGACAAAAAGGATCCTGTGGATAACCAAGGCATAGAAGGGCGTATGGCCAACTTTATATCTCTGGACACACAGCAGATCTTGATATTTTTGGTCTCCGTCACCACTCTTCCGTCGGATCCGGGATATTTTAATATTTGCTAGAAGAGCTCTCCGCTATTCGCATCTTTCTGCAAATTTACTCGATGGAGGCGAAGTTAACTTGGCCCCTCTCCGCCAAGACCTTCTCTTCATCAGGGGTGGAGAAGAGCGGACGTGGATTGATGAAAACCAACGATCTACGATTACATTTCTTCGCAGAAGCCCCTGGTTGTAGTCAATGGAAGCTAGATTGGTAGTTATTGGATCCGATATGAAGTAATATATAGAGGGAATTTGATACGTCTGATGAAACCAAGGGGATGAAGTCTAATTGCAGGTTGTTTGGAAGACATTCCCAACTGAAACAGTCGGTTGAATTCCTTTTTTTTCTAAATAAAGATATTATATTTTTTATATTTTCTAAATACTCTATAAATTTTTTATTTGTTATAATCTAAGGATTATCAAGTCTATTTTATGTAGTAGTATAGTACTTGATTAAAGTTTTTTTTTTACACTAAATTTTCTTACCTTTTTATTTTTATTTATTTTTAAGTTTTAGTATTAGTATTAGTAAATTATCTTTATTTTAGCTGTTCTATAGCTTAAGAAAAAAGATAGAAAAATATTATATAGCTATAAGTATTTTTTTTAGTAATATAATATATGATATAAAGGGCTATAGCAACAACTGTTCAATTAAGGCTAGGCCTATATACTGTTTACAATAAACTTAAAGAAGAGTTATCTATATAAGCTTCTACCTTATTTTCCTATAGGAAAAGGTCATATAATACTATATAATATCTCCTCAGGCCTGGCCTGTTACAGTACTCCCTTCTTACCTTATCTTTTGGCTGAAAGTTATAGTCCTTTATCTTTTGGCTAAAAGTTATAGTATCAGTATTGCTATATTCTTTCTGGTAGTAACTTATGGTTAGGATACCCTTATAATATAGCTAAATTATCTCTTATATATATCTATCACTAAATAATCCTTTATCTTATCTACTGGCTTCTATATAGTCTCTGTATACCTAATCTATTTTACTAATACCTTAATTTATTTTTCTCTACTAATATATCTTTCCCTATAGTTAAGTATTCCTTTAACTTTATATTCTACCTTATTATTAATTTCTATAGAAGATAGCTATATTATATTAATAAATTAAAAGAGAAATAGGTCTATAGCCGCTGGCTATACTAATTTAATATTAAATACTAGATATATATCTATTAGTATATCTAACTATACTATATATAGTATTAGTACCTTAACTACTCTATACTGTATATATACTTAATTAAACTTCTTAGATAGTTACTAAGATTAGATATTATATAGGTTTAGCTAAACCTTATTATTAATATAGTAAGTTAGAATAGTATATTAAGATTAGTTTACTTATTCTTATTATATTTCTTAGGTAACTATAATTATAGATTATACCTAATTAGTAGCTTCTTATAGTTATTTTATAAATAGTTTATCTATAGCAGTAGGTAGAGCTACTTTATCTGTTTATATTATATTATAGTTATCTATACTAAAAGAATTAATATAATATCTATAAGTAAAGAAGAAAAAGAATAGTCTTATTAATAAATTATTTTAGTCATTAATAGCTACTATAATTATTAGTAATAGTTTCTTCTAGTTATCCTATATATAGATAGTAAAGATTCTTATAATTCTTTCTATTTCTTAGTTTACTTATTTTATTATTCTATTAGATTATAGGCAGAAAGTAGTAGATATTTAGTACTAAATTACTAGCTTTTTATATACTATCTACTAAAATCTGCTTATAAACTATAATCTTTAGTTACTAATAATTATCTTTAGTAAACTATAATAAATATAGAAGTATATTAGGAATATATTTACTATTTTTTTATAATATAACTCTCTTTATACTAATTAATATTATATTCTTTATAAGTTAATTAATAATAATTAGCAGGCTTATAGAGCTATTCTCCCTTACTAAAGATAGCTCTATAATAAAATTTATAGATAATTTAGCCTAGATTTATTATAGAATTAGAAGTAGTTTTAGTAACCTATACTTTATATTCTATTAGACTATAGTCCTTCTATAAATAGTATAGTTTTATAGAAATTAGTATATATTTTTTATAGCTCTAGGCTAGAAGAATCTCTAAGATAGTATTATATATATAGTATCTTATCCTAGGTAGTTAGTAATATAGGAATTATATACTTTTTAAATAATATTAATCTATAACTATTTATACTCTAGGATCTATATTTATTATTTATAAGACTGTACGTCTTACTAGGCTCAGGGAAGTAATAGTAGATCAGATGATCTAATAAGAAGCTGTTGGTTGGTAATAGATAGGATGATTGATGTATTGCATGGATGTGTATGTTATTAGGATTGCAGGAGATTGAGATGCTATTTATCCCTGAGGTTTAGCAGGCCTCAGGCCACCATTATTAGTAATTATAATGGTCACACGACAATAAGTCGTCGTAATGTATTAATCATGATTAGCATCGAATAGTAATTGATTATATAGGTTGCCTTAGTTAGCACCATAGTCAATTATGTAGGTGGCAGAGTCAATTATGTAGGTGGCAGATGGCCAGAGTTGCCACAGCATCCAGATTTGCCACTATCGATCAGGTTCCATAAGGTTCCATTAGGCTCAATAGGCTATTGCTATATATTCAGATTATTAGAAGTATAATAATTCTTATTTATCTAGGTAGTACTTAGAGAGACTAGTCCTTATACTTATTTTAATCTTAATACTATATTTACTATTATTTACTGTTATTAAATAAGCTTAGTAGATACTATTAATTAGCCTTATTTTCTTTTATTTATCCTATAGCTTCTATTCATTAAAAAGTAGTACTAAGGTAGAAAGGTTAGGGTCTGTTTTATTAATCTTATATATAGTTAGATTAAACTAATATCTTTTTAAATAAGATATAAAACTAATTTAATAGTCTTTTAATAGTAATATTCTAGAGAAGATTCTATTCTTTTTTAGATAATATATTTAGTAGTACTATAAGCTTACCTAGCTAGTAGTAGAGGATAAAATTAAATTCTATTATTAGTTCTATTTATTATATTTATTATTTACTAAGGTACTATACTTTATTTAAGTATTATAAGTTCTTATAGTCTATTATAATAATAAATTAAAGAATTATCTTTAGTTCTAGATACTATTTATATAGTATTTAGATAATAATAAGTAACTCCTTATTATATCTTATAGTTTACTTTAGCTAGTAATAACTTTTATAATATATAGGTATAAAGTGCTAATCCTCTATCTTATTGATATTATAAGAGTACTATATATAGTCTATCTAGATATATCTATCTTAATAATAGTTTTCTTTTTTTTAAAAAAGTATACTAGGATTAGGGTATTAACAAACAGATTCTTTAGTTTATTAAATATATCCTAATAATCTTAATTCTATTAAAATAATATATTTTTCTTTATTAATCTTATTAATAGTAATAATAGGGTAGTAAATTAGGGTATAAATAACTAATAGAAATTAATAAATCCTAAGAAACTATAGATATTATAGACTATCCTTTATATTTTCTACATATATATTACTTCACTTAGGGTTAATATATCCTTTTTTTAGTATATATAATAAAGCTAAAATATTTAACTAAATCTTATTTAAATTCTAACTTACTAATATTATATTATAGCCCTATATATTCAAGTTTCTAAAGTACTTTATAGACTTTTTATATAATGGTTACTAAGTTATTAGGCTAGAGACCTGTGACTAGGCAGGGATATTAGACAGTAGAGATCAGATTAGACAGTTAATACAGAGACTGATTCTTAAGAAGATCAAGAATCCTGAATATATATAGGATCTTAAATATATTAAGGCTCAGATAGATATTAATATATTGGTAACTTAAAGGGGTTTTATCTATAAATTAGCCTTAAGAGTCTAGGGTATTATATACTTTAAATCCTATAAAAATTTATCCTTCTCTCTTAGCGATAGTTAACTTAACTATTAATAAAGGTTAGAATTAGGTTAGGTAATCTAAGCTAAACAGTATTATCTTGAATAAAGACCCTAGGGTAGATACTGCTTTAGGTATATTTATATATAGATATAAATATAATAATATAATCTCTTTAATATCTTTAAGATAAAAGCTTCTACCTTTCTATCCTTAACTCTTACTTTTCTTTTATCTTTATCTTACTTTATCTCTTTCTTTCTATTATTAAATTATAATTCTTTTATAATATCTACTATTATTAGTCCTATAGCTACTAAATTTAGTAATTCTCTCTCTATAGATATTATTTATTCTACTGATAATTATTAGGGTAGTTATTATATAGCTAAAGATAAAGATTAAGCTAGAGCTAGGAATAATGTAACGGTAATGCCTAGGATCATGTGCCAATTCCAATAGACCAAAAAGTCCACTATATCAAAGCTCTCGCTTTGATATTCCTAGGCACCAATATATATACTAAGGTAGCGCGCGGTAACTAGTCATCGTTATCCTCCCCCAAGGATGCCCGTGACAAATAAAGATAGTAATAATAATAATTCTAGAAGTATTATTAGTATTATCCTTAGTCTTTATCTTCTTTATAATTAAATTATCTAATCTTTTTCTACCTTCTATATTAAATATATAGCTAAAGTAGCCCTTTATTTTTCTATTAGTATTATTTCTATAATTAAATATAACTAAGATTATTCTAACTTAATTATCTATACTCTATATAAGAGAGATAGAAAGACTTACTTTTAGGTATAATATTCTTCTAATTTATCTAGATACTCTGAAT